CACTTTCATGATTTATTTGTTGAAAACTTTATCAATTAGTTGACAGCATTAAACTACGACATTCAAGTAGCCTACTGGTGCATTACCACAAAGCTTTTTGGCTTGTTATAAACGTGGGCCACATCCAGCCACATTAAATTGTATTTATTTCTGAGGTGCCGAAACTTCTTCTATCACGATCCTGGACACTGAGTTCCAGCCAGAATGAGCATCTGCATTCCCATAACCGCTACAGTCTCCCACGTTGATCCCCACGCGCACAGTTCCTTGTGGGATGTTCTCACAGTAGCCTTCAATATGACGCACACGAAGTGGCTCTAAATTGCTTGCTCGATGCATATAAATGAGACCATCAATTGGCATAGGGCCACTGCATTCAGCCCCGTTAAAGGTGAAGTACCAACGTTTGCAGCAAGTTGTGCATTGAAAGATTCGGAGAGCACCGCTATAGAAAACGCGTAAAGAACTGTCTTTCTTTGTCTTTTGAAAAATGCAGTCCTGTAAAATTTGGATAGGATAGATTAAGAAAACTTATTTTAGGAGAAAAGGTACATTACGATAAGAACGGTTCGTCAATACCTCTATGACTGTGCTAGACTGAATTGCTACGAGCTGGCTACAGTTGCTAGCCGGCTGACACCCATTCAGAGTCTAACGTGAGGTGGGGAAGCCCACATTTACTCTCTTTCAACCGCAATTAACTTTCCAGAGATTATTGCATGATCGCATAGGAATATAAACGAACCAAATGGCGGTGTATTTACTCTCTTCTAAACTCGCGGGCTTCCTTACTTATTTTGTACCGTCGCGCAGAGAAACAAGCAATCCAAGTTTAGAATCAAAATGTGCCTTTTAGCTTACTTTGATTAATCCATAATCCCGATCATCGCTTTTGCTCCAGACGCACTGTTTCCAAGTTGCGGCGATACCAGCTTCCCCTTTAGGGCCCTGTTCTCCTCGTTCTCCCTTTACCCCGTCACGACCGTGAGGGCCTGGTATGCCTGGAGTTCCTGGAATACCAGGTATGCCGTCTGATAGGCAAGTCTATGAAAGACGCAAAGAAGTCAAACAAATTCAGGCGTATTAGAAAGATCTTTCCAAAGTGCAGATTGAGATATGTAGCTCGAATATTCGTTGTTGTTACGTACCTTTTGAGAGGGTTCGACAGCTTGCAAATAGGCAACTGTAAATAATACTAGCAGGTGAGCTTCCATCAGCGTACTCTGTCAAGAATGTTCAGCTTTAGTTAGACAAGATAGCAAACCTTTTATTTTGTTAGATCTACGAGGGTTACTTTTCGTAAGACGGCTCAAATGAATACTTCCGTAACATCTATTAATTACAAGATCTAAAAAGACTAGGGTACCGAACTGAAATCTCTCAAAGTACCCTCTGGGTATAGTAAATTGTTGATGGGTAAGTCAGATATGAACAAGAAGAATGGCGGAAGACATTAGCTTCTTTGTTATATTAGGAAATAAAATCACACCTAAAAGCGCTGTGTCACCTGATTTATTAGTAAGGTAAGCCCGAAACTGAATGCTCCCTGAGAACTAGTCACGATTCTCCTTAGAAAAGCCTTTCATGATATGAGAATCCCGGCAGTTAATGATGATATTTTTTAAGATGGCAACGAACATCACAGTCTATATCTATATATATATATATATATATATATATATATAGGAAGTCTGCAGGTCGATTTTCGCGTGGAAGAGTGCTCAATACGTTGAAGTAGAGCAGAATAAATATTATGAGAGGAAAAAACGACGCAACTACATATCCCGACAAGCCTGTTTCGTGAATCGCTTCACTCTTCAGGGGTTTAAAATTTTGAATCGCTTCACTCTTCAGGGATTAAACCCCTGAAGAGTGAAGCGATTCACGAAACAGGCTTGTCGGGATATGTAGTTGCGTCGTTTTTTCCTCTCATAATATTTATATATATATAGACTGTGATGTTCGTTGCCATATATATATATATATATATACACACGAGTTTGATACCACTAAATACCGTCGATTGCTCAATATAAAACTGCAGCCTTCCGACTGTAAGAAAGTTCTTACTGAGACTTCCAGAAGATACGACTTCTCTTCGTTGTAACAATGACAGGCGAGGAACACTCTTTACACTACGAAACGTCGAATTTATGTTTTTGAAATATTTGGTCCCAGGCTTGAAGATCACGCAGCAGTTGAAAATGACGCCAAATAAGGGTAGAAAATGACGGGACGTGCTCTTGCTGCTTTGAGAGGATTATTTTAATAATCTTCTCAGTTTTAAGGTAAGTATGGGCTAGATAGTGTCATAACTGACGAAGTTGCTCAAAACTTTGAATGTGTCCCGTTGATCAGATTCATTGGTAATTGTATAAATCGAATGGAGTCAAGAGAGAGAACAATTTGGACTGACTGACTGACGAGCAAGGAGTTGTTTCCTTGTTGTAATACAGGGAAAGGGATCGACAGATGGGGTCATGACCGGCACGTCGATTCATTCACGTGCACTTAATGAAAATGACAGGACGTGCTCTTGTAGCTCTAAAAATATTATTAAGATCAGTTTCCAGGTAAGTATGAGCTAGGCAGTGTCTTAAAGAAGTTGCCCAAAACTATGAGTGTGTCCCGTTGATTAGATTCAGTGGTAATTGTATAAATCAAATGGAGTCGAGAGAGAGAACAATTTGGACTGACTGACTGACGAACAAGGAGTTGTTTCCTTGTTGTAATACAGGGAAAGGGATCGACAGATTCGGTCATGACCGGCACGTCGATTCATGCACTTGCACATAATGAAAATGACAGGACGTGCTCTTGTAGCTCTAAAAATATTATTAAGATCAGTTTCCAGGTAAGTATGAGCTAGGCAGTGTTTTAAAGAAGTTGCCCAAAACTATGAGTGTGTCCCGTTGATTAGATTCAGTGGTAATTGTATAAATCGAATGGAGTCAAGAGAGAGAACAATTTGGACTGACTGACTGACGAACAAGGAGTTGTTTCCTTGTTGTAATACAGGGAAAGGGATCGACAGATTCGGTCATGACCGGCACGTCGATTCATGCATGTACACTTAATAGCTTGACACAGAAATGTTCGGCAACTCTTTAACTTACTCGAGCGGCTGGATCAGACTCATTGTGGTCTCTTGAGAGAGGAAGCAACAGGAATTAGAGCAGTTTACTCGCCGTGAAAACGCAGCTTAGGTGTTATCCTTATCACTATGTAATACTTGTCGCAGTTTGTATTTTAATACACGTGTTACTACAAAGTGCGACCATTTTAAAACATAGGCATGCATAGCATGCAAGATTTATTCTTTTTGGCTAGGTGGGTTGAGATGGTATACTATGTGACTAATGTTCTCATTTCTGTAACAGAAAAAAGCATAACTTTCAAAATAACGAAAATATCGCGTTACTTCACCTTAACAGAAAAAAGACAAATTTTATCTGAACTCGCACAGGTATTTTGCGGTCTATTGCCGCTAATGTCAATACTTCTGAGCAAAAATGAAATGCATCGGTACCACGCTGATTGTTGTCTCTTTCGCAGCCGTTGTTTGGTCTCGTCACACACGATAGTTATCCATTCCTTCCCTGTTACCGCACTTGAATAACGGCACAACTCTTGAAGTCTTCCAGCCGGCTGGCACTCCAGAGAAATAGGAAAGGTTAATTATGCGAGTCAAGCACTCCGAAATAACCGGAACTCCGTCCTTAGGCAAGCGTGCAGGAATATTGTCTTGTCCAGTAGCTTTGTTCGTTTTTAGCTTTCTTAACAAATTGTAAACAACTTCAGGTCTTGTAGTAGAACATACAACTCCTCACGCTAACATACAGTAATTTATTTTTTTTTAATAACAATAAAAAAAAAAAGCTGAATAACACGTCACATTTCGTAATTAAAAAAAATAAAACATTGCACTTTGTCAAATACTAGTCGCACATTGTAGCAAAGGGTGACGATTACCACAAAGTGATAGAACATGTCATTTATCGTACCAAGAGGCCTCAAAGAATAATAAACATCACTGCTGGATCGATTTATCGACAACTGACCTCCTATTCCGTCCAAGGTAATCGTATAGAAATTTTATTTCGCCTTCAACAGACTTCAAGGCAACACTACCACTTGATTAATGATTAACTATAGGTTAATTTACGAAATAAACGCATCAGAAAACCTTTCTCATTCCTTAGCCTGTACGTGGTCCAATTCCTGTAGCAAGGACATCCTAAAGACTTGCGTGATTGTGCAACCTTTAAAAAATATTTGGAAAATGCCAGGGAACTTCAAATAATTACCGAAAACCTGCCGAATAATTCGCGAGAGCCCGATTTTCACTTTCAAAGTTAAATAATGGCAAATATGATACTGATGTTTCACAAAAGTGTGTTGCTAAAACCGTATCAACCCTTGAGGCCTACACTAGCTAGTAGGTATGAAAAGAGCATGGAGCTAATAAGAGGAACCACCCTCTTTACCAGTCTTCAGCCGTTCGTTTCCCATGAGTGGTGGATAGAACAGGCAGATAGCAATGGTATCTCTAGCGCCGATTGTCATCTTATGGGCGTTGTTTCCTACAAGAAACATAGTCCCATGATGCTTTTCAGAGTCAAAATCGTGTCGACATTGCCCGTTTTCCCATACGTATTCACCTTGACCTTTGATAACATAGACTAATTCTTTGTTATTTAGATATTGGAGATGCTTGCTAAAACTACTTGAACAAAACGTGTTGTGAACTGAGATGTTGTAGCCATCAGGGGCGGCAAGAAACCTTCGACTTAATCCATCTTCAAAGGGAACATTGCGATCTGAATCAGTTACTTCGTCCAGGCTCTTCATTAGCAAAGGTGGGGGAGATACGCTTGTGTCATGTGGGACGGAAACAGCAACTATTCTCACTGGCTCCTGAATACGAATGTGAACGTTTTTGTCAGATGTGAGAGCAAGGAGATGGTCCGCGGTGAAAGGCAGCTGTTTGGTTGCACCGTCGTGTATGACACATCGCCCTGTTAAAATGGATGAGGTGTTTAGCAACATGAAAGTTATGATTTTAGATATATGAAATTCATATATTTGCACTGCGGTGAAGAAACGAGTTTAAGAGATCCTCGCAGCTAAGAACACTACTGAACTAGAAGTTGAAAATAGGACCTGAAAAAAATTCAGGCCCGTACGGGATTTGAACCAATGACCTCTGCGATACCGGTGCAGCGCTCTACCAACTGAGCTAACAAGCCAACTGGGAGCTTGTCAATATGTTGAGTCGAAATAAACCATCCAAGTGATGATTTTAGGTATATGAAATTCATATATTTGTATATTCATATACATCCCAGTTGGCTTGTTAGCTCAGTTGGTAGCGCGCTGCACCGGTATCGCAGAGGTCATGGGTTTACGGGCCTAAATTTTTTTCAGGTCCTATTTTCAACTACAAAACTTCGAGTGTATGATTGACGCAAATACTACAAATTTACCACACTAACAATACTCCATGGACTTCTATCGACCCGTGATTGTACAGGCGTCCTATTAGAGCGAGCTAACGACATAAACTCGCAATTGCTTATCCGACGGGCCATGTTTGATTTGGAGTTAGAGTGGACGGTGGGGGTAGGGGCCGGGGGAAGGGCGAAAATCTTCACTCCCCCACCCCTGCGCCTCTCCTTATTCTTGACCGATGACTACCCCCTTAGTACGTATTTTCTTCACTCCCCTGTCTTTCACCGCCATTTAATTAAAAGATGGCGGCCACAATTTTCGCTACGAAAATACTTAGCACCAGCTAATTAAAAAAGTCGAATATGCTGTTTTCTGTCTTCCGGTATAATTCTATCAATAATTCAGGAAGGCTCTGACACGCAGGGCACGGTGGCATGATTCTCTTATGTAGATATATAGTAATTTGGGTTTTATCTTGGTTTTTTTGTGTGCGTGTGAAAGCTAAGGGTTTCATTTGACCAGGTCTTCATTCTACTGATATAATTTGTCATAGGGGCGATAGTCATTCGTTGCATGGAAATATTTACTCATACCTTCAATACAGTAGTATATGTGATTGTGATTACGGTGAAATGCGATGAGCGTGACCTCTTCGCCAGCTTGAGCGTAAAATTCGTACATTGCACATCCCATTCCGTCTTCAAGGGAAACTAAAATCTTTCCCTGTATCTCACTACTGCCAAGGGGCACAATCGGAAGATCATCTGCAACTCGAACTTTCATTATTGCTTCAGATTTGTCAATCTGCAAATAGGTTTATCGTGCTTGGATTTGCAAGACGAAGGGTCTCAAGAGGCCTGGAACCCACAAGCCATTCCCAGAGGACATTGCGAGTCAAATTTTCGTCAGGCGCGGAAAAGATACATTAAGCTTGAGTGAAGTTTTATGTTATTCCACGTCACATTGAAAGATTTCTCGCGCGGTCACAACAAAGAAGGCATTTATTGAAAGATAGGTGCCTGGGGTGCGGGTACTCAGACAATGAGCGGGATTATTTCCCCGGCTTAAGCCATTTCCACCACCTTACCCTCAAAGATCTTAACCAAAAAAAGGGTAAGTGATCACAATTCATAATTGCCAGGGGTTGCAACCATCCTAAATCATTTTCTTTTTCAGCGAAATACACTCGGGAATCCTATTACAACAACTGCACCTGCAGCATCATGAAGACCGGCATTCGTTGCTGTAAGGGGGCAACAGGTCATCATCGTTAATCTTCTTTCCACGCATGAACCGCTCTGCCCTTCTGTGTAGGTTGTTTAAAGATCGTTATCAAAACTATTGTTTGAAATCTTCGTCAGCCTATGAGTAGTACTTGTTCCAAAACTCCCACCTCCTTCTGGGAGTGATCAAGGTTGGTTTTACGAGGGGCTGGTGTGGATAAGTAAAGGCATTTGTTTTTTCCCCCCCCCTCCCCCCTTCTCCCCACCTCCCCTCAACAATCCACCTCGAGTCCTTTTTGCACTTCTGTCGAGATAAAATTTTAAGTTTTGAACGACCAAACAAACAAAATGAATTAGGAGAAGGCTGTAAAATAGTCTATTCTCAGCATAGTCAACATGGTATGCTCAAATAACATTGTAAAATGTGTCGTAAATAATAAGCTGTTTCATAGAAACAATTTTACATTTTGACACTGAGTGTTGTGGATAAAATCTTCCTCAAAACATCACGAGGTGTTCACGTGGTTTGAAGTCACGTGACTAGACACAGTTAGGCTTTCAAGATCTTGTTTGACGTAACTGACTCGTAAACCTTGATTGTTGTTTGACTCTCGGTGGCATCTTCTAAATGTCTTTTGGAAAGCTCTCCTGTATTCATTGTTCCGAAGAGAGTAAATCAGAGGATTCAAAACAGTGTTGGAAAACGTGAGAAATAATAAAATTTCCAAAGTCCGTGCTAAGGAACAACCTGTTGTTTGTCCAGCGAAAATATGCACTAAAGATGCCACCACAATTGGAAGATAGCAGCCCAGGAATGCGCCAATCACAATCGCTGCAGAACCAAAACAAAAAAAAAAACACAAAAGTTAGTATTTGAGACCAAGAAACAGGGATCTTTTTACAGCTTTCAGTGGTTCGGCTATTAAAGAACTACAGGATAGTAATATTGATTCTGAGAATAAAAAGTAATTTATCTTACTTGCCTTTAGGCGGTAATGACAAGTTTCCATTAGGGTTAACGAGCTCAACGCAATGCCTGTTATGATTATTGCATAATCTGAAGTCCTGATGACTGTAGATATCTGTTGTAACTTTCAGTTGTGTGCACCGCACATGAGGTTTAAAACGGGGAGATTAATTTTGGTGGTTTTCCCTTCCTACTTGAATGATATGAAAATTGTGTTCGCGACCCGAATATTCCGTTAATCGTACAGCAAGCACAGTGACAACAAGTTATTTAATGAACGACATTGAAACCTTAATCCACGAATCTCCAGCTAATGACCTTGTAATGCTCGGGGTTTGCGGATGAGTGAAGTGCTTGCTAGTAGCTAATGACATCCGCCCTCTTATTTCCCAATTACAGATAATATGACGTTACTCAAAGGATTACGATGTCTTTGAGAGAAACGGTCTTTTTCATGCACCCTTAATTTCCATTTGGAGCGAGCGTCAAACCTTCGGAAGATTTCACGTAACCTACAATGGGCAATTTACAACCGATCTGAAAGGAACGCATGGGGTTTTTTTTGTCAAGAAAGCCCCCATACGATGCAGCAAAATGATATCTCGGCTTCCCTTCTCATCTGGTTGCTTCGGGTAGATAGAAAAACAGCTACTTGATTCGACTTCCGAGATATCTTCTGAGTCGACCTTAAGTATCTACGAGGAACCGTGTTTTCGCTGCATAATCTCTGTTATTTTTTCTAAACCTATTGACCCATTAGATACGGAATGATTTAAGATTCTTCAAGCAAAACCTGACCGTGCTCCACATGAAAAAATTTAGACCTGTATAATACAAATTTGATAACAGGCCAAAATAAGTGCAGAGCAAATTATATACAATTGAGGTATTTGACTGAACTGATTGAAGAAAATGATGAGTAGTTTTCAGAATTTCTACTCAACGTAACAGAAACAACAACACCACCAACAGGGGTCTGCGAAGCATGACGCAACATTTTTTCTTTAAGCAGTAAACATGTTGTTGCGGCATACAGCATAGTTTGTATTTTGCACGTGTTCCATTGTTTTTGTTTTTTTCCATTCCATAGATATTGCAAAGTGTACTTTTCTTGTATTAATGCATGTTGGCTATTTAGTAAGTCTCGACGCAGAGTTTTTACTTTTGGTAACGAAAAATAATTTTCAGGCTTTCTTCGGATTTGGAGAACCTTTCTTTTGTATCAAGAAAGCTTTGTTGAAGGATTGATTCTGTGAACCGTTGTAGCTTGCTTTACCTTTTAAGGTCATGTGTTGTGTATCGCAAAGGAACGTATATTTTTGAGTGAAAAAGGGGGTCTCTATGCTCGTTTAGAAGCAGCAGCACCTTGTAGATACCTAACAATTCCTATAATATCAAAACAAAATTCGTGTTTCCGCAAAAATTGTTCACTTTGCTACACTGAGAATTGGTTGACAGACAGAAACTCATTGCTATATTCCAAGAAAGAGATAAAAAAAACATGACATGTCACCATGCAATGCAATGCTATGGAATGACCATACGCTTGGTCAAATGGCACTTTTTTTTTGCCCGACTTAAAACGTGGTTGTCCTACCACTATTGTTATAGGTAACATCCACCACATTTGCACTTATTATAAACATCAATAATCTACGCAGTCAGGTTCAACTGCCCCCCTCGGGTGTTAGGAGAGCCAGCTCACATCAAACCCTTAACCGCGGTTGTTTTCGTCTTTTCGTCTTGTTGATTAGGGAAACTTTGTTATAATATATTTCACTATGGAATGGGAAACATACGCCAGAGAGAAAATAAAGCACAAAACCGGTGCAAAGATGTTAAGGGAGGGCGAAGATTGACTCAGATTTTAGACAACAAACTGGAACTGAGAATTAAGGTTAAATTAGCCAAAATTCACAAGCCGTGACGTAGCTCGGTTGATGATACTCCAACAAGATAAACTTACCTAGCGTTTTGGCCCATTTTCTATCACGTGTTCGAGGAAGACCACGAACATGTGGCACTCTGACTGCCGAGATCACAGCAACACCAACTCTGTTGGCTTGATACCAAGCAACTTTGCTAATTCGACAGTAAGCCCACATCATCACAAGAAGTGGTAGAAAGAAAAGAAAAATTACGTTCACGCTCATATGGAAGCGATCCTTTTTGTCAATTTTTTCTATCGAACCTTGGTCCATGCATCCATAGAAGCTGGCATAGCCACGGAGATCCACTAGCGCAGCAGGGAAGATTAGTATAGAAAACACTGGGATGATCCAGATCGTTAATAAAATCACAGCTGTCCTTGTCGGGGTAACCATGAATCTGTAGCGTAATGGGTAAAATATTGCTATGTATCTGTCCAGGCTTAACGTAAATAAGTGCAAAATGCTGATGTAAAGAAGACAGCCAAATATTCTGCCCATAAGCGTGCACATAATAGGGTTTTTACCAACGTTAAAATAAGTCAAAATTTGGAAAGTCATAATTTGAACGGAGAGTAAGTCTGACAAGGCTAGGCTTGCTACGGCGTAATTCCGCACTGAGGCTCGTAGTTGTCTGTCTTTAAGAACAATAAAACAGATACTTGTATTCCCCAAAATGTTCATCACGGCGATAAGAACAAGAAAAACGGTTTTGAAGATTGTCGCTGTAAGACCGGATGAGGTTAACATGTTGGATGACTCGGTGGTGACATTCTGTGCCCATATTTCACTTGTCGGCGGATCCATTGTCAAAATATCTGCCACCAAGAACTAATCAAATTTTAATTCAAGGGTAGCTTTCAAATAGCGTGATTAGTAAACCCACAAGTGTAGAGAGTCAATCATTGTCCCGGGAGCATCACCGCTCTTCACGTTTGCTTCCAGAATAATCTTAATCTCCCTTCCTTGATCAAGGTCACTTTGCGTTGTTTATAAATTTCTTGATTCCAAGGTCAGGAAAATGCGACGGGTTGTTATTCTTGTCATTCTTTCGACCCGGGAGGGCTTTATTGCTTTGATTTACTGCCTCGCTGCATTCGAAAAAAATTTTATATATAGTCTACTTACCATTCAGGCCTTATCTTTCTTTTGCTTTTGTTTTTAAAGCCCGCTTTGTTTCGCTTGTTTTCGATGTGGTGTGATCCTCTAGAAGCGTTCTATCAGTTTATAATGTCCTAAAATCTAGACTGTTTTCACGGTAATAGTTTTCAAGATAATAATTGCCAAGGTTTCTATGGCAGCGCACTCCAGTCTTCTGAATGCTCTATGAACCCTCGAACCCACAAGATAACAAAATTGAAGACCCCAATAATGGCTTCCGCATGAATCACATCAAAAATATTCGACTTGTTTGAGTCCTCGAAAGAGCGTGAAATTGCTTCCACCACGAGTAGTTACTTGCCTAAGGTAGACATGTCTTCTCTTTAGACAGAATAGGCGCTGTCCGGACGAATTCGTAAGATTCAAAGAGAACTTCCATAGATTATTTGTACCGCTTCCATACTTGTTTAGCGTAGTCTACTTCCCACATGCTGTTTCTAAAATTAGACGATCCCGAGCTGTTTAAAACTATTCGAAACATGTTTTGTTATCATCGAAAGTAATAAATCTTTTAACAAAAGTTCCAAATTTAGAGAAAGCGTAGGCACTTGTACGCCATTGTCCCCAGAGTTAGACACTAGAGATGCCAACAGAGTATAGACGGACAGAAAATATTGTTTACTTGACCTGCTTTCCGGTTGGTTAGTTTCAGCACGTGTTTTGCAAAAACTTTGCCTTTGGCTAAACCAGGAACTTTTGGAATTTGCGGAACTATTATAGAAATTGATTGCATTCGAAACTGAAATAGCTTTAAAATCTCCGCTTTATTCGCTTGTCATAGAGTTTTACAGTGGTCTTTTTTTTCTCCCATTTCTTTTTTCATTAGTGATGGGAGGGCAGAACTTACATTCAAACTATCACAGTCATCTTTATTGATGAGTTTTAAAATAGACGTTATTGAAATTCATGATTATGAAGCTGTACTGTGTGACATGCAATTACACGTCTCTTTGATATGGACATACAAATTCTACAAATTTTTGACTGACTTCATTCTTCGTGAAGAGTAACACTTGTTCTTACTTACTTTTAGAAGCGAAAACTTGGAGACGTGTACTTAGGGCTCTTTTGGGGAAGAGAATTGACAAGACCTCACCGCATTCAAGGAGACGTAAGCTTAAAAACCGTAATACATTTGCCAACCACACTAAGTAAAGCAAGGCAGTATCAACCAATAGAGAGGAAAGCATCCTTGTTAGACAGTGGTCAAACTGTTGTGTAACAAGCTGATTTTAGAAACAATATCAGAGACTATTGCGCCATCGTAAATTCATTAAAGTTTTCCCTGACAAGCATACTAGAGCGCTACATTCGCCATCAAACGACACATGTCAATGCAGGCTGACTGGAGAGGAGAAGTTTCCTTCAAACTTTTGATATAATTTCCTTCACAAGTGTCGTACGTAATAAGGCCGATGTTATCCAGGACAATTTTTCATCCAAGTTTAGTATGTCAGTCTTCTGCAAAAAAAATTGATATTTTTCCCATCGGGTTTCATCGACAAGGATCATCGGTTATCAAGGGAACCCTTTTCGAGGAAACACAGAATCTTTATTTGACTGAACCTGTCCTATAAAAAGATCTTTGCTTGCAATACTGTCATTGTCTTCAAATATTTGACTCAGTGAAACATAGAATACCTCAGAACGAGTCCTTTAATCCTATTTCAATTCAGAGTCATGCCAAATTCCATACGTTATCGGGAAGTATTGGATAACTGCTTGCTTTCCTCGCGTACATATGCCTTTGACTAAAAGGAGCTTAAGGCTAGCTTTTCTTTTTTCGAAAGCGACGAGTGCGACGGGTCCATTTTGGTCACTGTTCCCTCTTTTTTTTTTTTTTTTTTTTTTAATATGAGTACTAATAATATTGCCATAAACCATCTAGATAGAGTCTTGTAAACATCCCAGTTAGAAGTCATTTGACTCAATCTTTGTACTCTCACGTCATTAAACTCTCACGGCTTATTTCAATTTTTGATTTCAAAACTTTATTTTCATTAATTTTTAAAACATTGACTTCCTTGAGGGAGACCTCCTCTGCTGGAAGAAATGGGTATTTTAAGTCTGGAGCAAATAAGAAACAATGTCAGTTGATTTGAAGCTTGAGAAGTGCTTCTTCCACTTTGGATCAGATGATGTTTTATGGTTGTTACGGTGCTCGCTTCTAAAAAAATTTATCTTACAGTTACTCAACAAATTTTTTTGTGGTCCACTTAAATCGCTTACGTGCCCTTTAGTAGTAATATCTTAAACAATCATTATCTTACTCCTCACCTAGCCTCCTCTCTCGCGTATGCTAAATGATATTGAATAAAGGAAAAGTAGCACGTGAAATAAGATATAATAAATGAAATGATGCGTACCTCTCGCTTGCCTTCGTCCATGGCGGCACTACACAACACTTCTCGACACAGCCGTTAAAGTGAGTACATAGGGTTGAGGGGCAAAAAAACCTTTAGCGGGCCTGCGCTCCAGTATGTCACGCAGACTTCATTTTGGCCTGTCACGCAACATTTCTAATTTCAATTAACGCAGTTTAATTTTTTTTTTTTTTTTTTTAACTCTCACCTCTCACTTTTTGTGTTATTTTATAACAATTTCTTTTTTATTTTTCAAAGCTCTTTCTTTTTCCGATCCGTGATCCGATCCGGTCCGATCCAGATTTTGTTAACACCTAACGCGCAAAACCATGTTAGTTGCACCACAGGGGGTCTCTCTGTCAGTGTGCAGGTCAACAAGGAGGTGACACTTGGCGAAATTTTGCTGTTCTCGGCGGAGTTGGGTGCATTATTTTTCTTCGGATCGTTTTTGATATGGCTAGTGGTGCAAGTGATGACACATCCATGAAATTTTGGCTTCGGGCGGAATCGAAACCGCACGAACAACGCACTCCACTGACACCAGTCACTTGCAAAAAGCTACTTTATGCCGGTATGTCTTTTTAAACTTTATTTTACCGTGCACTAAGTCAGTTCTAGCGCTTATGCATTTATTGTTGAGTTACTCAATCAATGTTTATTGAATAAACTTGCTGATTAGAGTTTTAGACTCGCTTAACCGTTGGTTTTTTTAGCTTTTGTAAAATAATAGTGGGTGTATCCGTTCAATACTCACTCGCATGTCCAGTTGTTTATTTGCACTGCACAAGAGAGTCGTGGTTCTCGTTGAATCTCTTTCAAAATGCTTATTTTCGCTAGTCCAAATGAAAAAAAATTACTTTACATGTATTACGTGATTCTTATGAGTGCCACGTTTTCAAGGTACATTTTTTGCGAACTTTTTCAATTTTTTAAAACATTCGACTTGATATGTCGCCATGCTTTCCATAATTCCGGGATGAGTTCACAGTGAGTTTGTAGGCGCCCAGTCTCGATGCCATTTAAAAGAGACGAAAAGCAGGTGAATTATATTTTCGAGAAAAGACTTCTTTTGGCGTGAAGGAGACTTTTTAGCTACTACTACAACGTGTATAATAGAGTCTGTTAGCTGTTGATATGTTTACGAAATCATACGAATAATCTGCATACCACGAGTAATGGCTCGAGCGAAACGAGATCACAGTCATGGTTCAGTGATAAAAAAGAATATATTTGCAAGCATAAGATATCAGCTCTAATTCTGTCAATAAGATAAAACGGCCCGCAAACTTGACCTTGAATATCCATTTTGATTTCTGTTCAATTACGCAAATTAACGATATCCTTGGTAGCTCGAACATAATAGCCGTTTGGATTTCGCGTGAGATCTAATCCCGGTATTGTTCAGCAACTTTAAAGAATGCTTAAAACCGAATTATACTTAATAAAGTTAATCTTGTGCGGAACAAAATTTTTAAGTACGTTAGCAAAGAACAATTTTGGTTTGATATTCGACTGGTAATCGCTGGTACGTTAAGAACGAATGCCGATGTATTTTCCATTTATTAAAATAAAAGAGGTCCACATAACAAAGGAACAATGACGTTGAAATCCTCCGAAAGCTGTGCACATCACATGCAAGACTAGGAATAAAAGGAGATCTTTGTCATGTTTTTCCAAGCCTTGATAAGATTGATCGATAAGATTTACCTGGTCCGAGTAATACAAACAATTTGGAGTTGTTATTAACATTGTTTTGTATTTTCTGTTTAAAGGTCACCAGGTTTTTGTGGAAAAGTCGGAAGACCGAGTTTACAAAGAAGTTGATTATGAAAGGTGGTAGATTGAGATTGAACATTGAAAAATTGAGAAAGTAACATAAAAGTTCTCTAGATATGGCTAGGTTAAAAGTTTCAAGGTTAGGTTGCAATAGTTACAAGAATGTTTAACCCTTAAATACCCAGGAGTGATTAACATGTCACTTCTCCCTTCAGTGTTCATACATTATCCAGCAAACAGGTAATGAGAAGACTCAAACTAATCAAGTGGAAGATGTTACCCTGATCTAACACCAAATGCTTGTGACCAGTTTAGAAGGAAATGTGTAGCATCTAGAAGGGAGAATTAACAATCAGATCTTAGGAGTTAAAGGGTTAAGATTTCTTTCATGTTCTTGGAATCCTAAAGATCTTGAAGCTTTTATAAATTTGTTTTAAATGTGACGCATGTTTTCATCTTTCATGTAGGGTTGGTTGTAAAATTGTTGAAGAAGGAAGTTGGACAGATGCTACTGCAGATGCTTACATAGTGGGGATTAAAGAACTGCCAAGCGAGGATCATCCCCTGAAAAATCCTCACATTTACTTTGGCCATGCCTATAAGGTGAGAAGTACATTCTGTTTTGTCTTCTAACTTTGAATCATTTACATGATATCAATGAAAAATGCAACATTTTTTGAATGATTACAGAAGTAGCCACAGAGTTTACCATCATCCCTTGTTTAACCCACATTCAAGTAATCTTTTATTATCATTGCTTGTTTGAAATCTGTTTGGTAGATGGCTTCCTTTTCTGTACAAATCATTTTTAACATCCTCAGAGAGACCCTTTGTCTGGTAAAGTTGTTTTATTCAAGCTTACTGTTTCCTAATCTTTATAGTTATTAATGACTTTTTTTTAGAGATGTAGTACATAGGAGTAAATGGTTTGTATTCTGGACTTACATTAATGAAGTCTAGATTCAAGTGTGAGCTTGGCTGGTTGAATAATACCTTTGACTAAGAAATGAGTTACTATCAAAATAGAAGCCTGTATTCAACCATAAAAAGACTATGAATTGGTATCAGGGAAGCTGTTGAAATGCTAGGAGGAAGTGTGAAGGTTTGACATATGATTCATCCACCTGGGGCATAAGCCAGTTGGTCCATGCAGTTAACTTGACTGGTTATCAGAACTGGGTTTAAGATACTGCAGTGTTTACCTGCATCAGGGCTGTAAGCCATTCTGGAAGTTGTATTTATTCTGATGTAAATTGGTTAAAATCCATTTTGCACTAAGAAGCACTGAAAACAATGAGTGGGTTAACACCTAATACTTCTACCTGAATCTCCAGATAACTTACAGAATTTCTTTATAATTATCAGTTGTTATGTATTTGATTGTTTTCAAATTTGCAGACTACTTTCTGTTCATCATGGGCAGAGGAATGCGTGAAACATTACTCAACCCTTTCACTCCCGAGATCTCATTAGTAATTCTCCTTACTAACTGTTGTACAATTCTTATGATTTTAGTTCTGAGAATTTGTTATTGGATCAACTGATAATCCCTTAATTGATATTTCTCTTTATTCTCATCACTTGTCTGCTAAAATTGTATGGATATGGCAGAGAGAAATTCTCTCTTGATCACTTGTGGATGTTAAAGGGTTAATAACTGTCTTGATAAAACAGAAGCAACCTTTGGTGCCTGCAGCTTAGAATTATAACAAAAGCTTGGATTTTACAAGTATTACTTGGTTTTCATTGTTCTACGAAATGTGACAGTAAAGTTACTACACATTCTAACAGAATGTTGCAGCCAGAATCCCTTGTTACAACACGATGATTCAAAGAGTCATCGATCATTTCGAAATTAACAATGATGTTTTCTTCTCAGACGTGGCTGTTTGACTTTGTGCTGTCAGGGGACACAGGTTAGCCTGGAACCCTGCTGACTTAATTTCCAGTATTACACATTGTAGAAATTTTGAGAAAAATTCCTACATATGTGATTAAGTTGGTTTTTCAAAATAAATGCTTTATGAAAATATGCTCATCTATCCAGAATTTGTACAGGCATCTCTAGATACTTTAAATATTAGGATCTTTATTGAGAAATTCCTGGGTAAAATAGCATGTCTTGTAATGTGTACACATACAAACTTGTGATTATTATGAAAAACCATGACCAGTATTCTGTATAGAATTCTTGGCAATTAAGGTGGAAATAAATTTTAGGATGGGCATGCTTCTGCAATGGAACTGATTTGTTTGTTTCCATGTTCATTTACATGGAGAGTACTTTTAAGTTTTTTAAATTTCTTATACAATAATGATGTATAATGAATGATTATAACATCAGAGAATTTCTTGTCTTTTATAACACGAATCTAACCACACCACTCTCTCACAACATTCACCTAAAGTCTGATGAAAGTTTTTGGAAATAATTTTTACTTGTTAAAGAGAAAACTAAGATGATTGATTTGAAAAGTGTTGTGGTTTCATTAATTGAAATTTAAAGCACTAGCAGCTTGAAAAAGCAAGTAGACAAAAATATGAATAACAGGAGGTTTAATAAAAAAGACTAGTCATGTTAATACTGAACTTCAAAAGCTTGTTTGCCTATTGTGGCATCAGGAACTTGTTTGCTGATTCTGTTACTGTGTGTTTTTCAGGGACAGGATGGCTGGAGTGACCTGCTGCAGAGGTTCCATCAAGGTGGTGGTGAACTACTTGATGTTGAGTTTATTGTCAATGACAGTGGTGAGTACTTTAATTTCTAGCTTTAAACAAGTTCCTTGCTTTATGAGATTGTAGCCCACCTCATGTGACCATTCAGTAAGGAAACAAGTTTGAAACAAGTTGCACCTGCAGACAGGAATATTGCAGTCATGGAGATGTCACAAGTGAGAGCGTCAGTGGAGGGTTCAAGGACTGAGAGCTGGCTGGGTTGATGTGTTGTGTTCTTGGGCAAAACACTGTAACAGTGCTTCTCTCCACCCCGGGGTATAAATGGGTACCCACTAGTGGTCAGGGAAGCTTGATGAAAGGCAGGGGTTGGTTGGCCTCACACCCAACTTCCCTTCCTTCCATCTTCTAGCCAAGTCAAATTTAGAGAACAAACTGAGTGGCTTCTTGAGTTGATGCATCATTAAATATTAAATCATATGACCACAAGAATATGGTAGAAATGACAATTTGAATGAGAAAAATCCAAACAATTTTGATACCCAGCAGTAAAGATAGTCAGAAACTATGATTTGCTAGAGCATGCTGCATTTGCAATCAAGCCAGAGCTCCAACCAATTCACATGGTATCTTAAACCATAACAAGCTTCTCTAGAATGAGGTGACTTATTCAGAACAAAGTGCTGACTGCCATGTATAATTTGGACTTTGAAAATAGGAGTCAATTCTTTCTGTTATTAACTGGCTGAACAGTTTTTCAAAACAAATGATGTCTGCTGCTTTTCTTTGTAGGTAAACGAGAAGTTGCTGAGTTTGGACCAATGGCAGGAATTGCTGGAGCTGCTCTTGCAATAGCAGTTTGGTGTCACCAGCAACTTAAGTATGGATTTCATTGAAAAAAATTGATGAATCAGTCTCTTGGCTCAGCTTTATCAAAAAAATGTAAACAAGTTCTGTTGATTATTTTCAAAATGATGTTTGTTATTAGGCCGAATGAGATGTTCCCAAGTGTTACTCCATACATGTCTGAAGATGACATGCTGAACCACTTGAAAAGCCAATTACAGCTGATTGCAAATGAAAGAGGTATGTCCACAATGTAATTATTTTCAAATGAATTATTAATATTTATGGGATTAACCTCCTGGACTGTCTAAATAAAAGCTGACTGCTGTTGGTGAGATGTTATGGGATGAAAAAGGAGGAGATTTCAAAAGAATCTGAAGCTGAGGGGAAAAAAGTTTCTTGAAAAACAACTAAAACCCTGGACCAGGAAGTAATGCAATGTTTATTGAGTATCATGTCACATTTGGTAGGAGTTCCTGAGATTTACCCAAAGGTGTTGATTATTGGAGGAAGTGGTCGTTGTGGCCAAGGAGCTGTTTACATTTTGGAGAAGACTGGAATTCCAAGGTAAGTTTTTTTTTCAATGAAACTGATAATGTGTTTCCCCAAGACTTTTCTTTTAACCTTTTAACTCCTAAGATCTGATTGTCAATTCTCCCCTCTAGCTGCTACACATTTCCTTTTAAATTATTACAAGTATTTGGGGTTAGATCAAGAAAACAATTTCTACCTGATATGTTGGAGTATTCTCATTACCTGTTTGCTGGATAATGTATGAATAATATAGGGAGAAGTTTCAGGTTAATCACCTCTGGGACTTAAAGGGTTACCTTTTACTTTTTTCATAACCTTGAACTGTAGCTTTTGAAACTTCTTTCCCCTCCCTCTACCCATAATATTTTGAGTACCCCCTTGTGAGGTAGTTCAGGGGTGTTTTCTGAGACAGTGTATCAAGGAACAACAGTGCAAGTGTATTCAGATGTGATATGTGTGCTACAGTTGTGGTTTAAGTTATCAGTTGTTATTTTATGTTTGAAGCAAAAACATTGTCAAGTGGACAAGACAGGAGACACAAGGTGGTGGACCTTTCCCTGCCATCTTGAGTTATGACATCTTTGTCAACTGCATCTTCTTGTCAAAGGTAATGATTGAAACTTCATTTTGATTGAAAGTGTTTTAAATAATGTAGTGTCTCTTATAATAGTCTTGAATTTTTCTTTGACAGAAAATCCCTCCATTCTTGACAAAGGAAATGTTCCATAACAACACCAGGTATTCTGAGAAAAACATTGTTGTCAGTTAGTTGATTCTTCTCATTTCAAGTTCTGTTGCTTTGTTATTTTTCCAGTTTAACCTACCTGTATGTTTCTGGTTGTTTTAGAAACTTAACAGTTATTTCTGATGTGAGTTGTGATTGTACCAGTCCTGATAATCCACTACCAATCTATGACACTATTACTACCTTTGTGAAACCAACACATCGGCTTGATATGAGGTGGGGAAAATAATTTGAGTTGCATAAATTATTTTACCAATAGTGAGAGGCTGTGAGAGTTGATAGACCATTCCCAAGCTCTAAAACCCTTCATTTCATAATGAGGCTAAGTGCAGGACCTTTTATGTCCACAGGGTTGTATTTACATGAGAACAAGAAGCTATTTTCTTATCATAAAATGTGTACTTAAACCCTCATTTTAAAACAAGGGACCAGTTCATCTCAAAAATTGCCCTGAAATAACTATTCCTTTGCCTATTACAATGTATTCACTTTGGCTCTCAATGATATCTTAAGTTGTTCAAAATCTGTAAACTTTAATTCACTTTCCAATAATTTATGTCTTTACAGCCCAAGTACCAAACTATTGGATGTCATTGCAATTGATCATCTTCCATCCCTTTTACCAAAGGATAGCAGTGATAAATATGCTGCTAAACTTCTTCCTTTCCTTTTGAAACTTCCTGAGGTATGTCAGTGGATAAATAAGGGAAATTGTTTGCAAAGTGATGGTTACAGATTGAAGAAGTATCCTTCGGAAACCATGATTTTTATCTCTGCCATTTGTAATTGTGGTACTGACTAAAATTTTAGATTGATTTCAAACAAGTAATCCAACTGCAGATGTACCAAAGATTTGATGAGATGCAGCTATTTTCTGAGATAGCTGTATTTTTCAAAATAGCTTTTTTAACAATTAAATTTGTTACTAAGCAACCAGGTAGCTGTATGTGACCTGAAAGACTTCAACTCAGAACCAGAGTGAGAACAAAATTAAGACACAGAGGCTGAGAACTAGTTTAGCAGCATTTGTTACATTGCATCTTGTAGTACCTCTTACTAACGGCCAAGTTACTGGGTTGTTCTCCAGAATGGAGGCTTTCTCATTTTGCATTTCCAATGTATTTGTGGGCAATTATTGTCAAAAGAGTTAGTTTCACTTCAGAATCTCTGCAAGAACTAAATGTTTATGTGTACTCCTTTAACAAGAAATGTGCCACAAATGTACCAAGATCATACTTGGAATTAAATACTTGGAATTAAATAGGAAAGCGACCCTGACAATATTGTCCTAGGTTGTTGTTACCCTGTTTTTCTTTTACCATAAACTGGGCAAGAAGCCTTTGGGTATTATTTTAGTGAAACCAAGGTTCTGATTTGCTGCTTGAACTCATTTTTAGGCATCCACTTATCCTCCATGGGTCAGAGTCAAGAATATCTACAGAGACAAATTGAAGGAAGCTCTGGCAGGGAATGAAATGAGAACCAGGAAGGAATCTGTAGCAAGAGACGAAGCAGAATTGTCCTCCTCATCGGAGTTTGAAAGTGAATGAAAGACACTTATCTAAGGGTGGTTCTACAATTTGATATCTAGTCCACCAAATTTTATAATTTGATATGTAGTCCACCATATTTCAGATGCCACTTAATATTCTGCAAGATGTTAATTTTTTTTTTATAGAAATGGACTGATTCAAATTCATACTGGAACTTGATAAGGAAAAACGTTGAGATGATTTTTTGATCCCATCCAGTTAAAAACACTTCATATCTCATTTTGACCTCTGGCACAATGATTACCAGCATATCAGTTCCATGGTGGGACTGTTTGAGTCGCTTGATTGAAGAATCAGTGTTTCATACTTTAGTATTCAGTTTTTCCTAAGGGAAGTTTCTATTATGGATTTGAGGTGGTGTAGTGAGCAGGAAATCGTTTTGCTGCAGTTAAGATTCACCCAAAAGCAGGACTTCTCACATTCTCTATCATATATACTGAACTTATAATGATGGGGCAAAATTGTATGGTTCACTTTGAAGGTCTCTTGTGACTCTATGTAATAAGCCTTAATAATCCTTGGGATTTCATGGTACCGGTGTTTAATATGCAGTTGTATACACTGACACTTGTGTTAAGTTTTTGTAAGCTTTCTGATTTCTAGTTGTAATTGTTTTTGGCTCTTAGTAAACTGACATAACAGAACATTGACCTTTAATCTCTTCGGCCGATCATTGACAGAAAAAAGCTTTGCAAACATACAACTTTGAAAATAATTTGCGACGCTTTTTTGGCTCTGCATCTCGCACAACAACGAGAAAGATTGAGACCTCGCGAAACAACGTGCCCCTTGAAGGACCTGCTACAGGGTTGGCCAATCCTAGCTTTATTGGGACGCAGTAATAGCAAAGTCGCGTATTGTTTTATTGGAAGTAAAATCATCACAAAACCATACAACATTGAATAGCTTTTTAGTTGAACAATAAGGAACCATTTAATCCTTAATTTGGCGGCCCGAAAAGCACCCTTGACCCTTTAACCCTAAGAGTGATTAACATCCAATTTCTCCGTACACTATCATCCCTGAAACACACTTAGGTCAGGAGAATAAATGAAATGATCATAAACTAGAGAAGCTCTTGATTGCGTTCGACGTTAGGAGAACGCTTCGTAATCTTTGGGGATCCTGTGGTCGATGGGATACCTGTGCATGCCAGGCGTGAAGATTCGAGATTTTTGGTTACTTGGACGGGCGATGTTCAAAATCTGCGCCATTTTGAATAATTATTAAGCGCACGCACGAATTTTAAGCCCAATAGCCGGCCAAAGAAATTGCGGGCTCACCTGGTCATAATTAATTTCCTTTATTATGATAACTATTTCTAAATAGAAAAACACATTTTATCATCCCCGTACAACACAGAAAATGTGGTGTTAGATCTATAAATGCATGTTGTGAAAGCTTTACAGTTTCTCTTTCATTTTATACTAAATTTTAGAAGTAGTTCACATTTTCAAAATTGTTTAATAACATAGATTTAAATAAAATTAATGCTTACATTTAAGCACGTTTTCATCTATTCTCTTACTACTTACTAACACTTAACTACCACACCAACTACAGTAAAACTTGTATATGTACACGCCCGATGGACTGCGACGACTGCCTCTTCAAAAACCATACGATATAACTAGCCTTTAAAACCTTTTCGTACACAGAGTAAATACAGGTTTCACAATACGCCATAACCCTTTATTTGACAACATACCATAGGCATATTCATCTATCCTAATAACCAAAAAACAATATTTCCCCTTTGAAATGCCGAACGCACTTCCCTAATCTCCGATTACTACTAGTTTTTAAAGAAATTCACGTTGTTAACACCTTAAGAAATGCATAGAGAACCATATGGGAAATATGCACAAGAATGTCAGGGTGTAAAAGTTAAAGAATCTTGTTTTCAGGAAAAACTTAATCTTTTTACCCAGAGCCCCTTTCTTGAGCTCGATTTCTGCCGTTTTTTGAGTCCCATCTTCGATTCTCCCGAGACGGACTTCGGGGGTGAGCGCAGGCTCATTCCCGAGTAGTGGTTGTGAATTGTGCCCACGTGCACCCCACTCCCTAAGACAACCCCTTTCTTCCCTTCGCTTTAGGAAATCATTATACATTCGAACACTGACTTCGAATCGTAACGGACTCTTCTTTGTACTAATTTAACAATAGTTTGTCTGCCTTGCATTTCAGCGGTAATTCGTTGGGCTTAATGCTTTCGTAAACTTTGCCCCGTTTACTAGAGAAAGAATTCAAACGAACTAGACTCAATCAAACTGTTTTATTCCACTCTCGTATTCGCTTAAGTACAACAGGTGTGTAAAAAGCTACTCGTCCAAAATTTGTAAGAAATCACACTCTTATACGATTTTCTCTACATTGTGATTGGTTGTTCCTAATTACTAATTTAAAAGGTAATTCAAGGTTGCGTTGATCATGTAAACCGATCAATGTCCCAAAATCACTTAAGGCGGTGCTTCTAGCTCTTGACATTATGTTCACACTCATTATCTGACATGTGTCACGCACGAATCGCAAAGTCTCCGACTCTGTTGTGTTACATGTTTGTTTTGGAGTGTGATTCAGGTTGATTTTTACTGTCCCCTTAACATGTGCCCAAACTCCTGAGACTAATATATTTTCCAACGATTTCATCGTAAACGCATCCTTTAACTGAAAAAGTAAACTTTTCTGAGCGTCTCCTATCTCGAAACAATACATCTCAAACAGAATTGTAAAGGCTTTTAGTGAATCAAAACTCCCACCTTATTTTACCAACCACCTATTTCCATTCGTAAAAGTAAACCCCCGCCCCACCGCCCCTCTACTCTGCGTCCTTATACTACCCCTCCCTTGATGTGATTTGTTTTAAATACGTCCTCTAAGGCTGACAGGGACAGTCGGCGATAACCGTTATTCTGCTGGATATTTCTTTTGTAACGAACAGTAAAGAGGAGTTGCAGTATTTTTAGGAATATAATGAGTAGTTGTAATGTTCATCACATTTGGCTTCGCGCGGAGACAAAACCAAATGAGCAGCGGAGAGCTTTGACCCCCGATAAATGCCGGGAGTTAATCGAAAAAGGTAAACTTGAAGGTTAGGTTAGTCCTTAGCGAATGATGTGACACTTGTCCATAGGAAATAAGCTAGTGTATTTCGAGGAGTTCTTAAAGGCTATTTATTTCTCCTTCCCTCGTTAGAAATGTATGGAAGTATAAGATTAATCCTATATTAATATTTTGGTCGATTTCTGAGTAAACAGTCGCTCTTTGCTTGCAAGAGCGCTATGATGAATAGAAACTAGACAAGTTTGTGTTGGGATAAACTTTGGCTTCTTTAGTTGGCCGATGGAATACCTGAACCAAGGACACTATCTTTGAGCCCATAATTTCAAGTTTGACCACTGCATGGCAGAGGTCGTCAGAACCTATTTCCAAAATTATCACCTCGGTTCTTGAACGCCCCACAGTGGAAAGGTCAAATTTTGACATTTTCCCTGCCGTGCAACCTCTTCTTGCATGAAAGGAGAACTACTCCGGAGCTGACAAATTAAGGTCCCGCCTAACCTGTTTTTCAGACTCTGTCATGGAAAGGCCCTCTAATCAGAAAATGCTATTTAATTGCAACTGCTCGGGTGTACTACCCATTTTTATTTCCTCACTAAGAGCCAGGATCTGATAGAGTGAGTTAATTATCCAACTTTTTTTTTCTAGGTTTTCAAGTTTCTGTAGAATATTCTGACCAGTCTGCCTTCAAAAATGAGGAATATCAGTGGTAATATGCATGCTATTTTTTTGGTCTACAGTTCTTCAGGGTGAAAAGCACTTTTGTTATCAGTCATGTGTAAGTTAATTTGAGGCTGATTTTCACATTTTTTTTTTCATAGCATACCAGGAATCAATATGGTCCGAGCTGGATCATGGGTCAATGCTCCGAGTGATGCTATAATTTTGGGGCTCAAGGAGCTTCCCCATTCACATGATCCAGTATCTCATAGACACATTTACTTTGCTCATGCTTTTAAGGTAATGTTACCAAGCATTTAGCTTTAACAAAGGGGAGCAACATCCAGATGTGGTAGAACAAACACTTTGCATAATGATTACATAACTCTTAAAGGGGATTAAGGGCCTAATTCTTCGTAGGGCAGCTATCTTTACATATATCTTTTTAAAAATAGTTTTGAAGTGAGGCTTAAAAGAAAGGTCTAGATTCAGTGTAACACCTAAGATTTTAAAAGTTGGCTGAACATCAGTAGTTTCATATGTGATTAGGGGATTGTGGGCGTGATGGGGTTTGCTCAATGACTTTCAAATAGTTGGTAATAAACCACCTAGTCAAGTCTGTTATACTTTGAGTCACAGTTGATGGAACTTCAGGTGGATGTTCTTGGGAAGTGGGTTGAGTCATGTCATCAGGATATAGCCATAAGGAGGATGTTACTGTTGAGAAGTTGATTTTATTCAAATTTTCAATAAGGGCTACGAGTCCTCAGCTTCTATGTTTGCTATGAATGATCAACTAAAAAGGTTCGAACTAAAAATGAAGGAATGGTAAAGGGCTAGCTTTGTTGGCTCAGTTGAGTTGCGGTCAGCTGAGCATGTTGCTAGCAGAAAACTATCATACATAAATTTCCTTCTGAGTTGAAAACAAACCTTTTAACCAGCAAAAGGCCTTAAAGGCTCTCTTGTAGAACACCACAGTGGGTTGGCAGTCTGTCTGAAACATTCCATTGCACTTGAAATGAAGACTTAGGTAGTTTGTGCAATCTATTTTGTCCTGGGTGCAAACTAATTTACACAGAACACATTTCAATGATCATTTACAGTTGCAGTTAAGAATGACCAAAAAAGCTTAATTTTTTTGTTTGATGCAAGAAATTGACTTCATTTAATTCTCTTTATAATTAATATTGAGAAAGTTTTATATTGAAATTGAATATTGGTCCTGAAACCTTTTTATGCCTGCTTCATTTACCAAACAGGATAGAGATACTTTGTTGAGTGTAATGATGAGATATCTGTAAGAGAGGGCAATAGCTCATGACACATAATTATCAGTTTTAAAAATCCCTTGTATTTGTTTCACAGAATCAGACAGGTTGGGCAACATTACTCCATCGTTTTATTAAGGGAGGAGGCAGCATTTTAGACATTGAATTCATGACAGATGAAAATGGTGAGTTGAACATCATCAAGCCCTTTTGAGGACCCTTTCATTTTGTGTACAATCTCTTGAGCTTTGGTACTGTACTTACACCAATATTATTTGTCCACCAGCCCCTTTTGTATTTTCCTACCTATATTACTATTTATTACTAATATTACTATTTATTCAATGCTCAAATGTTCCTATCTTCCTGTACCAATTCTAGCATTCGAAACATTTAAAATCTTTCAGGTTCTTGTTCAAGAAAGGTTATGGTCACTTTAGAAAAGACATAGAATTCTTGAAAATCAATAATTTATTGCAAGAAGGGGGATGGAGGAGGGAGAAAATTTAAGTGAATTCAGAAAGGTTCTTGTGATTGGAATATCAATTGATACCTTTTGCTCCATTTTTCTAGGAAGACTCCATGGGATTTTCTTGCTTTTTTCCCCTTAATTGCGTATAAATTTTGTGAAGTCAAGATGATTTAAAGTTTGAATTATTGTTTTTTAAGGTAGAAGAGTTGTGGCAGAATTTAGTGGAATGGCAAGACTTGGTGGAATGGGACTAGGAATACTTGCTTGGTGCCATCAACAGTTGAGGTATGAGGTACAAAAGGTAATCTAGTCTTAAAAGATAACTTTTTAAAGGTCATGTTTAAGTTTACTTTCATTATCAACAGTCCTGATAAGCCAATGGGTGAGGTGAAACCATATGGTAATGAAGCTGCTTTCATTGATCACATTACACTACAAATCAAACAAGTTGCTGAATTAAAAGGTATTTATAGTGTGAATAAACAGTCATCCCTCTTCACACCTCAATTCTGATTCTCTTCAGAAAATGAGCTAAAAAATTGGTGGTGCCATCCACTTATGTGAAAGAATTCAATGGTGTTAACCATCAGTTAAATGAGGATCCAGGTTGTTTTACTTTTTAGGTCATTGGTTGGAACAAAGTTGGTGACAAGTTGGAGCAACTGGTATCTGTTACAGACTGCTTTATGTGTTCTGCTTCCTAAACACACCACTGTAGTTCATTCTACTGGAATTACAGATCATGTTTTATTTCTCTTAGGAGGAGTAAAAATGTTGAACTTATTACATTGGTACTTCAGATAACATATACTCCGGTGACCTCTTGCTCATCAAATGTACCACCCAATTTGGAAGGTTATCAAATATATTGTTGCCAGATTAAGTGTGTGAAGAGGGATATGTCTGTTTGTGTTGTTGTAAGTCTACATTCCAAGCAAAATTAAGCACACATGCTTCACCTTGGATAAAAAGAATATTGTTGTATGATTGCTTGCCATTCTTCATAATAGGTGTTCAAAAAGTTTTCCCTCGAATTATGGTGATTGGTGCCTTGGGTCGCTGTGGAAGAGGAGCATTAGAGATTGCCTATAAACTGGGTATTCCGAAGTGAGATCTTGATTTAATATTACATTACAGAATATTGTCAATAAGCTCCAAGCAGTTGGATAATGAACAACTTATTAGATGTTTTGTTGTATAGTATTGGTGGGCATGTTTGTAGTTTGACTGGCCCTGTAGGCACAACTCATAAAAATTCTTAGCAATACTGCACACCAAAATGTCCATTATTATATATATATATATATATATATATATATATATATATATATATATATATATATACATATACATACTATAGGGTTATTACCACATTACACCAATAGTCAAATGAATAACCCTAGACCTAAATGCATAATTGAATGAATGAGTATTAGATTCATAGAAATTGATGCAACCATGATTAATTCTTTATGAAATTGTTGGATTGCTAGCCAAGGTTATTTTCAAGGGATGATTTTGAGTTAACTGTTAAAGTTAGTGATTTAATGAAAGATAAATGAACATTGAGTTTGATCTGCAAAAACATTAAGAATCTGATTATTCCCACTATGGATCTCACTGGCAGGTCTTCTATAGCAGAATGGGACTTGGAAGAAACAAAGGCTGGAGGGCCATTTGATGAGATACTAGACAATGATATACTTGTTAACTGTATTCTTCTCACTGAGGTATGGCTGATTAAATGCAATTCAAAGAAACATTCGCACAAAAACAGATGTGTTTCTGAAGTAAATGATATTTTGACTTATTGTTAAGGTTTATAAAGAGATAAGTTTGTTCTTCAAAGGTTAGCTGAATTGTAAGTCATTTCTGGGAGAAAAGTCTGAAAATTTTTATATGGGAAGTGAACTTTTGCCTCTGAGATACTCATTGGGTGTGATTATCTACTGAGCTAGGAAGCCACACATGTAAAATAGGCCATTTTACAGTTGTGTACTTAGTTGCCAAGCCTTTGATTTGGAGTGAGGCTGAAGGTGACTCTGTTGTGATAGAGACCAGTATCTAGTTAGCATGATAACAAAGTAATTTGCATTTGAAAAGCAACTAGGTTTGTATCATAACAAGGTCAACTTTAGCTTCACTCCTGCTCAAAGGCTTGGCAACCAAGCACACAACTGTGCTCCCAACATGTATATTTTAATAGCTCAAGTGGCAGTGGCATCCAGTTAGTGTCATGCAATAAGGCAAAGGTTTCCTTTCTTTCATTGTAGTTTGTGAGTCAATATCAATTTGTCACTTTTTAGAACATGTTATGTTACTTTGATCAAGCACATATATGTTTGATAAGACAGTCCTGATGAGATGCTGATCATAACAATGTGCTTTAAAAGCAAGGCTTATTTCTTGTAAAATTTTCTTTTTTTTTTCTAAAACTACATCACACTGTATTTTTCTGGCACATCTTGTCAAGTTTTAGAAAAGACTCATTTTAACATAAATGTCGTCACCAGTATTTTTGAAAATGTTAGCTCTCAGTCCAAGCTTCAACAAGTGGTCAGATTACTCCAGGTTATATAGAGAAATTTTTCCAGATATTGATTGTTGGATATGAGTATACCTGCTGAAATATTTCTTCGCAAGTGTTTTATAGAGAGGATCAGAATTATGACAATTATAGTACTTGTGAAATTGGGAATAAGAAATTTTGTAAATGAAACTTTGCAATTTCTTCTCTAGGAAATTCCACCATTTCTCACAAAGGAAATGTTAGAGAGAGCAAATAGGTAGTATATGCTTTTGCCTCTTTGTATGAGATGTAGGCCTTAATCTGGGATGGTTTATCCTATAACTGAACTATTCTTTTATTTTTTTGTTAGCCCATGTACAGGTATTTTTTTTCCATTTTCATGATAAACCCTTGACACTCAAATGTTGGTGTGCATATTTTCCATACTGTTCCTTAATATACTTTTCCTAAGGTGCAGACAAAGAGAATTTATTTAACAATCAAAATCTGCTTAAGTTAGTGATCATTTCCTTATGATAATGTGAGGAGAAATTGGACAGTCAGGCAGCTTGGTACCCATTTATAATCCTGGGTGGAGAGAGGAATGGTGGGATTTAAGTACATGTTTTCATCAGAACACAACTGTCACAGCCAGATCAAATCTTGACCTGTAATCCTACATACTAGCCATTGAGCCACTATGTCTCGTTAATGCAAATCACAGTATTATTTTATTTCCAGGAACCTGAGTGTGGTGGTTGATGTTAGTTGTGATCCCAATAATCCATACAATCCTTTGCCTTTCTACAATTCGATAACGTCATTTGATAAGCCCTGTGGCAGAATAAGGTTAAGGTAGGTTGTCAAAACCTTATTCTTTTTTTGTATAACATTAACACATGCCAAAAAAAAAAAAAGGCAGTAAGATTTCAGGCCTTTTTTTCCAATTGAAACAGTGGTTTTTCAGAATGTTATTTTGTCTTATTGTGAGAAACATAGATCTAGATTGCTTTTTCAGGTACACTTTGTACTTGGCTGTAAATAATTAGCTCTTGCTGGAAAATTGAAACATTTCTTAAGTAATGTAAAATTAGACTATCTGCAGTAATTTTAACATTGGGTTATGATGATCTTTTCAAATACTTAGCCATCTGTGTTGTCTCTATACCATACACTGATTGGCTCAGTTGAAAGTTTTTGGAATCATGTTCCTTTCTGTTAATGAGATTGGTGTGTAAGTGACCTCAGTAACTGTTATTGCATTGTTAAAGCTTTACAATTTTGCAGTTCCTTCTCTGTTAATTTTTTTACATTATTTTCTTTTCAGATGTGCTAAGCCACTTGATGTGATAGCTATAGATCACTTGCCTTCTGTTTTACCTTGTGAAAGTAGTCAGAGATTTGCCAATAAGATGACTCCTTATTTGCTGAGATTAGGTGATGTAAGTATATACAATAACTCAGTGTTGATCTTGTCAGTGATTTAAGGTTGTAACAAATCGATACTAGGTAGAATGCTTGTATTCCCTCCTGATACCACCCCTCTAGAATTCCAGTTTTGCTTCAGAAACGCCCCCACTCCCCCCTGCCTTCCTCCTCTGGAATTTTCAATAACTTCTCTTAAGGGTGATGTTGCTATTTCCTTTCACTAAACAATAATTACCAGTAGATTTATTTAAAGCACAAATCTTTAATTGAATTGTAGGATCCTGTATGGAACAGAACCAAGAAAATGTTTGACCAAAAAGCTGCAGAAGCAAAAGCACTTATCGATTCTGGTGTGCTCCATTAAAATTTAAGGAATCTTGACAAGATAGAAATGGATTGATCTGGAAGCAAAATGGGAGTAAGGAGTGGTTAGTTAGATCATTTTAAATATTCAGAGGTTTTAAATTTCCAATTCTTATTCATAAATTATACATTGCCTAATATGCCTTACAAATGTGGGGATTGTGAGAATGATTCTTAAGGCAGAATTATTATCAAGTAACCTTTCTGACTTTCGTTTCTCTAAACTTCTACTAAAATATTAGAAATTATTTTACAATTTTAAAATCACCTGTCTTTTAATGTTGGTTTTAGCAGCCGAGGTGTACTAATGTTAAGAGGTGACATGATTAACTTCCTGGTGCATGCAATTATTTAGACTGACAATGGTCTTGTAATCTTTTCGTGTCATAAAGCATCTTTATTCATAACTAATGGAGTGAAATTTAAGAACTGCAGAGTAGTTTGTTTCCCATTATATCAAATTAATTTCATCAGTTATGTGGCTGGACCATGCAGCTGGGTTCAGGTGAATTTTTATCATTTGATTTGAGCATAAGCTCTTAGCTGCTGATATCAACAGCCTATTTGTACATTATTAATATCTTATCTGAAAAAAATTGTATTTATCTCTGATGGAGGACCTCTTTTCTAGTAAGGGAATATTTTTATACTCATGCAGTTTATATTGAATTATTAAGCTACTGCAGAAGCTTATATTGAGTCAGTCTTCTATTTGAATTTTACAGTATCCTAAATCACAAAGAAGTACTCAAACACTGAAATTCTATCAAATTTGAAATTTCAGGTATACATAAGTGCATAAATGGAGATCTTAGTCAAATTATTATTTTATTTTTTTTAACTTAAATTGAAAAATAATGAAGGCTCAGAAAAAGGGGGTTTGAGGTTTTGTTCATCTACAAATGACAAACAATAATAACAAAAACAACAAAAAAAAGTGGTTTTGAATGAAATGTGATTCTGTATTTTTTTTTCACTTGTGCTGACACCTCTTTTATTTCAAGTTAATTTCTCAGTTTTTACATATTCACGCATTCAATCTGAGTTCTGTTTATGTCTAAAGGTTAAAACTTTAAAAATGTCCCAACTACCCTAATTACTTCCAGCATAGGACAAGTGATGGATTGCAAATACGTGAAAACAGGAATCTAAACATGTGACCCTAATAAGCCAAAGAGGGCTTGTAACAAAAATGTATGTTTGATGTTTTCCTTATACCTTACTGGCGGTTGTTTGAAACCACTTTATTTCACAGAACATTTCACTCTTTTGTCTCAGAGGTGAATGTATTTTTATGTGTGTTGAGTAACATATGCACAAGCTGACATTGGCAATTGTTACAGAGGAATTTTGTCTCCGAAAAAAAAAATAGATAAAAAATAGAAAGCTGATATCTAATGGTTTTGTCACAAGGCTATTTTGTTTAGGGTATTGAGAAAATCAATTAAATCTAACAACAGTTGTCTTGAATTCCAAGGTTTGTTATTTAGCTTTTCAAACCATTCTCTTAGTAAATTGTCAGCCTCATCATTTCCAGTTAAAAGGTGACTTTCAAAAGCAGGTGATGAGCTTAATTCATACCTAGGCTTGTGAGAATCAGGGGTGAAAAAGAACTTGTCTCCCTGTTCAGAATGATAATATGGACTTAAATTTGTAACATTTTCTATGTAAAGAGTTCCTGGAAAGCAGTGCATAGAAATGGCAGCATCATAACTTGATTCATCATCAGAAATCATGCATTCCTGTAGAATAAAAAATATTTCTAAAACTCTAACTGGAACCATGCTGTCTGTCCAATGCAAGTCTTCTTTATAGTTCTTGAACATAAAAAGGAGTATGTTTTTTAGGTGGTAAGATCTAACAAGCTGGTGACAGCATCTTTTGCAGCCAAAGATTTTACTCAGCTTTGGAAGGAAAGCTGACAGGATGCATTTTGCAATGCAGTAGGCTTTAATACGCCCATCTTTTGGTGGGCAGGACTGAAAATAAGAGAGCTCCAGGTATGGAGCAGTGATTCTTGTAGAAATGGCTTGAAAAGCATTATCTTCCTTACCAAGAATTGCATACAATTTTACTGGAGATTGCTCCACGATGCTAGTAATGTATCTAAACAACAACGCTTGAACAGTGAAGTAGTCGGTGAAATATGGACTTGCATCATCTGGAATGGACAGAGCTCCTTTAAAATCATCAGCCCTTATTGGCACACACAGACACAAGTCAATGTTTACGTCTAAGCTGAACTTGCCGCAAGTCAAATGCATTGTTGTAGCGATACCAGACCAACATAGTGTTTCACTACCAGTAGTGACGCGTTTCCAACCCGGTGGTAAGCGTGAATCTAATATCTTTATGAACATTTCCATAAACTTAGAACGCAGGGAGAAATCGAGGACATCAATCGTCCCTGAACGAACCAGGCATTCAGACGGAAGCAAACCCACAACTGCTGGGTCCTTCACGAACATCCTAACTGAATCCTTTCTGACAACTGTTTGAAATAATTCTGTGTTGGCAAAATACTCCATGACAATGAGGAAGTCAAACTCATTAGGGGCCTCTATTTTCGTTTTCTCAGCTACACTTCCGGCTTGAACAAGTTGACATTTTTCGAAGCATTTGTAAGACTTTCCAAGCTCGTCTAAGCTGTCTTTCAACGTAGTTGTTATTTCATGTAGTATTTGAGAACTTCTTCGTTCATTATGAATGTCCAGTTGGTGAGGAAAACTTTGGAGAAATGAATTCAGCACCGGACCAACTGAAACTGGAATTTTGTGCACTGAAGAAGCTTTTGTGTCGGTATGTTCTTTGGTGTTATCTGCGAATCCCCATTTTTCGTATGGCCAATCAGGGATTCTCACGTTTAAAGGATAGCCCTCGCTTTGTAACTCAGACTCCTCTTTCGACGCCATTTCACAAACAGACCAAGGAGAGAGAAAAGCAACTTGAGGAGAGCACGTCCTTTGTATTTCGTCTTGTCACGCAATAGCCTTGATCTCTAAGTGAGCGTTGCATGACCGGAGGGGGAAAAAAAAATTGACATACCGAAGTCACGAACGTGATTCTTTACCTCTAGCCAAAAGGTATGCGAAACCAACTTGAAAATATTTCAACGCCTTTATTTGAATAAAAAGTAGTATTCAGGCAAGGAGAGGATGATCACAATGATCTTTCAGGAGCTTGGCCCCCTTGGGAACTAACAAGTTTTGAATCAGAAGCTACCTGTGGAAGGAGTGATCTTTGAGCTGCAGTCTTTTTAAGGCGTAAGCACTAAAACATGGAACGACCTAAAACCACCTACAACCAAAAATTTCAACAACCACCTAAAACCACCTCAAAAACATCTACGGCGAGACAACAACATGCCTCGTACATAAAATACGAGAATCGAACGACACTTTCACTTCCCCCTGAAATCTTACTCTCCCTGGTCCCATGTATAATCAACCATCTCACGAAATGAAATGCGATAGCATGCTAATTATTTTATATTCACTCAGGAGCAAAAGACTTTTACAAAATTAACTATCAATTTACAAAAAATAATAAAGTAAAATAACAAATTGGTAGTTAAGACTGACTTGACTTGGCTTTTTCTACCCTGGGTGCTAGCAGACGTTTTGGCTCACGTCTAGAAAAAGTATGAGTAACAATGGTCATTAAAAATATTTTAAGCGAACTGTGCGTACCTTCGGATCTTCCTCTGGCACGAACGCCATCGTGCTGGCATTCATACAGCATGCAGTTGTACGAGTGGTGCCACTTACGCAATAGTGACTCGCGTTTGCTCCAATTACATTTCCAGTGCTGAGATTATGCATGGAGAAAAACACTACCTTGGACCATTACGTCAAATGAAACGAGAGCCAAAACGTTTGCTTGTAAAGTTCTTTAAGTCTTTTACTACTGAGGTAATAAAAACTATAATTGGCATGCTCTCGCATTTCATTTCGTGAGATGGTTGATTATACATGGGACCAGGGAGAGTAAAAATTCAGGGAAAGGTGGAGATTTTGTTCGATTCTCGTATTTCATGTACGTGACATGTTGTCGTTTCGCCTTATTTTTGACATTTATGCCTTGTTTTAGATGGTTTTTCAGATAGTTTGCGAGTGGCTGTAGATATTTTTGATGTGGTTGTAGGTGGTTGTTGAAATTTTTGATGTAGTTGTAGGTGGTTGTTGGTGGTTTCAGGTGGCTTCAGGTGGTTTTAGGTCGTTCCATGTTTTAGTACTTACCCTTTTTAAGGGGCCTAAGGAAAAATTTCTCAAGAAAATTGGGCGAAGTATAACAGCGGGGTTTTCAATAATGCAACCCTGAGTCCACAACAAGTGTTTTAAAGGGGCACTACTTCGTTTTCTTGATCCAGTCTTTACTTGTGTTAGTATGTGTTGACACGGGAGTGGAACTGTCAACCTTGAACGTGCAAGTAGTCATGGCTGTACATCTGTGGCTTCGAGCGGAGAAGAAACCGAACGAGAGGCGAACTCACCTTACTCCAGAGAAATGCAAAGAGCTGGTGAAGGCAGGTGAGTCTTACCAGTTTTCTTCCACTTTTTTTCGATGGATAATTTTGGCGTTTGGTACATAATGTTTGAAACTAGAGGTTAACCTCGCAATTTGTAATTATGTAGAATTACACAGCTCATCTGCAGGTATCCAGTCGTTTCATACCCATGGATCTTTCGTACCCAGATGATTCGTACCCAGGCTCAGACGTTTCGTACCCACTTTCAATCAGTTCGTACCCAACCCTCTGGTTGATTCGTAACCAACAAATTATGACACAAAATGTTTAAAACAAACATAAACATTTATTTCATTTTTCCTAGTAATCGCCGGGGGTGGGGATGGGGATGGGGTGGGGGAAGGGGTCATGGTGATGGAGCAAGTCTGGGTATAAGACAACACCTGAGTGAAATATTGTAAATATTATACTGTGACGCAACACTACTTTACTTTTTTGGTCAAGGTTTTAAATTGACTGTGGAACTCTCAGAGCAGTGCATATTCAAGGATGAGGAATATGCAAGGTAAATAAATGTGAACATGACCATCATTTAATTTCGTTTTTGTAGAAAAAATAACATGGCAAGAGAATGTTTTAAAAAACATTGTGTTTTTTACTCTAATTGTTTAATTGCTGTTAATTTTACAAACTTCTTGTATACAGTATTTCTGGTGTGGAGATGGCCTCTACTGGTTCTTGGCCAAGTGCTCCTAAAGAGGCCTTTATTGTCGGGTTGAAAGAACTCCCTGAGAGTGAGGACCCTGTCATTCATAGGCACATCTTTTATGCCCATGCTTATAAGGTGGGACCTTGGCTATTCTATATGAGAATTAAACCCTTCATACTCCAACATCAGTATATGTGTTCTTGATACTGTTATCTATACATTTCCTACAAGCAAAACATGAAGAATTTGTTTAACAATCAAGAGCCTCTTAAGATGGAAACTGTTTACTGTTTGTTCTCATAACTTTAATATACTGTTAGGAGAAATGAGATGCTGGTCAAAATTTGTAGTAATTGTAACACCAATTCTATCACAGACCAATGAGCTCCCTCAAAGATCAGAATTTTGGGAAGTTTTCCCAGTGTTTAAAAGTGTTTGATTTTTCCCTTTATCTCTATATAGAACCAAACAGGGTGGGCAGAGCTACTTCACAGATTTGTGAAAGGAGGAGGTAGCATCTTTGACATTGAATTTATGACGGATGACAGTGGTAAGATAATAGAACATACATATTAACCCTTTACACCCTAACATCAATATACATATTCTCCATACTGTTCTCTACACATTTCCTAATGTGCTGACAAAGAGAATTTATTTAAAAATCAAGAGCTTTTTAGGTTGGTAATAATTTCCTTTATTCTCATAACCATAATGTACAATTCAGGGGTGATACTGCAGGGAGAGGTGTGATGCTAGCCACTCTTTAACCCTTTAACCCCCAGATAAAATTTTGTAATTCTCCTTACTGTCAACCATGCAGTTCTTTCAATGTTAGTTCAGATAATTTAGTATGGGATCAACTAACTATCCCCCAATTGATATTTTTCTTTATTCTCATCACTTATCTAGTTGACATTGTGTTGATATTGTAAGGAGAAATTCTCTCTTGGACACTTATGAGAGTTAAAGGGTTAAGGGTCTATGATAGTGTGAATTTGAACTGCAGCCTACAATGCTTTATTTCCCAAAGTAAAAACTTGTCGCTGTTTTGTTTAGGTAAATGTGTAGTTCCTGTCTTCTCAACCATGGCTGGTCTATGTGGAATGGCTGTTGGCATCATAGCATGGTGTCATCAGCAATTGAAGTAAGTTCTTAATATACTGGCAGAATGTAACAGTGAATCTGCAAACTTTTCTATTTAGTCAAGGATATGATATTTTTTGTGTGTGTGTCTTCCAGCATTCTCATAGAGAATTCAGCCATAGCAAAAGATGTATGAATATTTCTCAATACATTCAAAAAGTCTCTAAGGGGATGTTTTAGAGTTTACCAAGATTTCCCTTCAGCGGAGTAAATCTGTTTACAAAGCCTCTTTATTGCTAGAAAATTTGAAAGGATTTTGGAGTGCAGAGTATCAACTTGATGACCTCAGAAATCTTGAATTTTCACCTAACGTCAGCAGTTTAGTACATTGAAAAATTAAAACTTAGAAATGACACTTCATGGATCTTCTCTTCATCTTCATTTCACCCAAAGGTTATAAATATTCCCTCCCTTCTCAAGACATTATTTTTGTACACCACAAATTATTTTTGTATACACTGTTTGATGTTCACCAATGTTCACCAGTGTTTTTTACTAAATATCGTTTAATTTTCTGTATGTTTAACTTCTTATAAGTTGTATTGGATTGACGACCAACTCTCCGACGTCTCTACTCGATTTTATACGTCGGCGAGTTGGCATCGGCGAGTTGGTCCGTCGGCGAGTTGGTCCGTCAGCAAGTTGACCGTAATTCTTACTGAAGTATGGTATATTAATAACACTTTACTTGTACGCATCATTTATACTTCACAAATTCTTCAAATCTGTGAGTAAGTTATGAGGCACCATCATTTGTTGTTGTTATTGTTTTTAATTCCCAGTCCAGATGTTGCTCTTCCATCTGTTTCTGCATATGATGATGAAGACCAAATGTTGGCATTTGTGAAATCCAAATTAAAAGAAATTGCCAAAAAGAAAGGTATAGCTGATCTGGCATGGTGTCATTATCATATGAAATGATGAAGGGTTTATTTTGTTTCTAATGAATGAAAGTAATTGCACAGAACACCATCAAAAAATGGAGATTTTTGCTTTGGTTATTTCTTAAAATGAAAGGTAGATCAGCAGAAATAACTGGGGAATGGTTTCCATTTCTTCATAACACTCTTGAGAATAGGTTTGCAAATTTGATCGAAGGTTAAAAAAATTGTCATAAAGATGAAAGGTCTTTTCCACTCAGCTCTTTGTTATAGATGTAATGTCGTTTATGAAAGAAGAATAAGAAGCTTACCTAAGTTAGTCAGCCTTAATATCATTAGTGACTAATGCAACAGAATATTCAGGTGTTCCAGAAGTGTTTCCACAGATCTTTGTGATTGGTGCTCTGGGTCGTTGTGGTAAAGGTGCAGTCGAGATGGCTCACAAAATGGGTGTTCCAAAGTAAGTTTTGAATTAATTGTAAATTCAAAAAATTGCTCAAGCTGTCTAAGATAATATTGAAATTACTTAGAGCTTCAAAAAAGTTTGCTAGATATTCCTTTGGCTGCTTTAATTCTACACTCTTTGGCCATTTTAGGGCTTAATTTTGTATATCCAAATGCTTACAGTGGATGAATTTGTAGCTATAATGGGGTTCTCCCCTTTCCCCTATAAGAGGAAGGTGTGGTCCATTATAATGTCTCTAGCAACCCCCTCTAAAGGTCACTTTCGATTGTTATTTTAGCAAATTTGCTCTTTAAGGTCAAATATAACAGAGTGGAGCACTGCAGAGACTAAAGGAAAAGGACCCTTTGTAGAGATTTTGGAGTACAATATCTTTGTTAACTGCATTCTTCTCAATGAGGTACAAACGTGTTTACCCAGATACTGATGGGTCAAAATTGGATTATTAATAAAAAATGCTGTACTGTGAAAGCTGGCAGTTCTCAGGAATTGCCATTGCAAAAGTCTGGACCGTAGGAAAAGCTTACTAGAAACAGTTAGTGACTCCTGAAATCTGAAGGGTCAATCATTTTGAAAGGTGCTGTATTGAATTATTATGTGAAATGAAACATCTCTAGGAGTGAAACATCTCTAGAAGTGATTTCAAACCTTTTAGGATTTTTCACTTTTATAAGCATATGACATTGTTCTGTATATTTTTATAGTATTACAGAAGTTAATTTTCCATATTCTAATATTCATGCAAAGGAACTTTTTAATTAACAAATGCAAATTGTTATTAAAACATTTCTATTGATAAGAACTGTAACAATTGCTTGACATTTATTTTGTTAATCATGTATTTCGTTGGAATTTGCGTAGAAAATTCCTCCATTCTTGACAAAGGAGATGCTGGACACGGATGAAAGGTTTATTTCTTCATTCATTTTAATATTACAGCTTTATGAGGGTTCCATGAATTATCGTTTGGAATACAGCTTTAATTAAACAATAGTAGTGCCAGACCCCCGGCAAACCTCTCCCAGACTCGTTTTAAATCTTCCCACGGGCGGAGAGACGTGCATCCTAATAATGAGGGCATGCTCGTGGGCTACTATGCAAATAATTGTGGCGGAATATGGCGGTTCTAAGCGCCCGTTTCCTGATTTCGCTCCTTTAAAATGTCTTTCTTGTATGATTTATAAGTGAGAGCTTAACAATAAATGACGGTAAACAAACCTGAACAATGTCTAAAATGTGATCGGGCGCGAATTTTGAGAATTGGATTATTTTCTACGACATATTCATATATTTCTTTTGAAATGTTAGCATATTACTGAGGTTATGTTCATTTTCATCCTCTGTTTCACTTTGGAATCAGATCACTGAGTATAGTGGTGGATATCAGCTGTGACCCAAACAGTCCTAACAACCCACTACCCTTCTATGATGCCTGCACATCATTTAAACAGCCTTCCGTAAGAGTCAGTCTCCCGTAAGTACATAATGATTGCGCGAAAAAGAGTTGATGTAGAATTGTTTTCTACGGATTGCTTTTTTGGCGTTTTTCTTCGCTGCTTCTGTGATGGTAGTATGAGGACATAACACTCACTCGAGACATTCAATGTGAAAAGTTTATTTAGGATGAGTCAGTCTTCTAGTATACGGATTCTGATACAATCTTAACATGTGCACCCTGAAACAAGGGGTTCTACAAAAAGAACCTTTGTTACGTCAGATACGAAAACCACTAAAAAAATTATCTTTGGATGTGGTCAAGTTTTGTGTGAAAACGTATTCCTCGTCTTATGCAGCAGCACAATACCCTGAGGAAAGGGTAAACTAACCTGGTTGCACTACTAATCACAAAGAGAAATCAATGATTGTAATGATATTTTACAGGCAGTTGGAATATTAAAATTACAACAAATACGAAAAAAATGGTCAAACATAAGACTGACCAACTTACAATGACTTAATTTCCCGCGAAACGCTTAAATCATCCGAAACTTCCATGATGCCACGCGAACCTCCTCAACGTGCCATCAGAATATTAATTTCTGGCTAAGTCGTTCCCATGTCACTCAACCGTCAGAAATTACATTTGGAAATCGTTATTTCGTTGGACCTATGCGATTAGTGAAGAACCATGTCCATTATTCGCTGTTTAGCGAGCAGTGATGGCTGCATTCCCACAAGAGAGAGAAAGTAACCATATTTTAGAAAAAGCAGACCTTTATCTGTCTGTTTCTTTTCTTAAATAATTAAGAGTGACCCTTACAACCATACGATACTCTATCCTTTGGAATTCTTTTACGAAATGCGCTCTACCGTGAGGAGCCCATATCACTCAGTCGCGATTGGCTGGCTGAAGTGTTCCACATGATTGGCGGAGAAGGTGGCGTGAGTTTTCTCGACCAATCACAGAGCGAAGCATGGCAAAAATTAAGTAATCCCGGTTTGTATTGGTTTTACTTTACTCTGCTCTGTGAAAAAAAACTTGCGTCGCACTCTCAACCAATCACATTGAAAGCCAATATCAGTCGCTACCTGATCACTTGCGCTCCCAGCACTTCAAGCAGTGAGTCCAGGTTTTTGCTGATAGTTCTCATCGGTTCCTCGTGATAATTACCTTGTTTCTGATAAGGCCTTGTGCTAACTTCAACTTTGATTTTACAACACCTAATTGAAACGAGTTATGAGAATCGTTCTTACGCTTGGCCTATGGAGCAAACGTTGTTTCACAAGATCTTCCACTGACCTCTAGCAAGGTGTAACACTCTCCTGTAGACGTGTAAAGGTAATCTTGATCCACTTCAGCTCAGTAGTTATAATGGTGAACTTTAAATTGATCGTAAAACGTGAGGTTTTTATTTTATTTTATTTTCAGCAAATTATAATTTGCAGTTCCCTCGGAACCTATTTAGCAGAATATATACTAATTTGTTCGGTTGCGTATGTCTTCCCTAACTTAGCGTATATGCATTTGCATTACAGGAAGTCGTCTAAGCCATTAGATGTTGTAGCTATCGATCATTTCCCTTCCCTTCTACCGAGAGAGAGCAGCACAAGATTTGCAAATGATTCAACGCCGCATTTGCTGAAGTTAGATCAGGTAAAACGGCTCGATAAGCGTCTGTTCTTTGATCGGGACCGTCATTAAGTTATTCGAATGGTTTTCTTTTTGTTATTTATCTAATCTATTTTTATTTATCAGAGTCATTATTGATATCTTCATTTCTAAGTACTTCTTATAACTAGCAAACTAAAAAAAAACAATTTAATCTGTGTGCCTGGTTTTTTCCGGTCAAATTACTATTTTCATAGCGCAAATCGGATCGCACTCCTTTAGGTGAATTCTTGACTCTCGCCGTATATGTACAGGATGTTCTTCGAGGAGAGCTATGCTCCAGAGGCCGTGTAATTTAGATCTCCTTCGTTACAAAGTACTTACCGCGTTTGAGTTTGCAAAGAGTAAGCCAGCCTTTTCCAAATGTGCTAAAAATTCGATTTCGTGCGCCGCCATTTTGAAAACAACTTTATAAACAACTTTATTAAGTGGCTTTATTCTTGTGATGCAATGAAATAACTCAACTATCATTTGTTTCTCTGTTGATAGGTTGATACGTACTGTGTGTGGGTGAATGCCAAAAAAATATTTGACCTGAAAGCAGCTGAAGCAGAGGATTTACTCTCACGATCTGGAAATTAAAGACTGAACTTCATTCCCGTAGATTTGAATGGAAATTAGCTGTTGTTTGGTCTTAGTTTAGTGAGACGAATGAGCATCGTTTTTCTACTGATGAACGGAAGAGTGATTGAGAATGAAACATGACAATTTTGTCATTGACCTTGTTAAACAGAGGAAAGTGATTATTGTAGCTCGTGTTATGGCGGGGAGTTTTATGTGAGGCACTTTTTCCAAGGTATAACATCTTAAAGTTTCAAAATAAGATGCAGTGAGAACATCAGTTTGTAGAATTTTCGCTGTAGAATTTGTATTTTCTCCATAGCGAAAAAAGCTGTCAAGGGTTGTCTGCCAGAAACTGAGTTGACAAGCATTTGCTACAACTTTTGTCACCCGATCATTCACTGGCTGGTGCCGTTGCGGAGAGGCGATCGATGTAAAGACTGATAGACTAAAAGTGAACGATACGGCTATGTTCATCATTTTCCGAATAAATCATTTGGGGCCCCTGTACTTAGGCGGATGACTGAGTACAAAATATGGGAATATTGAGCCGTTTTCGTTTCAAAGTTGTTAAGCAACTCAGGAGATCTCGCTACGTGCGAAGCAACGACAACTTTGATATCGCAAATATGAGCCCTTCAAAACAAAATAGCAAAGTATCTTAAAAAAACACTTTAGTATCGTGTTTGTATTACACTTGTGGCTCTAGAGTGAGTTCACTTCAGTATATTACTGTCAATTCGTCATCCTTGAATGTTATTATTTACTAAGATATGAGCATTATTGACCGAGTGTTTAAGTTATATTAGCTAGATGTTTCCAAGTTTTCTTGAAAGTAACCGAGTTAATTTTTTGTAAATTACCGGTGTAATAGGCACTTAGTCTTCGTTTTGCTAAAATATTGGGTCAGTACTCTGTATAATGTAAGTTGATTCTCCGCCTCCGGAAGAGCCCTTTCTACAATGTATCGATTCTTCAGAGACCGATTGCGTACAACTTGAAATGACACTTTAAACTTACAGCAAAATAGCAGCTGATCGGAGGAAAAATGTGAGGCTAACGTGTGGGTGGTCCCAGGTCAGTGCTGTTGGTTCCTTGCCTTTTCCCGCGCGTTTCGCAGTTGGCTTGTTCCATTTTGCATTTCATTGGCTCCCTGTGATATATGTTTATCTTCTGATTGGCTGTTGCGATTACTTCAGCTCTACAAAAATTCGCTCTATACTACGCGGATGAGACGAAAGACCGAAGCAGCTGACTATGATTGCAAACTCTATAAACGTAGGGTTACCCGTTCAGAGACTATATCCTTACTGAATTCTTTCGTTTCTTTCTTGTTGTTACCAATTTTGCTGAAATATGCACTATGGGAAAGTTCTGGGCGCTCTCAGCGTCAAGTAAACTTTTTTCAAGATCTGCGGCTCGGATTTTCGAACTAGAAGAACTTTTAGAAAACATGGTGGACCACGAAGACAAACAGCGCGTGATTAAAGAGTTTTCAGTGTTGTTTGGTATTTACATGCTCCGGCCTATGAACGAAAGAGTGCTTGATCGCTGGAACCTGCGTAAGCTTGGCGCCAAATTATCCCATCATTCCTCGGGGCTGTACTGGTTGCTCGCTTGTCTTGCATCACACCAGTTGAGACTCTCAAATGTTTATGGATTTTTGGGAAATTACCTCCTTTGTGGTGGAAAATTTTCTGTTTCGTCAATGTGTGAAAGTCACGAATAGTATCCTTATTCGGTCTTTGCCTTACTCTATCAAATCATAATGGTTGTTCACCTGTGGTTGCGATCGGAACCGAAGGCAAATGAACGCCGGTCGGCGCTCTCACCTGAGAAATGTAAAGATCTTTTGTCAGCAGGTAAAATGACACGATCGTTCTGATTTCTTTTTACATTTTTGTTTCATCCCGTGGTGTGTGATTGCGAACTTAATCCTTGTGTTGTTAAATAAAAATTTACACTGATTTTTTGATGGCCGGCCAGAAAGTTGACATCTTGTGATGACTTCATAATTTAATTTGCAAGTTGAAGATGTGCATAGCAGATGTCTTCAGAAAGAAACCTTGAGACAGTTTTCTTGGATAAAAATTGGGAATGTGATGTAATTTTCTTCCATGTTAACATATTTAAAATGTACTCTTTCAATTTTTCAGGATTTAAGGTTACTGTTGAATGTTCCAGAGACAGGGTTTTTAAAGATGAAGAGTATGCAAGGTAGGAATGGACTGGTGTGAAGGAGTACACGTGATCTTGTCGTGAGATCATAAAGTGATCTACTCATTGAGTCTGTGGAAGGCTTCTTTCTAGACTGACTCATGTTAGTCTCCCTGGCTTTACAAACATGAGCTCTCACTACTATGGTTTTCTATAAAATAGTGTTAGCATAACACAGTTTGGGTTATAAACACACAATTAAAAAAAAGTGAAGTGGGTAAGTAAACAACCTCAGGTTATGATTGGACCAGTTATATCAATTAAATGCCATTAGCAAAGGATAACTTGACAATGCTACCTATTCTTGGTACCAACACAGTGATGATTCATTGTTTATAGGATCAGTGGAGTGGATATGGTTCCTGAAGGATCTTGGGTAGATGCCCCAAAAGAGGCTTTTATCTTGGGAATTAAAGAACTAGCAAAATCCTTGACTCCAATACCTCACACACATATCTACTTTGCTCATGCATACAATGTAAGTGAAGAGTAAAGTTATTAATCTTGATTAGACCAAAGTGTACAGTAAGCTAAATTTTGATATAACTTGCTCCCATCTAGGAAATATTATTTTTCAGCAATAGGAAAGAGATTAGTATGACAAGTATCACAACAAAATAATAATGAACCAACAGATAGTGCCTATTTATCAGACCTAACACTTCAGTTGATGGACAACTATGTTGAGAATGGCTGGCGCAGGATATTCAATGCATTGTAGCTATCCATGTAAAGTGACTGTTAAGGAAGTACTTACCAAGGTGGTCCTTAAGTGGATTTGACTCTCTCTTTGACAAGAAAAAGTGAAATTTATTATGATGGAAAATTTTCTGTTCATGCCATGCCAGTTGGTTTACACAAATGATCTAGCATTCTCCCAAATACTGCTGAGATTCAGGTGGTAGACCATGTTACTGGAAAATCCTATGTTGCCAAATTAATTTTGGGTGTCACTTGTCGTAGATGAAGTAATGGTTTTGAAATTGAATCCCACATGTTTTATCCAATGGTAAAGTTTTAAGGGAGTATATGAATACCTTGACTAGGGATCTTGGAGACAGTTAAGAAAAGGAGTAAGAGGGTCCATAATGCTGTATGTTAGCATGTCTGATGTTTTTTTGGTTTATTATTAGAACCAGAATGGTTGGGCTGAAGTTCTTAATCGCTTCATCAAGGGCGGTGGAAGGATACTTGATGTGGAGTACATGACAGATGAATGTGGTAAGTGAGTGAAGTTTGGTCTGGAAAGATCAAATTATTCTCCACATTTAATATAGTTGTTCTTGTTGTGTTCTCCATAGTCAAGAAACTCTTGTCAGATACACTTAAAACATGAGGGTTTCTTTCCTTCTCTATTTTAGTCATTAATACTGAAAGCAAGGTTTCACTGTGTTGTTTTTTACCAAGTAAAGATCAATAGTGTTTTGTTTTTTTTTTTCAGACAGACGAGTAGCAGCGGCTTTTCCTCCTTTGGCTGGTTTTGCAGGAATGGCTGTTGGTATTAGTGCTTGGTGTCATCAACAAACAAGGTACAAATAAAATTTTGACTCTAATATATACTATTCAAGACCCTTGTGCAATCCATTTATCCTTTGGTCAGTGTTTATCTCTTCGGTGGTCATGTCAAATGCGGCCTTTGCATCTACACATAACTTTTATTGGGCAAATTTCCTATTAAGAGAAAGGTGACTCAAGGAATTTGCAGGGTAAAAAATCTATTAGGGTAGATAGTACCTTTGCAAAAACTCCAGTGTAATGATCACCACTGAAATCTTAGCTCTAGCAATCTTCTGGTGTGGATCAGTAGCCAAGTGAACCACAACCCTCACCCTTGGGGTTTCCTTGACATAGGAATATCAGTAACAGGGTACATCAGAGAGTTAGTACCTGCTTATGTTTACATTGGACACAAAGCTTATTGTGGATGTCTTTCTTCCTCAAAACTTCTCGAGGCTCCCTCCAGTTTGTTATAAATCAAATTTTTCCATTACAAACACATGGACTGCACATCATTGAAGGACTTGAGTGCAGCATGGATTGAATTATTTTTCATACTAGGCTAATTTTGAACTGAGAAAATCAATTCCTCTCACACAAAGTGTTTGTATTGACAGTCATATATATGATATTTTAAGCCCTCAGATCACCATGCCAGCTATGAAGCCTTACAGCCATGAGTCACTCTTAATAGAAGATCTTAAGATGCAGCTCCAAGATGCTGCCAAGACCAAAGGTACTTCCATTACAATATGAGGTTTTCTTTAAAGATAAAAGTAAATTTTAAAGTCTTTTTTCCTAGGACTCCATGAATGCTACCCTCGTGTGATAATCATTGGTGCATTAGGGCGTTGTGGCAAAGGAGCCATAGATTTGGCACAGAAAGCAGGCATACCAAGGTATGAAACAACTTATGTTTGATCATTCTGAATAATAAATATTTCATGTAAGACATAAGCCTAAGGAGGAACTTGTAAAAATATTTATTTCATACATAGTTAGATTTACACTGTGAAGTACTATCATTTGTGTCTCTAATCCTTGGCTTTCTACTTTATAGTGTAAATCTCAATATGAATGAAATTTAAACATCATACTATGTAAAGTGCTTGACCTTTTTTTGTTCACTCATTGCAATGCATCAAAAAAACGCACTCTTTGGCTGTGGTCACTGGTTCTTTTTTTTTTTTTCTTTGTTTTTGGTTTTTTTTAATGCATCACAACTCATTAAGAAAATCTACTGGTGCGCACTTTCCATGTAATAATCTCTATTTATTCTGAGGATGATGTTTCCTTTACAGCTCATGTATTGCTAAATGGGATATGAAAGAGACCCAGCCAGGTGGACCTTTTGAGGAAATCCTACAGTATGACATATTTGTCAACTGTATCAACTTGATGAAGGTATGTAGTCAGCAATAAGAAAATTAATAGGTATAAGGAAATTTAAGCCTGCAGGTAAGTGTAAATGATATCACATGATCTTAAAGTAGGTTTGGTCTGAAATTATTACTACTAGTTTACACTACATTCAACACAGCAGAACAACTCATTCAAAGGGGTGTTGATATGATCAATGTGTTTATTAAGATTTTCTTTCTGTTTGGCAATTGATATAGTTTAAGTGTTTGCTGAAGTAAAAGGTTCATACATGTACTTCCTCAGGAAAAGAATGTTGGAAATTTTTTGTTGTATCTTTGGCTTTATGTTCTCTTAAGAGCGATGGCTTGGTAATATTGAAGGGAACAGGGAAGGGTTGGAGAAATTTTGCAAGCCTAAAAGATCTTCATGTATGCAGAGGAAAAAAACCACAACAATAACAAATATTAAAACAAAATAAACAAATAGAACAACCCTCAATTTAAAAATTGTGGTTATTTGGTGACACTACACAGTATGATTCATGCAATTATTGTCTGACATACGTTGTAGGGCTTTGTGTCGTTTGTCATTCTCTCCACATGTCTAGTAAATTGAACTCTGTCAGACAAACAGAAAAGTAAAGAGTGACCCCATCCTATAATGATGCAGTAATTTGAGATGTCATGTTGATTATAAATGAAAAGTGTTAAAGAATTTTCATGCGCCATTTCGTGACCTCAGTCCATTTTCCAAATAGTAGATGTGTAATGGGAGGACAGCTTTTTCAGGAATTTTTTTTCTCATTCATCAAATGTGAAGAAGATATAGCATGAAAGTTATTTCTCCATTTTAGTGTTGTTGTCATGAGTAAACAGCTCTAAACATTAAATATTTGATGCACACTCAAAGAACATTAAGTAAAATACATGCAATGAAAAGTTTATTGAGATCAATGTAGTGGACTACTTGACTGGATTGCTGCAGTTGTACTTGGGAAGTTGTGTTAGGTTGTGCAGCTCTGCAAATCAAGTACCATTGGGGCCAGCTCATGTAGAATGAATGTACACATGCTCGAGAGTGTTCTGTGCTTGACAGCGTTTACTTTGCAGAAAATTCCACCATTTATGACAAGGAAGGTGTTGGACACCGACCAGAGGTGAATTGTATCAGCACAGCGTTCTCAAGAGTGTTTTTACCTCACTAAGGCTTTTTCCATACAGGAATTGTGTTTTTTCCTTTCGCTTACAAATTGTTGAAAATTGAGGGGAACTAGCTGAGGTGGCAGGAGTATTTCTCAATCTTGTAATGTTGTGGGACAAGAATGATTTTCCATTTTATTTAGTAAAACCTCAAGTGAATTTATTCACCTTTTAAAATTCATTATGAACAGCAGTGTTTATCTGGCTCACATCAAAAGCTCTCTACACTCAAAGCAGTAAAGTAACTTTATTCAGTTGATTATATAAACTGTTCCAACAATGCCCCATCTCTTGATGAAAGATATGACAAGAAACACACAGACACTCATTCTCTAATAGGACCAACTTCTGAATTGTCTAACTGGTTGAAATAGCATAGAGGGGTGTTGACAAAACAGTATAAAGAAAGAGTTTGGAAACAAAACTAATGAAAAGAAACTGAAATGCAATTGAAAACTCAAGAAATTAATTTTAATTAATCTGGCTGCAGCCATGAAGCTCTATTGTTGACCTTTTGTTGTTTCCTTGTTTTAGGAAACTGTCTGTGGTGGTTGATGTGAGCTGTGATGTTACCAATCCAAACAATCCTTTACCATTCTGTGATTCTGTGACCTCACTACATCAGCCCTGTCGGACTCTGCAGTTAAGGTATTCAATATTGATTTGGCTGTCTCTCAGTCCAGGGAAAGTCAATTATAAATTTTGGGCAAGATTTTTTTTTTTACAAAGGGAAAGGTTTTGTGGAAAATTGGCCACAATTGCAGGTTGTGTCATCTTTAACTGCAATTACATAAACATGAAACCAGTGTCTTCCCAATACAAGATGTAAATGTTGTATGGGGTTTGGAGATAAAGGTTTCCTGATGGCCCTAGTACTCCATGCTTCAGGAATTGGGAAAACTCCACTTGTAACAGATTATTTTGTGTGGGTATACTGTTCTTAAGATCTCATCTAGAAAATGATGGATTGAACTGACCCCATTTTTATAAAAGCCTAGCGTACTTGGCTAAGTTTCCATGAATTGATTTTAAAAATAACAAAGCAAGCACACAAAGGTTGACATGCATGGGTCTTTGTCACTGACAGACTAAAACTAAATTAGCCTATTGTAACTGACTTATTATTTCCTTTTGCAGTAACTCCACAAAGCCTTTGGATATTGTGGCCATAGATAACCTTCCTTCATTGCTTCCAAGAGAAAGCAGTATTCAGTTTGCTGATAGTATTATGCCCTATCTACTCAAGCTTCCAGAGGTATTTCCACATTACTTCTTTTTCAGCCATCTACCAGTACTTGTTTGTTGTTATCATTCATACCATTCTGCCTTCAAATAAATTCAATTGGATGAAGTTGTTAAAAGTAAATTGTAATATTGTTTTCATTTTGTTTTTGACCATGATATATCATATTTGACAAAAAAAAACTTTTCAAGTTTAACTAAGTAGTCAAGCGTTAGTCTTGTCTTCTACCACACCAATTTCCACAGCCAAAATGCATTTAAATGAATTACAAGTTCTCAGAAAACATATTCAGTGGTTAAAATCCTATTCATACTAGGTTGCATGCAATTGATCCAAATGTGTCACATGACTTGATATGGTAGAACTGAAACTGGGGATTAATCCAGTAATTTTGCCCAATGTTTTGAATCTTAGATTATATATTAGTCTTTACTTTATGTTGCTTTGATACTTAGAATTGTCATTATAATTGACTGTTTTTCTAGGTGAACACTCATCCAGTGTGGGTTCGTGCTGGGAGAAAGTTTGATGAAAAAGCTGCAGAAGTCTTAAATCACTAAGTCAAATGTTAACTTGTCCTCAAATATTAGACTATTGGTAGTTTCTGACAAGTGACAAAGAAATCAACAACATGGTTGATACCAATGTTAAAGGTTACTTTTTTTTTTTTTTTTTTTTTTTTCAAAAATTCAGTTTTTATGATTGCCTCTATTCAATTTTCTCGAGATTAACCCTTCAACCCCCACGAGACCAGTATCAAATGTCTCAGTTCAATATCACCCCTGCATGAGACAGTAAGGTATCAGGAACAGAAGAAATGATTGCTAACTAAAGAAGCTCTTGATTGTTAAACAAATTCTCCTTAACAGCATTTTAGGAAATATGTAGAGAACAGTAGGGAGAATATGCATACTGATGTCAGGGTGTAGGGGGTTAAGCATATGTGAGTGGTAGAATGGGTGGAGGAATGGAAACAGTATTGACTTGAAGCTGAGCTTACACAATGCATGTGTTGATGAGATTAGCAACACAAGGAAAGCTAAATGTTGCATTCAAAAGTTATCTTGCTTCCCTTCACAAACTGGAAAAAATAACGTGGATATAAAATATACATATTTAATAGAAACAGACTCTCCTTTAGCAGACAGGTATTTTCAAATATTTCTTTCATGAAAAATGTGACCAATACTTGCATACAAAGAAAGTTTTAATATATTGTTGATCCTGAAACAAAATGAGTTGTACAGTGAATTTGTGATTCTAATTGATTCTTAATAAAATCTTAAATCCACATACAGACTTGACATAAAAATTTTTTTTTTTGAAAGAAATCACTGAAAGCATTTTGGAATAATCCAAAAATATCTTACTAAAACTTTGATTTTATTGTAGTGAGCATTACTTTATCATCACTAATGAAAAGAAACATAACATGGTTTTCAAATTTGTCTAATTAAATTCAATTGCACCTGTGTGCTTCATGTTCTCATTGTGCACATTGATTATGTATGAGCAATCCATAGAATAAAGCATAGAAGAGGGAACCTCTCAATAAACATTTAAACCTAACAAGCTGAAAATGCTACAAAACAATTACATGTGTGTCAGCTGTGGGTTCATCAAGGTATGCAGTATTTAGAAACTGAGGAGAGCACTGAAGAAGGTACAGTTTCAAATGTACTTCAGCAAAGCAACTCCTATCCTTTCTCTCAGATCTCCCACATTTGTGTTTTTTTGTCGAACAAAGAACAACTTTCCCCATTTTTTTATCCCTCCCACCAATGTCTTCTCTCCCCAGTCAGCATAATAGTATCCCTTCCACAACTTCCTTCACCCACCAGTTAGCAGACATAGTGCAAGTGTGATACTAGAGAGTGGGTGTCCAATAGCATTTTAAACACTCTCATTAATAAGATTCAGTATTAATGCACAAATTAAAACTGCCACTAGAACTCGTAAAGCTGATTTATTAATAAAGCAAGTTTTGTACGTGACAAAACAGAGGGTAGCCTTAAAACAACAGAATGGTTTTCAGACGTACAAACAGCAAATTGATCTGCTGTAATAGATAGAATTCACACTACTGGTTGTGAAGCAGTAAACTGCAGATTCATCTACTAGCTAGCATTGATGAACAGCTCTAAACAGTGCTTAACATTTTGCACCACCACAAAACGACTGCTGTCTAGCTCTGGGTCTAGTATCTGAATTTTAGTAAGAAACTTAAAATTATCAGTTTTGGGAACAGAAGGTATTCACCCTCTTGTGCGACTTGGCCATCCCTCGTTTCTGCTGCAAACTCTATGCCACACATTTCCTGTCTCCAAAATTAAGGAAACCATTTTTCCTTCAATGTTCCTTTTGGGCATCATGAGTGGTAACATACTCTGCTTGGCTATCTTAGAAGTGATCTTGCAGCCATCAGCAACATCTTAAGGGAGCGCTGCATGGGCCCTGATGCTTCATTGATGGTTGTTTGGAGCTGCTGGCATAGTCCCTCTAACACACCAGGCATATGTTCTCTTGTAATGGCATCTCGTGAATCCAGGGCCATAAGAGCTTCTTCGATGTATCTGTAAATTTAGAAGGAAGAGATTTAGAGATAAACATGAAATCAAAAACAGTGATAAATTTGAATGGAACAAAGTACACTTGAAATAGAAAAATTGAATTATCCTATTTTTCTGGTTACCAAAGTACCCTAGATTAACTATGAGTGACCTCATTCCTGTTTAAATCATGAGAACACCCTTTCAGCATCAATCATTGTCATGGTCAAAGAACACATCCACAAGTTACTTACCCAGTGCATGGCACTTATGGAGTACACAGACCATGTTCCATTATACCACCCCTGCATTTAGCCTAACTACACAGTATGTTGCTAGTACTTACTTGTGCTTAAGATCCGTATACATTGCAAGATCCACAGATAGTTGCTGTATTAAAGACAGCAAGACTGGTTGTGACAAAGGACAAGGGGACTGGGAAAAGACTTTCTCGGGATCCACATTTTCACAAACATACATCACAATGTTTAGATCTCCTGCTGTCAGGGCCTGAGAGGTAATGTTGCAACATGCATGTAAGTATTATGAAACACTGAAATTCAAAAGAGGTACCGTAAATGCTATTATAAGGCCCTCAAGTGGGTGGGGCTGAAATCTAAACTGGAAACAAATACAATTTTTCAATACTCTCATACAAGGACATTTGTGATAAAAAGTTGCCAGGCCATAGAGAAGAATAGTACAGTGAATTTACTGAATGAGTGGAAGAGATGGAAATTATTTGGCTCCAAGAGCCCAACATTTTTCCCTTGGACCTAAACTAACTCAGTAATAAGATTTTATCATGTTCCACTCCAGCTCCTTGACTTTCTTCCTTTTGTCGAGCATTCTGCATCTCCAGGGGGTGTATGAAGGGCACTGTGGCTTTCCAAGGCCCTGATCACACTGTCACTTACAGCCCTGATTCCCATACACTGGGACATAAGCGTCATGTGATAACTTGCTTTGAATCATTGTTATTCTTATAATCCTAACCCTAACCCCAAGTCTCTTTCTTAGCATTTTTGTCTACATACAAGTAGAGGAGGAAAAAATGGTGTTTTTTAAGAGGATGAGAGCCTATCAGTGCATTTATATACAGTAATAATGAAATAGCTCTATCTTGAATATCACAGAACCTCTTGGAAGGCCTCTCCAACTTTTCCAGATTCCAACAGCCTGGAAACTGCAGCCTACAGAGAAGAGTTAATATGTCTCTTTACACAGTTCTGTTCATACTCTCTTCATGAGCTATTAATGTCACACACAAAAACAAGAGTGATTTCTGAACATTCTCCACAACACCTCATCACAAATTACCATAGACTAAGAAAAGTGTATATGGTATTAAGGTTATCCTAATGCAAACAGATTTCATCTTCCCAACTTTTCCCATAACTCAATGAAAACAGAGGCATATAACCTTGGTTAAATGTCAGTCAAAATCAATCAATAAATAAATGTTAGCATTTGAATGAGTATCGGTAGAAAGAAACTTGCCTAGGATCATTTATTACAAAAGGTGTTATTTTACATTTTGGAGACCAACAGGAAAATGGGTAACTGTAATTGTTACCCTTGAGAATTCATATTTACAACCAACCTGAGTTTGTGCAGTACTAGGAGAAAGTTGTGAGGTATTTTGTGCTGAAGATGTAATCATTTCACTCAATTGTTGACGTAGGCCTTCCAATCCTAAGCCCATTTCCTTTTGCACTGAGTCCTGGACTGAAGCCAGAACTTCAGACAACAGACGTGAAAATATCTCTTCACGCAAACTATGAAGAATCCAAAACAAGGACAGTTATATTACATTCATTGGATATGCTGAGGTAAAAATTTATTCTTCTTTGTTTCAAAATCATTAACAAACCATACCCAAAAAACAAAGTAGAATAATATCTACAACATAAAAAAATCTTTATTTAAGGAAACTTAGGCTTTCTAAAGTATTAAAAAATATCAGCTTTATCTTACACAACATTTTGCTGACAATTTTTCTTTCCTGAGTGACACTTGTTTACCCAGATTTTGTTTTCACTTTTTTCTATATCAACTTACAATTCTTCCAGTTTGTACTCTAAATCAGATTACAACCCACACACATACCAAAGAGTTAAAAGACCACCTGTTTAAAATTTACATTTCATCACAACCATAGTCCCATAAACATCACCAGTCAACAAGCATGTTGAGATTTCCCAATTTTGCACCTAGCCTTTGACCAGCTGGATTTTAAAACATTGGGATTTATTGTGTCAGTTATGCTTCTTATTTGTTTTTATTGTATTGCTGTCCCTAATTTTGGTATATAACCTGTAAAACAAAACAGATATTTTGCTCCAGGTCTACCGTGTAGCAGGACAGAAAATGGTGGTGGTTCTCAGATACTAAAGTCAACCTCTTGAGACCAAAAAACGATCATCTGGCACTTTTCACACACATGTTCGTGTTCTTTGTCACTACTCTTTACTTACCCTTCTATTGATGATGACAGTTGTTTCTGTATCATAACTTCAAAGTCAGCCATAAGGTTTGATGAAAGCCTCTCTGTTGTTGCTTGGAATGATTGCTTTTGTGATTCCAACTGTCTCATTACAGGTTGGAAAAAATCTTTCTCCTCTCTTTTACGGTTATCCAGAGCTGTTGTAACTTGTTGCAGGTCTTCAAAATAGAGTTTATGTCAAAATAAAGTGAAACCAATGAATCAAAGAGTGCACAAATTTGGCATTTAGCAACAGTGTGGTCTAATAAATGTATTTAGTACAATTGTCCATGAGGATTTGAGCTCTAAACTATAAAGACAGCCCAAAAATTGTGGTCAAAGTAAACAATGCCATCCATTAAATTTCAGTTCCAGAAGCCTACTGTTTATCCACACTCTTTCAGACAGGCCTAAGCAAACTAGTGGGGACAGTCTAATGAATAAAAAATCTCAATCTTTCACAAATTTCCTAAGGACACTCAGCACAAAATGGTCGAAATGCCACATTTTTAAACCTTACAGCCAACGGTATCCCATTCTCCTTTGCAATTTGAGAACAATGCTAGAAACATTCAGAAAAGCTGCAGTAGTTTTCAATATTGTTTGAGTAAGGGGAAAAAGGATGGAATGCTTTAATGAGAATAATTTATAAAAATAGTACACATTTCATGTTAGTATGCAACTACTAGCATTCTATCTGGCTGGCTACACTACTCAATATCTCTTCTTTGGTAGATAAAGAGTGGCCTAGCATTGTGCCTCTGTGAACAGAATAAAAGAAAAAAATGAGCCTGTCTTGTTGCTATGGTTTGGAAGATTAACACATTCTTAACAAATTACTTATCAGCAAACTATCATGCAATAGAGACTGAGAGCAAATTATCTAACAGTTAAATAGTGTTTGGAAAATTAATGAGGCTGTCCAATAACTTTTGACCAGGATTGTTGGTACATACTACAGTTAACAACATACATTGTTGAGTTCCTTTATGAAATGATTCATTTATCTGTTGGAACATGTTCTGGCATGCCCTCTCAAAGGATGGCAAAATGGTGCTCTGAAATGCCTCACGGTAAGTTATTTGAATGGGTCCCTGAAGTGCACTTGCTGCCGCTGTACCAATAGCATCAACAACACCCTGTTTGAGGATAAAAAAAACCTGTTGTTATAGTAAAATTGTGTTTGTTAGGGACATGTAGAGCTTACTTTTCCAGAATTCTTACATCATTTGCAAAGATCCAATGCTCTTTACTACTTTACAGAATCAAGTTCATGCCTGCCTTTGAGAACTATTCCTAGCTAGAATCAAATCAAAAATTACAGCTACATGTATTTTACCACATCCCAGTCATTTGGTACCAACCAGACCAGCGTCAAAAACAAATAAACCAAACCTTACCTTACTTTTCACAATTTTTGCAACACTATCCTTCAATACAGTATCTGCCGCAGTTAGTTTCTAAAGAAAGGGAAAGAAAGCCTGTCAGAAGAATCTGTATAACAAATCTTCTTCAACTGACATGTGCCATATATTGAAAACTTTACGCATGTAAAGAGAAAGTATGGGTGATAGATATCTCTAGCTTTTTTCTAACAGCCACTCCTTTAGGGTTGCAGCATTGTGTGGAATCGTGGGCAAAGGTAGCATTTCAAATCTTGCATCAAATGACACACTAATTAACTAAAAATAAATTATTTCCCACATACCTGCCCTAATGTAGTGTTGAGTTGTTCTTGCACAACACTTAATACTTTCTGAACTGATGGTACTACAGCACTCTTAATTTCAGCTTTGACAGATTTATCTAATTTTCCTGACAAGGTAGTGGTGATTGTTTGGGACAAAGTACTCTGTAGTTGTTCATGTCTTTTTTTGTCTCCTGAATGTTTGTCACGCAGAGCTTTGTCTAAACGCTGAGCTGAACAGCTTGTCAAAGAAACTTTAAACTTGGTAATTATATCAGCCACACGGCATTTTCATAAGGGTTCCTCATTTTTGCACCTGAGTAATGTTTTATGATTAAAGTAACATAACTCTACATTTTTTTAAATTTGCCATTTAACCCCTCAACACCTCAGAACAAAGAGCCAATTTTGCAAAACAATAACCATGCTTCTTGATGCTAAATTTGGTTTTGTAGACAAAAAACATCACTGGTTGAAATTTTCCTTATGCACATGATAGCATTTTGACCCCCAGACCATTGAATGCTTGTCTCATTATTTTGCTGAAGATTTAGCACAGAGCAACAATCTAACAGAAATCTAAAGTTCTAGTAACATGAAACTACTTTTAAAACAATTTCAAACAGGATACATTCTTCACGTGAAAATTCAGCCAGGGCATTCTGTAATTTGGAGGAGACTCGCTCCTCAACCTGATGTACTTCATTGACCACTGTAATCATTTTCTGCTGCTGATCAGACTGGTATGTTTTCAGCTGCGTACGAAGGTCGTAGATATCTTGCTGTTGAGCTTTGAGCAAACTCAGAAGCTCTTCAAGAGATGAAGAAAGACCACCATCCTAAACATTTTAGAAAAAATTTCAATTAATGAAATTACTCAACTTATCAGTAGTAAATAGAATAAGAAAGAAGATTAATTTTGAATGTGGTAAAGAAATAGAGAAAGATATTTTTCCTTGTTACAAGCGTGGGACAAAGAGTCCCCATGAGGAATGGACAGTCAGACCTCTGGATTCTGCAGACTTTCTCCATGGGAGAAGCAGAGGAGATACACTTAGAAGCAAAACTTTTAATGAGCACTTGTCCCCAGTCCCTCAATAAGCACTAAACATTTCAACACCAGTAGAGCACATGGTTGAAACTGAATTAAGTTTCCAAACATTCTTGACTGTCTTGTTTGCTTTCAGCATTATCATTACCAATTGAAACTAAATTTCAAGCTTCAAAGATGCACAAAAACAGAACCTCAAAATTAATCAAACAGTGCATCTCAGATCCTTACCCTGAATATAGGACTAATAAATAATGCTAATCATTGATAAGTTAGTTAAATTAAGAGTTCAGAGATTTCTTACCATTGTAACCTGGACCTGCTGGGGAGGAAGATCTGTTGTACTTACAGGAGTAGAAACAAAACTAAAATTGAAAGAAAAGAATACAAAAAACTGAAAATTAAAACTTTTCATTTGTGTAAGAGACCCAGAAAAAATCTCAAACAGCTTGCTGTGTGGTCACCTTACCACCTAGTTACCATCTCTTTCATCCACTATCTCTTAACAGTTAAGAAAATGGACAGTCAAAGACTGTGTGTGGCTACCAATATCACACAATTTTTATAGCATTGGAAAGAACCAGGGTGGCATACTGTTGCAGGAGCTAGCTCAAAAGTCTCATGTTTTCCCTATCCTCTGGGATCCAACAATGATTACCTATGCTCCTATTAATTTTGCTATTTTATTGCAATTCCCTTTTTTGAGACTTAAGTCTCATAACAAATGGCACTCCATGTTTTAGGATATTTGATCATTCTGCATCTTAAGACATTCCATCATTTGCTCTGACCAAGAGCTAACCCTTTACAATAGCCAATTTACATTACCAACTCAGTTAAAAAAAACTAAAATTATCTTATTACATACTATATTTACTCTGGTTAGTTTAGATACCTGTCCAAAGAACAAGCTTCAATCTACACAAAGAACTAATTTACCTTGACAATGCTGAAGGTCGTTTTCCAATCTCACTGTAGCCTGTTGGTGTACCAACCGGCAGTGCATGTGCTGATTCAGGACTCTCTCGTCCAGTTGGTACCACTCCATCATCGCCATTCATATCCCACTGCTCCAACAGTCCTTCCTCTGTAAATGCATCCTCCCCATCTACCTGAACATCATCTTCTTCACCCCTCTTATCATCTTCCAAACAAATAAGATTTCCTTCCGCACGAGCAGACAAAGGTCTCAAACTTTCACTTGTACTAGATCCAGAACTTGATTTTCTTTCTCTTTCATTTTCCTCCTCTAGCGTTTCTGCTTCAGGTTTCTGAGACTCTGGTAATTCCTCATCACCTCCATCCCTAGTATCATCATCAACAGATACTTCAATGTTTCTTTCCATGCTACCAGGACTGTGTGATCTGTTCTGTTCATATGGACTCTTTGAATCACTTAAAACATTCTCTGCTTTATCTCTCAGTGCAAATGGAGAGGCTTGAGTCTCCGTATTTGAAATAGCTACCAAAGGCTCGAAACTTGATGCCGGACTTTGTGTGTTTTGAACTGATGCCATTTGTGGACTAGACTGAAAGTTTAAAATGGGTATTGCACTAGGGTTAGATGTTGGTGTTACAGGTGACTGGGGCAAGGGCAAGGTCGTTGGTGTGAGAATACCACTCTCATGAGCCAAAGATCCTTGAGGTGTTGCCGAGTTGCTTGACCTGACAGTAGTGTCAGACAGTCTTGATGACACAGATGAGCCCAGAAGCTCATCAACTGATGCTTGTGAGTTATTCAGTCCAGAGATCATGGTAATACTGCTTCCATTGCTGCTGTTTACAGCTTCAGGGTGGGTTGACCCTTGCAATGCAGTGCTTGCAAACGCCTGTGGTGTAATTAGTTTTGTTCTAACTGGAACAGGTCCATCTGTACTCTCCTCAGGCTCTTCAACATCTGTACTTGCTTCTGTTCCTGTTTCCATACCACTTAGGTCAGAGAGTCCATCATGGATAACTGTATAAAAAATATAGGCAGATCAGATAGTTATTACATTTTTTCGATGCAAATGGGGAAGCAAGGGAAGAAGTCTCCAAACTTCCCCAGTGCTTCACATCTTTATGAATACACAGCTAATGCATGAATTGAATGTTTATAAGATTTCTAACAGAGGTAAAAATATTTTAGAAAGAGAAGTTCCTTACTCCTGATTCTCAATTCCACGCAAAGCTAAAAAGTCAACATTAACATCATCAGTATTAACAATGGGAAAATGAAACACTATCACACACACTGTAAACTATTGAACTAGATTAAAAGAAGGTACCATCTATGTTATAAACATAATCACTAAGGAAGACTCACCAGACTGCCCTGCTACTGTGGTAAGAGATGAAAGAGTTGATGGAGTGGGTGGAGGAATAGAAGGCTCTGGTTGGAAGTGAACCAAGAGTTCTTGCATTGATCTTTACAAAACAAAGATAATCATTCAATACACACTTCATTCTAGCCATACTCAAGATATACTTAATCCTTAATTTATCAATTATTCTAGAGTTAAAGAGGATCGTATGCATGTAACGCAGAAGGAATAGATGCAGCCAAACCCACCATGTAGACCCAGGAAGGCCAAAACCACAGTATAAACCCAAGATTATCGTTAATGCAAGGAGACAAACCCTCTTCTGGCACCCATAGAGGAAAGAATATGAGGTCAGCTGAACAAGGACTCCAGCAGATAGGGTGGTAATGGGAGAAATGGAGCTCAAAGCCCATGACTGGATGGAGTAGAGAAGAAATAAGGATGCCATGTTCTCCACACAGCAGTGGAGGGTTTACAAGAAAGTTTTTCAGTTCCCAATAATCTCTTTAAGACTCCCCTTACAATTGTTCCAACTTAGAAATTGGTAGGTATTAGAATCGCTGTCATGCAAAATCTGACTTTTCAAACACAATTAAAAAGGGAAAGCAAGGCCATCTTGAATCACCAAGAAAAACAAGGTTCGTTCTTACATTTTACAGCTTCATAGTGAAAATTAGTTCAGACTCTAGAGGTAAAGCTTTACATGTAAATCTCTGGAGACTCAAAATGATGACTGCATGATTAAGGTTCCCTGGGAGTCTTAAACTAATCCTAAAACAAAGAACAAACTTTACCTTGTTTGAATGCAAAAGAGCTGCAGTTGAACACCATACTTTTTCCCTTTCTCTTCTCCAGCAGCTATTTCGTCAAGACCAACATGCGAAGAGTGAATATCATCATCACCATGATCATGGCTTTCAGCATTTTCCTGACCATTCTGATCCCCTTGTGACTTGAGTTTAAACAACTTGACTTGGCCAACAACAAAACTTAGTAGTGGATGCGTGAGATGAAACTTAGCCACAGATGTGACATGTGCTTGGCCTTCATCAAAGTTTTGGTGGAACATCAGCACATAAATAACCTGTTGGTGAGAGAACAGACAACCAGTAAAGCTTGGGTTTTCAGTCTTAAAGGCCAACAAACCTCATGGCTCAATAGAAGTGTGCAAGAAGACCAATTTAGGGCTGACATACCTTTTTAAGGACATCTGAAATTACCAAATATGATGCTGAAAGGTCCATGCCTACTTTCAAGTATGAGCGAATGGAGCTAAAGAAAAGGTTTAGAGGAGGAAAAAAGCTCCTTTATAAATGCACTTGTAAAATTAAGATTAAGTAAACATGCGCTCTTTGTTTATTCATCAAATATAAAAATTGTTGACATTTCATTACATAGTAAAATTGGTGCAAAGATTGACCAATGGAAGGCCATCTGACAGGTTGTCTGAGACACACACAGGAAGATGTACTGACCAATTGAGAGCATGCATCTATCACTATTTGGCTATGTACAGACATTTTAAATAACAGAACATGGACAACAGCCAATATGAAAAAAAAAAACAGAAATTCTTTATGATCCAGTAATACAATAGCATTGGAATTATAATGAAATGACACACCTGGATCCTGGAATATCTGGAGAAGAAAATCTGCAAAAAAAAGAATAAAGACCAATTTACTGATTTAGAAGTATACTTTTATCTTCAGTACCAATGAATAATTTACAGAGCACTAAACTCCCTAAGCTAATCTATAAACTGGGATTACATATACCTGATTGTTTGTAAACATGTCCATGTAACTGTGCACCAGACTTTAATCTCTCTGTTATAATCAGCACCTGTGATTAAAAATCTCCACATTGGAAGCCTGCAACAGAAATTGCATCATGTCATTGTTTGTTCTGTGATGGACTGATTAAATATTAAATAACTCAAAATCAAGTTAAAGAAGAATATTACTTTGCAAACTTGTTTCTAAAACAAGATACTTTTTGTTTAATCAACTGAGTTGTTGGAGTAAATTGGGCATCATTTAGAGTTTCAAAGCTGATGTTTTGAGCACTATCCCTTGGTCAGATGCTCAGACAAAAGCCTTGCTGTCGAAACATCAGCTTTGAAATTTCTTTATGGCGGCGGCCAATTTACATTGTCAACTCAGTTGATAAAAGCAAATTTATCTTTTTATACTCACCCACCAATGCAGCACTACAGTTTCCTAGAAAACTTTCCCTCTTTATTAATTTGTTCCCAGGGCAGTTTTTCAATAAAACAGACAATTTTTTTGGTTAAGATTGTTTTGTTTAGGACAGGGATTTTCTGGGAATAACTTCTTTCACTTTAAACCCAAAAGGTTGTTTTGTCCTTACCCACCACCCCTGAGTAAATTGTGGAGAAATCTGTATACAGAACAATTCACTGATATGACTATTTTACTGTACACTGCTACAAAATGTGTTATTTTGACCTTTACACAAGTCTAGAACAATACTGAACAAAAATTATTGTGTCTTTCTTACTCTTTATCTTGAGAAGTCTGATTGTCAGTAAAAATCATACAAGACAGGGGACGTCCATCATGAGGCTGGAATTCATGCATGCACTCAACTTTCTCTGTCAACTGCCAAAACTTGATGTAACCATCTTCACTAGCAGTTGCTAATACTGCACCATCAGGTGAAAGAGCACCTCCTGTGATTGGCTAAGAGAATAGTTTTTTAAAAGTTTTCACTATGAATGAAAGGACTTTCTTGATGACTTCTTTCTCCCATTCAAAGTGTAAAACTAGATAAAGGATACTGAACCATTGTAAGGTCCATTAATAAAGTATATCATTGCTAATTAATTGCTAAAATCATAGATGCATCTCATGCATACATGACAGCAGTAAATTTAAAATCACAAAAATTTAAACTTTTGCACAAACTTGACCCCACATTATTGAATTCTTGTTGGAAGTTTTTCTACGTAAAATTTAAACTACTTTGTCTCAACTGAGTGGTGGAATCTACTTGTACCTCATTTAATATTTCAGTCAGACACAACTTCAATAAAAGGAATTCTATGTGTCGTTTTACTAGAGGCAAACACCACCACTCTTGCAAACAGTTTACTGTTACACAACAGAGTAATAACACTTTGCAACATCTAGATGGAAAGTGCCTCATTTTGTTGGGATTCAAAGACATCATGAGCTTATAATTCACATGAAAAGTTGTCTAGCCTGTGATAGAGACATAATTTCTAGTATCTTTTCAACATGAAACTTTGCAAGAAATCTTGTCCTGCCAACCAAAATATTTTAAGAGATTTACCTTAGTGTGTCCATCTGTAATTTCTAAATATCCTACTCCTTGCTTTATATCATCAATAGTCACTTCAGACCTGCCACACCATTCAGTCAGAGAATCTACATCTATTACCTCCAACTGATAAAAGCAGGTTTTCAAAAAGAGCAAAGTTAGTGCAAAACTGATATTGTTGAAAACATAGTTTTACACAAATATCATTTTGATTGCCCAATTAACATGTAGTTTTAAGTGATTTCAAACTACTGTAGTTTGATTATTTTGTTGGTCCCACGCAAATATAGGCTCTGTAAAATAAACTCTGTATTTCAAGAAAACAAAACAGTGACCCAAACTAGGGCTCCAACCAGATCTCTGGAAAAGAGCATGGACTACAAGCCATTAGGCTGTGACATCCCCCTAGACATTTCAAAAAATGTCATCAGAAATGTTGAGAGGACTTTGATCTAACAAGCTATAGATTTTACTTGCAAGGCGAAGGCTTTCAACTGCAGTTACAAATTACAGTGTATTTTGTCCAACAGAAGCACTACAGTGTTTGTAACTCTGCCAAAAATCTAATTAAAAAAATAGATAATTTTTTTCCAGTTTAGGCTTCTCTCAAGGTGTGTGTCATAAAAATAAGCAAGATAGTAATGCACCTGATTTCCATGTGTAATGGCCAGTGGTCGGCCTTCCTCAGCGGCAGACTCTTCAGTTCTTTCAAGTTCTTCACCATCAGGCATGTATGGAGTCCATATTAGTCTGTGGTGCTCAGAGAGTGTATTGGTAGGACGTTTGATATGAAGCTTCACAGAATATCTTAGCAATGGATTAAGGTAAACTATAGGTACACTTTTTTATTGAATAACTGTCATTGCTGACATGATATTAAGTAGTTTGCCATTTTTCACCAGCATTGGTTTAAATCCATCACCTCTGACTGTAACATCATGCTACAACGCCTCAATTAGGCTTTCTACTCTTTGGATAAAGTTCTTATGGGGTACAAGAATTAACTTTACTATAGACCAAGTGGTTATTTGAGATCCCTATTTACTACAAAAAGGTAGAAAACTCAACTGCCAAAAGTTAAATCCATTGGATAACGATAATAGCTATGTTAAGAAAGGATACTCGAGTTTCCCATTTTTTTCATGGATAACCCAGATATAAACATTACCTCCCTCATCTACACATGCCAGCATATTGGAGTCCTTGTGTGAAAACGCTAACTCGCTTATTGTACCAACAAATCCCTTGATCAGTGTCCTAGTGGCTGTCTCAGGATTAAGAAGCCTTACAACATAGCCTTGACGGCCTGAAATTATTTTAGAGAGCAAAGAATAATTGACTCACAAAACTTATTTCACTTAATAAAAACTAGGAACTTAAACGTTCAAACATTTTCTTTCTGTTACATTAAATATGCCATCAATCACTTTCATAAGAAACATTTTAGAGCTATTTGCAGAGAGAAAACCAACCAAAATCTGTCCATCAAAACTCAAAAAATTAACTGGTGAACCCTTCTTTCCTGAAAGGCCTGATATGTGATAGAAGGCCCTATGAAACACACCTTTGAATTATGCATTCCCATCGTAAACTCCACAGAATACATGTCATTGAAATGGAAAAGTCTCTGTTTCAGTCACATATTCTGTTCATTTTGGCAATAATCTAAATCCTGAAGAACAGATCTTTTAAAATGAGGTGAGAGTTTCAGACTGAGATACTCATTGTATTTATTTCTTTTTTGACAAGGTGCTTTCTTTTTAGCCAAAGAAAACTAAGCCAATGCTCACTCACTCTACAATCAGATACTGTATGCTGGCAAGAAGGCTAATTTTACTTCAAAATAAACAAACCGAACCTTACATTGTCAACTAGCACTACTTAGCAAATACACATATAGACTGAGGCAGCTCTACAATTACCTCTAAGAGCATATGCAATGCACTTGCTGCTGACTGCTAATAGACATCCTCTGTAGTACTTCAGCTCCCAGTCATAATTAACCATGGAATTAAATTTTATCTGTGAAAAATAAAATTGGTCATTAACCCTATTATCAGTGCACAAGTTCTCCACACTGTTCTCTAAAAATCTCCTTTGTGCTGACAAGGAGAAATTGTTTAATGGTCAAGAGCTCCTTTAGTTGGCAATAATAAGCAATTATTGGATGAGGTTGAGAATGATATCATAAATTATCAATGCCGAGGTCTAAGTTATCTGCCAAAGCCAGACATGAAGTTTGATAATTCATTTTATGGTGCAAAAACCAAATTCAGTAAATGTTTTATTACAATTTTTTCTAAAACAAACATTAAAAAAAGACACCACTCTGAGTCCGCAAAAGTTTGAGAACACTACATGGACAAGGGCTAAGAAACTAGGCAGACTTTGAACTTGAAATGAAAACCCAATATGTGCTGCAGATATTTGGTTATCATGAGAACTGATTATGCTATGTTCAGTTCAGCAGTGACACTGTAAGGGGAAATTAATTGTTAGTCAATCATAGACTGAGGTTAAAGGTTTAACATTACATTCAGTCATACACTGGAGTACTGAACTGAAACTGATAATCCAACCACCTCCCTGTTGTCTAGAGTTTCAAAAGGTGACTTTTTCAAGGTTTAAAAGTTTTAAAATCAATTTGGTGTTCATTTTCCTTTGATTCAGACTACAATTTTAAGGAAGGCAAAACAAAGGGAAAATACTCAAAGTGTTTAAAAATCTAAACCAATAAAAATTTGAATGAAAATGTGTTTAATAGGTAACAAGAGGCAGTAAGCTTTGATAATTAGCCAAAAGGATTTTACAGGTTAATTCAGTTGTTGACCAAGAAAAGCAACAAGAATGCATAGCACATCAGTACCACTCAAATGTTAGTTAAGTGTCTCAATGTTTAACTTCATCTTCAATTCTTAAAATGGAAATTGTGGGAAAATTGAATTTCAAGCCAGTTGAGGAATTTTTTGGAGACAATCTATTTAAAACAACAGACGAAATTTACCCTCACTTGGAAGTTAAAGGGTTAAATGATCTCACCTTATTACTAGCTGTGGCACTTGTTGAAACTGCTTCGTCAGATACAATTTCAACTTCATTTCCGTAAACTGATTTACTGCCTCCATCATCACTGCCTTTCATCTCACTGAAAAGTACAATTGAAAATCAATAATTAACTTCCACAGTATAGAAACTAAAGAGTAAGTCATAACCTTGAAGCATGTGAGATCCCTTTACATAATTTAGAAAACAACCTGAAGTTTAAAAGCTTGACTCCTCAAAGGCAAATATGCTTTCTTGCCCAAATATGAAATTACAGTTTGAGCAACATTTCATGTCATAAAATCTTGGCAGTTAGTTACAGGTTAGATGTTTTTGTTCCTGGGTGTGGCGTTGGTATGTAATGTGTAAAACTTTCTTCAGGGTTACTATCTAGGGTGTAAATTGAACTCACATTGCATGCACTTTAGTAAAGCAAGTTTGTGGTTTCTATTCTTCCCTAAATGAAAGCATGCTCAGCTCTTGAAACTACATTTAGCTGTTTCTATATCATAACTACCCTTGACTGGTCAAATTAAATTCCAAAAATCTACAATTGCCTGTTATAGCACTGTCTACATCATCACCATGAACACATCAATCAATTCATATTTGAGACAAATAACTCCACTTTGAAGACTAAACTCTGATTATTTAGTCTTACACTATAATAAACCCCAGCTTTGTAACAGGCTTACAAATGATGCAACTGAAGGTTATCTGAATCTTGCGAAAATGAATGTTTAAATTTAAATCTGAAGGAAACAAGGATAAGCTATTAATCAGCTAGTAATAATGTTCTAAAGCAAATCAGTGACTTACATGACTTGTTTGACAGGTTCGAGGGACATTCTTGAAGCAACACCCTCACTGTCTGAGACAGACACATCAGACATCTGTTCCTTTGAGTTTCTCTAAAATAGTGCAATACCGTGAATTGTGAAATGGAGCACTGGTACATTGCATTTAATAGATGTCTTCATATTGCTTGCTGAACATAGTTCCTCAATATTTGATAAGTCTTCATATCACTTGTTGCAAATAATTCTTCATTATTTGCTACATTCATTACTAGAATGTTATGTCTGAAATGGCTGTTACAACAAAGGAAAGTCACTTTGTTTGAAAATGCACTTAGTTTGAGTAACTGGTCAAGACAAATAAGATTTTGTCCATTCACTAACCTTTCTTTGAGGAGACAGAGAACTTGCTGTAGATGCTGATTCACTGCAACATCAATCAAATAATATAGTGCAAGAAGATTACCATGGATCACACAACACATTCCTTTTGAAAATGTAAGACCAAAGTCATAAGCATAACACATTTAAAGAATCATTGATGGCTATTTAGACAGGGTTTGAACCTTTTTCAGAAACAAATTTCAAGGGCTTTTCCACAACTCAGATTGATTTTCCTAGGACTCCAAATTTCACTTAAAACCCTTTTATTCCCAAGATTTCAACATCAATTCACCCTACAATAATGAGTCAACAAACCTGTATTATACCTGAGCCTGCACCTAATCTAGCCAGTGGCAGGATCAAAAGGGAATTTGTGTTTTGAGAAAACTTTACATGACTTTGCTTAGCAAAGTCAAATCCACAAACCCTTACAACATTAGACAAAAAACAAACTTTTGGCTAGAGTCAAGCGGATTTCCCAGACTTTCCAGGACCGTTAATCTTCTTTCAGGACTTTCAGGTCCTGGAAAATGCCAAAATAAAATTATAGGACTTTCCAAGTTTTCCAGGACCAATATGAACCCTGATTATACCTTCTACAAGGCTGCTCTAGTCTACATGCATAACAAAATTGGTATGGGACTTCAATTTTCAACAGGTGTCTGAAGTATAAGTTGTAGTGTAAACTTCTTTCATCATCTACTGTCTCAACTGGGGTGCCTAGTTCCATATTAGATTGAAGATGTTTCAAATGTCCTCCTTACAGTCAATAAAAGTTTTGAAGGGGTTACACAACTAACTCTGTTCTTAAGCCAAGTGACAAAACCCACCAAGGCTTTTTTAAAATGCACAGAAAAAGGGACTGTACGAATTAAATTTCTTGCTTAAGGACATGACAAAATATACTAGCATAAGCTCTTATCCAGAGGTCTAAAGCTGAAGGGAGGTTACAGACCATTACACTTCTGTATATCACACATCCAATGTGATAGATAATGTTAAGGAATACCCACTAAACATGTTACTGTTCTGATTTCCACTCCAGCATTTACTTAAGGTGCTCCCTTTGAAATTCAGTTGGTGCAAAAGTCAATGTGTTTCTGAAAAGCATTTACACTTGTGTATTCCATATACCAAGGCCAGTGCATTAACCCTTCAACACCCTAAATTAAGTCCCCCCCTATAATATCCATACATCTTTCAGCACACAGGTAATGAAGATATTCAAACTTATCAGATAAAGTTAACTTGATCTTACACCAAATTCTTGTAACTAATTTACAGGGAAATACATGGCTGCTAGAGGGGAGAACTAATAATCAGATCTTGGGAGTTATAGGGTTTTCATCTTTGGTACACCTTAGGGAAAGGCAAAGAAGTTAAATTATGATTCATAGATATTTACCTTAGAGTATCATCAAGGTCTCTCTCTTCATTTCTTTGTGTCTCTAAACTACTCCCTGATACATACATGAAGACAAAGTGTCAATACAATGTCTGTTAATTTCAATTATTTTAATGAAAACGTAAAGCCCAATTACAAAGAAAGAAGTAGTGCTGTAATTCTAAAAAAAATTACAGCGTAACTTCCACATCCTTTCCAAAATATCTTTAGGTCAAGTTCACCTACAATTCAAAAGAGGCATGCGGAAATAGAGATATAAATAACAATGCGTATAAATAGGTAATTAAATGTGCAAAATTTTCATTAACCTCGTCATGTCGTAGTACTAGATTCACAAACATGTTAGATAAAAACAGGAGAAAGGTATTCATTACTCTTGTTTATCATTAGCATAACACATACGACAGTGAGCAAGAAAATAACAAAGACTATTGACTTAATCTTTGTCATGACTAAAACAACTATTTACACCTATTTCATCGGATACACATTGACAGTCACTACTTTCATTTTCATTTTGACACATGAAAACTGCAACATCAAGCAGAAGTTTACAATTACGATGAACTATGCGCTACTTTCTTCATTTAACAACCTTAATTTTTTCCTTTATCGTGCACCCATACAGTCACTCATGACGCAGTGTTTTCGAAACTAAATCTTTCAATTTGTATGTACCAAAAGTAAAACTTTGTCACTGCGCGAAAAATTACAAGTGAATTTGCACCCACCATCACTTGTTCCAGTGTTTCCGATGTTCAGCAAGTCGCAAAGTATTTTTGAAGCCATCCCTCTAGCGTTATCGTCCATTTCCGCAAATCGTAGAGGGAGCTTTTTTCACGAGCAAAAATTTAAAGTCGTAAACAAGAATATGACCTTTCGCATAGAGGAAGTGTAGTGTGTAGTCTTCATTACAAAATGGCGACAAGACGCGCATACATAAATTATTCAGACAGCTACTCTGGGGAAGAATGATTGCGGGCGCTTGCGAGGAATAAATCTAAAAATATCACACAAAATCGTGAAAGACCAACTACTGAGAACAATTGCTTTTTGAACAAGCATTACAATAATTTAATTTTATATGATAGGAAAATAATTCGTGTGATGAAAGCGGGGGCTTAAGAAACCCATAATAATCTGCTCATTATTAAATCACAAGAAACCTATTTTGTAACAAAACACATAATTTCCTTTATTTCCTGCAAGTATTTAAGGACTTTTCAAAACTGTTCTGGGCCACTTTTATGGATTGTAGTCTTTCACCTTTCAGAAAATATCTTTGTTTCACTCGACCCTATCCCAGAAAGTGACTTCTTTCACACGCCCCACCCTAGATGGTTGATTATTGACCCACGCGCGAAAAGTGAAAGCAAAATGGCGGACAGGGAGGCAAGGGAAGTTGTTATTTCCACGTCTTCGTCTGCAAGACTGTTACGATGGCGAGTTGGTCCTGGCTCAGAAGTTAGAGAAGGGAGTGTTCTTTGTTTCTATGAAATTATTGGTGACGGGGATCGGGCTGGATCTTTCATAACTCAGCCGAAACTCAAATCAGCCTTTACTGGTATAGTCCGTGAATTGCTGGTCGCTGAGGGAGAAATCGTAGCAGCCAGGTGAGAAACGGTGGGTCAAACGCGAATAGGAAAAGTCCCTAAAATGCGGATTTAAATATTTTTAACAGTTAGAGAAAATCTGTCGTGGAAAAGGTCTGAGTCATGTGCGGACAACTAAGTTCGTTGTGATGAGTTGACAGTGGAAAGTTTGTTTTCGTTATAAATGTTCGAACGGTGAAGTGTTTACAGAGCTCATCTATTTAGGAAACGAGAGCTTCAAGGCTGCACTGCATCAGGGCAAGTTGACATATTTTAGATCTATCTCTTTACTTGGGGTTTTCTTCCGAATCAGCGAAGATTTCAGTTTGTCCCAAACATCGTGGGTCGCTGCACGTTTGTTGGTTGTGAGAAAGAGAGTAAGATTTGTGCATGCAACGGCTTTGTGTAATCGGAAAACAGATTAGGAATGAAACAATTTTAACTTTTGCATCAGTGGCTAGGTACAGAAATTTCTTTTAAGCTCTTTAAATACCAACAATATGAAGATAAAATACGTTTCTGTCAAGTTCTGTAGCATAGCTGCTCTTAACCTCGATCGCCTGGATTTTGGAGGCGAGTTTTATTTATCGCTTAGTGCGCAAATTTTTCTACGGGATTTGATTGGCTGTTGAACCACCAATCCACTTATCGCGATTATTTTAATTCCTTTTATTTTAATTTATTTTTACAATTTATTTTAATAGAATTATCTACTTCCATCTAATGCTTGTATTTGTTGAGTGAATGAAGAGTTTTACTGATATTCCATTTTATAGCAATGTAAAGGAGCTTAGTAACTTATTATGTTTCTTTAAATTGTATCCAGCTTGCATTTTCCATTTTTTTTTATGATTATTAATTTTAATATTTGACAACCTTAAAAATTACTCATTCCTTACCACTAACCTGTAATAATTGATTTATTATATTTTTAAGCCATGCTTTGTTAAGATTATTATTTTTGTGATCAAAATTCATACAAAATGAGTTGACTCATGACTAGAGGCTTTGCTGGAAATCCCAAAACAAAACAAAAACAATAACTATAAAAAAAGAGAAGAGAAAGAAAATTGGTTTTAGTACACTGTAGACTGGAATTAACTCAAAACAAAAGAAAACAAACACAAAAGGAAACAAAAACACCCTAAAAGTCATCAAGGTTTCATCCTTTAACCCATTTGTGGTAAAGTCTTCACACACAGTTTTCTGTCAAAAATTAGTGTTTGTCCTGTTGCACATTATGAACAAATTAATTATCTCTGTCTATTCTTCTGTGTGTTACCACAGAAAAATGCTCTGCTATCTTGGTTTAAACTTGGACCATAAATTATCTATTTGAATTGAATGTTTGATAAGGTTTCAAAATGTAGAAACAAAACCAAGGTAATATCACCGGACATTCCCCAGTTTTTAGATGAGCAATATTGGATCACAGTATATACTTTAACCAATCATGCATGAAGTATAAGAACATCAAAATCTTTCATTATATTTAACAAAATGTAATTGTGTTATTCTTAGCATGCCAGTATTGTTGATAGATGAAGCAGAATGTGAACATCGGATGGTCATGAAAGATTTATGCTGTGACTGTGGTGCTGATCTCAGAAAGTAAGTATCTGCAGTATAAACCTTGACTATTTTTCCCAGCTGGTCACAAGCAATTGCTTAGTCATGTAGCAATTTTTACTAATAGCCTTGTAGAAAATGGAAATCAGCCTTAGTTTATCATCAGAATGTGCGACCTTTAGAAATGAAAATACCTCTAGAATGCTTTGTTTGAGAAGAAGAAAAAGCAGACAAAATTTACACAAAAATGGTCATCAGTTTGTGGTTATGCACTATTATAGATCTACATGTGCTTTAGTAAGCTAAAACTGACTGGTACCTTTCAAATTTCGAAGCAAGAGTGATTTTTCGTGGGCTTTCTGCTAAATTTCATGACATTTGTCAGTTCTCTACACATGCAAATGTGGTGTCGTTTAGTTGTTCAGTTTCCACAATGAAACAGTAGCAAACAATGCTGTCATTTCTGTTCAGTAACAAGAGGTCACACAGAGTGGCTGGTAAGCTTTATAAGAATTTTAGGGGTAAACAAAACAAAGGTTATGTACTAGCGATGGAAAAGCAGCCAATAATGCCAGAAATAACCACCTTAACAACTCTATAATTGCCCCACAAACACGCGGGGACAAAGCTAGTCTTCATCATGAAATTCTACTTGAAATGTGTTCCAGACAACGGTTTAAAAGAAGCCTTGAAAATAAAATCTCTCAACAGTGTAAAAGTTCTGAATTTGAGACGATTAGAACACAAATTCAGCTAGTTGATGTGATTCAATTTCATAGCAATGCAATTCGTTGCTGACACCACTGATTTTCCAGCGATATGTCATGTAAGTGACACCAAAGATATCACCCAAAATTAAAGGGAGACCAGGCTATGTTATAAGCAGTTTGGAAAGGGCATGGTCAAATACAATGCTTTTAAACAAAATTTTACATTGTTTTTTTCAACCTCTGAAACTAAAGGTGTATCGTTCACATTATGAATTTTTCGATGGAGAATGTTTCATAGGCGTGATGTACTGTATGCTTTAGGAAATGACAAAGTTGAGAATGACCAGCCACCTGAAGCTGCAAATGTGCTTTATGAGTTTGAAAAGGTCCCTTACCTGTTGTGCTGAAAACTAGGGAGAATTCTGAGTTGGTTATGCCATGAGAAAAATTGTGAAATATTTCTGAGTTTAAAAACCAATATGGTTACTTGTCATAATTATTTAATATGTCAGAATGATCATATATACATATACTGAATTGTTGAAATGCATATCTTTAGGACTAAATTAAGGAACCTATAATTTTACATAGACTTTGTGTACAAGAAAATGTGTCAATCATTCTGTCAGTGAGTGGAAATTCAGAAATTAAATTAGCTTTTGATCTTACAAGACATTTTATTATGCAATACAACTGTATATAGTGAAGTAATGGTGACAACACAGTTTCTAATGATTCATTTTGTAGACTTCGTGAAGAACAAGATGAGCCATCTTCCCCAACTTTGGCATCTGTGCCACTTATACATAACATTCCTGAGCTAAAAGTGAGCCAAGAGGTACGAGCTCATTATTTGTTATGGTTGGAAAATAGGATTGTCGATTTCTTTATGAATAAGATTGTTTTTGTGGTGTGTTAGGCCTTTTTAAGGCCCCCCCCCCATTTTGTCCTGAAGGAGACAGAGATTTACTGGGAGTGTAAAGTGACTTGTACTCCCCTTCTGAAAAAAAAAGCTTTGATCCTCATTGGATAATTTAGCAGTTTGTGAAACTGAAAGATTTTGATCCTTCTAATTATTATCAATGGTTCAATCTTTTTTCTAAACATGGTACAATTCCATTTCAGGAGGCAGAAGCTTTGGGAAAAAAGGATGAGGAGCGACTCCTTCAAACTCGCAAATTGTCCCTTGTAGTGGATCTGGACCAGACCCTCATTCACACAACTATGGAGCTGATACCACAAGATATGGAGGTATAAATCTTATTTCACAAATAGTTATATAAAATTGATCTTCACAGGTAAACTGCAATTGAAGTTGTCGCAGAGAAAAAAGGCTAAAAGAAAGAAATCAGGTTTCAGTGAGGATAGTACCTAGCAACCTGTGGGCCTGAGGGTTCCCAATTCTCTGCTGAAACAGGGGATAAAATTAAGGGAGGCATGCAGGTATACAGGGGATGTTATTTGTTAAATAGAAACAGACATACCAAAATTATTAGGACAAATTGTTCGGGGTTTTGAATGTTCATCCAGGCTGAGTTACTGACAGTCTCAAATGCTACAAAGGTTGCTGGGTGAATCTGCTGCTAATAACAAGGGTCTTTTTTAGCAAAAGGATTATACTTATGTCTTCCAGATACCAGTTAATTTGGTTTTATCAAGTGAGTTGGTGATGTAAATTGGCTACCATAAAGAGTTTGTTACTTTGGTTATCAATCGGTTACAGTGGCCAATTTAGAATACCAACTCAGGCAATAAAACCAAATTATCTTGTTATACTCCACCAACGCAGCACCATAGTTTCTTTAGAGACTTACCCCTCTTCTCCCAGATATCAGTTGGGCACCACTACTAACTGAGCTATGAGGCCATATGTTTGGAGGGTGAAAAAATTTATCTTTTGAAGAGTTACTGTCTTGATTGTGTTTTCATTCAGTGATTTTCTCAAAATCTCAGTGCTACTTTTTGACCATACTGGATGTAAAGTTGCGCCAAGTACCATTATATCAATCATGTTTTCCTGTGATTCAATCCAGGTATACTTTGTCTCCTTCGTTTTTTCATTAGATTAACAACTGATTATAAACTGTCGATATGTTTACAGGATGTCCATCACTTTCAACTACCTGATCAGCATGTGTGGTACCACACTAAGATCAGGCCAGGAGCAGTGAACTTCCTGAACAGTGTATCCAGTCTTTTTGAGCTGCACATCTTCACCATGGGCTCAAGAATGTATGCTCACACTATTGCCAGAATGTTAGACCCTACTGGAAAACTCTTTGCGCACAGGATTCGTTCAAGGGATGAGTGCTTTAATGCATTTTCCAAATCTCATGACTTGAGGTTAGAAATCTTCCAAGTTAATGCTTTATCTGCTTAAAGCTAGAATTTATTTGTATAACCTTTTGCAATCACCTACAAGTATAAATCACAGTTGTTCAAATTCAATCGAGAATTAATGTAAGTGAATTCTGGTCAGAGGCCTGGCAAGGCATTTCAGGTGTGTGAAACTTTTCAGGTGTGGCAAACTTTAAAATACCTGTGGCATGTGTTTTGTTCACCTGTTAAGGGGCTCCTGGGACGAAAGGAAACATTGACTTATAGAAGAGCAGTGGGTAGGCTGAGACAACCCGGTACACACCCTCAGTCTGAGCCTGAATCTTCGTTTAGCATGCAACTTTCTTTCACGTTCATTTCTATCTTTTTTTTTTTCCTTTACCCAAAGTCGAGCCGGTTTTTAAAATAGTACTTTGCTTTCTTAGCTGTTTCTGCTTCTGTTGGCTGTGAGAAATATTTTGGTCTTGCGAGGTTTCAATAGTTTTTCCATAGGCGGGCGCCGTCGGTTTATATTTATGCGACTGTGGCCGTAAAAGGAGCCGGAATGTGAACCCGGCTACGAGAGCCTTCTTGGCTAAACAGACGGCGCGAAGAGGTCTTATAGGCCGCGGTAGACCGCGGTATCGGTGATATGCGGTATACCGTGGGAGTATCGGTGGTAGACCGCCGATAATCAAATTTATTGAAACTCCTGCGGTCTGCCAGTAGGTCCGCCGTTTTTAACGTTATGATGGTACTTGAGCTACATGAGATGTCTACGTGAGCAGAATTCGCGACTGCGAATTGATCACAACTAGTTCTCTGGAGATATTCGAAAAATCCTGGTGTTCTATAAATGATTTCAGAGATAGAACATCAGGAACTTGGCCTTAAATGTGTATGTGGGTAGCTTAAAGACTTCATTTAATATCACATACAGTGGCGAATCTTCCCAACTGGAATTCAAAGCAAATTCTTATATCTGGTCATATTTCAGGGCAATATTTCCTTGCGGTGATAACATGGTTTGCATAATAGATGATCGGGAAGATGTTTGGAATTTTGCCGCCAACTTGATTCGCGTCAAACCCTACCAGTTCTTCAAAGGAGTAGGGGATATTAATGCCCCACTAGGTGGATCTGCTCCAGTCACAGAAGATACCAACCCCTTCGGAAATCCTGGTAATCGAAGTGAAACTACTACGGATGATGCAAAAATCGAAGAGTCGAATTCTCGGGACGACAACGAAGGTGGTGTTACGGAGCAGAAGAAAAATGATGCAGCGTTTGACGACAATGGAGAGACAGAACGAAAAGTTGCTAATCCGGAGACAAAGGAAATTCAGAAATTAGATGAAGATATGCAAATTTCCTCGGATAGCAGTGAGCCTGTTATTGAAGACATCGAGCAGAACAATAGTGAAAAGGCAAAGATCACTGGAGAAGCAGTTGAAGAAATAGGGACCTCATCCAAAGTAGTGGAAAATGGTGGAGGTGATAGCGCGAGCAATAAAATTGTAAGAGAGGAGTCGACTGAAATCCAGAAATCGAGTGTAAATACAAGAAACGGAAAACAGAATTCCGATGGAAAAGCTGGAAATGAATTAGAGCAGCGACCATCTGAGGGAAGTGTTAGCACGTCAAGTAAAACTGAGTTGAAAGGTGAAGGAGGTGAGTGTCAGGTTTTCGTAGAGATGTCTTGCAACCAAATCTTAAGAAGAGTAGCATTCTTGGATTTTCTGGAATTAACAGACAAAATTAATGAAAGCCTTTGGATTCGTTGTGAAAAGGTCCTCTCGCGCAGTTTCATTTTAGTCATTTATCTCTCAGTTTCGCTCGCTACATTGTGATCTCCAAAGATGTGGAGTTCTTCTCCAACTTAACTTTTCTCAAAACATTTCATGTGACGTGATAAATCTAACGTGTTACGTACCTCCCCGAGTAAAAGAATATATATCCTCTCCTGGGAAGTTCAATTCTGCCGTGAATGAAAAGAACGTGAATGAAAAAAATCCGCATAGATCATCCTATGCCCTTGATTTTTCGTAAAACTTCATAACTGAGAAGCAGCCGGTTCATCCTTCAACCCCCAGAAGTGATTTGCACTTAAATTCTCCCTTAAATATACATACATCATCCATCAAACGTATAATGAGAATACTTAAATTTATCAGATAGAATTTATTATCTTGATCCGACACCAAATTCTCTTGACTAATTTAAAAGATGTGTAGAAGCTAGAAGGGAGAATTGACAATCAGATTGTTGGAGTAAAGAGTTAAAACTGAGTTTTATTGTTATGGCAACAAGGAACACTTTTGGGAATGTGAAACATATGAACCATAGAGGTTTCTTAACGAGTTTGGTTTGTGAATTTGAGCAAAAGAAGTCAGGTTGAGAAGCGTCATACAACTCTATGTGCAGTTGATGGCAATTTTCCGGAAAGTTAGTTGAAACAGCGAGAGGAGATGAAAATACGAGATGCTTTCTCTATAGAAATGAAATAGAATAAAACTAGGCTATGTTATGTTCAAATTTGCTGCATATAATCAGAATTTTCAAGACACACTTTGTTTCTAATAATCATAGGATCATTGTCTGTAGTTCAATCACTGCGTATGTTAATTATATTTTGTACAGTATATCCAAGCGTTCACAATGGTGTTACTTTGATTTTATTTACATGCAAAACGTTCCAGACCAAACGAAAATCAAGAAATCACGGCAGCAAGCTTACGCGTTTGGTGATGGGGACGACGATTACCTCCTCCACCTGGAGGACATTTTACGTCGAATACACGATGTTTATTACAAAACTGTAGAAAGTGTTCAATCGCAGGCTCAAGAAGAGGTGAAAAACAATCCTAACATTTTAAAATATTGTACACCAGGAACATCGACTCCGGATACGAAGATGATAATGACCGAACTACGCCGGGATGTACTTCGGGGAGCTAATGTAGTCTTTACTGGAGTTATTCCTACATCGACAATACAAGAAGACAGTCAACCATGGCGCGTTGCACGCGCCCTAGGTGCTAACGTTAGTAATGCGATCGTTACACCCAAAGATACAAACTCTATCGGTGACGTAACCACCCACGTGATCGCAGGTCGTTTAGGGACAGAGAAATCGTACCGAGCGGTAAAATCCCGCGGGATAAAGGTAGTGAATCCCGGTTGGTTGTTCTGCTGTTTTGAACGCTGGGAGAAGGTGGATGAGCGTTTATTTCCAGTTGAAGGCTTAGAGAAATACAAGCAACAGGTCCGGGATCATGGCACACCTCGCGGGACACCTGGAGAAAATGCAGATACAAGAGCAGTTGAAAAAGCGATTTTGGACTTGGATGTTGTTGATAAGGAAAATGTGGTCACTAAATCAAGATCTGATTCGGCAAGTAGTGCGGATCTTCTTATGTCTACCTTGAACCCCTTGTTATCATTTTCGCCGTCGGAGGTCGAAGCTATGGACAAAGAAGTCGAGGATCTTATGAACGACAGCGACGAGGAGAGCGATTTGATAGGAAGTGTGTCAGAATCGAGCAGTCCTTCTGATTCCGAAAAATCAGAATCAACGAGTAAGCGAAAGCGAGAGAAGGAAAGAGACTCGCCGGAGGATGATGATGAGTTGGCAGGCAAGAAAGTGAAACTTGATGATGACGATGATGATGGACAAAATGAAGGGGATGAAGAAAAAGATTCTGATAAAGTTTCAAGTAGCCTTGATTCTGACGATGATTACACTCGCCGCTCGACACCAAGTGACGATGAAGAAGATAATGATATGGCGGCCATGTTAGATGCAGAGTTGTCTCATTCTTGAGTAACGTTAGCTTACTGTGTAAATTTGAAGAACTGTTTTTGATTGAGTGCCAAAAATTATGGGATTCTTTTGGGTTTGCTTTACTTCGCACTTTGATCGGTCCAAAAAATTCACGCTACTCCTCTTAACCAATCAAATGCAAAACTAAAATCAACCGCGACTTGGTCGCCCGCTTTTTCCGCGTCTCAGTCAGTTTGCTTGGTTTTACTTTGAGTTTTCATGGCCTCTCAAAGGCAGCGGTTGGCTTTTGTGGTTACTTTGGTTTTGGTTTTTCGACACTCAATCGAAAACCGTTCTATAATTCGGGAATGCATTTGTTTTGCATCACTACGCTGTGTTATTTTTTAGAGAATCACACCACTTTCACAACCAATCAGATGCCGGTAAAACTAAAACCATGGCTCTTCTATATGATGACGTCATTTACTGAAAATCCGCGTCAAGCTTCGTTTCCACCGGCAAAAATTGTTGAGAATCCTTTCTCTCCTCTCGCTTGGTTTTGTGGCCAAGATTGATTGGTGCCAACAGGAAAAGTCGTTATTATAATCTGAGGACGTAATGGTACTATATTGAAATCCATAAGCTGTAAACCATGAATATTGCACAATCGTAAACGAAAACGTTTCCATTTTTCCTTCTTCGTCAAATAAAAAATCAGCGGAGTGTAAAGAAACAGAGTTACTCATCACAGAAATATGTATATTTTTAGTTATCCAGTTATTTTACTCGAGATGTCACGAGTATCCATAAACTAACTTTAACGTCTTAAATATTTTCATTGTCAAATGTATGTTGTGTAAACTTTTCGAAGAGTGAGTCAAAACCTGAAAAAAAACCTTCAGATTACATCCATATAATAGTACCAGAAAGGGTTGATTACAATGGGGTCAATGACGCGACTCGTGTGACATGACAAATTGCGTGACATCCCGTGACAGGAGCTTACATGTTGGATTGATGAGTGACATTAGTTAACACTATTTACTAGAAAAAAAAGGAAAGAATCTCGACGTGGAAGTTTACTTTTGGACATGACTGTTTCCTGCTCTTGATTTTGAAAAGGGCGATTAAGATCACGCTGTTTTCCCTTTCAGGCCAAAAAAACTGTATATTTATTTTTGCACTATCGTTCTTGAGGTCACCTGTATGTTGCAGCTGGTCTGTAAATGAACTTCACCACGTACAATGAGCTGGATAATTTCAAAGTAAAGTTCTTATTATAACATGATTTTATGTGAGGTATAGTTCTTTCTCTTGCATACATTTCCATCTTGCGACAGTTTTGTACAGATTTTCAAATAAGCTCTGAAACCGAAAGTATTCCTTCTTTTTAAAATATTACTATTTTCAAACATTTTAAACAAAACTTTCTTGACCATATAAGGCAACGAGTTACATATTCGTGACGTCAAGTACTCTTATCGTGTCATTTTCGATAGGGTGTCTCAGACATACTTTTACTTTGCATACGTGCCATGAAGTCCAACTTTGACGGCAGTACGTCAAAATAACTTGCGATCACTGATCGAGCCCTTCATTACGCGGTTCGTGGACTTAATAATGCTTGGGTTTCAGCTGCTCCTATGAAAAGAGTTGATAGTGGCAAAAAATAACTGCGACTTAGACTCGTCATAACAATATATTTCAAAGGTTACACTTGTCTTTAAATAATACTGAAGGGGTAGAAAATACTCAGATATTTGGTCAGCCGATCAGAGCTGATAAAGAACCCACTCCAAGACTAATTGTGCGAACTGAGACATAATCAGACCTTGTTGATGAAAAGTACGTCACGACCTAGGAGAGAATAGGAGAGCAATTTTACAAGGAATCTATTTTTTTATTTCATTTTTCCAAATATTAGCATTCCTTGCCCTAACTTGCAAGCAAGAAGAAACCCTCAATCAGCGCTCTCTCAATTACAACAGCTATTTGGAAAATATAAGCCCTGATTTTCATCATCTCTGTCCCAAGACTGCCATGAAACATTTGATGCTTTAAGAGTAATTTCCAGTACTTGATATGAAATGTTATTTTCCTAGTTCACATCGCCAGTCGTCTATCTTCTCAGTAGGAAAAAAAGACATCATGTAAATAGAAAAAAATCACATTAAAAAATGTTCTAGTATTTTAAACGCCAGAGTAAACTTTTAAGATGTACTCAAAATGTACTGACTCGCCCGCAACTGAATAAATTTTCGTGGAACATGCAGCTTGTTATAATTTGTCAAAGTCGCGCATTATATTTCTTCAAAACCGTTTCGCGGAACAAGGAAGATACGACGTAAGGAGCCGATGAACTGTGACAGAAAATACAGGATGAAACTAAGACTCTTTCCGTTTCACCATCTTCCAGGAAACTCTAAAAATAATTCTTAGATAAGCTATGCGGTCCTCTAGTACGTGGTCTCTTAAAACTATTTTCATGTATTCATAAAAGCAAATTTCTTTCATATCAACGTGATAAACTGATCTGATGAAAAACTGTAGAAAATTGATTTTTATAAGGTATTCTAAAAATAGGACGTTTTCAATCTCGTAATTTTCATGCGCGACGCTTTTAATAATTGTTTCATATTTATTTAGCTGATTATTTCACAACTACATTATTTCTGTTTTCGCTTTGTTCTAGAACGTATTTTTATTGTTCGGAAATATTCCAATGATATCACTTTTTCCGCTCGAATACCAGGGAAAAGAGAGAGTAGAAATAAAAGATCTGGCCATGCAACAAAATAATTCATGAAATAAAATGACTTTTCATCACTTTTCCGGGTATAAAGATATACTACTCTAGTCAGCCAAGGGAAGACTGACTCAATTAAGGTACATAGTAAGTACAGATGGCACAAAGGATCTTTCCTTAATCTGTAGAGAAAACTTCATGTTTGTGCTTTAAGAATCATTTCGTTCCGATAACGATGGGATGGGAATACAACAATGATGTCATAAAGTAGGCATGGATGGATTATTATATTCCTTGGAAAATTTAATTCATCACGCAGAGAGAAAATTATTTTTGTTCTTAGGCACAGTATATCGAAGGGTACCAGTTACGTCAGTTGAACGTGTTAAGATGATAATACGAAGGTATATTTTTCAGAAGAAATATTTTGACCACGATATTGACCAATTTCCAATTCGCATGCAACCTAGTTCCCAGGGCTTTTCCCTCGTAAATTCGTAAAAATAATGATTGGGACCAATGATTGGTGGAAAATAATGACATGCGCATAATTAAAAAAGCCTTACTTGCTTTGACTACTGGTGGGAGGAAGGAAGCGAAGACAGAGCACATCTGAAATAGTAACTGTATTAAAACAGGAGCCGGTATTTTTAAGAAACTCAATGTTTTGCCCGCTGATGATGGATCCCAGAATTGGTTGGATTCAACCGGAGCAAAAGGGGCCAGCTCATGACACATGGACAGCAGTTTTGGAGGATGTCACTTCACCAACGATGGTCGACAATCATCGTAGCAGGGAATACATCCCTTTGAATCGGAAAAATACTTTTAATGAAGAAGTGGAAAGTACCAAATTGAACAACCTTATAAATTCCGACAAGATTCATGTTACTAAGAAGAAAAGAGTTGAGAATCAAACCCCTTGGTGGTCCAAAGATAAAAGTTATCCAGACGGGTTGGTGGGGTAAGTTTAGCGAGTTTCATTCTCGTCGAATTGAAGCGTGACAAACCTCGGATATTTGAGTGAAACGCCTCTTCTTTTGTTTATTAAGGCTTCATGAGGAAATCTTGGACTTCTACAATTTTATGAAACCACGAACGGCCGAACATACCATGCGACAAGAAGTGATAGCAAGGGTTCAAGAAGTCATCAGACGGCTCTGGCCTACGGCTGATGTACGTATGAGCAACATCCAGTTATTACTTTTAATTCTCACAATAGTCGTAAAGAAAATATTTAAAAAGCCCTTAAGAGTTATAAAAAGCAACGGTTTTTAATTTCTGGCTATTCATTTCAGGTGGAGGTGTATGGAAGCTTTCGGACGGGGCTTTATTTACCAACCAGGTGAGAGGACTGTTGTGGTTCACTTCAGCGAAGACGGTGTTTGATTATCTTTGTGCTGTTTAAGTTTTGTGCTTCTTTAAACTCCCTAAGAGTGTTTCTCCCCTTACAGAAGGCTTTACATTAAGATACAATAAATATTTTTTGTTTTATGGGCGAAGATTATTTGAGACAAAAAGAGGCCTCGTAGTTTTCACTTTATTTAAATCGTTTTGTGGTACAAAGAACAACAGAAAGGGTATAAACATGCAACCTGAAACCGAACGAGCGTCCTCCGAGGTCTATTTTAAACGTGAACGTGCTCAAAAAGTCTTTGTGTCACAGTAGGTTTCCGTAATTTGTTTTTGCTTATCGAGTCCGTTTAAAATTCACAGCGACATCGATATTGTTGTGTTTGGAAATTGGGAGAGACTGCCGTTATGGACGCTTGAGCAAGCACTCACGGCAAATAAGATCGCCGAGGCTTCATCTATGAAAGTCTTAGACAAGGCATCGGTGAGAAATAGCAATAAAATGATTTTTGTAGTCAAGTCTTTGACTTAGACATGTTGTGATAATAATTTGGTATGAATATTATAAATTTGTTGCTAAAGTTTAGAATATGTTAGTCTCTTAAATTTCGCTCTCGCTTTTCTTTCGTCTGCGAAAGACCAATGTCTTAAAAATTCATGTTTTAGCGATTTCGTTGCGGACAGTTGCTCGTATTTAATTAACAGTATTGCGTTGATCATTCTGTACTCAGTGATAGGTGGTACAGGAAGTGTTAACGGTACAAAAAGTCTTAAAATCATTGTACTTGCACGCGAAAATACTTGTCGCTTAATTGTTTATTCATAACTACCAATACTCATTCTCCGTATGCTAATTTATTGCGGGTTCGTCCCCTAGCGAAATTTGAATATATTTGATCCTCTTTATCTCGAACACTCTGCCCTTTGCCACTCTTAGAGTTTGTTTTTCTTTTTGTTTAATCATGCTTAGAACGCGACCGATGACCTTATTTGGGATTGAGTGTACTGCTCATTATGAACAGCACGATTTCCATCATTATGCAAAAATAAAAATAAACAGTACCTAATTTTTTCGACTAATTAACACATGTGCATGTCTAATTAAATGAAGTTTGATACTGTATTGAAAGACGAACAAAGAGTGGAAGGTAAAAGGTGTATGCTTAGTTTGCATATTTTGTTAAAGATCACACCATTTATTTGGCAATCTTCCCAAAATTCCTGTGGGTCAATAATTGACCTGTTAGTTAAGTATGAGCATATCAGGGTATATTTTTACTCGATAAAAGACCTGATTGGGCATATGACATAGGGGTATAGAAAGAACTTTTGTGGTTTATATTCCACTTGCTTGTTATTTAAGCTTTGTAAGTATACAATTTGCTTCATCTCAAATTATTTCTAAAAAACATGAAACTGCATTTTGTTGGTAACAAATTTTTTTATGGAATGGCCTATTCAACTGGAAAAAAAGGGAAAAAATGGGCATTTTCCAGCCTGCTCAAAGGTGCTTTCAGTAATGTGCACAGTGTGTGTGCAAAGAAGTGTTGGTAAGTAAATTTGCTTTGGATTTTCATGAGTTTTTGTCACCTGTGATGTTTGAAATGTTTTCAATAGTAGTGAAAAGCAGCACTCATTCAATAACCAATTCTTCTAAAACAAACTTTGAAGCCCTTGCACTGTGAAAAAAAACTCATGCATGCAATTTTTGATTCTGATTGGTAGAGGTATGTTACTCCATTTGGATTAATTGTTTCTTCTGCTCTGAAAATTTCCAGTTAATGGAATGTTAGATCCTAAATTAACCCAACTTTGTTCAGACAGTCACCAAAAAGATTCTAAGTAGACTCAGAGGAAACAAATGTAGTGAAGATGGCAGAGACAAACTTGGCTTCAAAAGTGCAAACTTGAACAACTCACTTGAACACTGTGAGGATGGGCAAGAACTTTCATAGCTTATTTGAGTCTCCCATCCTGAGACATCCTGGATCAGGTAATGGGTTGTGAAATAAAGTCTAATTCCTTAGAAACTTATCAATCTGATACAAGCAGTTCGAGTTGATTTCAGTGGTTTATATGGGGGGATTTCTGTGAACATTAATTATGCAGAAAAATTAATAACTAACGTTTTCCTAACTGTTGGGTGAGGGTTGATGGGTAGAATTGGGATTGCTTATTTCAGAGACTATATTGCACTCTTTGTCATCACAAACATCAGACAACAATGGTGTAGTTTTGGTATAAATACCATCTTAACATAGTAAATTAATCTTTGAATGCCCTAAGGCCACAGATGGATCACATTGAAATGAATTGTCCCTTTAAAGTAATGTGAGGTTGAATTTTTTAAGTTCTTGCTTCAGTTTTTCAAAGTCAATAATATTTTATATTATTTAATGGATTTTTTCTGAATTTTTAATCGGCATATAGCCCACAGGATGATTGTGAATAACAGCCTTTATATAATGGTCTACTCGTGTATAGTACCATCTAACTGTGTTTTGCTGAAAATTGTATACCCCTTTTGTCAATTATACTCATATTTTCCATAGGAAATTGCTGATGGCTTCTCTAAGCTGCCAGGGAACAATTCTTGAAATAAATGATGAAAAAAAGGGTGTTCTTTCCCAGAAAACGACAGGGTTTTTCCTCTATGTTCTCCAATGATAGTATTGTTAATTATAGCTCAGGACAGACAGTTGCTTTCTGACCAAAAGTAGGTCATTCTTTAGAACTGCAAAGCTTGAAGGCATGTAGAACTGTCATTTCTTCCTTTTTAAAATTATTAGCTATTTAAAATCTTCTGTGCAATATTGCCATCATAAGTTATTTCTACATAATGTTTTGCATTTACTGTAGTTGTTACCATTTTTCTCATTATGGTGAAAGATCAGTTACACTCTACAATCAGCTATGAAATTAGACAGAATTTGCAGGCGTTGTATCTTAAGCTTATGACCATCATTCATCAGTGTTAAAAACTATCATTCTGTGTTAAGAAAAAGGAGGAAATTGGTCATTTGCCAATGGAAGTTTGGTCATATCGTGAATAAAAGGAACTGAAAGTGATTTAGAAAGGCCATGTGATCCTAGTTTAACGGTAATATTGCATAGTAGAACTCTTGTTGTCAAGGTAGTTTTGCTAGTGACATCTTTAGTGGCAAAGCATTTGGTCATTATGAGTTTTTGGTGTCTTGTTTATTCATCCATGACTTTTTATGAAACTCTTAAAATTTACTCTTACTCTCAACCTTAGCTGGTTGTTGAAAACCTTTCCGCTTGTGCAACCTTCTTTAAAAAGAAATATATCAAAAGTGCATAGCAAAGACACCAATTAGATGTTTTTTGTGTTTGTAATTTAAACATTTTATCATAGATAGCTGAATTAATTTATCCACAGGGTAGCCTGGCTTGTGTGAGAAAGGTTGTTTTTTCCTTTTCTTGGGCCTGGCTACTTGACTGTAAGTTGATTTAGCAAAAGAATTAAAAATTTGATGTGAGAATAAAATTGTACCAAGAAATGAACATGATGGAAATTATAAACATGCAAATTTAACACTGTTTTGTCTTTACTCAGGTTCCAATAATCAAACTGACAGATCAAAAAACCAATGTGAAAGTGGACATAAGCTTTAACGTTCCAGCTGGATTGAAGGCTGCTGAATTTGTTAAGGTAATGTCATCCAGACTCCTGTCTTAAGGATGATGTTTGTTTGGTATACAATCAGGTGTTATTTGAGTGTTGATAAAATTTACAGAAATTAACACAATTTTTCTCATGCAAATTTTATACATTGTATTTTGTTTTGTTTTGTTTTGTTTTTTTCATTTAATTTTTTGTTCTTGGTAGTGGGATTTATTTTGGATGAGGGGAAAAAAAAGCAAAATAAGAAAAATAATTAATTTTTTTATGCTCCACAGCAAGTCATTAGTTATAACTTACGGTATTTTTGATTGATTTCTATTCCACTTGGCACAATTTCATTTTGATCCAGGGCTGACAATAGGGAAACAAAAGGCGTCTTTACCTACTTAAAAATTAAATGTTCAAAATTTGGCAGCACAGCCCTCCATCTTTACAAATACTAGGACTTATTCAACCAAATTTTATATTTCATTGTCCATTAGCATCTTTCAAATTACTTGGAAGCAAAATAAAGTGAAACTTACAAATAATTGGTGTGTACTGTGGTTCAATAATTTGAAACAACCCAATTTAGAGGAAAGGTTTAGCCCAGAACAATTTTTGAAGCAGTGAGAGGCACTGACCCCTCTCTTTATGAAATTGTAAATACTCTCTCTGTTCATTTCTGTATGCTATCATATCTCAGTTAATACATGTGCCATGATTGGTAAATTTAGCTATATTTAGTGGGCCTGTTTTCATTGTACATGGGCCATATTGAACTGTATGGCCCCGCACTAAATTAAAAAGTTTGTTTAAATTGAAAACTTCCCTCTCATTTTGAACCCAGAAATTTGATAAAGATCTTGCTAACCTTGTGGTCTCATTCAGTATTGTAGGTTACCAAACCTTTTTCCATTTGGATTTATGGTCTGCACACTTTGTGCTTGGGTCATAAATCAGGGCAGAAAAAACTGAGTCCATAACTTACAGTTAGTAAGAGGTGTATTTATTGGTAAACAGAAGAATATCAAATACTATTTGAACTGGAATGACACTTTTCTTGTTTTCAGGACCAAATAGAAATCTTTCCATGTTTGCCACCTTTGGTGTTAGTTTTGAAACAGTTCTTGCTGCAGCGAGAACTGAATGAGGTGTTTACTGGTGGTATTAGCTCATACAGTCTTATTCTGATGGCCATTAGCTTTTTGCAGGTGAGCTCTCCTAAACAAAGCTCTAGCTATCAGTAAGGGAATAAAAAACTTTGTTGCTATGTTGGAAGGGGGTATTAACTGCTGAAGATAATTTCAATCAAACTAGATGTTTATTGGCCACCCTGAATGGTTTTTAAAGCTGACATTTTGAGCTTTAATTTTGGATTAGGCTGAGGTTTTAGTGAAAATTTTCATCTGCCTTAAGAGCATCATGATAATATTGTCCAAGCTTTTCAACAATAGGTGTTCCCTTGGTGGATGAGGGAATAGTGCATAGGAAAATGTGTTAAGAAAAACAACTGGGGAAGAAAGCTGTTTTATATTTTAAAAAAATGACATTATTTGCTTGTTCAGATAGCAGTTCTTATTTAATGGATATTTTGATTTATTTTTGCATTCTGATGTTATTTTTCCACATAAGGGCAACAGAACACACAATTGCAAGGTTTTTACATTGTAAAACAGGGAAAATATAGGGAGCAAGGGTGAAGCATCAAAGTGGCTGCACAAAACGATCCAAACTTTGTTTTTTCTTTTACATTCAGTATACTTGACCATAAGGGATGAAGTTTAAAGTTAAACTAATTTTTTTGTTCATCACCAAAGACACTTGAGGATCCTTAGGAATTGAGTGGACCCTTGTAATAGCCTTGTTGCAGAGCAATGCATTTGTTTGTCAAAAATGTTCTGTTAACATGTGCCTCAAAGCTCTTACCAGGAACACTTGAGATAACTGAGAAGGGCTACACAACTGTAATATTGCAACTATTTGGATTAGAAGAATTTCATATGAAATTAATTTCAAATTGGGATGTCTTCAGCAGTCTTTTCTTCTTTAATTAACTTCATAAAAGATACAAGGAACTGATTATAGCTACCTGAGACTCTCAAAAGCTTTTTGCTTGGGAACTCTTGAAATAATTTTGTACACTCCATGGCATCATATTGGAAATACAGAAAGTTTAAGGCAGACCTTGAGGCATCACATTGGCTATTTTTCAATTCCCAATTTTTTTATATTTTATTTGACATAAATCTTTCATCATCCAGAGAGTGCTTGATAATTCATTAGAGAAGAGTGAGGTAGTGAAATGGAGAAATTTATTTTTCCAAATGCAAACTTAAGATATTAGTTAGATAACTCTTTGGGGTGTATCTGCAGATCACCTAGGGGTTTAGCAAAATCATTAGACAATTCATTAATGGTTTCGATTAATAATTTAAGAAAATCATAAACAAGGCATCAACTAAGTTACTAGTAAGAATACTGCTTCATTGAAAATAATTTCAGATACTTATCTTGAAAACCAGCAACAATTATTTATTGACTTGGATGCAATGAATATGAAACTTGGAAATTGGGTAAAAGATTTTTTTAAAATTGTATTTAGAATCACAAAAGGAACGAAGGCAGAACACTGATAAACAACCTTGGGGTCCTTCTGATTGAGTTCTTTGAACTCTATGGACGTAATTTTAACTACACTAATGTGGGAATCCGAGTGAAAGATGGTGGAACCTATTTTAGCAAGCAGGAGGTGAGTTGTTGCCCTTCCCTGTCAGATATGGAAGATTTACAATGTTTTTAGCAAACTGTGTGATATCACTTGTATCCTGATCATATGAGATTAATTACTGATGTTACCTTAATTCTCAACTATAAAGAAACAAAATAAACCTGATTATTTGTGGTCTTATTAAGAAACAGTAAATCATTGAATTTCTTCCTAAGTGACCATGTTTTCTTTCTCAGGTTTTGCACAGTATGGATGATGTTTTCAATCAATCATGTGCACTGTTGTGCATTGAAGATCCCTTCACTCCAGGTGCCATAAAGAACTACTTCTCTTTTCACTCCTAAAATTGCTTGTACTATGAAAAATTGTTCTTCTTGTCACTCATTTTATTACTGGTAAATCTGTAGAATTTCTCAGTTTTGAAAATACGTTAAACTTTTTTGCTTTCTTTGTAACAAATTTCTCAAATTAACCAATCATCCACAATTAAATCCACTTGAGTTGCACAGAGAATAAGAGAGATGTGTGAAAGACCCTCCTCCGTAACTTTTCAGTGTGTCACCCCACCTGTTTCTGTTTGCACAATGGTAACCAACATAGCTAACTTATTCAAACACAATATTTTGTTCTTTTACTAAATTAGCTTTGTTCACACTTCAAATAACTAACCTCCCAAGCTTTTAATGCCACTTTTTACCTCAAAATTGGAGTCAATTGAGAATGAAGGTAACATTTTCTGGCTGAGAGGCACTACAAGAAATGTTGTTATACAGATTGGTGCATGTGATCAACAGATTAACAGAACTAGTTTTTATTTCTGTTGCTGGTAGGTTGCTATTGGCAAATTTCAAGTTTGATGATTGTCATTATTAGCTAAAAAAAAAAATCCCAATTCCAAACTTTTTGGCGAGAATGTCAACAAAATAGAGATTTTCTCCATGCAATAGACTGCACGTTCTATCTGTCTACTGGGGCAATAACCCATATGGTTACAAAGAAACAAAGAGCTGGAAGAAGGTTTCATGTTTTTCTTTTCCTTTTTTTTTTCCTCAAATCTGTTGGTTACCAATTGGAAACTATTGTCAAAAATTTAGTAGCCAAATATATTTTGTGGCTACTGCCTTTTATAGGAAGTAAAGATGAGTTGTTGAGATGAGTGAGTGAGTGCAAGAGTGAGGGTAATAATAGAATTCTTATCTTTACCCAATTTTGACCTAGTGTTTCCTGGTGCTTATTATTGTTTTGTTTTGTGTTATCTTTTTTGTGAGTACCATTATTTTTGTAGTTCAACTTATGCACTCAATACACAGCTGATTTTCTCCTTTTGTGATTTATGGATTATACCTACTAGCATATCATGTTTACAGTTCCCACTGTGACACCACACAAGACAGCAGAAGAGGATAAACATCACACACACATTTTCCAATTGTGCACAATTAAAAACAAAAGTTTTCCTAGAAGACATATCTTGATGTGTCATGAAACTTGGAGGAAATTTTTTTCTTTCAGGAGAGAGCATTTTATTGTTTAAATAAGAAAATTATATAGATCGGAAGATGTCTTCTTTTCAGTTCTTACTGTGACACCACAAGAGACAATAAACATCTCAAGATAATTTCACTGTGGCATCCACCGATGCATAATTTAGATGAAAACTCTGTGGATGTGATCTGCACATCATGGAAGCTTAGAGGGAATTTTTTTTTTTTTGAAAAGAGAGCATTTTACTGTTTGAATCAGTTACTTATGCCAAAAAGAACCACAAAATTTGCAAAGTGAGCAAGCTGCAGAATACAATACCTTGAGTTGTTCAACTGAATAATGGAACGGAGGAACAGTGGATCAGCCATATCGGCTGAATATCTTGAGACATGAGAATGCAGAATATCCTTAAGAATTATTATATCTTATCGCTTAATGAGAAACAAAAGTCTCACAAAATGATATAGTAAAATTATTTGTTACCACTAAATTATTGGTTGAATGTCAATTAGACAATATATTCTTGAATCATCTTTCTCTCATGGAACAGGGTACTCATCAACGTGTGGGATGTGCAGGTTTTTTGTTTTGCATGTGAGACAAATATTCTGCAACACTACCTTATAGCATCATTTTACAACTTTAAGCTCTTTTCAATTCTATGACAATTGTGCTATACCAGTAGCCACATGCAGTCTGTCTTTTTTTTTTTCACTCACTATGGTGAGCCTTGTAGTGATCTGTATCAATGTAGTAACATATCATGTTTCTTTGCTCATGGTAGGCAACTACATAGGAAAGAGCTCCTATAAATTTATGGAAGTGAAACAAGCATTTGAATATGCCTATGATGTTCTAAGCAAACAGGTTCTGAAAGAAGATTCTTATTCACATGATCGGTAAGTTGTAACATTAATGCAACTAGGATTATTTAGTAATAAATTTGATTTACTATTTCAGACAACTGGTGAGCAACATGTTCCAGATAGCTCCTCTTTCAGAAACCAAATTGACACAAATTCATGATAATTTTTCTGTACCTAATGATTAACAAAGGTCATTATGAACTTGCAGTATTATTATGTAGAAAATTATTCTAATTCAAAAGAAATCTGACTGTTGATCAACAAGAAGCTTGAATGGTTTGATTAAATAGGATGCAGAGAGGGGCAAATTAATTTGACTGTCAAGTTTTATAGTTAATGTTTTATAACAACTCCTCTGCAATGAAGTAGTTGTGTTCTTCATTCTACCTAGTAAATTGAAAAATGTCTGGCCATCAAATTAAACCAGTTCAAGGTGATACTATATTTTCATCAAAGTGGGTGTTTAAGTAGATTAATACCTTTGAATAGTCTTTAGAAGGACAGCTTCCAGATCATTTCCATCTTAAAGACAGTTGTTTGATTGTTTGATAATAGTATTCCCTTAAAAAGTTTCGGGTGTGAAAAGTTATTTTTTCCTTTTTCAATGGAGGTCAACTTTTTTAAAATTTTACAATAGCCAGTTTGTGCTCACTAAGTTCATGTCAAAAGAAATGACTTGTTTCACACAGACAATGACTTTGTCACAAAATTGAAATTAACTAAGTGTCAATGATGGACCGTCTTGAAAGAACCAAGTAATGATGGAATTAATCACAATTGAAATAATAATGAACGTTCTGAGGAAAAACAGTGAGCCATCTTGAAAGAAGTTAGTAATGATGGCACTAATTGCTAATGAAATAATAATAAATGTTCTGAATACTCAGGAAAAACAGTGAACCATCTTGAAAGAACTTAGTAATGATGCACTAATTGCTAATGAAATAATAATAAATGTTCTGAATACACAGGAAAAACAGTGAACCATCTTGAAAGAACTTAGTAATGATGATACTAATTCACTAATGAAATAATTATAGTAATAGTAATAAAATTAATTATCATCACCATGTAATGACTGAAAACTAAGTTTGTATCCTGGCAGGTTCTGTTATTACTTTAATGGTATTTTCCTTTCAATTATGGTGGTGATTTTTGCTTAACAGAAATTCTGAGAGGCCTGAACAGGAAGGAGCTGGCCACCTCAGCCGCATTGTGCGGGTGACAGATGATGTTGTTGAATATCGTGATTGGGTCGCTAGAGTTTGGCCATCATATGATGTTCCATTAATAGCTGAAGTAAGCCAGTCACCCCCGACGTATGCTAGTATAGCAAACAGACATGTTCAACCTGAGACCCCAGGCATTACATCATTGGATGTCATCAACAAAAGTGCTACATGGCCATTGGGAAGATCTCAGTTAAATGTTGTAACTTTGGTGTCTGAAAATGAAAAGGTGACTGATAAAGAGGAAGAGCCTTTGGTCAGGCACACAAGTGCTGACAGCCTCTTTACTCTTGCAGGGGGAATTGAAATGAAAGTAAATAAAAACTCAGTTTGGTCTGCAACCTCTGTTCGGAAATTGGCAGATTCACTCGCACAAGACAACATAGCCAAGAAAAGAATGAGCTCTGAAACAAAACCTGCCAATAGTTTAAGGCATTTGAAACCCACTATAACTGCAATACCTTCATCTGTCAGCACTAGCTCCTCATCACCAGTGACTTCTTATTCAGGGGCAATAAAGCAGTCCTTGACACCATCATTGAAACAAACAATAGGAACTCCAGCAAAGGCCTCTGTGGTTGACTCTTCCTCAAAGTTGAAAGCTGTGGCAGTTGTGGGACCTCTAAGTAGTGGCTCTCCAAAGAAGGCTGAAGAGCAGAAGACTTGTGCATCAAATAACAATGTAAGTTGCAGCAGAATCTCCTAAATGTCACTTACTGGTTATGTTAACTGCAGCTGTTTATCCACTCAGCTCAAGCCGTAACCTTCATATCTAACAAGTACATGCAAATTTATTTTATATTTTCAACAGGCAACATCAGTATTTATTGTGTGTAATGTTTATTGAAAAAACTTACTCACTTCTTATCACTGGGAGGAGTGTTTGCAGTGCAAATAGTTTTTAGTTTAACATTCAAGATTGTAAGGGTTTCCTCTACAAATTTATCAAACACTTAACTCAGGAAACTGAAATATTAATTCAGTTCTAATATCACTTAAGAGATTAATCATGAAAGAAATTGGTGTAGCATTTTGTGCTAATTAGTGCAACATCTATTGCTCCTATTATAAAAAATTTCAATGGAGTTCCAGATCTCAAAGAACTCTAAAATTGATCTTAACCAACAGAAAGTAATATCTTTCATTTTAAACTTGTCAGAAAAAAGGAAGTGTCCAATCATTTACACTGTTGGGAAGAATTTGATATTCAACTTTCCTGACAATTGGGCTTTTTAGCTTACATGTTTTGTGTACCCATTTCAGGTCCTCTGGAAATTCCCAGCTTTATCTTTTGTAAATTTTTGTACATTTACACGTGAATTAGGGGAAATTGGAACGAAGCAGTTCTTTAGTATATTATCATATAACCTGAAACAAACCATTCATGTACATTTACAAGCTAGAGAGACCTTTTCTTTAAGTTCTCTGTCAAGTGCAATCACATTTTTCAAGATCTGCGTTATTTTGTATTGTCACTGGAGTGAAGTATGACAAAAAAGATATTGATATCATGGGTAATGTTCTTAACTGGGAAGATGAAAAAAATTAATTAAATGAAACATGTTCTGTCATGTATTTATTAAATTTTGTTGTTATAATTTACTGTAGAATGCTGTGGTTAGTTCACCAAAGCTGGACTGCGTGACCACCAGGCAACTCAGTAAAGACAATGGTATGGGAAAACAAAGCTCTCCCACAATTTTTTTAAACAGTAAAAAGAACAATGACAACAGTAACCAAAACAACAACAACAATAACAACAACAATAACAACGGCAAAAGTTACACAAACAGTGGTTCAAAGAGTTCATCTAAACAAAAACATGGGAAATCACCCAAGAGTAAAAAGGGTAGGAGTTAATGACAAGGTGGAAAAGAGGAAACATGTTTCTCTTTCACTTCTTTAACAGTGGCGGTGATTCAATCATCATATTTAATCTGTTACATGACTTTTTATGAAATTAGTTTGTGGGAAATATTTCAATACTCTTTGAGGGGACAGAGCAACAGAGATAAGATTGCAAAAAATCTAATCTATAGTTTTGAAAAACCAAAAAAAGATTATGTACTATAGTATTTTTTAAACAACAAAACAACAAATAGAAAGGTTGAAAGCTTTGAAGGGTTCATTCTTTTCTTTTAGGGCCCTTGGAAAAAAATTTAAGACTTAACAATGCAAAATAATGAATTCATAAATTCAATTTCTGACCTCCAAAAGTTTCTATCTGAGAAAGGAGAGGAGTATTTAAGTTAAGAAAGCACCTGTGTATAAATGGATCTGTAATGCTTCTGGAAAAAGTCAGTTTATTTTAAGTAAGAATCGTGTAGATCATGGGCATGATTGTGACTATCATTCCTGCATAGTCAGTGCCAGTTCATCTTTTGTGTTAAAAGTATATCCTTGGCAAATGTGCATGTTGATATATTGGAAAACAAAAATAATATTACAATATCTATTTAAATTACGTAGGCTTCCCTTTATTCTTTAATTTTTACATTGCACAGGGGTTACTGTTTATTTTGTTTCACACTTGTGATGGAAAATGGAATTTTTGTTGTAATTGTTAGCTGTTGATCTGAGCTGTTAGACTTGGAATTAACTAATTGCTAATGAGGGTTTGTTTGCAGAAAGATTTAGACCAAATTTAAGACTTCACTATTATTGGACTTCACCATCACAAAAATCATGTGAAAGAAACTAGAATGAGTTTTTGAAACATTGGCACTGAGAACGAGTTATAATGTTTAAGTTATTATAATGAGTTATAAAAGCAACTAGTCCCAAAATCAATAAAAAAAAGGAAACATTTAGAGTTGCAATACAACTGAGTGAGAAGAGGGGTAGATTAGGGATAGCCTGGTTAAATGAGGTAGAAGGTTCAATAAGAGGAAGTGGGAAATTTGTGAGAGCATGAAGCAGGTGAGAAGTACTAAAATGAAAAAAATATATATGATCATTAGTCTACATTGTTTTAAAATTCCTGGCAAGGGATGAGAATCTAAGGTGCAGCAAGATGAAGACTTTAAGCCTCCACACCTGCTTCTGTTGCTTCCTCTGACAAAAGCAGACAACTACTAGTGGGAGTCAGATTTTTTTATTACAAGTATACAGTTCTAGACTGAATTAAAGAACATGGAATAAGTGGATTAAATTTTACATTATTGATTCCTTTCTCCCTTCTCCCCCCTTAAAAGAACAGATGTGAATTACTTTTCTCAAACATAAATGATAAGAATATCCATTAACACTAAAGTTAAAATTGCTGAAGTTTTTGTGGCAAGAGTGATTATAATCAGTGTCTCTGATGGATTTGTCTGGTGGTTGTGATAGGTAGATTTAACTGATGTCATTACTATGTGATGAAAGCTTTGCTGTAGACACTGCTGTAGTGTGCCTTTCAGTCTTGTGGGAGATTTTAATCAACTTGATTTTGGTTTATATTGCATAATGCTATCATCCATATACTGTAAAATTCATTTTGTATTCCATACGATCTGTTTTCATTTCTGGTTATCTATAGGGTCCTACATAATACAAAATGTTATTTATAAAATGATTCAGTAGCTTTCATAGGCTTTAAAAACGTTATGTTCTTTATGTGCGATATCCAGAGCATATTAGTGAGTGAGCAAGGTAACTCTGTCGCACAGTGAGAGGTGTATATATTTTGACTCTAGTAGAATTTACTGGACAGATTTGGATCGCAGACCCACCAGTGTCCAGGTTTTTTTTTTTTTTTTTTTTTTTTCGCTTTGCATTCACATTTTTGGAAATATGTGCAATAAGCGATTTATTTTACAGAAATAGGATTTGTAATTTGTTTTGCTGGTTTCTTGATTTTTTTTAGGATGTATGTAGATTACTAAAGATTAAGTAATCATTGAAAATCTCAGTTTATCCTTCTTATGTTTCAACACAGCTGTCAATCAAGTAGATTATCAACAGTCCAGTGCAACACTTATAGGTTGATTTTGTCTGGGCATAAAAGAAAACCCAACAGATTTTTCTGTCTCATAAAGTGCGACGGATTAGTTGCAAAGATGAGTGATTTACTAAGGGAAAAGTCAGTATCCTGAATTTTATTATAACACATTTTGACGTCATCAATTTGCTTTGAAATCTACCAATAATTTACAGTACACCTTTAAATCTAGGCTTTCATATTTCACTTGGAAAGGCAGCAAAGACAGTTAGTCTCAGTGGCAGGTTCCACGATAAATGTTTTGTGTCGATTTTTACTTGTAATTGTTACGACCGGATTTTCATTGACATTGGTTTGTCGGTCGAGACTTGCACTGCTGTTATTCCAATTCTTTTTGTGAGTTTGTTGCCTTTAGCTGTCAAGATTACAAAATATGTATATCTGCCATCTTTAACGATGACGATTACCGGTATAAAAATATCATAAGCCAATGATGACAGTCAGTCGGTCGACTTTTATTTATTTAATGGTATGATTACAATTTTCTTTCCATCGTTACCGAGCTGTGTTACCTTGACTTAAACTTGGTTTAAAAATGGTTAGTAACACGTAATGATTAAGTAGCTACGTAGATTTTTCGATGATAATAGAAGTTGTTTACATCGTGATTGTACTTTTTGCACACAAATTGTTTCAAAGAAAATTATTTAATTCATCTTGTGTTAATTAACTAGTTTTAGTGATGTTATATTAAGCCACTAAAAGCTGCTTTAAAATAGAGGATTCTGGTATTTTACATCTGAGTTTGGCGCAACCTCGTTGGAAGAAACACTTCCTAGGTTCTTTCACCGAGGTAAGCCCGTGAGTTTGGAGTCGCCTAGGATTCTTAAAAGTCTCTAACCCTTCTAAACAATTCTTTTTGTTATATATCTAGACTTTCACTCAACAAAACGAGTACTGTGATCGGTTGATTCTTGGTCACGTGCCCTTAATCAAATTCGAATGTATCCTGACCGGGATACAATTGAGCAGTTGTTGCCCGCGCGCCGAATACAATAGCATGTTTTTGCCGCATGATTGTTTAAGGGAAAGTGTTAATATATAACAAAGCATTTAATGTATGTTCCCTCGGGAAACTGGTTAGTTTTCTTTTCCCTCGAGTCCTGATGTTTCCCGAGACGAAGTTGAGAGAAACATCAGGAGTCTCAGGAAATCAAAACTAACTGTTTCCCTCGGGACCATACATTAAGTGTATAATGATTGTTCCCACAAATACGAGCATAAACATATTTAAAGACTTTACATTAAATCCAAAATGAGTTGCTAAAACTATTATAGTTATTGTCTGTATATTCTTGTACTGAAAGTCGTCGCAATAATATGATGTATATAAAAAAAGGCGCGAGTAGAGTTTTATTGATATTTTGCCATGTATGAAAGTTCCTAAATTGTATACTACGTTCTTGGAAAATAATTTAGATTTTTTATACTGACATTGTGTAAAATTTGAGAAGTCTGTTAAAAAAAAAAATATGAAATAAAGTTGTGTGAAATCACAAATAGTGGATTTCTTTTGTGTTTGCGGAAACCTTTTCACAGCCGTTTTTCTAATATTAATATTTCCTCTTCATATGTCAACCTGTCAGCCAAGATTCACTGTTCTGTATTGGAACAATCAATATGAATTTTGTTGTAAGAATTTAGGGACTGTATTAGCTTTTCATTTTTATGATTGGTCTTGACATCTCAATTTAATAGAAACCTTCCTACGAAACAGGTCGACATTTTTAATGGGATCTAAGTTCTTGAACCGTCACACTTCCTGTTAAATTAATACAACTGGTACACACGTGCAGCCAACTGCTTACTGTTTGTTAATGAGGGCTGAGAAACTATGAATCACTCACAACTCGGTTGGACCAACAAGCCTCTTTCTATAAAGAGCATTCTGTACGATAAGCCGAATTGTATATCCACTTTGATTGGTTCTTCCGTTATGGAGGATAGACGCCTAGATGAAGTCACCATTAACAGCATGTTGCTTTTTATCATTTAAAACAAACGGATTCCATGTCGCCCAGGTTCGATATAGTGATAAATCATAGGAGACGATTAAATTTTGTGAGACTTGAGGAACTCGGCTACGCTTCGTGTGACCCTTTTCCGATCTTACCGCATTTTGACGCCATCTATGAGCAATTAGGGACCTTTAAAGCATCGACGCTAATAGAGACGACGACGACGAACTGCGCCGCGAGAGCACTGGTTCGAGAACGTCGTTCACGGCGGGAAAATTGCTGAACAGACCCACGGTAACATGGAATCTACTTGTAAACTCCTCAATGGGGAGGCCGGGAGGAAAAGATACAAAAGGATATAGAAGAGGCATATTTATTCAACTCCCTTGTTTGTGTTCTGTAACCTTTGCCATTTACAGGATTCAAAATCCTAAAACTTGACGGCGTTTGCATGTAAGAAAAAATTTGAACCCTAAACATTTCAAGTAATATGCATTTCTCTGAACCGGACGGTACTTTCATTTTACCTGTCACTTGAAAGTTTTATGCCAATAATACTCTTGAGTAACGTGCGCTTGATTAGGCGGCATCAAGACGTACCTACAAGTACGACCGTTTAATTGTGGGCTTAAGGAAGCGATAAAAACGCGATGAAAGTTTCAAAGTAATGGAAAACTAATGAAACTTCTTACCTTCATTTCATTGTTTCTACCTACGTTACAAAGAACAAATATGTTTTGTCGAGCTTTCCCACTTAGATATCCTGTTCGCGGTAGCGGGAAGGAAGACAATCTCAAAACCGAGTACATTTTCATTAACATTTGTTTTGTTTAGATTTTAAATTAATTAACAAGGATTTGTGATTTGATAACCAGAATGATACGCGTATTTTGATTTGTTCTAACTTATGATATATGAGAACACAGACGCATCGATGACGTCACCATTGAACAACTTTTGGCTTTTTTATTATATAAAACACTAAGATTAAGTGTACAGTCCTAGATTACGCTAGACAGTAAAATGTGTCAAGAATATTTGTGACACTTGGCTGCAATTCGTCATCTGTCAATTTTGACGTCATCTGTGATCTACAATTGGACAGACGGACGATAAAATGGAATTTATTTGTTAAACAGACGCCTAACCGAGGTCACCATAAACAAATGTTTGCTTCTTTGTGCTCCACATTGCCGTACGCCTTTACAAAATATTACCGACGACATAAAAATTTGGTAAGAACACACACTAAGCTTTCCTTCGTGTGCACCATTTTTGTACTTACCATATTTTGCCGAACAGACCCATGGTGACACGGAATCTACTTGTCAATCAGACGAGACTTGGGCTGCTGTTATTACAGTTTATGTGATAAGCTGAATCATACACACATTCTTATTGGTTATTACTTATGATCTATCGGAAGACAAACGTCATCATTAACAGTATTTTGCTTTGGTAACATATAAAACAAATAGATTGCATGTTGCCGTGGTCTGTACAGTAAAAGATCATAGAGACGCCAAAACCAGTGTCGCACTCGTGTGCCAATTTTTTTCGATTTTACCGCATTTTGACGACGTCAAAATGCGGTAAAAAAATGCTCGACCCAATTAGATGGAAACATCTAATTGGGTCGAGGGTGAGTGGACCCGTGACATGGTCACTTTACTATACTCTAGTACCTTTTTCGGTATTTCAAAAACCGCTGGTCGGAAAGAAATGACGACTGTGAATTCAAAATGGCGGACATTTTGAATTAAAAAAAAAAAGCAGTTGCACCGAAGTTTAGTCACACAATTATAATAGGTATCTGGAGACAAAATAACAAGCACAATAAAAAAAAGTTTGTTATCTGCCCTAATTTATATGAGGCGATAAGCAGAAAACCTTGTGTAAGGAACTAGCTTTTCGGGAAATTGTCCTCACGGCAAGAAAGTCTGTGGTCCAAAACAATGCCCGACACGAGAGGAACTTTTCAAAAGCTTACATCAATGTAACTCATGTCATCTTAGAAAAGATAGTCTGAAATTTCTCACATTTACATAGATTTGTATAACATGGGTATAATATACTTCCAGCCGTAACAACTTTCTGAGAATTTGAGTTATCAATTTTCAAATTACACTTTCTGCGCTGAAACAATGGCTCAATGGATGAAGCCATGTACAGTTACAACTTAAAAAGGACGTCTTTTGATGCTGGTATGATTTAACTTTTAGGTTTAATATCTGTCATTCAATTGACATTTTGACCCATAAAGGGGTTCGCTCGCAAGTTTCATTTTCAAAGGAGACTTTCTAAGTAGCCCACCACTTCTCATTATTTCTCAGCAATATTCAATAAGAGACTAAAAAAATCAAAACATATTTTTGATTCATGAGTTTTGCGTCAAGCACAATTACTCAAAAAGGCCGAAATTAAGGTTGAGAGAATCAAGAACGTCAACAAATTGACGTCATCAAACTGAGATAAAAACTACAAATGATTTCCATTTACCAGCAAAATTGATTTTCAATGGGTTTTTTGTACATTTGCAGTCTATTTCAAGCGAAAACTGCCCATGTAAATTACCCTCTCACTTTAGGAAGATTAGAGACAGAATTGCCAAGGTTAAGTTTTGATGCACATTGTACTATAACCAACTCAAGAGGTGAAATGATCATTGATTGGCTGTGATCGTCAAGCACACTGTGGCTTCATGGAAATTATGCTGGATTCCGTCTATCAAAAGATCTTTTGAAATTCCAGCTTGAGATGCAGTTGTGTTCTTGGACAAGGAACTGGTGTACGGCAGTCAATTCACAGAGGCGAGGGGGGAGGGGAAAGTTTAGGTGAGTAATAAAATTACTCCAGTTATCATGATAACAAAAAAAATGGTAAGAATTAGCGGCCTGGCCTTCTTTGACTTCTATGCCCACATGCAGACAATGAAAGTATAAAATTAAACTTACCTCTCAGTTTTGTCTCAGTGAATCTTAGGTCACAAATACACTATTCAAACTTCAAAAGTGTTACTGAACATCTTGAATATCGATGGAAAGTTTTTGTAAGAGATAAGTAGAAATGTACACAGTTTACAGGCGTTCGGAATCGTGTGCGATATGTTCGATTACTTTTAGTTCCTGTTTGCTTCACCCTGCAGGTGAGACTAACGAAGCAGAAGCATCTAATTTAAACAAAAGTATTTATTTCCTATTTCATTTTCGTTACTTATTTCATCGATCCTTTCATCTCCGCCGTTTACAAAGAGATGAAATGCCACCCACGTGTTTTCTAACGGCAATTACCATTTCTCTCTGGACTGATATTAATTTTTGACAGTTTCTCGAATTTTCCACAAAACTACTGTCAAAATAGAAGATAGTGTAAGTTTTGAGTTTTGAGTAAAGAGTTTTCTTTGTGAATTCACTAGCCGTTTTGGCCAGTTCCGATTCATGGTAAGTCTGCAAGCGCCTTAAGTATTACTACTCAAGCTGCAAATGTCGAGTGAGTTCGTGTCGCGGAAAACAGATCACGGAGGCAGTCCGTTAGTTAGAAGGGCTGTATCCCAAAGCTTTTTTGCTAAGAGGTGACTTCCCCACAAAACTGCGCAGTTAGTCTATTCACAAGCTGACAAAAAGTCCAGCATTCTCGAGGTAAACAACTGAGTAAAACCAAATAACATTTTTGTTTGTTTTTAACGCCAGAGTATTGAAAACGAAATCTCATGTGCTATACTTAAAAAATAATGGTATTGAAACCCCACTACCACAGACTCAATGACCACGTCTTACAGCTTTATCATAGTTAGGACAAAAACAATACTTTCAATTCAAAGGCCTCTCTTTATTGACACAACACTTTCAATGATTACAGATTACCAGCGTGATAGGTCCTTGACCTGTGACGAGTGACAGAAGAGGTTCTTCAGTAAAACTGAAGTACATTTCAGTACCACCCTCCTTGTTCGTTTCACAGTCCTGCTGCTTTTCCTACTACTGCTAAGTTACATGCCATTTCTTGTAACGAAATGAGAAGGTCATTTCACGAAAAGTGAAACACGGGGTTTAACGCAAAGCACAAATATAGTACATTATTTTTCGATATCCCAAAATAGAGAATTTAAAACAGCTAACAGCTAGCACGTGAGTATGTGTTACAATAATCCACTATTCAAAATATACAAGCTGAAATATTAACAATGCTGTGGAAAATTTCGTGTGTACGCAGATATTATCTGAGAAGCAGATAAATGCAGGATCTGTATATCATCATGAAGTCTTCCGATATCGCCCGACCAACAGCGCGATAACTACGTATTTTAACCCCCTGGAGCCTTGATATCGACATTTATATACAAATTATCCTCAAAGCTCTCAATTCATGTATTCTAATAGGTCATAACAACACATTTTTTTAGTAATCAGTACCTCAATTCTCATGACCTGCATGTCCCATTATCTCTTACGATTTTGAAGAGAAATCTGATTCTGATCAAGAATCAGAGTTAGAATTCCATTTTCCAAAGAAAACTTTTTACACAATATATGTACAATTAATTTTACATAGCAATATAATTCAGCGAACAGAACAAAACCTTTTGAATATTTACAAGCAAAAAGCTTTTGCGCATCAATAACTTAAGAATACACGAATCGATGTGCATTAAGAACCTCAAAGCAAGGAAACCCCTAGATCAAATCGCTAAAACCATAGCTAAACAAAAGTCATTTTAAAACGTTTGCGAAACGTTAATTTGTCTTCCAATTTCATATATCAACGCCAAGTGTGTTAATCACAGAAAGACTGCAATTAGTCGCATAGGTCACTGAATATTCCGCTTTCAACCAGCATCCAAGTTTTTTTTGACGCGAATAACTCTCTTAATATAAGATACCTGGGAAAAACATTGAACACTTCTTAGTTGAAACCTGATTGTTATCGAGAGAAATTGAGTGAAACATAATTTGATGGCTGAGTATCGTACAGCCACGGCGCAAATGAAAAAATTAAACTGAAAACCAATACGGATCATTCTTTCTTTTTCCGTTCAGAAGCTGCCTCTTTAAGATAACCAAATTACAATTCAAAGCACAAACATTCTCTCATGCGCCTTACTCAATTTCTCTCAATTGCGAGAAAATTAAAAATTCTATTTAATTATTTGTGAAACCCAACTGTAATGAAAATCCCTAGAACACCATACCCCAAAGCTCTTCTATTTCGCTCTCAATACAATTACTTAATTCAAAAGACGTGGTTTTTAGCGAAAGAATAAATTATAAATTTTAATTTAAGAAACTCAGCAACCAAACTGCCCTGCAGTGTAGCAAATGTAAAAATTAAAATTTTTTCTCCATAAATATTATGATTTTTGTGCTAAATTCTCCGGCGAAGTTTTAAAATCGGGAAACTGACCGACAAAGTCGGATTACATATTTAAACGAGAATGAGGAAATGGCCCCTTATTAATATTAAAAATGTCAGAAAAATGAATGCAAAACACAACTGAACCAACAAGTCGAAAATTAACAACGAATTTAACGCTGAAAAAAGGGCCAAATACCCTCAGGTTTCATGAGATCAAAAAAATGAATTTAACTTGTAAGCGAAACAAGATTAAGCCGTCTTGCCATACTGAACATTTCCCATAGAGATATTTTTAAGTTTACATCTTCCGTGAGATTTCAAATGAAATCGAACTCTTGGTGGTATAACAGATAAACAAAACTTCTCGATCACCCAAAATCATATCCTTATGCGGAGTCTAATCATTTGCTTGGGAACATCGAATGCAAATACTCGTATTTTTTGCTGTCGCTTAAGATAAATACCACTGCGAGTGACAGCCAATATATTTTTCTTTCTCGGAAAGAACTTCAATCTCTTAATAATTTTTGTTGATCGCCTCTCGAATGAGACGTTTCAGTAGATTGACATAACAAATTCATCCTGTGTCCTGAGATAAATTTGATACGATAAACATTTTCAACGAATTTTACATCGTCTTCTCTGCACTGCATTTTACAATTGACATCTTTTAAATTTCTTGATAAGAGCTCTACAGGTTATGCGACCGACAACATTACACGAACATAAAGATACTTTAACCACCTATCTTTCCCTGGATTTTGCTCAAACTTTTATCCGCTTCTGTTTCTAGAATGAAGAATTGTGTAGGCGGTTTTTCATTCAATCTTTGCTTGTTGTGACTTCGCGAGCACAGGCTGATTCGGCGTGTTTATTAAGGTAGGACTTCAGAGCGAAGGTTCGATCGCACCGCTCGCATTTGAATTGCTTGAGCGGGGAGTGTGTTTGCATATGAGCTCTGAGATTAGAACGATCTGCGAACGCTTTGTTGCATTCCGGGCACAGGAACGGTCTCTCGCCAGTGTGCGACCTCATATGTCCCTGTAGAAGCCATGGTCGGCTAAACGCTTTTCCGCACACGTCACATTTGTGAAGAAGCTTGTGCGTCAGAACATGCATGGCTAAGGCTGGCATGGAGACGTAAGCCTTACCACAGTGCTCGCAGCGCTTAGCGAGCTTACTGTCCAAGCTTCTGTGAGTCTGTTTATGCCGGGAGAGATTCGAAGATGTAGCGTACGATTTACCACATTCGGCACAAACATACCGACTTCGACCACCACTGGAGCTTTCAGCGCCTCTGTGACGGCGATCTGCCCGAGCAACGCTTATATCTTCAATACAATTCCCATTTTCATCTACACTCACTTCTTTGGCGTCTTCTTCGCCGAGTTCGTTCGTTTTTCTACCGTTTTCACGGCGTTTCAACTTGTTATGTTGCGGGGGCTGTGAGGTCGATGCCTTTCCCGACTCGCTTGTGGCTCCTAAAAAGGTAAGCGAGCGAAAAAAGACCCAACAGGTGTTACCCATGAGAATACAATCAACAAATTTCTCTGCCAGGCCACGGCGCAAAACGAAACATGAAAATAAAATTCAAAAGTTTACAACAATTTTTTTTAACAAAAATATAAATTGCCACCGTAATTAGGATATTTTTGAAACCAGGAAAAAACGTGTCGTTCAGGCTCACCTTCGGTAACTGTCGGGTGTTCTTGGAAGTCAGCGTTGGAGGACAGGTTTCCATATTCTTTTCCCTTTTTAATCAAGAACGATTTTGGCATTTTTCAGCAGTTTCGTTCTCTGACAACACCAACATGAGCGAAACTTGCCATTCTCCAGGAAAGATGCGAACCTTTGCCCACACCACCACAACATAATAAATCGAGATAATTCTTGTCTGGGAAATTCATCTCGCGCCCATCCGTCAACAGAAGCTATTAACAATGTTTCACGGCCCACATGTCCCTATAGAATTCTCACAAATCCAACCGGAAACCGCGGGTCGATGTTCATTCAAATCTGACTCCCACACCAAGGCTTCGGGCTCAAAACGCGAATCCTAGTGGCTGCCTAGTCGAGCCTCTCTCGAATAAAGCACAGTTTCTAATCATTTCCGATAATAAGAGAAAGCAAGGGGGATATAAACACTCAGGGAAAGGCCTCCGGCCCATTAGCAAGACATTTCGGCTATTATTCAGGGTGTTTTGTAGGCGGGGTTTGCTGTGGAACAGGGAAACTCGAGCCGAATGAGATACACTCAGTCGACGAGATCTCTAGGCTTGTTGTTGGGCCACCTGTTGCCAGGCCACTCATCTGCATACAAAATATTACAAATAATTCATGCGAATTAATATGCATGAGCTATTGCCGGAGATCGGAGTTTTGGCGGTAAATGCGGCCTGACGGACACGAAAGCGCGCCAAACACGACCAAACGCCACCTGATTGGCTGTGCCGCTCATACTTGAACGCGATTGGTTGAAATTTTCATCACAGGAAGCTTCATTAGCGAGATTTCCGAGTCCATATTATTAACCACTTTTCCTGATTTAGTTGTAGGGATTCAAACAATATTTCCATCGTTTTCAATCTCATACATATTTTTGGAGTCTTATCTCTACAATCACGAAAACACGAATATATGTTAAATGCATTTGGACTTTCTCAATTCTGTTGTATCGATGAAAAGATATTCCTCGATTACTCAGAATAAAACTTATATTTCTTTTAATTTTTCTACTCGACTCAACGTTATTATTTTCCTCAAATGTTAAACGCACGAAAACTTCTCTTTCCGATTTAAATATTGGTTTCATATTTAAGGTAGGATAAAAAATGCTAAATTTGGAGAGTTTTCGCTTGGTAAAGGAAAAATTTTTAAAAATAAATGAGGATTCAAATCAGAATCTATGCGAAGCTTAGGTTTCATTAAAGTGGTTTTAAAAACGACTGAGAACAAATTCCAAGGAAAAAAGAACTAAAATGAGGTTTATCTTTGTTGACATCCGGGCCGCGAATCAAACTACTATAATTTACCCCGAAACAAGATTTATTTACACTCTTATGTAAAATAAAATCCCACGCCACAGATTGTTCTTAAAAACAGTTGTGGTTTTTATGACGTAAAAAAAACCATCACTTTACCACGGGTCAAAACCATTATATCAAGCCTGTTGAATGTAATTTCCGACGGGGGAAAAAATTCTCCTGAACAGGATTCATAGAGATACAAAAAAAAAATTGAACATTTTCGTCCCTTTGTTTACAACGAAAAGAATCATGCATGACAAGATCTACAAATTACGTTTTTGTCGTTCAAACCCGACCAAAACCATTCTTAATCTAACCGATATAACTTTGAAAATGTTTAAAAACAATTCTAAGAGGAGAGAGAGGCCAAACGGGCAAAATATTAAAAAATAATTTTCTCTCATCCTGAGCTAGGTTTATTTTTGTCGGTTTCTTTTTCCTTGATTCGATGTTTCTCCGAGAAATCATGAATATTACAAGAACAATTCTGCTTACAGCACATCTTTGCGCAAGCAGTGCATTTTCGCATCGAAAGCATTGTTGAAAATCACATTTTAGCAAAGTTGAACATTAAACAATAGTCTACCATCTTGACAACAACAAAAACTCCGAAATCCTTGACACAAATTTTTATAAAATATTGAGTTTTATTTCCAAGAAGCGTATGCATTTGAAGCTAACGCCAGAAACCTGATAAATGTCTCGAAGAAATGTGACAGAAAAGCATTTTCTTTTAGGCTTAAAAGGTTCTCCTTCGCCTTTAATGTCTCTCTAATTTTGCTCAATTAGCAAAGCATCGAATAGCGAGGAAGGTAAACCACAAGCTTAATTGACAACCACAAATACACTTTTCTGACGCGAAATTAGAAACACAAAGAATATGTACTATTATTAATTTTAGTGCAGGCTTAAACTGGGAAGAGCGGAAAAGCTTTAAGGAAAATCCTGCCACGTTCTTATCATTGTTTCATATTATCTCAATCAACACATTCTTTCTCAATACACCTCAAGTTCAGATCAACATTCGGTCTATTTCAAGTAAAAATTTCCATAACCTACAAGTTTCAGCGCACAAAAAAAGCAAATTATAGGATGTTTTTGGAATTACATGTTGTCATGGAAACAAGTCAAGCGCGAAATAATTTGGACGCCAATTCTGACAACAGCGTCATGTGGTTTGCATAAAAGAAAGTGTCAGTAAGCAATACTCTTTTTCTCAGGATGAAACGATAACTCATGCAGTTAAAAGCCATTTACTTTCATGGAGTACTGAAAACATTAGTCTTGTTTTCAAGCCCTTTTCTGACGTCATACAAGCCTTGCAGTTTACCGCTCTTATATAACGATGGTTTTCTTGAAATCACAAACTGTCATCATTTACTTAGTTACAAACCAATCACCACAGAAAAAAAAAGCTCAAAATCATTCAATATTGCCGATAAACTCCATGAAACAAATCCTCATCACGAGAGAATATTTTTGTAAGTAATAAAATTAATCGAATTGCTTTAAGGTGCGACATAACCCAAACATCTCAGATAATGGACACCGCCAGAGGCCAACAAAGTTGAAACAGAGGAATTGCTTTCAATAAACATCGTTAGCTGCCTTCCACCGATTATTTGGCGGAAGAGAGCACATTTGTTACAACTGCATTTTTTGAATAATTCATTTAGTGCTACGCAAACAAATCTTCAACTTCAAGAGGTTGTAAGGTGATTCGCTCAAATTCATGTCATCGTCTATCATTCAGCGCTGTGGAAGATATTCGACAAAAAATCAGACGCCCGCTTTTTCTTAATTCATCGAGCAAAAAGGCTCGATATTTTTCTATTTAATATAGTCAAACAGCCTCAGGCTGAGATGAAAGCTGTAAAGGACATCAATTAAGTTTTGCCAGACAACTTGTGGTTTAGTTCAAGAAGCATTCTAATAATTTATAGTTATCATTTAAGAATTTTCCCACTGATCACCATTCAAATAATTCCCCTGCCACGACAAACTCCGTAATCATAGGTCTACCGTTATTTTCTCGTTATTTGTGTTCCTTTTCTAATTTCGTTTTTTTTTTCAGGCCCAAATTCCGACCACAGTAGAATAACCAGAACCGAAAAAAAAAATGTGTACCTTGTACTCAAACAACACCTGGCAAAGTGTCGGTTCGACATGTCGACAATCAATGTTTCGCTAAAAATCAGCGGGTCTGCTGTCCGTCCGTTGCAATCACCACTGGAATACGACAGACATAACAATATTTGTTTGTATCTATCTATGGGGTGAATTAGTTTGCGTAATGTGCCTCGCGAGCTTCTTTCTCGCGTTTTTCTTTCTACGCCCGTTCCATTCTAACAAGTGCCTTTTACTAATAAATCAAGCACCATCATACACCAGCCAAGTAATGGGCAAGTAAACATGTCAACCTATGTTCACCACCTGAAATTAACGACAGCCACCCGTTTGTGTTTTCTCATTCGAGTGTTCGTGGGTCGGTAATATGTGCATTTACAACTTCCTTTAAAAAGTTCTGCAAAAAGTGAAAAAAAAAAAAAAAAAAATGTCAGCTGCCACAGCTGACGCGACCATCAGATCGCCACTTCGAGGAAGATGGAGATGTGGGACCTAACAAATTGCTGATGTTTCTGTCACTCAGGAGGACAGGACACCTCAGGAATACAAACACCACACATTTACCCTCAACCCTAAGAAAGGTAACTCTCTAACTCCCAGAAGTGATTAACATGAAACTTCTTTCTATATTACCATACATTATTCAGCAGACAGGTAATGAGAATATTCGGACTTATCATGTAGAAGCTGCTATTTTGATCCAGCACCAAGTTCTCATAACTAATTTGCAAGGAAATGTGTGGCATCTAGAGGAGAGAATTAACAATCAGATCTTGAGAGTTAAAGGGTGAGGAAAAGGGGCATCCAAGCCGGAATGAAGGCATTAAGCCAAGGTAACCTTACACTTCTTATATGAGGATGGCTAAAAACCATGACTTTATTTTGTTACAAATACAGTTCACGTATGTTCGTATGTTGAAAAAAAGAAACTTTTTTTTAACATCAAAGTTGTGTGCAGCTTTATAGCAGATCCTTGTGAAAAGGAAAATGGTTTAAACTAGTTTTCCTTAGTTTAAGAACTGCTTTAGCATCTAATTGAAACAGAAGATCTCTTCATTCATAGCAAATACTTTAGACACTCAAAAGATACTAAATGACTGTGAATATATGAAAATCATATATTCGAACTGCGGATAAAGAAGTTTACATGAAAGTGATCTTCGCAGTAGTGAACACTACTTTAAGTACGCAGTAGTGAAAATAACGCCTGGAAAAAATTAAGGCCTGTAAGGAGTTTGATCCCATGACCTCTGCGATACTGGTGCAGACCTCTTTTTTTCAGGCCTTATTTTCACAATTGCCTAAGTAGTGTTCATTACTGCGAAGATCAATGTCATATTCACTTAAAAGATACTGTTGTATTTTATGTTCCAGTTAAATGATGAAACGCAGACTCGCAGACATGCACACTTTGTTCGCCCTTTGAAATTGTGACTTCGAGAAGCTATTACAGTTGAGAAACTGACTCGCTGCGTTTAGAGATCCGAAGGCTTCTGTAAGCGAGTGGTGACGTATGCAAATGAGCCTTGATCACCGAATCCATAGTTCAGCGGTTTTAAAATCTATCGATAAGCGACAGGATTCTCTTCTTTTCAGTTTCTCGACTCTCCTTGCTCTTGGCATCTCCCACACTCGCGGCATATTCTAATTAAATATAAATAATGAAAATAAGAAAATCAACGTTGGATTTTGACCAAATTCCACGCCAATGACTCCCTTTAAGCGTCATAATGATATGAACTCTTAAACTACCAGTTATTATACAGTCTTCCTTCTTGTCGCACAAAAAATACAAGCTGATGCTTGACATTCCTGCAGAAGTTATCATTTGACAGTTTGCCAGTTGTAGTATATTTTAGCAGCGTTTTGTTCGCGGGAGTTTTTCTTTCTTCCGCGGGGGCTTATTGTTGTGAATCCAAGGCTGACCACAAATTCCGCAAAAATGAAAACCCGCTCAGCAATTCATGACATTTTTTTCATTTTTTTAGCCTTAGCCAAGAAAATGATTGTACGAACACAAAGACTGAAAGGACTGTAAAGCTCCGTACATCAACTTTCATGGGCATTCATTGGCAAGCCGGTCAAAATCCTCTAAACGTACCTCTCATAATTGCTCTTATATCTTTTAAAGAACCTCCATGTTGGTTTAACAGAGTAACCACCCGCTGTTTTATCTGCAAATCAAAGAATACAAATATTGTATTAACCAGCAGTAACACTGTTTCTTACTACATTGCTACAATGAGAGCTTTTAGGTCTAAGAGACGGATCTAACTCGCAGTTTTTGGTTGGAGTTGTCAGGGAACGTTCACTTGACTGACACTACCACCGACTATTGACAGAGAGCGTTGTGTGACAATTTCACACTGCGGCTGCGCAGTAGAGGACCATTAAAAACACGTAGTTTAAACTAGGTCATAACTGTTATTCTTCAGACATAAGTACCGAGAAAACGAAGATTTAATTCGATATCAGAATGAATGGTAATACTGCATAGCAAGAAAAAAAAAAAATCAAAGTTTGAATCGTTTAGCGCGGCCATTTTGATGCTCCGCTTTCCATTCCAAATTTCGCTCTGTTCAACAGTTTAATACCGTGGCATATTTTGCGCTTTTTGTTACTCCAGTATCATGGTAGAATGGCGTTAGAGTAGAATTATAGGAAGCTCTATGTGAGAGTCACATCTCACTTCCAATTTTTCGTTTTTGAACTCTTTCAAGTTACCCATCCCCGAGTTATCGATCGTAACTACCCTCTGCATAACTTAGTAATTGATAAAACTTGAAAATTTTTCATTCTCCCTTCCTTGTTTATGTTTGGCTGCTTCAAGAGCAAATTGCAAAATATCAGCGTCCAATGAAAATTTTGCTTGTCTCAATTTCCAAAAATTGTTTTCGTACAAAAAGAAACACAAAATATGTAGTCTTCTCCGCGATAAAATACCTCCCCCAAAAAAAAAAAAAACAAAACAAAACAAAAATCTAAAAAGCAAACAAACGAAGAAAAAAAAAATTAATTCTGCACAGTCATACCGAGGAGACACTAGAACAACACACTTCCATGATGATACAGTCAATTAGCTGCAGCGTAAACAGACCGGCATCCAGTCTCCGCATGTAAAACTCGTCCTCTAACGCTTCGTCTATCTCCTCGCCTTCATCTTGTAGCTCCTGGGGAATGAAAATTAACAGCTTAAGACATGCTTTGGAGAAACTATGAATCCAGTATTAGGCGAACCCTAAACTTCTCATACTTCACTTTTCATCTTTAATCTAAACTGAACCTGTAATCCGCTGACACAAACATAACGCGAGCGCGGACCCCAAAATTAACGTTTACCTCTCTGACAGCTTAATAACAAAATCAAGGTAGCTTCTTATTCGATAACAATTTAGGATTTCAACGTTATCCTTCAAAAGTTCGATTCTGGCAAGTAAGTGCTACTGTATCGACCCCAAAGCCATGTGTACCAGTCTCTATCAGACCTGCTTCTCTCTCTCTATCTTGGCGTCACACTCCTGTATTTTGTTGTGGTATTTCATGTGAAGCTCCATTAATCTATCCACTTTGAGGTGATCACTTTCCACAAATTTCTGCACAAGACGGGTCTTCAAGTTCCCTGATAGGTTTCTAAACAACCACATTATTATTGAGCAGGTGTGTTCTGTTAGGAAAGAACAGAAAACACATCAAAGTCAGGTATGAAAGATGTTCTTCGTTCGTCGCATAAACGCGACTAAGAAAAAAATTTTAGTTTCCCACGCGAAATAAAACCTAAGATCTCTGGATTCTACGGTTGGCTGCTCCATAAAAAGTTGTCTCGGCCATATACTGGGTTCATATTGATTAAGATCAGAAATTCTGATTGCGTGCTTTGTTTAACTAAGTTACACTGGCAAATCTGGAGCTCAGTTGTGGAGTAACGAGATTCTGCTAGAATCTGAGCGGCCCACGGGGAATGGCATCTCAGAAATTCTACAGGGGGAGGGGGATATCTGTGGGTTTCCTTTGCCCACACTTGTGATAAAGGAACGACAACTCTTTTTATTTCTCGTCCGAGCTTCACAATTTTTAGTTCAATAATTGAGCGCTTTTCGATTGAGTGTCGTACAGATTAATCACAAAGCGGCCAATCAGAAGAAAGGAAATGATACGATGATTAAGAGCCAATGAGAGCTCAAAATAAAAACAACCAAATTGCCAAAAGCGCGGGAAAACGCGGGCGACCAAGTCGTGATTGCTTTTAGTTTTGCATCTGATTGGTTGAGATGAGTGGTGCGAGTTTTCTGGACCAATCATGGAGCGAAGTAAAGCAAAACCAAAGCAGTCCCGGAATACTTTCGCCATTCGATTGAAAATGTCCCTGACGGTACTTAGTTATGTCTGCATTGTGCAAGAGTAGTGTACATTCTTTCAGGCATGATTAACGAGCATCCACGCGCGACGTTAAAAGGTTGTTTCTAGCCAGAGTTTGTCAGAGAACTAAGCCGTTATTATCTGGTAAATAACTACTGTGACCTATCATTTGATAGGGAAGACAAAAACTAAATTTTAACTTTTTTAGGCAACGTGATATCGTTTTGTTAAAACTCACCTTCAGTGTCTTCTTCTGAGGACCCAACTTTCTTATTGTTCTTGAAGGGCTAGAAAAGGAAAAACCCAACAAAAGTTCTTCTCAATGTACACTAAACATTTTAAGACTTTTATTAATATTCTGGCCTAAAACCTATTACTATTGGTAGTATTTATGACAGTCTGTTGCTAAAATATTTGGTTTGATACTTAACTTAGGGGCTTTTAAGAACATTCATGACTAACCCTTTAGATAAAAAGCATACAAAAATCGTAACACTCACACAATTTTCCTCCTTAGACAGGAATTTTTTTTAAATTCATGACCAACAAGATGATAGGCGGCAAATAGTCCCTAAATAGCCCACGCGTTTCTTCGCCTGCGATAAAAGTATGAGGCCTTGAACGCGCGTCGGCGACAGGTCTGCAAGGAGTCTAGCACTGATAGTGCTACGTCCCTGACAAACCTCTCGCCGACTCGTCTAAAATCTTCTCGAGGGCGGAGGAACGTGTGTCTTGCTGTGCTGATAATGAGGGCCTACCCTCAAATGGAAAACGTTAATAAAATTCCTGAAATTAGACGACTTGTTCCTCACCTTCATAAATAACGGAAATAAGCTTCTAAGTCCCAGGAATTCAATGAACTTGCTGCAGTTTTCAGCTCCTTCGGCTCCTTGCATGGCGTAATCCAGCACCTTCAGGGAACTTCTACGAGAGAGTTTCTTTTCTCTAAAAAATAAACCATTCCGACTCATCTTTGAAAAAAGTAGAACTTTATTCAGAAAATTAACTAAGGGACTTGGTTTAAAGGCATTCAACTCAAACAAAACGAAAGATAACATGAGGAAAGCAAAGGAAAAAAAAGTAGGAGCTAAAAAAATTACCTTAACATGAGAATCATAAGCTGAAGTCCCTCTCCCTTCAAGAACAGATCTTTGTTTGCATTGTGCATCAAAGAGGAACACAGACAGTTGAAAAGATTTTCCATAAACTCTAATTCATCTGATGAGGTAGGGTCATATCGCTTGTAAAGCTGTAATGATATCAGCTAAATATTAGAATTACTTAAGCATTTCTACACAGAGCTAACAGATTCTTCAAAGTAGATGCAATGTGGCTCTCAAACAAATTATTAAAAATACCCGTAGCATTATCATGATATTGAGCTAAAAGGGGCTTACTGATAGACATTGTAGTAGTGTGTCAATTCCATTAAGTTCTCCAAGAAGCTGTCTGTTTTCTGGTGAGAAAACAACCTTATTTTAATGTATAAATTTCTAAAAAAACATGTACATATGGAGACTCTGCTTCCATCTTTTTCAATGAATTAAATGTTATTCATTTTGGATCAAGTGTACACTCTCTCATGAAAGAGCCCATATATTGTCCATTATTTGCAAAGCTCAACAGAAGCAAGGCATTTTCTGGTTTTGGATCAGGAAGAAAAAAAACTAGGGTTCTCCTTTTTAAATTGGGGACAAGATGATAAAATTGGCCTCAAGATGTTGATCATACCTTCATTCTTTTGTGTCTTTAGGGACAAAATTTCAAATTTTGCAAACGGTAATCCACAAAACTACTTTTAAGTACTGTTTCTTAGGATTATAATGAAAAATAATCTATTTAGTGTACATAAAGTCTTGATTAGTTTCTGATAAAATAAGCTTGGAGATCAACATAAATCAACTACCCTAACAACTAATGATTATTTTATTAATTATTACCATCTTCATTCATCATTACCTTCTGTATTTTGAAGAAGGATGGAGAGAATTTCACTGCAGTAGAGTTTGTTGGCATCATAAGGAGGCTTTTGCTAAAATAAATTCAGAAAACGAAAGACAAAAATAATCAGAATGAGATACTCACCCTCATATAATCAGAATAAACTGCATTTAAAGTTGATTTGGATAAGTTACCTTAAGTCTTCTGAGAAGCCATCCCAGCATTCCTTGCTCACCTGCCACCTGGCATACTGAAGGTCTGAGTTCAGTCATGTTCTCTATGATTCCTGATCAGAGAGAAAACACATAAAAATTAAACAACACTGCCTACAACCTTGTAAAGAAACCTTATGTTGATATTTGGAGCAAAGAAAGGAATTCAGTGGCAGTTAGTAATGGACAATGATCATAAATGTGTATAGCAAATACAGGTATACCACAGTAAAGAAAACCTAGTTCAATTGAATAGAGCCTTCTAGAAATTAATGATTCTGTTTGAGTTATTTGCACAAACCTAATGTATTGTGTACACCATCACTATCTTCTTTGATGTTTTCATCCAGTCTATCCAGATTTTGGGCTAAAAGAGCAACCACTTGCCCTTCAAGCTAAAGAGAAAGCAGACACATCAGCATCTATCATTAGAAACAATTTGAAAAAGCACTCCAGTACAGAAAATAGCACAGACTAAGGACTTACAAGTGCATCTATAAGAGCAGTAGCACCTTCTTCACTCTCATTAAGTGTGTCCACATCAGTCATTTCTTGGAGTAGATCAATGATAGCTATAGAGATGTCTGTTGGAAATATCATTATTTTATCAATATTAGGATCAATAGACTAGAGATATTGAGAGAGAACAAGTTGGCAGTGATAGTGTTACCCCATACAGGGTATGGAAAGGAATTTGAGGAAGCCAGAATCCCCACCCAAGTTGATAGGCATGATCAGCTACAGCTGTGCATACACTGCAAGAACCTATTCAAAGGTAATTATTATAGCTATAGAACACCACAAACTTGCCAGGCTACTGAATCTGAAAGCAAGTCACTGTTGACAACAGGCACACTACATGAGACTTTTCAACATGTCAGTCTGTCAAACTGACCATTTTAGAACCCCTTTATTATCATCCATAGTTCAAATTACAACATGTTAATAGTTTTTAACATATGTGTCTACCATTTCATTGTATCCTCATTATCATATTCTGTACTTTTTAGAAGTCTTACGGTTTTTAATTCAGGCATAAACTATTTCATTAATCCATAGTTCCAATAAATAACACCTAAAAACAAGAGTGGCAAAAAATCACTGACAAAAAGGACAGGCTTTTAGTTTAAAATGAATAATACCTTTGATTCTTACATTTAACCCTTTACACCCTCACATCAGTATGCATATCCTCCATACTGCTCTTGATGCTTTTCTTAAGGTACTGACAAGGAGAATTTGTTTCACAATCAAGAGATGCTTTAATCGGTGATCATTTCCTTTATTCTTGTGACCTTAATGTTGGATTCAGGGGTGATAATGTAAGGAGAAATTAGATGCTAGTCACTCTTAGGGGTCAAAAGGTCAAGGAAGATGAACCAGATGCTCCTTGTAATGTACAGTCATAAAATGAAAATTATGCAACTATTGCATCAAAAAGAAAGAGGAAAACTTATATATCTTTCAGTCTTTTGGTACCATCAAAGTATCCATATTTTTCACCTGAATTCTCATGGCTCAACAAGCCTAGGATGGTTCCAACAGCATTAACATCTACAATGTGCTGATAGAGATGTGGAACTGTGGCTATAACATGTAACTTCTGAATTTCATCATTCAGATCAAGCTCTGAGTCCATAAACCTGTCAAGAATGAAACAAAATTACACTTCTTTATCATGTAAAACACAGTTATTCCTTTGTAACAAATCTATTTGACATCTTTCAAAGACCTTTTTGCAGTTCCATCTAACACCCCAAACCTTTTTTTTGCTTAAAAATATACCTGATTTCCCCTTTTTAGAGCAAAATATATCCAAATGCCAGGAACTGCATTATATATCTGGGGGACTTCTAGTTAATCCATGAGAGTTGGAAAACATTGAGAGGATCACATGACCATAATAAATTTAATGAGGATAAATATATTCTAATAATTTTTTGACTAAATAGGATGCACAGTTAAAAAATGTTGATCTCACTGAAACAAATTAGAGAGAAGGTAATAAGACCTACTTCTCTGGATTCTCTGGGTACTTTATCCTCATTTCTTGATTTTTTGTAACTTTTTTCTCAAAGAGCAGAAGCATCCTCTTCAGAGAACCTACATCAAGAGCTTCCATCTAAGTTTCAAAAAGAAAAAAAAAGAAAATTATGCTACAGATGAAAAGTGAAAAGAGAAACAAAAAATTCCACTTAGCATTGATAAATTAAGATAAAAATCTATGAAAAATTTATCCATTGATTGCACCATTTTGTTATGTTGACACTAACAAATTTCTAAATTTCTGATCCTTCAAATGGACAAAACTGACCTCTGGTTCATTTTCTACCATTTCCAATATTTTCAATCTTTCCTCCTCAGACAGACCAGAACCTGTTGGCCTGTCCGCAGCCATTGGTCTTTTCTTTGTATTAATGGACACCTGATCCTCCTCATCATTTTTTCTCTTGGCTCCTCTCTCAGGCTATCACAAACAGATAAACAAATAAAACAATCTCATAAACCTTTCAAGTGAAAATTTTCTACCACAACATACAACATTTGAATGCCAAACCCTAATCATAGGATAGAGGGTGGAGGGGTGGGGGAAAGGGCAGGGGGGAAGGGCAGGGGGAAAGTGAAACTATCTAGAGTGAATTTCTGAAAGTGCTATGATGGGTCATTGATTATTTAATTGCAACTGTGTTAAAATCAGACAAAGGATAAATGTTGAAGCTCGATTTTAGTCTTGGTTCTAATTTCGGAGTTCAGTATTTTTAAGTTTCACTCTCATTACAAAACAGTATCATACCAAAGACTGAGAAAAGAATCTCTTATATGAGGATACAATTAAACCAAAACACAAATCTTCAAGTGATTTAACTTTCCAGAGATATAAAACTCAAATCTGAAAACCGGAAAAGGTTTCGTGTTCTCTTAAACAATTTAAGAAGTTGCTTCTTGTACCTCCGATTAAGTCTGAGATTAATATATGGTGCTAGACAATGTTAATAACAAACATTGCATCATCAACTCCCACAAAACAACAATTCAAATACCTGAAATGCTAGTAAATCAGCAACATTCATTTTGATGGAGCAAGAATATGGAATTATTTACCAAAATGTCTTCCACTTACAAACAAGCATTTCAAAATTCATGCGCAAATTTGTCTGCGCTTGCCTCTACGTTTTTTACCGCTGGTCACGGAAGTACCGAAATAACAATATGGCGTCCAGTAGGGCAGCGCTTTCGTCGTCTCAATTCACTCCAACTCAACCGAGGCTTCATGGTGCCTGTATTCTTCCCGGACACATTCTTGTCAATGAAAGATTTCATGAAAGTGACGTTGTGAAAACCCTACAAGGTAACGACTCGAATGTTTTTTTAGTTTAATATTAATGGTTCGCGGGTATTTCGCGCCAAAATTTAAAAATGTAAAAACAACATGGATGAAATTCACGTCTGCTGATGTTTCTCATCCCCTTTTAGCTTACATTCGCAGCACTATAATAACCCAGAGATTAATGCAGTTTAGAATCAGCCAGGAAGCTTTTATTAATTTATTTCACATGGAATTGTTTGACTTTTTTTCAGTCATAATTACTTAGGTGATTGAATGTAAATGGCCAATGGACTAGTATTTTGATTGTTGGAATGAATGGTTAAGAAATAATTGGCTGATTGACTTTCTGAATTATGCAACGAATCAACTAGTGGGTTATCTTCATGAGTGATTAAAATTGCTGGTAGATTTACAGAATGATTTACTGCATACCTGCCTGCCTGGATGACTGACTCAGTAACTTATCACCTAACTGACTGTATGACCAATTAACAGAATACCTGGATGGCTCACTGATTGTCTGACTAACTTACTTATTTATGAACTAATTGACTGGCTGGTTGGCCCACTGACTTACTGACTGTCTGATGGACTTACTGCATAATAACTTGCATACTGACGGTCTGTGCAATTGACTCTTTGATTGACCAAATGCCTGGCTTATTAAGTTACTGCTAATCAGACTAACCTTTAGGCTGGCTGACTGACTGACTTACTACCCAACTGTAAGTGACTGACTGACCCCAAAGGGTGACTAGCATGTGATTTCTCCCTACAATATCACCCCTGAATCAAACATTAAGGTAACAAGAATAAAGGAAATGATCACTAACTAAAGAAGCTCTTGATTGTTAAACAAATTCTCCTTGTCAGCAACCTAAGAAATGTATAGAGAACAGTGTGGAGAATATGCATAATGATGTTAGGGTGTAAAGGGTTAACTGACTGCCTGTCTATGTGACTGATAGACTGACTGAATAGTACCAGTAACTTGCAGGCTGACCAACAAACAGAGAAATTTACTTATTGACTAGCTGAATAACCAATCCTTTAAGTGATATCTTGACAGAAAATCATGTGAACATTCAAATGGATGACTGCATGGGAGTGGTGGATTTCAACCCATCATCAGATGTTGGTGTGGTTTATCTCTCTGAAGCAGATCTGGTTGGTGGATACAATTACAAAGAGAAACTGCTCAAATTTGGAAAGGTATAACAGTATTATTATTTAACATTATCTAAATAATAATAATAATAATAATAATAATAATAATAATAATAATAACAATGATCTAGCAGTGGAAAATCCACAAGGCTCTTCCAGTCCACTGTTCCAGGTCAAATTGGAGTTTGGAATGTTGGTTTTTGCTGAGGGAGAAAAACTGGATGACCCAGAGAAAAACCCTTAGGGCAAGGATGTGAACCAACAACAAACTCAACCCACATGTGACATCAGGTCCTGGAGGTGAACCCAGGCTACAGTTGTGGAAGGGGAGTGCTCTCACCACTGTGCCATCCCTGCTGCCCCTAAATATTTTATTCAGGATATCATTTGGACAGGATGCTATTAATTTCACAAAATGAAATGCCATTCCTTTGAATTTCAGGCATCATTCAGAAAAGTAATAATTGCTGAAAAGACATCACTTAGCTCTCAGTACTTTTATGAACTTCAGAAGTTCATTGTAATGGAGAGAGGACTGGTACTTCTTCCTGTAGCATCACCTGTTGAAGCTGGCAGAATCTTAGCTCAAATGGTGAGTTACTAGGAAGGAAGGGCTGGGTCAAATATTACATGACTGTAGGGAGAGTTGGGAAATCAACAAAATTGTAACTTTTTTAAAGGCCAAGTTACCCTTTGTTTGTCCTGGTAATTGCAATGTTTGATGCGCACTGCATCCTTAACTGAAATATCAGTGTAGGTATAAATTTTAAACCTGTTGGTGACTGGAGATAACTTTCCTTTAATCTGTACATGCAATTGCTATTTATTGTGTAAAATAAGAGATTGAAAACTGTGTTTTGATTTGCTAAGAGGTCCAAAACATCTTTCCAGGTTTTGTTGGAAAGTAAACCCCAAAGCAACCCTTACCGCATTAAGATGAAACCACAAGCCACAGATCAAGCTGTACTTACAACTCTACAGAATGTACCAGGAGTAGGACAGAAAAAAGCTGTGGCCTTATTATCTAAATTCAACAGTAGGTATTTTCTGGCTTCTTAGTGTTATAACAAAAATTTTTGAACTGGTTTTCTCTTAATATGTGCAATTTAGGATTTTTCAGGAAAAAAACAACATACAGTAATAATAGCATGTTTTAGCAACAACAAAAGCAATCTCTGATTTTACCCAATTTTCTTGTAATCCTCAAACTACCCTTAATAAAAAAAGTATTGTTCACAGCTGCTACACCTATTTTCACATTCATGCATACAGTGTAAATGTTGAGAGCAGATGGCATTTTGTTCAATTTTTGTCATTTGTACTTTGTGGTAAATGTCATGCCTTGCCTCTTTAATATCTTGAAATAGTAAACACTTTCTTTGATCCCAAAAACCTGAAAGGCTGAACAGTATAAATAATGCTCTCATAGAGCACTTATTGGAAAAAAAAAACATGTTGCTTTTCAATACACAAATTAACTTAAAACTTTCTCCATTTTGGTTTTTAGGTATTGAACAAATCTGTAAAGCTTCAGTTGCAGTAAGTTACATGATCACTTGTTAGTTTGATTTGAATTATTCTCGAACACTTTGTTGTGTAAACTATGAGTGGCGCAGGAGCAGTACATTGTTTTTAAGTTTTTTATGTTAAATTTGGGATGTCTGTACTGTTGCAGTTTCTGATCATAATATGTAATAACATTTGCTCTGAGATATTAATATATAATGTACATTTTGTTTCAGTCTCTTGCCACTGTGGTGGGTAATGCAAATGCGCTGCAAATAAAAGACTTTTTTTCAGCTACAAATGCAAGGAAACAATAGGAGAAATAGTGTAGTGTAGGTTTTAGAATAAAACAAGATTTAGAAGAAGGCTGAAGAATTTTGTAAAGAGAATGTTTATTCTTGTGTGATCAATCATCTTTATCTAATAAAAATCATCACAAACTGGTTACCCCCAACAAAACAGACTTTGCATTCAGTAAGTTCATTCATAGCTCACAAAGGTAGGCAAGAAGAAAAAATTCTATGTGGCAAGCTTCAAAGTTTTGATTGTTTCTTTTCTTGGTCATACAATCATATAGACAATTGCCCAAAGAAAAAACTTATTGTGTAAAATAAAATAGAGTTAACCCTTTACCTCTCAAGCTGCTACACATTTTCTTGTAAATTATTTCCAAGAATTTGGTATTAGATCAAGATAACAAATTCTACCTGATAAGTTTGAGTATTCTCATTACCTGTTTGCTGGATAATGAATGATATTATAGCAAGAAGTTACATGTTAATCACTACTGGGAGTTAAAGCTAACAGTGATGTAGGTTTGGAACCAGTTGTGATGTATATTGTTTGAGTAAACATTGGGAGGACAATTGAAACAGAAGAATATCATCACAATGTTCACTAGGACATACAGTAGGTGAGATAGATTACAGCCGAAACTAAAATTAATGCTGTAACATTTATTATAAAATAAATGAAATACTAATTGCACTCTCATTGGTTGATAGTTGTGTTAAAATGAAAGTAAGTTTAAAATGTGAAGAAGTTTTGGGATTGTAGATATTTTTGAGCAACTTGATATTTTGTAAAAGTAATGGAAGACTTTTTATGTGTTTACGTAGCTCCATCTATGCACTCATGGAGGCCAGGAGAACCCCTTTAACCCTAACAAGCATCTGATTTCTCATACAACATCACCCCTGAACCATGCATTTAGGTCACAAGAATAGAGGAAATGATCACCAACTAAAGAAGCTCCTGATTGTCAAACAAATTCTCCTTGTTAGCAGCAATATTGAGAATATGCTTACTGATGTTAAGTGTAGAAGGCTGAGTTAACCAATCCATCAACAATACCTTTCATTTGCATAAGTATTTCAAATTCTGCCAAAGCCCCTTGTGTTTAGGTAAGGCTCTGTAAACACAAATAAAATCCTAAAATGCTTTTAAAAGTTTATACATTATTGCCATTTAATGTATACAGTTTCAACCTACAGATAAAGGAAATAACAGTATAACATACAGGTATATTAATAAAATGCAGAAAAATGTTGGTATAAAATAACTACAATGTTTCAATGTCTCATCCACAGTATGAAATTGCAAAAGTCAAGTAAGAACATGTCAATTTTGTACAAATACCATTGCTTTGACTATTTACAACGTGGTTTAATAACTTAGAGCTATATTAAAATATAAGAAAAAATAAATATGACCTTGTCTAGTTCTGTTCTGTTATTGATTTGTAAGTTTAAAATCTTAATGGCAATGAGTACATGAATCGAATTTGTCTTGGTACCTGATCTAACACACAAGGGAAAGATTACTGTTTTTGCCTTAACCCTTCAGCTCCCAACTTCTGATTATTATTTATTCTCCCCCTTGCTACTACACATTTCCTTGTCAATTAGCTACGAGAATTTGGTGTTAGATCAAGATGACAACTTCTATCTGATAAGTTTGAGTATTCCCATTACTTGTTTGCTGGATGACAAGGATATTGTAGGGAGAAGTTACATGTTAATCACTCCTGGGAGTTAAAAGAGTTAAGGATGTAGGAGGATACCAAAGAATTGTTTAATTTTGTTTAAATCTTTCATGGTTATAGAGATTTGAATTGCAATGTTCACAGCAGCAACACTCTGTCTTTATTGCTTCATCTCATGGTTGACTAAAGATCACATGTTGAAGTCAATTGGTGAAGCTGAGAATTCTGAAGGGTGCTCCAAGCGACAGAAAACACAGTACTTGTGATTTTGTTCATCATCCAATTGTGCAATAGAGAAAGGCTTGCTGCAGTTTTGACACTGAAAGTAAAGGAATAAAGAACACTTTGAGGGTTTGAACCGATGACATGGTACAAAAACTGCGAAACAAAAAATGGTAAAATCCCAGTCACTTATAAATTGAAAGGCACTATAAATAGGCACTCAAACATAAAAAAAATTCATGTTGTTTCATTAAGGAATATATTCCACGACACAATGGTATAAAAATGTAAGCAGTAAAAAGTTGAACAAACCTGGACAATTCTTAACCCAATGTTCTTTCTGTGTTCTAGTACCACTGGTATATCATCACTTGATTCAATGTTCCACATACGCACAGTTTTATCCTGAAATACAAAAATTAATAAATGATAATTACTTTGAATTCCATTCACAGCAACAGTTTTTTCATGCAAACTTGAAATCCTTCAGAGGCTGTTATTTTAATTTGGTAAGAAGTAAAACCACTGGTTCCTGAGATTATGCACTCAAGTGTTTTGGTATACCTCCAAAAATTGGACACAATTAAAGTTAGAAACTAACAAATTTTGTTTGCTCTCTTGTTCAAGGTAAAACACAAACAAGCTAAATAATATCAACCACCTAAGAATAATACTTAATCTGCTCTTGTACTTTACAAAATGATACAAAAACATGATAATTAACCCACAATGAAATTGATTACAATTATAGGGCCAGGAGGCTACGTGAATGGGAAGTTTTTGGGTTAGAATGAAAACCTTGTTAAAAATCCTGAAAGGCCTTCATTTAAAAGCATAACACACTAACATTTGAGCAGGATATTATCCATTTCTGGTCTGTGCTAAATCTGCAGTCATTCACCCATCCTGTGTGACCCTGAAAAAAACCAGGAAATAGTCAGTTTAACATGCTATATAATTCATAACGCAAGGTAATGATGTATGGAGCACAGCAAGGTTTATAATTCATGACCAGGAGCTCAAGATTTTTTCCCTCTAGCTCTATCCGACCCAGTAAATAAGCATTTGATCATAGGACAACCCCTCAGTTGTCTGTCCTGCCTTTCTTCTTGCCTTTCCCTTCTTCCAGGGTTGTACATAGGACTGATGGCATTTTATGACTCTACTAAATGTTTGACATAAGAGTACACATGAGCCTGTATGGGTCACATGATAAAATATTAACTTTCTATTCCCATCTGAATTATGTTGATTTAACTCAAAACAGAGGAAAGGAAAGTACTTGCAGTGCTGCTCTAAAGATCTGTAAGTGCAAATTACAAATTAACCCGGCAAGTAACATTCTGGAATCTTACTTGAACTTATTTTACTATAATGTAAAACATAACATATATATTGAAAGTAACATAAAGTCTGGTGAGAAATAATGCATATTCTCCATACTGTTATCTACACACTGTTTTAAGATGCAGACATGAAGGATTTGTCTAAGAATCAAGAGCTTCTTTAGTTGATGATCAGCTCCTTTATTCTCCTTTCCTTAATGTTTGATTCAGGGGTGACATGGTGAGGAGAAATTGGATACCAGTCACTCGTAGGGGTTAAAGGGTTAAAATGATGTGTAAATACCTTGAGGGCAAATTTCTGACAACAATTTTCAACATCCCATATAACCAAAGTTTCATCATATGATGAAGAAACTAATATGCCACCTGCAATGGAGACAACATCACAGAAACATTGAATGAGTGAAAATGAAAAATAAAATCAAGTTGAGTGATCATCAATTTCCATTAACTGTATGACTGAAGTATTTTTGATATAACATCCGTAATCATCTTGGGGCAGAATGTACTTAATCTAGTACCAAGAATCAATTAAAATAATAATTTTATTAATTAATAAGGCATGGATCAAACAGAAACACAAAACAGGATCAATTTTCCAACTCACCATCTTCACTGAAGTTGCATGCACTGATAGAACCTTCATGTCCTTTGGAGAGAGTGATTGGTCCATGATTCCTGGTTAATGAAACAGGTTTAACTTTAGAAATAAATTAAAACTAAGGAACATAAGATCACAAAGTACATGTAACAAAACTATTTCATGACATATTTTATTTGATGTGTTTTTCAAAGGTAAAGTTTCAATGAAGTAAGAGAGAGTTTAAAAAAAAATTGCTTGCCTTACTCATGCTATGAAGAAACATTAAAAAAAATGTATTGATAAGGAAAGCAAGAGGATGGCCTTCTAGTATTTTCCTACATAAAACTTAAAGCAGCTTGTAAGACAAAGACCATCTATACCTTATGGATAAATATTTGATAAAACCATGAACAATTATAAATTACCCTCTTCCACCCCCCCTCTCCCCTCCCCCCTCTCTCTCCAAATGGTACATTCTGATGAAGTACCCCAGCAATGCACCTAGGCTTTTTCAAGGTGTCTATTGGGAATTGCAAATCACAAAATTCTTCCTCAAAATTTCTATGACCTGGGCTATTTTAAATTCAGACATGGAGGATATCCTCCTGTACAACTACATCTCTTAACAACAATCCTGCTTTTTAAGACTACAGTACAAAAGAATACAAAGTGGGTGATTTCTGCCATTCTTTACATCTACTACACAACATTACTATTTGCTTGATAAAGGACCCTAAAATATAATGCTTGTATAATACAGTTATTCAAACAGCGCTTTGGTACCTATAGACACCAGTGGCAAGATCCCATATCTTAATATTTTTATCCCATGATCCTGTGGCCAATAAGTGTTCATCACTGCTGAAGGAACAGCTGGAGATAACATTGATATGTCCCCTGGAGATAAAAAATGAGCTAAATTATCAACTAATTGATGCACCATGGAATCAGTAAATAAGTGAATAAGACATTGTGGGCAGAGCATCATACACATAATTTCTTAGCAATTTGTCTAACATGCTAAGAGGTATAGCAGACTTAATGCAATCACTGTCCAGCTATGAAAATTGGATTGTAATGACAAGCAGTCATACTACCAAGATGAACTTAACAAAGAGTTCCCTATCATTCCAAAGAGTTATGAAAACTTAAATTCTCCTTACAATTTCATTTCACCATCAAACAGAAAGGTTATGTGAATTACAATATAATACCAGGGGATATTGTTTGCAATAAAATCAAATTATTTAAATAACCTACAACAAAATGTGCTCACAGCAGTTAAGTGAATTAGTTTTGTGATCGGGGAGCTAAAGACTTAATTCATAGCTACTGTTAGTAATAATTATTTAGTACATAATATGATATATGAAGCCTCAAAGCTGACTTGTAAGCCTCACCCCATTGTAAGAGTAACATTATAATCATTTGTAAATGTAAGCATGTCTGTGATCTTTGTTGTTCTGTCCATGGAGGTTGTACAAATCCTGTTTTGGCTTGGAGCAAAGCGACAACATGTAACTGTACTCTTGTGATCTGGTAGTGAAGGTGACCATAAGGAGAAACTAAATGAAATATTTAAGAGATACTTGTACTATTCCTAGAGGTTTAAATACTGCACATCTGATCACAAAAATTTAAATGGTTATGTAGAGAAAACCATCCTGAAGTCTAAAGATGTGAATTTTCTTTTATCATGCAGTGTTGAAGATAATATCTAATGGAAAAGCCCTCAGAGTAAGCAAATATCTTTAAGTTACCAGGTAACATCCCTTTTTATAAATTTGACCAGAAAAACAAAGCATGAACTCAATAAAAAATTCTTACATGTCAATAGATACGTTTTCTCAATTCCTTTGCTTTATTATTTACTATGGACAAAATCCTTGAATAATTCTGAGTTTTATGGAATGTTCTTCATATTTAGTGTTTCCTTGTTCATCAGAGCAGGATTTTCCATCAGTTTCACAGAGATATTGCTTTTCACTCTTTACTGATTGTTTTCGTCATGAAAAACAATGCAAATTAGAACACAAAAGAGTGTCACCAATATGTTTGCAATGTAATGGAAAATAAGACAACTCAGTTAAAAGATGTAGTGTCTTACTAATTTGACCCACTGTGCATTTTCCAATAGACTCTTTATGTTTTTAAGATAAAATAATCCTCAGTGATACAAATTCCTTAAAGGCACAAACATGCAACTCCCACTGCAAAAAACAATCACACTACTCACTGAAAAGTTTCTTGATGAGAGATCCTTCCCGTACATCCCACACACTGACAGCAAAATCCAAGTCACTACTGTTGACAAGGTAACGTCCATCATGAGAGAAGTGACATGATGTTACTATACCTTCATTCATTGCTTCCCACTAGATAAACAAAAGTAAAAAAAAGTAAATCTGTGAATGAGTGCCTCATCTGTTCAACAATTTTAAAAAAACTCCTCACCACTTTGATGACAGGACAACTAATAAAAAGACTTATCAAACAAGATGGGTTGCCTTCAATTTTCTCTTGTTAACAAGAAACTCAGGATTGAGTTAAAAGCCTGACTTGGCTGTCTCCCCACAATTGATTTGAGTCCAAAGTAATTTTCTTTTTGCCATAGACACCCCAGTTAACAGTAAGTGCATGGCCTTGCACTAATTTCTTGCAACCTCATGTTGACCAACCGCAGGCCTCTCTTTATATTTACTTTCATCATGGTATTCTGTATTATTAAATGAGCAGAGTTGAGTGGTTGTTTCATGCAATAAAATAACTCTCTATTCCCTTAAGAGTGACTAGCATATCCATATTTTTCCTTACAATATAACCACTGAATCAAACAGTAAGGACATGAGAAAATGGAAAAAATTGCTAAATAAAGCCATTGATGATTTGACAAATTCTCATTGTCGGTAATAATTTATATAATAAGCTCAAATATGCACGCATTCTGATTGGTTCTCACTTATGATCTATTGGAGGACAGACGTATAGATGACGTCATCATTAAAACTTTTTTAAATTCTTTATTGTATTAAACAAAAAAATTCCAAGTTGCCATGTGTCTTTTCAGTAATAGATAATAGAGGACGTCAAAATGTGGTAAGAACATCAGTGACACACTCGACTGCGCCTCTTGTGCCACTTTTTTGTTCTTACCACATTTTGACGTCATCTATGATCTATTACTGAACAGACGCACAGCAACTTGGAATCTATTTGTTAAATATAGAGAACAGGATGGTGGATATGTATTTACTGCTATTAAGGTTTAAATTGGGTTTCAGTATGCTCACCAGAATTGTACCAGTCTGAATATCCCAGACAAGAAGCCTTTTATCCCATCCACCTGAAGCTATCCTAGACCACAAGTATATCATATTAATAGTATAGTTCACCTGGATATATTGATACTGAGAGCTCTTTTACTGAATCTCCAGAAAATAACGATATGTGTTTGCTAAGGACACAATCCAATTCATTTTAATTTTTAAAATAAACAGTGCATTTTTAGGATCTAACCACAAGGATAGATGCTAACAAGTGTAACTTAGCAAGCTAAATCATCCATTAGCCCCCTCCAACAGTTTTTTTTAAAGAAAAAGTATTTCAACTTTCATCAAACCTGGCATTGTTTGGGTCTGTATGGCAGCATGTAACATAGGAATCGTGACCTTTAAAGACATTGACTTGAGCTCCAGAATTGGCATCCTAAAAAAAAGTTCACAAGTGTACATGAAGTTAAAAAGAATGTTAAGGTATGCATTTTTAATCACACAATGTGTGTGGAACTATGGAATTATTAAAAGTAAGCATACAGAAATTAAGGCAGCCAAACCAAGCTGTCATACCCAGACAATCTTATTTCAACATAGTAGGTGATTGTATTACACATGTAGATGTGATTACACTAGTCTTTCATTGTAAAAGGCCAATACAACTTGGATATCAAATATGTGCACCTTTTCAAGATGATGAAAATTTTTGTAACATAATTATACATTAAAGAGGAACCAAAACCTTTACAGCCTTCTTTATCTTCCCAAGCATTGGATAAGCTGCAAATTCCATAATTATGTAATTATGATAAATGGGTAATGCATATTTCACCTTGTTTTCCCAACATAACTTGGACTAGATCAAATTTGTAACTCTCCTCACTGTCAACCATATAATTCTTATAATGTTAGTACAGAGAATTTAGTACTGGATCAACTGATTATCCTTAAATTGCTATTTTTATTTATACTCATTACCTATCTGGTTGATATTGTATTGATATTGTAAGGAGAAATTCTGTCTTGGTCACTCATGGGAGTTTAATAGTTAAGGTAGGTCAAAAAGTGGCAGCTAAAATAGCTGATGTGGACTTACCTATTATCTACACAAAGTTATAAATCAATCCTAACTATTAAAAATGTTTACAGAAATTTTCTCACAAAAATATACAAAATTGTTAATTGAACCTTTCTATTAAATATGTTTACAGAAATATTTACAAAAAATATATACAAGATTGTTCATTAAACCTAGCTATTATCAAAAAGAAAAAAAATGTGAAAACATATATTAATTTAAAATACCACTAATAAGATAATAATAAATTAAATTGGCTGCACCTTTTTTTAAATAAAATGAATCAGAAGTAAGTGAATGAAAAAAACCCACCCAAAGCCTCAGAGTCTTGTCATGTGAAGCTGTAACTATTTTGGAGTCCTCAAAGGCAAATGAACAGCTGTTTACAGCATCTTTATGTCCTCTTAGAACTTTTATCTTAACCTATAGAGGAATTTAAAGGATGGAGAAGAAACTTATTTTCTTAGTAACTAAGATAATCTCCTTTGCAAAATCTGTTCAATTTCTTCTCTTTATTAGGACCTTAAACGGTTCTGGCTCAATATTTGCTTACCCGATGCAAGCCAGGGAAGTCTTAAGAGAAAAAAAATCTTACAACTATGTTATTTTGTTCATATTTTTCCTATGAAAAGACTGAAAATTGTCAACATGAATTATACTTGGCTCTTTGTCAAAAAATGAATCTGGTATTCTTATTTCTCTTGTCACTGAAAAGGGGTGAGTAGGTTTTCATCTCAATTTTGCGATCGAGTCTTAAAATTTTCTTATTACACATTCCGCTACAATTACTATGACGCATATGTTAATTTGTTTATCAAAAGTTATCCATGCTGTAATGTCTTACAGATCGAGACAAACAAAAGCCGTGATTTGTCATTGACAGTGTTTGTTTTGATCATACCTGTGCCAAGGACTGATGCTCCCACGTCGCTCCTTGTTGTACGTCACTATCAGAGTCTTCTTCACTGGGCATTTTTTTAACTGACCTTACATACGCTTTCTAAATTTGTTGTTTACATTCACTTAGGCAACCCTCATCCGCCATATTTGATTTGATAGTACCCAAAAGGTGTATGGGATAGTTTGTACCCAGTTTCCCGGAAACGGCAAATAAGGCGAAAAGGTAGTAACCGTAAGTTACTTCTTGGAAAATGTCAAAATTCAATTTTCCTTATGCAAATTTTCTCCATTTTCTAGTATTACATTACCAAATGTTGAAAGTAAACACGCTTACAATTTTATAACCTAGTTTTGACCTTTAATTTCTTTATTAAACACTTTGCAAGAGACAATTTTCCTGGAGTGCAAGATACAAACACAACACATCGGAAAACGACTTTTCGATACTTTTCTCGCCAAAACACAATTGGATAATAAATATTTTACCAAGATCACAATAACTTTTATTCAAGTTTTAACCATACCAGTTCTAAACCCATAAAAGATGTCTCGATTCTCCTCCAAAGCAAAAAGAAACCCGACACGTTTTACTAAGGATCAGTCCGAATGTTAGGCACGAATTTGTTTTCGATTAATGATGAAAAGTTAAATTTTCAGCGAAAAGTGTCGATTTTTTTAGCAACCAAGCTGAGAAATAATACATCGCCGACTGCGTGGAAAATTTTCTTGTCTTAGTTAACGCGAAAAGGTCGATCTGTCCGTCACTACAATGAAAATTCAACACTCTATATACCGAAATTTATTAAGGAGATGGATGGTTTTATAAGGTTCAGCACTCGTGTGCGAAATAAGATATATCATCGATCAAGCATCGCTCAGTACAGAAGAAAGTACACTCACCATTTCGCGTTGATTATTTTGTGCTGCGTGGAGGGTGCCTGTACCAAATCTATCTCAGAATGAAATTATATACAGTAAATGCAGTGGAGTTTAATTTACACAATAGAATGCTGAATAGTTCCTTTATTTCAGTAAACAAAAGCAGGTTGTCATATTTTGCGTAAAAGTTCCGTTTTATAATTAATTTTCGCCTTTTCACGCTGATCCAGTGATTTTCCTAACGTCACCATTGGTTTCGGGCAGTGGTGGGTTGAGCATCCTTGTGTACTCTTGAGGCGTAATATTAATTATCATTTCAAACTGGCCATCATGGGAAATTTAATTCTCTCTTTTATGCACCGCAAAACATGTGATCAAGTGTTCTTTTTTCGGGGGGGGGGAAGGAAATGCGAGAAAGACGGACTCTTGTCTACTTGTGTTGTTACTCTTTCGCGCTCCGAAAAAAGAACGTCTGATCGCAGGTTATACTCTGCTGTTGTCTCAAGTTCTGTGCCACATATAAGGTTTTAGTATTGTTGGCGTGTATTCGTGTTCAGTTCCTAAAGTCCGTGCTCGAGCAGACATGCGCGCGGAGTGCGTAAATAACCCTTGAGATCATGACCACCGATCGGCGTCAAGTTTTCTCCGGCCCTATGAGTCACAAACCTAATTCTGTCATCAGAAGTCAGTGATGTTCCTAGCTTTCCATGATTTCCCTCTTCGCTCGCAATGTACCAAGAATGCTCGTAATGTTTTCAAAGTCTACCTTGAGAAAACTAAACGTCAATTCTCTAATTCTCAATCCTGACTATTCTGAACTTGAATCAGAATTGATGATAGTAATGATATAACCCTTAAAAGATTTTATCCCCAGGAATCGAGTCTTCACTTCTGTTCAGCAATTGGTCTCCTTGTTAAATTGATGACCTGCAGCACAGGCATGTATGAACATGAGACTGCTATAGCTCTACAAAAGGACTTCCATGTTGATCCGCGCAAGTGTTAATGCAATAGATGTGATCTTTCTTCTCGAAGTGCGAGGCACCAAAAGTGCGTACAATTTTATAATACATTTCCGCAGCCAATTTGCATCTTCTCTCTTCTTTGCTGATTCCTTGAAAGAAATACCAGATGTCCAACAAGGCATCCATAACGCCACGCCTGGTTCTGCTGTGTACACGCCTATGGCAGGACTGTATCATGTCGCGAAGTAGCGCTTTGTCGCAGGCCTCTCGTGTCCAGTTATAGTGGTTACCCTGTGGAACATATCATTTAACAGGTATTAATATGTTTATGAGTATAACTCTGACTTCTCGGGATAGAATATACGCTTTAAAAACTCCATTATTTTAACTGCTTAGCGATCTTCAAATTTAAAATTCAGTGGAAAAAAATTTGAATGGCTTTCGTGCCAATAAATATATAGAGAGCACTGTTCATATTCTAATGTCCCTTTTTTAATATCTGAATCTGTTTGATGTGGTGGAAGCTTGCCTTTATACACAGACAACTTAATTGTATGTTTTTTCTCTTGGCAGGTATGATCTCCAAAGCCGCGCAACTCTAAGACGTTGGCTACGGACGTTATGCGAATTTTAATAATAACCTAGAAAAAATGTTCAAGTTTCTTTTTTATTATAAGAGTCCATTGTCGCAAAGAATACGCATAATTCCTTTTAAGGTCTTTTAACTTTGGGCCCATGATAACATGGCTGTCAGATCAAATATATTCGTTACTCCTTTGCGGGGAAATCATGGCACCTTTATCAATATTCGAGGTTAGATAAATTTTTCGGTCTTTATGTAAGGGGACGGAATTTGTTACTGTGACATAAATAACCAATTTTCTCAAAGCAATTTAGTAAACATGATAACTGTGAACGAGGAATGACATTGATCGTTTCCTTCCCATTTTGGACACAAAGTATAACATTTTTGGTGAAGAGTTCCACAAATTACGACGTAACGCAATTCAACGGACACGTTCTTCGTTATGCACTCAAGCGAAACACACTTACACATCCATAACATATGTCGTGTTTGTCACAAGCCGGCGTGAACTCTCTCTTAAACGGCGCGTTGATTCCCATAGGTGTACTGCAGCCGTTTGTATTTCTATCCGCCTCACAAACTCTACCAGAGCAAAACGTGAATCGCAACACAAACAGGCCGAGAATCAAGACAGGATCTACAAAAGCCATAAATCACGGTGATCTGACCATGTATCGTGTTCTTGAACTCGTTTAAAGATATCATCGCCTGGAGACGCGCTTTTCGTTAGGAAAAGCTCGCTCAAGGTTCAGCCATCTTGCAACCACACTTGAATAACTTTGTGCGTGGGATTTTTTAGAAAAGTAGTTTCTTACTGAAGTATACGAAGAACAGAAGTTATTACAAGGGTTTTGTCGATGTGTCAATGAATTATCTATGACATCAACCTGCGCTTTTTCCACCAAAATACTTCCTATATGTTATGGTTGCTATAACAACGGACTCTGGTGGTTTTACTGGTGACTAGACAACTCAAACAGAGCAGGAATAAGTAAAACTATAAATCTGTTTTGTCTGCTGAAAGAAGCTTCCTTCCGACTTTTTTACTGTAATAGTCTCCTCACTCAACTATCGCTCTAATTCATGTACCAAAACGAAAAGTACCGACTTTCCGGCCAGTTCTGGGAGCATTATCAGTGACTAAGATCTCCCCAAATGTAAAGACAGGCAATAAGAATAAAGGAAACGATCAATAAGTTACGGACACTTTAAGACTACCTTGTATTTTATTTCAGTTACATTAAAGGTCTCCACCTCTCATTATCGACCCTCGTCATCAATTTAATTAAGTTTGCACCGAGCAGACTTTGGCGCTGTTTCTTTCTTAGCGAATAAAGCTTTATTGAGAGTAAAATAGGAGAAACAAAATTCATTTGCTCGTTATTCTCTATTCTGATCAGTCATAATCAGAGCCCTAATTCAGCCATGGCCATTCTTGAGCTCTGATCAAAATTTATTTTTTCAGTGTAAGTGTCTTAAGCCGAAAACCATAAAGAAAAAGTTGCATTAAGGATTTTTACAAGAACCGATTCAATGCTGAAAAACAAGCGCGTCTGTCTTAGAAGCAAATCACTGCTCGCCTGATCTATTGGTCCTAAGACAAAATGATATGCACGAATGGTCCTATTTGCTCGCAGACAAAGCAGACAAGCTGTGAATGACTTTTACTTCCCGATTCTAAAGAGATTAAGCACTCTACTGGCTACAAACAGGATTAATAAAAATTAAAAACAGTTATTCCAAATCGATTTGTGCCCCTTGCCACACGACCCGTCAACGGCCAATGTGTTTCAGTGTGCTTGAAACATAATTTCCACTCTTCATTTAGTTTATGAAGGCGAAATTGAACTAGGAAGTTCAATTAATAATTATTCATACACAACTGATGAACTGTGAAGTCTACTTTTTTGTTTCAAGATGTGCTTTGCTGACAGAATTCTTTGAGAAAAAATATTTTGCGAAGCCAAAGAGTAAGACTAGTTTCTGTCCTGTAAAAGGCTTCTCTTCTTGGCACCAGACAAACTAACAAGCAAGATGCTGACCAAAAACAGGATATGCAAAGAATGAAAACAATTCGAATATTTTTGTTCTTCATGACCTGGTGAGAGCCGATGGATTTGCGTAAGCTTTCAATAAAACTCCTGCGAATTCAGTTAGACAATAAACTAGCGAGATCCAGAGAGTTCCATAAGTGATACGCAATGAACTGTGCCGGTCTGCATTGAGTTATGTACGGAAAATGTTTTCGCTTAAGAAGAGTTTCTGCGCTGTAAATGGCTTTTTCATACTAGACCAAGAGAATACAGGAAGCAAATGGCCAAAAACAAGATTAGCAGGGACTGAAAGCTGCTCTACAAGAAATACCACAGTTAATGTGTCTATTTATACTTGAAACATAATTCCCGAGAATTTAATCAATTCGCGGAAGCGTAACTGTACTGTTTACTTCTCTGTCTACCGATGTGCTTCGTAAGCGAAATTTAAATGAAGGGTCTTTGCAAAACTGCTGGGAGTAAGACGGAACATTTATCGCGGAGCAAGAATTTCCAACCTTTGTTCAACTAACAAGATGTCTTCAATCGTCATAGCCGTGTTTAAACTTACCATCGGCTTGCTTGGAAATAGATTCAGGGACAAGTTGGCAGACTCGTTGAAAGAAGGTGACATAACAGATCAAAAGTGTCGTGATTTCATCATTCGTGAAATCAAAGAAATCAAATCAAAGCTGGATGGATTGGCAAGAAAGGATTTGTTGGCAAGTATAAGCTTCTTTAACGAAGGAATCAAGTTTTTGTATGAGATGTTCGACGAAGTGAGGCCCAAAGGCGAAAATAACAACGCCGTAACAACAACACAAGCTGCTACAGCGATGAGTTGTGCTGCTGAAACATTTTCTCTTACAAAAGGAATGAGTGAGCTAGAGATTAGGGATCTTAGTGCATCAGCATCCGGGGCGCTATCTAGAGCAAAAGACAGATTCAAAGACGCAAGAAGGAAGGCGACGGAAGCTTTCGCCAACACAGCCTTGTCAACCTCTGACCGCCTTCTGTCCATGCAGTATCGTGTTATGGCAACAATATTAGAAACTGTAGACAATGCGACATACTCGATAGCAGCCTGCATAGTGTGCCTTGAAGAGTTGAATAGTCTGCCAGCTGTTCAAAAAGGTTTTAAAGTTGAACTCGAGAAAGGGCTTAAGGCTGCATTTAGCAAAGACCCACGGAGAGATCTGATCTCCACTGTGTGTCATATAAATCGCGTGATATTGAATATCGCGCTCATGGCGGACTTCGGTCACAAGGAGCTGTCAAACTGGCCATGCGTTGAAATCGGAGGAACAAAAGTTTCTCCACTACAAAATGACAGAGTGTTAAAAGTCCTGAAGAAAAGAGGCATGGAGCACTGCTTCGGAACTTTGGAATTACTACGGGGAGAGTATGGAAGTTTGATATGGCCAATAAGTATTGCTTCAAACAGCCTTGGACAATTCCTCGTCGCGAACGACGACGGAGATAAAAGAGCCAAGTTATTTGACAGCAGAGGTAAAGTTTTGAACAGTTTCTCTCTCATTTCGGATGCCTCTCGTGACGATGTGTACTGCATATGTCAAGTAGCTACTGATTTGAATGGCAAGATCTATGTACTAGTCGAACTAAAGCCTTGTGTCAAGTCAATCTTTAAAGATAACAATCCCGGAGCAGTGTGCGTGTTTGATTGTGATTTTCAACCCCTGCACAAGTTTTCACTAAAAGAGGAATTTAGCACCGTTGCGTTCAGACCATCACTGACAGTCAGTGACAGAAACAAAGTACTGATACTTCTGGTGACACAACCGAATTACTCACAGAGGAAACCAACCATTCAAGTTTATCAGTTTGATGGTCAATTTGTTGATGACTTCGGTGACGGAATACTGAAGAGTCCAATTAATATCGCCGCTGCAAGTGATGGTCGAACATTGGTGACAGATAGTGGCGATGATGGCGATTCCTGTGTTCACGTTTTTAATGAAAACGGCGAACAGATTTTTAAGTTGACAGAAATGTTAGAATTCGATTATCCATTTTACACAGCATTTCACTGGCCAAGTGAATACATTGTTGTCGCTGGTTTCCGTCCACAGAAAGAAGAGCTTCAGGTGCTTATATATACTAAAGAAGGCGAAATCGTGCGTCGCTTAGAGCAAGGTGCGAAAGGTTTTAGTTCCTTAGTAGAGCTCACAGTGACTGTCGAAGGACGCATTGGTATTCTCGCAATGTTTGAAACCGACCGTCAAACTGAAACTAAAAGTTTGTTTTTCAAGATACTCGTTATATAAGCTGTTAGTATATACCACACAGCAGGTGAATAGTACTTTTCGCGCCCGCTGATTGGCTACTTCGGAGGTTAATAGCAAATACTATTTTCTTCTGATCTGCCAGTGAGCCAAATTCGCGCGTCTTAAGTTTAATTTCCAACAATTTGTGGTACAATGACAGAAATAAACTAAGTTTTTGGTTTCTGTGTGGTATATATTAACAATTATTCTCCTCAGTGTCGGTGAAAGTGGTGGATATTTACCTAGCTGTGAAGTACCTTTATTCACCTCCACATCGATGAATAACTGTTAAATTTCGTGTCTCTTCATTAGGTCGAAAAGTGCATAGTTTTCATTTAAACAGAATGAGAAGTGAAAAGGGTTGCCACAAACAAATTAACTGTAATTACTGTAATCTTAGGCCTACAAACTTTGTAAATACAAACAACATTCCTGGAAACGGCGTATTGGATGATCATTTGACATTATTGATACGTCCCATAGCCGCCAAGAGCTGTTGAAAATCGTACTAAGATACTAGATCGTTTTCAAAGTTTAACTTTAGACATTTGAATAAACCTCTTCGGTCGCCCATTTGTTTACTTCACTTCCACTGACTTCCTTAATTGTTTTTGCTAGCCATGTCAGATTTTCACCCAAGGTCTTCGGTAAAACGTGCTAATTGGCCAACGGAAAGAAGGGATGGTGTGAGTAAAAATAAGGGACCTCCTGTGTTGTGGCCTTAGTGTATTTTATTTCTCACGCATAAAACAGTACTTGTCATTTAAACGCATGATGCCAAACCTTTGTTTTCATTATGTCCGCATTGTACTTCCTAGTGCAATTTAGCCTGTTCCAGTCTCTCGCCGAGTGGAAAATGCAAAACAGTAAGCGAACGACGCTTAGTAATTATAAGGAGAAACGGCATACTTTCGCGTTTTTATATGCCCTCTCTTTCGCTTGACTCCGCTGACCGGGAGCGTGAAGTAGGCGAAGTGCATATTATATCGTATCGTGTATTGTTACTCCACACATATCTTTTTACTTTTTCACCTGTACAAAATCACTAGTATTTACTTCTTTACTCTTGGAAGAGCTATGGTTCTGACAAGGAGAATTTGTTTAACAATCAGGAGTTTCTTAAATTAGTGATCATTTACTTAATTCTCTTGACCTTAACATTTGATTTAAGGGTGATGCTGAAAGGAGAACTTAGAAGCCAGTCACTCTCAGGGGTTAAAAGGTTAATAAACTTTATGGTCTCTTTCTATATGGAATTTTCAAAAATTTCCACTAAAACATGACATACTAAAATTTTTGTTTCCTATGGACTGGGATGAATTATCTTTAGGCGGACCTTGAAAATTCTATTTTAGAGGTACGTCCTTTGTAACCAAAACCATTATTCACCACTAAAGTGTAACAGCGTACAGAAATTTGTAACTCGGCTCGATGGGCAAAAAACTATTGTACGCAATTAAGAAATATTCACGATTCATACCTGAATCAAGAATGGAGTCTATGCATTTTTATCCCTGAAATGCGCATCTAAAAGAGTCTAATTTTGGGGCTTTGAAGGTAGATAACACTACGATTATTTGAGAAATAAATTCCAATATCTATGAAATAATTTGAATATTTTGCTTTAAGCAAGCATTTGACAATCGTAGCACGTTTGTTTCTTGTCGCGAACAGTGCGCGCGGAACATCTTCTGAAGATTTTTTCTAAGCTGTCGATGTCGTGACGTACAGCTACTGGATGTTTTCTCACCAGACCCCCCTGAGGAGTAAGAGTTCTGCGCTCAGAACTGTGATTACAGAGGTGAGTAAAACGGGCAGCATTTTGGTTCTGGAATCAAGACATTAATTCCATACAGTTCCACCAAATCCGACAGAAAACGAAGATCTCCCTTTGGATCAAGTCCTATGCTTCGGATCATGTCTGGTGTTAAAACTCTGTCTTGAGTAGACGCGACCTCGAAAAGCATCTGGAAAAGTGAATTGTTTAAATTCACAAAGAACCTAAGAGGAAAGAGATAGGCATTAAAATCTTCAGCAAAAGAATTAATTTTCCCCTTTTAAGGAAACTAAGAACCCATTGAAATTGAAATTGGCCTCGCACCCAACCTACTGTTTCATAACGGGAGCACAAGGCCTCTACTCTCGTCAAAGCCTGATATATTTTCAAGGCTTCAGTTCGTTAATCGTAATCATGAACAGGTCAATCTTTGATCTATTCGTCAAATGACCTTTACGACCCTGCTCATGCAATCCTATTAGTATAGACAACCATGAAAACTGACGCATATGTAGTCGGATAGGGTTGAAATGAACGACGTTAGCTCTTTGCAGGACGAGCCATAGAGTAAGATAGTAAATTTTGAGCTCGGGTAAAAAATAGCGAAAGTTGTCTTTTTGTCTTGTCACGAGCATGGGACAAAGAAAAAAATTCTGAGTCTTAGTGAGGAATCGAACCTCACTGAACCACTGAGCTACAGCAACTCTACGGCGAGCAAGGTCATTAAGAAATTCATAGATGGCACTGTCGACATTGCTGATCCATGCAATATGCAGGACACGTATCATATACGAACTTCGTAATGGCCTTGCTCACCATAGAGTTTCTTTGGCTCAATGGTAGAGCATCGAAGCGCAGAATCCGAAGCTCTGAGGTTCGATTCCTAACGGGTACTCAGAATATTTCCTGAGTCGATGATGGAGGTCCAGGGAGACCAAATCTATGGGGGGTGCAAATCCGCTGGGACACCGGAAAAAGCCCACCTCGCTTGCATGGCTGTGTCATAAAACTTAAAGCAGAAATGAAAAATAAAGTCGCGTTTTGAATTAATTGTGAGTTTCTTTCCAAAAGAAAAAAAGCATTACAGGGCTTTCACTTCAGCCTTTCAGGCTCTGATCATCAAGTACGCTGTCACCAATCGTCAAAATACAAACACGGGGGAAAACTTCTAATAGAAAAAGTACATTTTTACTCACCTGGTATACATTTTTTCATCGTCTGTTACTTCACCTCCTGTGTACAGTTGTTGTTGCCTTAACATGTACAGGTAGAAAAATAATTTACTTCTGTTTATCGTGAATTTTTCTAAGTTCAAATTATCAGAGATTGACCTTTAATGGCTTAGATAAGACCAAGAAAAAAATTAAATAAGCCACTGCAATTCTATCACAACTTGAAAACAGAATGTAGACCAGAAATTGTACTAATGAGTAAATATGCCCGTCTCATAAAGTTACTAGAGAACATTTATAAGTAAACAATGGTTGTCATTTAGTAGGGAAACATAATCGAATATTTGTCTGTGGCATCATTAGATGTGAGCAGCGAACAGTTATCCAATAGTGAAGCTTAAGAAAAACTGTGTTCAATGTCCTCTCGGCTCTTCGTTTGTTCATCTAGATCAGCTACATAACCCTCTTCCTTATTGAACTGACTTTAAACAAAGAGTTGAATAAAGCGTTTTCAATTTGGGGAGAATCATCGGATATTTCCCCTATTCAGCCACAGCATATTCAGACATGTGACCATGAGTTTACACCGATCATGCGCAAGCGACAATATTCGTTGAAGTCAAAAGACCAACGTGAACGGTTCAATTAATCCATGCATCGGCTTGTTCCTTTGCATGGTTACTAATAGTACTCACCTGAAAGAGTCCAGTTCTTCTAACCTATCCCTGTCTGCATTATTAAAGTTTGCGATCCAACTCAAGTGTGGTTTGCACTTGATGTTCTGGTTATCAACATAAACATCATACACCTCTAACTTGCTCTCAAATATCTTTTCTGTAGTACCTAACAAGCAACAAAAGAGAGATTTTGAGACAATTAAATTCAGCACTATGAAACTAGCCTAACTAAGCAATAAGTGGTGTGGAGGATCACTTGTTCAACTTTCAAACATCTAAAGACAGCTTTTTAAAAGATTTTTCCAACTTGTAATATTGCTACCCTGAAAAACGTATCCAACTCAGGCAAAGATTCACTGCTCAGCAAAGGGCAGTATAAACCAGTGGTTTGGTATGGCTTCCCGGATCAATATCAGTATCTGGGCAACTGCCCACCTACCCCTCCCCTAACCCAACATTAACCTTAACTTTTGTTGTCAATTGACTGTTGTTGAGTTAGGGGAGGGGTAGGTGGGCAGTTGCCCAGATACTGATATTGATCCAGCTTCCCTTCCAAGTCAATATTCAATTATTTTAACATGTGATGCATTATCAATATTTCTGTACCATATTTTCTATTTCCTTTCCATATATTTTTTTAAATTGGCTTTCATATTTTTTATTTATGTGCCTATTGATTTATATGTAAGTGTTTAGCCAATTGATTTTGTTTTCATTCTCTTTGTTTTTAAATGTGTTCTTTATTTATAAATGAATAGAAAATGGCACCACATATTGCAATGCAACACATATTGAAATAGTTTGAATATTGACTGGAAAGGTGTGCCATAGTTCAGAGTATTTGATTATGAATTTGGAGTTCCCAGGTCAACTCCTACACCCTGCCTCTCAACTAAATTTGTTTTCTGAGGTCACCTTCATCACTGAGCTTTTTAAACAACAAACTGACTTATACCAACAAGTTCCATGCTAAAACATTCAGGATCTACTTGATTAATCTATACATTGATAGTGCTCTCACTGAAAACAGGTATGCTTAATATATGTAAATATATGTTTCTATTTAGACCATTATTAATTTATAGGATGTATTCCTTTCCAGATATAAAACTAAAGACAACTAAAAGAATATTCCCAAGTCTTGTGCCCATAATAAAAATTCAATAATAATAAATAGGTGAACTTACACAAGTAAAACATTAATTAAGCGCATTATTTATGACAAAATAAAACTTACATGCAATATATTTGTGTTCTTCATGTAGTGCACTCAAGTCACAAACATTTGTAAAAAATAATGGGTTGCTACCAGTTTCAAAACCAAATGGAATCCCATGACTTGCCAACAAACAAGCACTGTAAACTGTTGGGTAAAGAATTTTGTTTATCAAATGATTTGAGTATAACAATGTTATAAATGTTGGTTTCTTTAAAATTATTGGTAGCATGCTACAATATAAGCAGCTATGAAGAGTATCACATTACAAAGTGCATGTAATGATGGCAATAAGTTTGCTAGCAGATGAGGGACTGGCTCTTGTTACAAAATGAATTGGGGCAGTGCAGATGTGATTGAAAGATTTCTAACAGACATTAAACCATCTTTAAAGTGGAAAGCATTTTTCCTGCAAGAAACATTGAGGTTCAACACTGATGTATTTCAATCCTCCCACATATATAACCTTAATATCTTGGAGCACAGTGTCTTGCTGGTTTGACATAATGATTTGTAACAAAGCTTTAAAAAAGCATGCGCTCCTATTGGCTAATATGCTTGATCCCTTTGCCCATGGGTTGCATGCTGACGTCAGTTTGTTTTGCTTTTTTTTTTCCTACAAGAAATGAAAGATGTTTTCAAGTCCCAATGTCATAAAAGAAATGGTTAGAGTGCAGCATGCAATCAGCGAGTTATGGACGCACTTGGGAGGTTTGCCAAGCACAAAAGAAGTGTAAGAGTCCCACATGGCAACAGCCAAGTGTGACTCTTAAGCTTCTTTTATGCTTGGCAACCTCCCACACTCATCCACCACCTGATGGTTGTACACTGCATGCTGACCATTTCTTAAATACAATTGTATTCAACTGTAATTTACCACAGCTGAAGGGAATCATTGCTGAATAATCCCTGAAATGAAGTGGAAGGGATTACTCCCTAACAATTCATTTTTTCAATATGATAGGTCCTTACCTCTATAGCAAGCCACTCCAACAGGGGGAGGTGCAAAGAATAAAATACGTTTCTGTAATAACACAAATTTCCAGAGAACAAAAATTTGCTCTCCAAAGAACTTGATAAACTGAGGGAAACATCCAGCTGGGTGCGTGATCTGATAACCAAAAAAAGCGTAAAAAGGAATCATTTAAATCATCAGACAACAATTTAAAGTTTTTCTGCACAGGTCAAAAGCCAATGGTCACTTCAGCTGGTGATTGTAACTATTTCATAGTTAGAGTCAAAGTGAACTCTTGTTCACAGAATATGACATTCAGCTGCATGGTGTGGGGTGATATGTTGCACTTTAAGTTACTACTTACAGTATTGTGCATAAGTAATACTTATTTACCAGTAAGTTCAAAATTAAGCAATCCTGCTGAATTTCTGGACTTTTCATTGTAAAATGATGAAATTTAGCTCACCTCAACAATTTCAAGAAAATTTGTCAAACTTTTAAGATGCCTTTGTTTCAGCCAACCCAAAATTATGAGTGTAATTTTGTTTAAATTATAATTTGCCTATAAAAATTTCAAGGAGAAATTTGTTTGAAGATAGTTTTTCCCCAAAGTTTCAACAGCTTGCTTGATGTAAATCAAAAAATAAAATATCACAAGTTATTAATTTTTTTTAATGGGAATATTATTTTTGATTTTTGATGTCATCCTTGGTTTTTGATTTCTCAGGTGAGAAATCACTTCAAGCTTTTAATCTGTTTTAGGAGTAATTCTCTGATTTAATTGACTCATCACACAGTGACACAACTCCTTAAAAAAAATTCAAATTTGGGAATAAATTTAGGAATACCTTTAACACTGGTATCTCCTCCAGTCCAGGAGCCTTCTCATGAGTTGGAGATGGAATGTAGTTATTTCTAAGCACACAGTTCTTATAGCAATTGTAATAGTTTTCAAGATCCTCATAATTTCCAGGGTTTTCAAGCTGCCTCCTGCAAATTATATAAAAAGTACTTGCAAAGGTTTAAGATAAAAATTAGAGTGATATAAAATTCAAGGTTTCAATTTTTTTTGAGCCAATTAAATTTGTATTAATTATTTCTTTAAACTAATAATCTTCAGTAACAAGCCGAAACAAAGGAAAATCAAAATGAAACTACTCTAACAATTTCACACCAAGATAAGTAACATTTGAACCACAACATATAGCAGGCCTTAGACAACAAAATCCAATAGATTTTAGTGAGAGTTCAATATTACAGTAATTTAAAACATAGAGACAATATAGGGATTGCACTTGGGTACAAAAGGTTTTTAATTTTGAAAAACATTTCATCCCATCTCTATCTCAAAACCTACTTACAGTTTTATTAACCCTACTTACAGTTTTATTAACCCTTTCACTTCCAAGATCTCATAAGTAATCCTCTTTACTGCCTGCCATACAATTCTTATGATTTTAGATTAAAGAATTTGGTATTGGATCTACCAATAATCCTTCAATTGATAATTTTCTTTATTCTCATCCCTTGCTAGCTTTGTATTGTATTGATATTGTAAGGAGAAATTCTGTCTTAGTGACTCATGGGAGTTAAAGGGTTGATTGGGATACAAAAAACAAGGTCACACTACCTTACTTCCTCTTCGAGGAATGGCATGTGTTCATGTAGAGATGTGTACTTTGCACAAAGAATCCCTACTGATTTCATTCTAGCTCCTCTCTCAGCCACATTATCAACAGCTATACGCTCAAAACAACTCAACCCATAGAGACCATCTTTGGTTTTGAAGTATCTATCACAGGAAAAAGATAGCTTGCCTTAAGAACTTTAAACAAATGTTTGCAAGTGGATTTAACAATAAGGACTAACTGATAAAATGATATTTTCATTGTCCAAATCACCCCTATTGAGTCAAGTTCAAGAAAGTTTTTTAAGTTTATTTTGTGACATAAAAAAAGTTGTTGAATGCCAAGACTGCATTATAAAAAAAATTCTCATCACTTGCTTGCTTCATATTGTATCAATATTGTGAGGAGAAATTCTGTCTTGGTCACTCATGGGAGTTAAAGGGTTAAGCAATGAAGCAAGAAAGTTCAGTTTCATGTACTTATTTCCCTTAGTAAAACCACTCTTAATACCTCTTGAAGTTGGAATATACAGAGAATAAAATGAATCCTACTCTTTAGTACTTACATAAAGTCTCTTGTTATTGTATGTGAACCACTGGCTAAAGCTTTGAATTCCACACCAGTTAGATCCACTGATTTGGGATGTTTCCATTCAATTTCATTTCCTAGGTAAAATGTGTACATTTTGTCTGAATCTCAGTAACAAACTTGATGTGCTCTTACTTGTGGATTACAATTTCAAATACAGCTATGCACCACAAGGAAAAGGAGGCACCTGTGGTTCCTATTGCTGACAGTTTCATGTTTTATGAAGGAGATAGGTAATGTGACGTAAAGCATTTTCAAAGTCTTACAAATTCAAGCTACATTTATGCCAGCTTTATTGGCAGTAAAAATGAAATTGCAAGTGTTATGAACAATACAATAAGAATGGAAAGGAAGGCTGGTAGAAACCACGGGGCTTCTGAGTAAATGCTCTTAATAACATTTACAATTTGACACTAAAATAGAGAAAAAACTCAATAACAGATAAGAAAAAGAACAGGCCTCAGTTGTTTGAAGGGTGTTTAATGCCATTAACTAGATAAATCACCCTCTGGTGGATAGCACAGAACCTTTTGTTAACTTTTATCTACTGGATAGCGACTTATCCACTGGATAGTGATATCTGTCCTTGAACAACTGAGCCCAGAGCCATTATGTCTTTCAGATTACTTACATGTCAAAGTATACTCATGCTAAAAGAAGTAAAACCTGAAAAAGGGGAATTTAAATGGCAACCACTTTACACCTCAAGCTCTGAAGTAAAGAGTAAAAACCTATTGATTGGATATTGCTCCTGGCCTTGGGAAGGGGAAAGGAAATGGGAAATTATCCCTTTCTCACTTTAAAAAGGAACTACTAGGAATTGACCTCACGTTAAAAAAGAACTTTGATGATATATGTCAAGTGGCTTAAACCAAGGAAAGCTTTTTTAATTAAACCTTAGTTTCAAAAAGCCAGATCACGTCTAAATGTAGCTGAGATGCATCGTTAGGAGGAGGAAATTGGAAAAAGATAATGAAATTTGAACTGCCTGGAAAATAAATTTATGTATGTTTTTGCCCTACTGACCAACATCAGAGATAACATTCAGTAACTTGTTTAAGTGTTATGTTCACAATCTGCCTTATCATTTGAGATTCCGAAAATAGAAAAGTTTTGAACATAGTTGGGTGCTGAGGAAAAAAAAAAACCTGTGCGTATTACCTCGTCTTGTATCAAAGTGCACGACGTAGACGGCGAGTATCAGATCTGGAACAGTTCTTTGCTGTTCGTCTGAAGTCCTTCCAGAGGAATGAAGGAACGAAAAATTCCCACCGGACGTTGTATGTTCATCTTCTGGGGGAAAAGATGATAGTTCGCTTCTTGGGTCGTACGAAACATCAGGGATTTCCTCAAAATCAACCAGAACTGCTTCATCTTCTTCCGCCATAACTGAACATCTCCTTACTAGGGTAGGGTGAGTCGATGATGACTCATGACCTGACCAACTCATGACTACTCTCACCGGAGCCTGATAACTAGTTCCGCACAGTCAAATTTAAGAATTCGTGTCCATTCCGTTCTGTCACTATTCAGCATATATTTTAACTCACCAATTTATCAACTCACCGTCGAGAGAAAAGCAGAGGTATATTGACAGTTATTAGGATCAAGACTATTAAAATGGACGTGAATAAGGAAAATGGAGTAGCAGAAAGCTCGCCTAAAATTTATTTGGACTACAATGCCACAACTCCTCTGGAACCATCTGTCCTAACAGCAATCCATGATGCTTTGCGAGATGCTTGGGGAAATCCTAGTAGCTCTTATGCAGCAGGAAAGAAAGCAGGTCACGTGATCAAAGAAGCTCGGCTTTCAGTGGCCAACATGATTGGTGCATTAGAGGGTGACATCATTTTCACATCAGGTGGTACTGAGGCCAACAACATGGTGATCCATTCAGCACTGGAACACTTCTATGAATTTCATAGAGAAAGGGAAAACCATATTTCTGATATGAAACCCCATGTGATAACTTCAAATCTTGAACATGATTCGATCCAACTCCCTCTCTTGCATCTTGCAGAGCAAGGCAAGATAGAACTGACCTTTGTCCCAGCCTCTCAAGACTCTGGAGCAGTGACAACAGAGGCAATATTAAATAAAGTTAGACCAAGCACCTGTTTGGTGACTGTCATGATGGCAAATAATGAAACAGGGGTGATTCAGGTAACATGATCAATCCTATTTAAAATCTTTCTGTTATTTGAAGACCCAGATAAAGGAACTCAGTATAAGAAGCCTCATAGCCAGAAGATTACAACAATCAAGAAAAATCTTTTTCCACTGCAGCCTAAAGGTTTTTATAGCCATGAAAAATGGTAAACATATGATTACTTAATTGACCACAATTTCAATGGGGCTCTTCAGGGGTAAGGTGAAAAATTACTTAAAACAAGTATTTCTTGAAAGAGAAAGGGGAATCCTTGAATCATTTGCTCAAGGAATGGCAAGGGAACTATTTATTGCTCAGGTGATTATTGTAGTATTTCTTCTAACCTTTTCATTCATCAAAGAACATGGACACAGAGTTGGGTGCACACATCACTAGATCAACCTTGAAACTCCATATTAAAGAGAGAAAAAATTGAATGATATGGGATATACTGTAGCGGTTGTGTCCACATTCATTGACCAGAAAGTTTTAAACAGGCTGGAAATGTTCAGCAAGAAGCTAATAAAGCCCTTGCTATAGTCACCTCTCACAAGCTAATTATAGCAAGATACAGAACAATCCTTGTTTAGCCAGATTGCAAGAATCTATGTAATCGCTTGAGCAAATATATCACTAAAACCAGATGTTCTATAATTAACATGAACTGGGTTAATGACCACAGACCACAAGTCCATAACTCCAAAAACTCAGCCGTATTCCCTTCAGAGATATTTCAAACAATTCAGGACATGTACAAGTTTCACCAGAGAAAGAGATAAGTCTAATTAACAGCAGCCAAATGGCTCATGAACTACATTGCTCACATTCGTAACTATACAATGATCAAGGTTTTTTTCATTGTTGAAAATTGTGGTACAAACATTAGCATTGAGAAGCATAAGAATCAGAAGTTTTTTGATTTGGGGTAGTTTAAGGTGGATAACATCTGTAACAAAGCTAAAAGGTTACACTCTGTTCATCATATATGAAGCTTTTCTTTCCTTAACCATTTGATCCCAAAGAGTGACTAGCTTCTAATTTCTCTCTTCAATATCATCCTTGAATCACAAAGTAAGGTCATGAGAATAAAGGAAATGATCACCAACTGAAGAAGTTCTTAATTGTTAAGGGTGGGTGGGAGTAGGAGTGGTTCTTTTGAGCAGGAACTAGCAAGGATCTTTTGTAAGTAATTGAGCAATAATTGTATCTGATTAAGGAATGACATCTTATTTTTCAGCCAATTGAAAACATTTCCAAGGCTATTAGGGGGTTAATGAAGAGTCGTCTGTCTCAGGAAATGCCCAGGATTCTTGTCCATACTGATGCTGCACAAGCCATTGGCAAAATTAAAGTGGATGTGAATGACTTGGAAGTAGACTACCTCACAGTTGTGGGACACAAGTTCTATGGACCTCGAATTGGTACGAAATTAGAATTGATGGGGTGTGTAGACTTAAGCCTTTAAGTGACTTGTGATGCACTATAAGATTCTCCTTGTGCTCCACAAGGCAATATGAGAAAATTTTGAAGGAGAACCTAGCAGTCTATCAGAGTCACATAGGGCTTTTCATGCATTGCTTCAAGTGGGATCATACAGCTGTTTTAGGAAAGATTATTTGAAAAAAGCAAAAATGTGCATGCATCAACTTTGAAAGGTAATCTGGGTATCTGGTAATCAGAGAATTTTAATAAGTTAAATATATAAATGAATTAATTAAATCCAGGATTCTTTGTCCTCATGGTGAAAATTTCTCAGATTTACTTGAAAATCAAAGAACTGTGACCCAAAAAAACTACCCAAAATACCTTTCGGGGTTATTACATGCAATTTTTCACATTTTTTTTTCAACAAGCTTTCTCAAAACAGCTTTATACCAGTTAGTATATTAATTTTTTGTGATGAAATTTAAATAAATTCAATATTACTTAGCCACTTTCATAGGCATTGTTTAGTCTTGTCACACTACATGCTTCCTCCCTTAACAATGGGGAGGGAGCATATAACAAGATCAAACAACAGCTGCCAGTGGTGTTGGACATTACTATAAAGCTGAAAACTTCCTATTTTTTTTACCTGAAAATTTCAGTTGATATTCTCTATCCTCCACCTGGTGACTTTTGTAAAATGTAATTTCTATCAAATTTTTTGGGGGATAATAACTTATCATTTTAGATGAGTAATGTCCCTCTCTTTCTCTAGGGCATTGAAACAGTAAAGCCTACATGTAATTCACTAAGGTCTATATGTTATATTTAAGTTGCACTTAATTGTGAAGAAAAATTCACTGAGAAAACCTGTTGGCAGACAGTCAGCCAACAGTTGGCAGACTCTTAGGTGATAGTCACTAATCTGTCAGTGATCTGTACAGCCATACTTTTGTCTTAGATGTTAATCCTCATGTAACCTCCCAGTGGCCTGTTAATTATCTGTCAGCCCACAGGTTTTTCTAGGGAGCTGTTCTCCACAATTACCAAGTTGCACATTCCTTATCTGAAAAAATAGCCTCACGTAGCAAAATTAATAACCAGCTATTTTTTCTAACCAGGAGCCCTGTATGTTAGAAATCCAACAAGAGACACCCCTATACACCCCATGTTTTTCGGTGGAGGACAAGAAAGGAATTTTAGACCAGGAACAGAAAACACTGGCATGATTGCTGGATTAGGGCAAGCCTCCCAGCTGGTGGTGGAAAACCTGGACCAGTACCACAAAAACATGAAATTGGTTGGTAATTGTGTGAAGTGTATTTTAGAACTACATTAATCCAAAAACATCAAGGCCACTGAAACCTTTTGATATTCACAGGGTGGTCACTTAACTCTTTAACTCCCAAAAGTGATTAATGCACAACTTCTCCCTCTAATATCCATACATTATCCAGCAAACAGGTAATGAGAATACTCAAACTCATTAGGTAGGAGTTCTTTTCTTGATCAAACACCAAATTCCTATAACCCATTTTCAAGGAAATGTGTAGCAAATAAAAGGGGAGAATTATCAATTAGATCTTAGGGCTCTTACTCAGTGTAGAAGACACAGTTGACAGAAAACAATGGGAACAAAGCGGCAAAAGAACAAGTAAAACATTGATAACAATAGTTTAATAGGGTGGTGTTCTTTTGTGATATGTCCTATGTCTTCTACACCAAGAAGGAGCCATTTAAAGGGCTAACCAAATAATGAATAACTGTAGTGTGGTTTGTTTTACTGTAGTCCATAGGCATCCAATCTATACAGCCATATGGATTTTTTCAACAGTGAAGCTTTCACCCATACTTAACACCTTTTAAAAATAGAGAGAAATCTCTTTTCATGGGTGGGAGTGAATGGTGCCAGTTGAAAGTGCCTTCAAAGAGTTGAGTTTAAAGTGACTTTCACAGCCATGAGAGACAAGTAAAACCTGCTTCACATAGCAATTTTGATTTTGTGCCATCCCCCGTTTGGATTTCCCTTTGGCCTGGCTTGTGTGCATTTATGAAATAAAGTTTACAAGAATTCCTCCCTTTATCCTTTTGTTTCAGATAAGAGACTATCTTGAGGTCAGACTGAAGGAGATCTTTCAAGACAAAATTCAGGTCAATGGGAAATTTGAGACAAGTGAGCGAATACCCAACACATGCAATGTATCATTTATTGGTATAGGACTGGAAGGAAGAAAAATCTTGGCCACTGTTAAAAGACTGCAGGCAAGTGTTGGTGCTGCATGTCACTCAGATGTAGTTTCACGACCATCTCCAATCTTAATTGCCATTGGAGTCCCTCATGACATTGCAATGAATGCTCTGCGACTAAGTGTAGGACGAGACACAACCAAGGAAGATATTGATGTTGTGGTGGAAGATCTAAAGGTTGCCATTGAGGGTCTAAGGCACAAATAGATCATTAAAAATTACCTGTGTCATTTAAAAACTCTGTCCTGAAAATGACTTTTGATATCCTCAAATGGCTGTTGGCTGTGTGCCACTATCACTTTGACATATAGATTCCATTTTACTGTCCATCTGCTCTATGATAAATCTCAGAAGGGGTTGAGATATGGAAGAAACAAAATGTGGCACCCGAGGCGCAGCTGAGTGTGTCACTTATGTGTGTCGCTAATTATTTGACTACTACTAAGTAATTGGTGAGACTCATTGTTCAAGTCTAAAGCCACCTTAGCATTTATTTTGGCAACTCTGTTTTAAAATTTGTTACGAAATCGGTTACTAAATTTTCAAGAAAAACTTATTGCTTTCAAGCAGGTTCAAAACTGACTTGCGCATCTAAAAGGTCACCTTAAATAACTTTTAAATACTCAGAAAACATTTGGTAACAAAATCAACAAGTTGTACATTCTTAAGAAATCAATCCAATACCTGAACTTAGAAATAGCTGAAAACGATAACTGATATAAGTATACAGATATACATGCTATCTTTGAAGGAGTATTTTGAAATCCCCACACAATTTCCTAATCTAACAGCAGTAAGGAATGGCACTCTTAAAGAAGACTGAAAAAGGTGTCTGTGAAGATAATAGGATAAAATCATTCTGTACTCATGAAAGTTTTTTTTCACCAAAAAGCAAAATAATTTTCATTAAGAAAAGAGATGCAGGAGATTGACTCCTTTAATTCCTAAACTGATGATTTAATTTGATGTGAGAAATTAATGATTGTAATAATTGATATAAAATATATAAAAGTGCCTATAATTGTTTCCATTGGTCTGTTCAATCAAAACAGCTAACAAAAGTAATTCCCTCACAAACTAAAATTTCTAGATGCGGAACATATCACTATAATTTATAATGTTTGTCCTTTGAATCACACATTTTGAGTCAACGATTGTTAATTAATTTATACATCCAGAGTTCTTCCAGCTCTATTTCCTTGAGTCTTTCTTGTTCTTTTAATTTTTGAGGTCTTCTTTCCTGGAACAAAAGTATGTAACAACAAATGTAAAAACCCGACGAAATTTGAGAAACACTTCTGACATGCTATATTTTACGCGTAACAGAGATCATTAACCCACTAACTCCCTGAAGTGATCAACATGAAACTTCTCCCGATAACATCCTTACATTGTCCTGCAAACAGCTAATGAGAATATTCAAACTTATCAGGTAGAAGTTGTTATCTTGATCCAACACCAAATTCTCATAACTAATTTACAAGGATAAGTGTAGCAGCTAAAGGGAAGAACTAGCAATCAGATCTTGGGAGTCAATGGGTTCATTGTCGCTCTGCGAAACAAAATTACGTAGATTTCCAATCGCTTGTTTTATTCAGTGTTAGACTATATAAGGTCAATGGATCTCTTCTCGTTATCAGCAATTGGGAAGAGCCACCGTCACATATAATATAACTTATGTCAAACGCCTTGACACTGATTCTTACCTCTGTTTGCCAAACTCCAACTTCACGTCATCTCCAATCAGCATAAATGAAGCCCAGTCAGACTCCATGGTGAAACCGTTATTCCTCATCCACTTCATGGCCTGGTGAAGAGATTCACTGGCACTTTCTCCACCAGCAAGATGTTCGTAGAACCGACGCATGAGCTTCTCTGTTGCTGAGTCTGGAATGGCCCACAGCGCAGCCAACACCGACCGAGCACCGGAAGCTTGGAACGCCCGGGCGATTCCGATAACTCCCTCGGCTCGGATCTGTCCATTTGCACTGTGACAACAGCTGAGTACCACCAGTTTAGCTCTGACTTTTACTCGTGAAACATCACCCATCGTCAGCATATAGGCTTCCTTTGGCGGAATAATCTTTGGATTGTCGGAGGTTTGATTAGGGGAGAGGGCAATTTCTCCTCTTTCGGCATCACCATGGGCTGCAAAATGTATCAGGCTGACTGAAGTTATCTGTTCAAGTACAGCCTGCTTCGTTGCGCTCTCTCCTACCAGAGGTGCAGTGCCCACCAGTCTTCCAACCATCTCTGCTTCTTTTCTAGCCCATGGCAGTGGCGACAGCCAACTAACCTTGGGATTACCTACTATCAGTGCGCCACTGTTGCTGTGATAGTCTACCGGACTGTCTTGAATGAGCTTAAGTGTTGTCAAAGAAGGAACAACGCGGATCCTATGACTCTCCGAGAAGTATGCGGCTCCATCCTTTTCTTTTAGGGCTGCAAATGGAACTTTGTACAAGCTACTATGAGGAACGATAATGACTTCTGGGTCTTCAAGTAAATGGTAAATTGGGGCAATAAAGATTTTGTAACACAAGAATATACTTGAAATTTCCTCCTCGTTGTCGTCTTCCTCTAGAAGTCGTGATGCTTTGGAGCTCCTCTGCTCTAGTGAAATAGGTTGCGGCTCACCCACTTGTAAAGAACGATCTTCGCACTCTTCCATGGGCAAACAACCAAAACTATGGAAACTGTCAACCAAAATTTTACCCAAAGACAAATTCTTGGTCAACCCAGCTAGAACGAAATTTTCTCTCACTGGAATTTCCCTGTAAAAGATGACATCACTTGATTTCATGATCCATAATTGCACAACATCTTTAAAAAAAGAAATGTACAAACAAGTAGAGTTATTTTCCTTCTTCAAGATGTCTCCAATGCCAGACCAAGATTGTGGATTGGCAGAAATGTGCGTTTCAACTGAGTACTTCTCTGCCATCAAGTCTGATAGGCCTCTTGCTCGACCCAACTCCTCAACGTAAAGAGCATGACGAGGATTCCTGGTTACACAGAGCAACCAACTCAGCAGCTTGTAGGGAGACGCACCTCTCGCCTCCAAAAATAATGTTTTAAGCTGATCGTTGATTCCAAGAAGATTTCTTTGCTCTTCGAATTTACAAATGTTCTGATGTAGATAACAAAGAGCTTCTTCGAGTTTGTTTTGTTGTAAAAATAATATCGAGTAACCGAAGAAGACTTGCAACTCAAGGTAACTTAATTTCATAGTGCTGGATAAGTAAAGTGCCCTCTCTAAACATACTTCCGCAATTTGGTGATCAAGCATCGTAAATAAATGTCCTAAGTTCGCATAGGATTTTGCTTCTCCTTCTCTGTCACCAATTTCAATGCTAATGCGAAGCGCGTTTCTGAAATACTCTTTAGCCTCGACGTATTGTCCAAGGGAAGAAAATATATTTCCTAAGATTCCATAACATTCCATCTCTACCCTTCTGTTGCCAATTTCAATTGTGATGGCAAGGGCTCTCTCAGTATACTCTTTCGCTTTGACGTTTTCACCAAGCGACTTAAACACACTTCCTAGCCCAGCGTAACATGACGCTTCTCCTGCTCTGTCGCCAATTTCAATAGTGATGGCAAGGGCTCTCTCGTCACACTCTTTCGCCCTGTTATAATCCCCAAGGCAAGAAAGCACTTTTCCTAAGCCTCTGTAGCACGATACTTCTCCTTCTCTGTCGCCAATTTCAGTTGTGATGGCAAGGGCTCTCTCCATATGGTCCTTCGCCTTGATATAATCCCCAACCGACTGACAAAGCACATCTCCTAAGCCTTTGTAACAGAGCGCTTCTCCTTCTCTGTAGCCAATTTCAGTTGCGATGGCAAGCGCCGTTTCGAGATTCACTTTAGCCTTGACGTACTCCCCAAACGACATAAACATAGTTCCTATGCATTCGTAACATTTTGCTTGTCCTTTTCTGTTGCCAATTTCATTATTGAGGGTAAGAGCTTTTTCGAAATACTTTTTAGCCTCGACTGGCTGCCAAAGCGACTCAAACATAATTCCTAAGTTTAGGAAACCTTCTGCTTCCCCTGTTCTGTCGCCAATTTCTGCTCTTATGACCAGCGCTTTTTCGAAATACTCTTTGGCTTTGAAGTATTGTCTAAGCAAAAAATTTACGTGCCCTAAGTTTTCGTAATCTACTGCTTCTCCTAGTCTGTCACCAATTTCAGTCCTCATAGCAAGGGCTTTTTCGAGATACTCTTTAGCCTTGACGAATTGCCTAAGGCCCATAAACACAGCTCCTAAGTTTCCGTAACATGTCGCTTGTTCTAGTCTGTTGTCCATTTCAATTCTGATGGCAAGGGCTCTCTCAACATATTCTTTCGCTTTCAAATATTCCTTAAGTGAGTGAAACACAGCTCCTAAGTTTACGTACGATAATGCTTCTCCATCTCTGTCGCAAATTTGAATTGTGATATGAAGAGCTCTCTCGTAATACTCTTTCGCCTTTACGTATTCACCAAGTTTATGAAACATAGCTCCAATTCTTACATAGGCGTTTACTTCTCCTTTTTTATCCCCTGTTGTAGCCCGTATGTTAATCGCTTTATTGTAAAGTTGTGTGGCTTCTGTAAACTTACACTGAATCTCACATCTATTTGCCAAAACCATGCTTAAAACTCCTTCTATCAGTAAGGCACCAGACTCGTGGGAGAGGACTAGCAATTCACGGCAACATCTCTCCGCATTTATGTAGTCAGAGATACGAAGGTAAGCGCGGAAAAGAATAAAATAGAACTCCAAGAGATGCAGTTTCATAGATTGCAAGTCATTCTCTTCTGTGTTGCAATTCATCAAAAACAAGCTTTCTTTGCAACACTCGATAGCTTTTTGAACACGATTCGTGTTCAGCAAGAACAGTGCAACAGGTAAAGCCATAGCAATTATGTCTTCTCCTATGTTTTCCATCGCGGTAGTTTCCTAAACCAAATGATGTAAACAAGATATTTAGTAAAGCAATTCAATCCAAATAATTATATCATCCGGATCATTATCTGTCTCTGAGAACAGGACGCGGTATGTGAAAAGTCGCTCAGATCTGGGAAATTTCTGTACCAGGCTCGTTGTGTTAGGATTAACAATAGCAACTACCAATAGAAACTGAAGCCAAAAAGAAGCGAGGATTGGTAAAACTGAAGCACATGAATTCCCTTAACGTCCAGTCCACAGATCGTTTTGAAAAAATTTCATTGTGACGAACAGTTTTTAATCAGGATTTTGTGGTCGAACTAGAACTACGCCTTTTGGTCTCTTTGATCGCGTGAGGAAAGTGAAAAACTTCTCTCTCCAACTTCTTATTTTCTAACAGACCTTCTTCTCTAAATAGCGTAACTTATTTTAACTTCGTTTTTAGACGGAAAAGAAAAGGAAATTGCTGTAAATTAAACAAACATAGCGATAAGCAAATAAATAATTTTGCATAGCGAGTATCCAAAGAAATTAGCAAAGAATAGCTTACAGTCAAAACACCACTTTCACCATGCGTAGTTCTTCAATTCTTTGTACTGGCGGTCAAAATTTATTTGCAATAAGGCCTCTTATGATCAAGCTTCCTCTAAGTTTTCATTTTATGTATTCATCTATTCATTGATTTATGTTACATAATGGAATTTCTTTTGCGCGATTGTATCGAGAGCATCAATCTTTCGGTTTTCTCTAACGTTTATGAAAGAGCGAGACATGATCACAGACGTAACTCATCAATGACCAAGTCAAGTGTTTGAAGGTGTCATTTAATAAGTTTAAAGTGCTTACATTGCCAACTTAGCTAAAGAGATAAACTTCTGCAAAAGCAATATAGAAAGTTTTCTGACATTCCGCAAAAAATGGCAACATTTAGAACATTGTTGTGGTGATTCTTAACCATTGGGCTATATGCTGCTTGGAAAGAATTTTATCTTACTGAGCTGATGAGGATAAATTGCAAGATATGAAGCCACAAAGGATGGACACAATCGCTCAAAAAATTCATTTCACTTCGGAGGCGATTATTGTACAACGCACCCCATCTTAAGAGTGATTGTCAGTAAAAATCAAAGAAATCGTGGCCACGGTCAAAAAATCGATTTCGCTCATACTTTGTCAGTTTGAAGGCCTAGGTAAGTAACTGAAGGATATGAGGTTAGTTTTTTGAAATATTCCATATAACGGCAGAAAACCACGAAAAACGGTCACCCTACCGGAAGCTCGGATTTCACCTGGCGGAAACTCGAAATTTTACACTTTTCAGCTTCTCGCTACACAGACGTTTACATAGCTGTGAATCTTTCTTAAGTATAATTGAATACATTGATTCTTCCTTAGTCAAACCATGGGAATTATTTTTATCTCTGCTCATTTGTGAGCGAACTGAGACCCGATTAAGAAGACACACTTTTCTCATCTACGCGAAGGTGTAAAATAATCCAAACTCAGCGACGAAAAAAGCTGACCGGTAGTTCTTCAAATCCTCTGATACTATAACCAAAGACAGCTCAGTCATTGATTTTTAGGTCTACGGTTTTAAATCTTTAGGATCTAGTAGCACTTTTGCATGAACGCCGATCAAAATTCGATAAAATTCCAATTGAGCGCCTTTGAAATCTACAACTCTACATAACAAAGCACTATTGAATAAATTAACTCCTCGGCCAAAGTTTGTACATAAAACATAAGGGTTTTACTTTCTTAGCGGTTTGAACCTTTTAAAAATATATATTGATGTTAAATATTGTCTACACAGGTAAAACAAACTATGAAACACCAAAATTACCACGAGCTGAAATTAAATCTCACAGGCTCGCTCCCTAATCTGTGTCACGCACGAGCGACTTCGCTACAATTAGTACAGTAACAAACAGATATTTACAATAAGTCTTATTTTAAAATATCTTACTCAACGATGTGCCAGGTTCCCCAGTTAACTTGCTGAAGTAAAAATAAAAGAAAATATCATAATAGCAATTCAAACTGAAACGATAAGAATTGATTTTATTAAGAATGAGAAGCTTTATGCCGTCGATAGCCAATCAGAAGTACCTGTTCTCACGAAAATTGCATCGTTCTTTAAATAAATAAATCGAATTATCTTTATCTGTGAAACATTGCATCTAAAACCAGAGTTTATTGTCGGGGAACTTCATAGAACAGCGATGTCTTGCTCGTTCTTGAATATTGTTGGTGGGATTTGCGGCGCAGACGAACGCACAAGTTCTTCAACTTCCGTCACGCCTCTCACGCGGTGTAACAGGGATATCAAAATTCACAAAAAGTCGTTGAAATTTTCCGGAATTGAAACGGAGGTAGAATTAATTTTGGCGAGATGTGGATGTTTTAAAAGCCGGCGAATTTATCGGATATGACTATCTGTCCGGTTTATCGTGCCAAGTTAGGTTTAGGTTGGCGAAGGACGGGTAATCTTTGCACCATCCCGGAAGTTGTTTCTGGTCACAGCAAGGAGCTGAGAAGGCACCCGCACTGGAAAAAGGAATAAATTTATTCCAATCCATGAAGATATTTGAGCTTTCAAAACAGCTCGTCCCTGTGGGCTCAGGTAAGCAACCAACTACTTGATGTTCTACCAAACAGAGACTGTCTCCAATGAATTATTTATTATGGCCATATTGGAGTGATGCAACGACCGTAATTGTGCTATTAAACGTAAACATATAAATGTTGATGTGACGTTTCCACTAGTATACTGTGCAAACTGTGCACTTTGTGGGTGGTTGGGGAGAGAGAGTAGTATGGTTGTTAAATCCTTTCCCCACCCCTTCCTCCTCCTTTTTAAATGTCGTAAAAATGACAGTGCACATTTTTTTATTCTTCGGTGCCCTCTTTGGAAAATTCTTAGTATTTTTCATCGAATATTGTCAAAATTAAACTTTATTTTCTCTATCAATGACAGACTGTAGTGTTGTTTGACAAGCGCAATCAATAAAACATGCAAGTCGTAAAACTCTTAGTGTTTTTAATAGTCGCATTGGACAACAGAATGAAGAGGATACAAAACTCATTGGAGACAGTTCCTGCTTGGTAGTACATTTTTTAGTTGTTATTTACCTGAGCCCATAGGGACGAGCTATTTTGAAAGGTCAAATATCTTCATGGACTGGAAAAAATATATTCCTATTCCAGTGCGGCTACTTTTCACAGCTCTTGCTGAGTGACCCGAAACAACTTCCTGTATGGTGCAAAAATGAATACTTTTGAACATGATGTATTACTCAGTAAGTGACACAGGCATAATCGGAAAAAAAATCCGAGTGCTTCATGGGACAAACATCCTGCATACTGCTAGGATTGGAATGTCATGTGTGGCATACGCACAATGGAATAAATGTGATGAAATATTTTTAAGCCTGGTGAATAAATGAGAATGATGTATTATTCAGTAAGTGACACAGGCGTACTCGGAAAAAAGAAATCCGAGTGCTCTCGGCCATCAGGAGTCGAAACTATCGACATCGTGTCAGGTTATGCCTAAGCGACACGATGAGACGGTACGGGTAGTCATCTCCAACAAACTCGTTGGCTTTTAAAAACACGCAATCTTGCTAAAATCAATTCTGGTTCAAGTCCGGAGAGTTTTTTAGGACTTCGTGCGATGTTTTATATCCTTGTTACACAGCGTGAGCAGTGTGACGAAAGCTGAGTAAGGGTAGAAATTAGCCATTGAAAGTTACTTAGCAAGTGCGTTCGTCTACGCCGCAAATCCCACCGACAATATTCAAGAACGAGCAAGACGTCGTTGTTATGTATGTCTATTAACTTCGCCAACAACATACTCTGGTTATATGGTTAAGTAGATTTGTTTATTTAGAGAACGATGCAATATTTGCTTTTCGTGGAAACAGTTACTTCCGATTGGTTTTCGACGGCACAAAACTTCTCATACTAAATAAAATCAATTATTATTGAGCTAGAATTACTATTAAGGTTTTCTTTTTTTTCAGAAAGTTAACTGGGAAACCTGGCACATCTTTGGGTAAGATATTTTAAAAATACGACTTATTTAAAATCAACGGATGTAAATATCTGTTTGTTACTGTGCTAATTGTAGCTAAGTCGCTCGTGCGTGACGCAGATTAGGGAGCGAGCCTGTGAGATTTAATTTCGGCTCGTGGTAATTTTGGTGTTTCATAGTTTGTTTTACCTGTGAGGACAATATTTAACATTAATATATATTTTTAAAACGCTTCAAACCGCTAAAAAAGCAAAACCCTTATGTTTTATGTACAAACTTTGGCCGAGGAGTTAATTTATTCAATAGTGCTTTGTTATGTAGAGTTGTAGATTTCAAAGGCGCTCAATTGGAATTTTATCGAATTTTGATCGGCGTTCATGCAAAAGTGCTACTAGATCCTAAAGATTTAAAACCGTAGACCTAAAAATCAATGACTGAGCTGTCTTTGGTTATAGTATCAGAGGATTTGAAGAACTACCGGTCAGCTTTTTTCGTCGCTGAGTTTGGATTATTTTACACTTTCGCGTAAATGAGAAAAGTGTGTCTTCTTAATCGGGTCTCAGTTCGCTCACAAATGAGCAGAGATAAAAATAATTCCCATGGTTTGACTAAGGAAGAATCAATGTATTCAATTATACTTAAGAAAGATTCACAGCTATGTAAACGTCTGTGTAGCGAGAAGCTGAAAAGTGTAAAATTTCGAGTTTCCGCCAGGTGAAATCCGAGCTTCCGGTAGGGTGACCGTTTTTCGTGGTTTTCTGCCGTTACATGGAATATTTCAAAAAACTAACCTCATATCCTTCAGTTACTTACCTAGGCCTTCAAACTGACAAAGTATGAGCGCAATCGATTTTTTGACCGTGGCCACTATTTTTGAATTTTCCTTGATTTTTACTGACATTTACTCTTAATAGTCACAGGACAAAGAGGAACAATATTAACCTTAGACTTTGTGGAAAGAACGGTACCTTTTCAAAGTTATACTTAAGAATTATTTTTTTTTTGCAAATGCAGTGGAGAAATAACCGATATAAATCTGGGTTTCCATGTCATATTTACCGAGATGTTGAGTCCGTGACTGATGCTTTTGAAGGTGAAACAACAAAAAGATGAACAATTAAATTCCCCTACATTCCAAAACTTTCGCCCTTCTACTGCCTCACCGAGGCTGTGTATTATTAATATAACAACACAAACTCTTATCACACCGTTGTGATATGTTCGAGTGTAAAAAACCAACCAATTACGGCATTCAAAAATACCACTAAACTTTAAGTCGGAGTGTTAATAGTATGTGGTTCAATTAAGAGTGCAGCGTCATCGACTGAATTACCCTCTATCGCGCGACTGTGGCGCTTTTCCAAGAGAAATAAGAACACAAAAACAAACTCACGCAAATTATGGCGAATATTTCGAGAAATATGCCAGGATTAGCTTTGAGATGGTTATGTGAATCATCTCATGCATCTTTGCTTACTTTCTCGATCGTTTTTTTAAAATCAAACAAAGATTACCCCCTCAAGAAGTGAGAAACACTCGACTACGTCTTGTGTTTCTCCCTACACTTCTTTCGTGCTCTAGGCGCTTCCTGCGGGCTTTAAAACAGAACAGAGTACAGTCAAGGCTTCTCTATTTGTTAAATAAAATACAAGAGCTATGCTTTTCTATTGGTACTTATTTATGCGAAGTTACTTAATGATCATGAAATTTGTTGATGTAGTCCAGAAAAAAAAAGGAAAAGAAACTCCGGGTATCCATGTAACACTGTTAGTCCTACTTATCAAGAAGTTAATTTCGTGTCTGATGCTTTTGAAACCGAAAGAACAAAATAATGAAAGACAGTTAGAAAGTTTCCCTTCATTCCAAAACGTCCATCGACCAACCCTTATCGTCACTGTTTGTTATTTAAATAAGAACACAAAATTTCAAAACACCGTGAAGCAAATCAATATGTGAAAACCATATGTCGATATAAATGTTTGTTTTTTCAGTCATTTTAAAATACTACTGAGAGAGTTGATAAGTGTAATAGTGGGGTGGTTTTGCCATTCAATTGATCATGATGAAATTTAACAGGTTTTCTCAGTGGAAATAAATCGCACATGTAACTGTCCCAGCAAAACTGAACATCGTAGCATGACGAGTATTCAAAGTTATTATCCAACTAAAAATAACGCGCGAATAGAGTACAAATATTCTGCGATATTTTACGGTTATTTGGACAGTTGGTTATTTTGTACTGTAAAAAAAATCTGTTTAACCAGTCGGCTGCGCGCGCTACGCTTCTCTATCAGCTTTGTTCTTCCCGCCTTATGAGCAGAAAGACGTAGCAGAAAAATAGTAGGATAATAAATAACTTATCAGACGTTTTGGTGTGTAGTATCGCCGAGTGTTTTTACGAGTTGTTTGTATTTTGACTCACCCGGCGGGCTCGTAAAAATACGGCACAACTCGTAAAATACCCAGCGATCTTACACACAAAAACGTTTAATAAGATATATTCATACATATATCAGCGAGAAACAGTCGACAATAGAATTCACTAAGCTTAGTTTCTAGTTTGTCTGATCGCGCGGAGAAAATGAAACAAAACATGACATGACTCAAAGACAAAAATGTGGAGAAATTCAATCCATACGTGGAACAGTTACGTGAATCACTTCTAAAGGATCCCAAGGTCCTCAGTCAACAAAGAAATAGTCCCTGGTTTACGCCGCAAGACCCAACCATACGTGAAACCGGCGACAAGTTTTAGTTATTTGGAATACCAACAAAAACAGAAGCTACAATTACAATGAGAATAAAAACCTTCATGAAAAGTGTACAGATCTACACAGATGGTCAATTGTATACGTACCTTCTGCATGAATTAAAAGTCCAGTCCAGGGTGAGCCAATAAGTTACTCCATTGTAAAAAGGTTGTTAAAACCAGACAAATTGCTCGAGCAACACCCAATAAACATTTCTTCAACTTCAATAAAAATAGCATCCAATCAAAACACAGGGTTCGCTTCATATTGCCCGAGGGAACTGCCAGCTGCACTATCAAACGAAAGCATGTTCAGCAAGCTTTGAGAGACGTAGGATCCGCTAATTAAATATTCGGAAAGCTTTGGGCATCTTAAGCATTTCCTGAAAACGCACAAAGTTTAGCGAATCTGACGCATTAGACAAGGTATACCATAACTTTTATTCTTCTTCTGCTTTTGTAAACTTATTGTTTTCGATCTTCAATCAGATTTTTCCGAACACAGAATTCTACAAAGTTAGAACATAGATACGTTCAGAACTCAATTCCAATATAAAGTAATCAAATTTCTGTCATCTTCTTTTGATTTTGCCATTCGCTCGAGATTTAAAATACACTTCTTTAATTGACTGTTCACAATGACAGCTTGAAGTCACTTTAACTATTAAATATATCATTTCAGATAAATGCATTTTCTCCAGCTTCATGTACTTGGTAGTAAATTTAGCTGTGCTATTGTCAAATGAAAAGATGAAAAGAGACCTGTTTGTATGAGTAATACCTTACAAACGGTGATGACGTTACAATGCATTCCGTAAATAAGTTTTACAAATTAAAAATATTTAACTACCACTTTCCAGTCTCTTTTCAATTCATTCAAAGATATTTGCATTAACCTTTCAAATATGCGTGGTCATATTTTCATATACGAGTTTTTTTTCTCTTATCTTTTAATTTCTATGATAATCCAAACTGTAACTAACTTCTCGAACGTGATTGGTTATTACAAGCCCACTTTCAGCCTGTATTGGACTCCACAAAGTCCTATTGCCATTTCTAATTGCATGTTGCGTGGTAAGTTGTTCGATAAGCAAATCATAGCGACATTCCCACCCTGCAAAATCTTATGTTGTCTCTGTTTACATAAGCCAGTTGACAACTCAGGCGATACTGCTTATGGGAGACAAATAGGTCACTTCACTTTTCACTGAAAGCAATGATCCTCTGCGATGTAGTTAAAATCGCAAGTGATGTCAACCGGGCGCCTGCACAGTGGCAGCGGTCATCAGCACTTGAGCATGCTCTTGAGGCATTTCTGCAAGAATGTTCTGGAATCTTTGTGGAGATTGTTGGTGAATGTTTTGTATCACACTGACAAGTCCTGAACGAATACCTGAAAACATATACATAATCAGACACAAATTTTCTTGGATCGAATTTTCTTTCAGCAATTTCATTGTTTTTGTTTCTTTGATTAAACGAAATAAAAAAATTGAAAAATCAAAGAATGAGTCAAAACCAACACAGAATATTCGACTATGCTCGTCCGATACATACCATCGTTACAAGACATAAGCAATTGGCCACTCTAGGGGACAGGGAGTAAACGAGTGAAATTTGACTGCGAAATCCATAATGATTTTTACATCTAGTTTCTACAGTGACCTGAAATAACTGGACCCATTCATATCTTCTGTTACTCACCATCTTGTAGTGTGTCAGAAGGTAGAACTTGTGAAAAAATTGCGAGAAGTTGTGGTAAATACTGTCTGATGAGAGGATGCTGATCACTAAAAAGTTCTATAATGCATGAATATACGGGATCGTTTTCTTCAAAATCTTCTTTCAAGGGAAGACACTGCAATAATCCTGGAAAAACCTGCAAGAACAGTGGATCACGATGTAGTCGGTTAGTACCCTATTTCATGTCCTTGCCCTCCCCCCGTCGGGTTTCCCTGTCATTGTGAGGCATTGCGTGAGTGAAACGTCTTACTCAAGAACAGAACACAAAGACCCGCACGGGAAGCCAAGTAATTGCTCCTTAAAGAGGAAAATAAACTGAATGCAAGAAAAGTGAAGTTAATGAAAACGAAATCCTCACCTTTTCCAGAGGAAGAAAATTCCTATTTGCCATAATCATCCTGCTGACAGCTCCACAAATGTTGTCCACCACTCGAGGAGGTTGATTTTGGGACAGGATCACAAACAGAGCTTCTAAAATGGTTGGATATTGACTTGAAGGAAGTTAAGAAAACACCCACAAATCATCCCCACAAATTATCTCTAAGAAAACAGTCGTCCAACAGCTTTATCGTTGCAAGTCGTCTTTGAGAGACGGCGAATAATCGAATTTACAGCTTTCAGTACCTCTTCAGGGCGAAAGTTAATTTTAAAAATGTTTACATTACGCTTTGAAATAAAAGGTAAACATTTTGACTGAGTAATTCAATAAAATTTGTACCAAAAATACACATGCGGATACGGTGTGATAAGGTCTCCTCCATAAAAGGCCAGAATACCAAGGCCATAGATAGTATTACTTCTCACTTCATCATCCTCGTCTTTGAGTGACGTCATGAACACAGGAAAGATATGCTGCACAAAGGGAACAATGGCGTGGCTCATGGCAAGCATTACCTGTTAAACAACATTTGTGGAGTTATTTTGGCTACATGTGTCCTACAAAATGTAGCTGTCTCCTTGTCAAAGATTTATAAGCATTACAGTATATGGTTTGACACCAGGAGTAACACAAGATCGTGAGAACTGATCTTCCGAGTGAGAATTGCCCTGAGAAGGACTGTCGTAAGTAGTAATGACTGATGTTTCCACAACCTGAACGGAAATCACCATCAGAGCTGAGTGAAGTGCTGTCGTCAGTCGAGTGTTATAGATACAGTTCGTAAACCCGTTTCATCCGTTTCTCCGTAACGTTATTGGTCAACCAAAGGTTTCTCTGGGCGGTAGCAAACATTTGTCCCCAAACAAAACAAATCAATGAATAATCGAATTCCATAGCAACTTACCTCCGAGATAGTTCCAATGGCAAATGATTTATCAGAGACCGGGCAAGATTTTCTCTGCGAGAAGGAATAAACTACGTTGTTTAACCTCTTCAAAATAGTAATTAATTAGAATAGAAAACTAAGCCGTCTCCTTTCAAAGAACTACTACACTGGGCCGCACCCAATATATATTTCCTGCTTTCTCTCGCTTAACCCTTTGACCCTAAGAGTGACAAGTATCTAATTTCTCCTTACAGTATCACCCCTGAACCACACATTAAGGTCAGGAGAATAAAAGAAATGATCACTAACTAAAAAAGCTCTTGATTGTTAAACAAATTCACCTATTCAGTACATTAGGTAATGCATGGAGAACAGTATGGAGAATATGCATAGAGATGTTGGGGTGTAAAGGGTTAACAGGTTAGGCAATAACAAAAAAAGTGGGAGAAATTCAAATGCGGCGGTAAAAACTGACTTAAAAAATTGTAAAGCCTTCGAGAACTTATAGCATTTTACTCTGGTATTTTTACGTAGCCATTCTTGCACGAAGAGGAGGTGGGTTGTTCCCCATTCAATTGTATTGTAGACTATGCTGACACAAATATTACTGCTAGGTTTATACAAGTAAACGTTGTATTCTTACTGACCGTTTTCTTCAAAAGCAAAGGCAAGAATCCAGCAAAGTACGGTGCAAAGATCTGACCGCCCACAGCTGTCGCCAATGAAGGCAAAATGTCTCCAGCATATTCAATCAACATGGCATCAAACTCAGCCTGTTGGTCTGAATCTTCAACGTCATCATCATCTTCTTGTTGACAAGCAGTCTAAAAAACAAGAAACACATGATTTGGTGATCTCCATAAAGGCGTTTTTGGCGCAGTTTTGTTTTAAGATACCAAAAGTCCTTCCCGAAAAGGGTGACTGAGAATTAGAACCACCGTGTGAAGAAACTTGTGGTGAAGTACTTACAATTTATGGGTTACGCGGTGGACTAATCTTATCTTCAGGAAATTTGCCCCAGGATACAAACTAGCATCAATTAGATGATCTTACAAAGTATCATCTAGCCACGTGCTGTTTCAGTCCAGACAAAATAGTTTCAAAGTTAGAAAATCGGTAAACTCCAAAGTGAGAACTCTTTTACTTTGTTTTATCACCATTACTAAAAGTTTTCGAGACTTCATTACTTTGAAATCTTTTATAATTTTTTATCCTGCGGTTGAAGATTAAGAAAAGCAGTGATCCTCGCAGGAGAGCTGTAATCTAACCCTTTACTCCCTAACATCAGTATGCATATTCTCCGTACTACTCCCTAGACATTTCCTTGGGTTCTGACAAGGAGAATTTGTTCAACCATCAACAGCTTCTTTAGTTGGTGATCGTCTCCTTTATTCTCATGACCTTAATGTTTGATTCAAGGGTGATGTTGTTAGGAGAAATTAGATGTTGGTAACTCTTTAGGGCTAAAGGGTTAAACAATTGCAGAAAAGAAGCCGGAAAAAAATTCAGGCTTCGACGGGATTCGAACCCAGGCCTTCCAGATATTATCTGGGCGCTACCACCAACTGAGCTATGAAGCCACACGTTTATAAATGTTCGTTTCTTTGTTTTCTTTTTTTCTACGTCACTCACGTTTTTACTATTATGCTTGTTTTTTGAGAACGAGAAATTCTGAGATGAAAAGGAGATTACAAATCATTTGAAGAAATTTAGTTAACAAACCTTGTGCATGAGCACAGTTCTGACAGCACCGGCGATGGCGTCATGGTATCCCTGTTCATCAATGATCAAAGACTTGACTGCCTTTAGTACTTCATTAAGTGACTGCAGGGTTGCCATGGCAACTGACCTATCCTTGTCCTTAGTTGTAACGGCGATAAAAGTGGGTATGGCTGTGCCAAGCATACGTTGTACTGAGAAAATTAAAAATTAAGGATAAAGTTGTTGTGACTGGGCTGATAAGATGGGGCACTCAAATGTACGCTTCTTTTGAACTTCTGCGTAATGCATAGTCAGCTAAATTCTAAACGAATCGTTCGAATTGTTCGCGGAATGACAAAAACACGGAATAACAAACAGCATTATGTTCTTAGACCATGGAACAAGTGGGACAACAAGGGCAGAAACAATAGGCGGGACACCCATGCTTAAAATTAGATATAAACCAATGCAATGGAAAATTAAGTTGTCAATGGTATTCAAAAAGGACAGTCAAGGTCAAATAATCGTATACAAAGGCTTTCCAGCATTCTGATTGGCTTTCCTTTCTGCAGTAGTAACTACAACACTAGTAGACCTTAGATAGTTTTCTGTACATACATGCGGTTTTATCCTCTTCACCAGCTTCTTGAAGTAAAGAATGGTATCCATTGCAGAACTGACCTAGCGCCATCACGGCTCCCTTTCGCACTCCTGGGTGAGGAAACTGTCAGAGATGAAAACAACTTGCCTTAGTTTGTTATATTATCATATTAAAGCTTTCACTTCCTAATTGTTTATACAAGGGTAAGAAAGTTTATAACCGTAGGACATTCAAAAGAAGTATTGTTTAACATCATACTTGAGTGGCCCAGAGATTTGGCAAAATATACGTTGTAACTTAACAGGAAGGCAGGTCTCAACGGCTAACGGGCTTGAATTTTAGTTAAACTCAAGCCCGTTAGCCCATACGAGCCGAACATATCCTGATCTCCAGAGCATGAGGAGATTAAAGGTATCAATGCTCCCCCCAAGGCACAAATTTGTCACCCCTATCTCACAGCATTTCATCAGGACTCTCAGACAATTCCCCGCCAGTGGTTGTTCAGATTTCAACAACATAGGGCTACTTCCTATCGATGGAGCGGTGGTTATACAGTTTTCCCAAAGGAATTTTTTTCCAAGGTACTTTGTATATCCAAGCATCGTCTTAGAGGGCAATGTTTCCCACATCACTTCAATTCAAATGGTTTTGAAATCATCCACCGACCTATTAAAACACAGGAAGTTCATACCTGAATCAATTTTAAAACTTCTTGAAACGACTCATCTAAATATGGTAGAAACTCCTTCCTGTCACGAACAGAAAAGTCAAACATCGAAACTCTAATCAGTAAAGAAAGATTTCAAAGTGATTTTATGGGCGTAGGTCAAAGAAGAAACTCTGAGTCCTTTGTGATGATTCGACCAACAGACCTTACGAGCCACAGAGAACTTGTTTAACAGCCAGTAAACAAGCTTATTTCACATTCACCCACTTCTCCATAGTACCTACTGGATAAACATATCAGGATAAATCTGTTTGCCCCTAGATCCTTCCTCTTTTTTCTAGGATTCAGAATCTTCATTGAAAAAGTATTAGAGAAAAGTAACAAGTTTATCGGCAATAAAAACTAGCTCAGGCCTATGGAAATTTAGCAGAAAACATTTTGCGTAATAGCGGAGTTCGCAGCGCGCACAACGTGCACAGTGAAGCCCCATACTCATAAACAAAATGATGGTATGAATAAGAACCCTCGAGCCGAAAAAATTTCGTTTATAACGAGACCGTTCGTCCATAAGTGCAAGTTTGTATGTTAAGAATGCCCTTGCCAATGAAAATGCGGGCACAAATCTTGGCAGCATGGAAGGCGGAGATTGGTACAAGATGCAAGTCCAAAAGCATCTGCATCAAACGTATCATTCACACAATGTAATGACACACGCAATACAACCTACCCTGAGTTTTCTGAAATTTCCCCAAGAGCGTTACAAGTGTCTTCTTTTTCCTCTAAGTAGGCATTTTCTACACTATATCTGTAAACAAAGGGAATCAAACAACGAACGGAAGTCAAGTATGGCAAAGATTCTGAAAAAGTAAACATCACTTGATCGCTGGGTTGGGAAAAAAAGAAAAGCAATTCAATCACTGAAAAGGAAAATAGACAGACAGCTGGAACCTAAAATTCATCACAATACGAACTATATTACCAATACTTAAAAAAGAAAAACCATTCTATACCCAGTTACTTCATCATCGTCGTTTTCGACACCCTCATCGCCTTCTAAGTCTTCATCTTCCAGTAAAAAACTTGGGTCATCTTCAGTTGCATAATGCGTCTGAATTATATAATAAGAATATAGCATACATTAGCCAGCTTCGGCAGAAACGATCAAACAACTAGGCGAGCGGCGAAAAATTGGCGGGAGAGTCCTTCAGCATTATTTTAAATACGTCAATCCTTTTATTTCTTTCCCAGACCTCCGCCTTTTTTATTTTTTATTCGCCCGCTTTTTCGATTGTTTCTATTCACCGAGAGTCTGGTACAGACTAAAAGTTGACTTACTTACGGGCCAAGATCACAAACGTCTACCGTAAGTGTATTATCTTTCGCCGGTACTTAATGCAAATAAGAAACTTTGGCTTATGCAACATTACAGAATAGGTATATCTGCATATGAAGAACAATGTACACTTCTCTAATGAAGATATTATTTTCTCTTCTTCACTTTTCATGCTTGTGTCATCCGAGTTCTTGTTTACTGATATGATAATGCAGTTTTTATCACTTTATCACGTTAATCCCCAAACTCCCATGATCGATCCAGACAGAATTTCTCGTACAATATCGATACAACATCAAGCAGACAAGTGATGAGAATAAAGAAAACTATCAATTGAGGGATTATTAGTCGTTCCATGGCAAATTCTCTGAACTTACATTAAAATAATTGTATGGCAGCAGTAAGGAGAATTACTAATGAGATCTTGGGAGTGAAAGAGCTAAGGCTAAGTTGTAATCGTGAGTGTAATCGCTGTAACAATGATAACTGTTAAGAAAGATGTTTTTTTGTCTTGTCACGAGCGTTGAACAAAGAAAAACTTCTGAGTCCCCTTGAGGAATCGAACATCAGACCTTCGGATTCCGCGCTCCGATGCTCTACCACTGAGCCACAGAGACTCCACGGTGAAAGAGTTCTATTACGAAGTTCATATGACATGCGTCCTGCGTACTGCTAGGATCAGCAATATCGATAACGTCATGTTTGTAAATAGAATAAGAGTTTTGAGCTCGGTAGAGAAATAATGAAAGACTGATACTTTTCGTCTTGTCACGAGCGCGGGACAAAGAAAAATAATTGTTCTTGCGCAGTGGGTGAAGGATCTTGCAACCATTATCTATATATCACGTAAAAAAAAACAACACAACCACAGAACTACAAAAACGAAATCTTAGAGCAAATTGATGGACAAAGCTAGTATCACCAGCAGTACCTAAATTAACTTACCACAATCCCTTCTGCAGACTGTAGTGATTCAATCATATACTTAACAATGTCTTTCAAATATTTTCCAATACTGCTCTTCAATATTGTAGAAACTGACGCAAACAGACCATATCTGATTATACAAAGTAATACTACCAGTTATAACTTGTCACATTAAACTGCACATATCAACGAAAGTTGTTCAATGGTCAGAATTCTTACGTGCATCTCCTTAGATCAGGATCTCTGTCTTCTTGGAGTAGTCTCTGAAAGAAAATATTTCAAACTGTAAGTAAGTTATTGATAGCCATACCGAGGTTCTCTTTGTTCTAAGATGGAATCTTAATTTCAACAGTTGATTCATATAACACAAAAGGGTCAAGAGAAAACAGATGCCGATAACGAGAGAAGAAGGTTACCCAAATGAAGTCAGCTTGGTCTCAGAAATGGACACGAGACTTGCAGGAAATGATCGTTCGCCACTGAAAATACGATTAAGCACTCGACTTCAGTGGATATGTATAAGAAAGTATTTAGTGGACTACGTGCTGCCTTCTAGAGTATGTACATCGCATTGAAGGTTCGTCAATCAACGACAGACTCAGTGTCTTCTTTGGTAACTAACAATTGCACTATATTGTTTGATATGGGAACCTTACCAAACCAAGTTGAACACACTCATCTGCCAATGGCATAAAGTTACTGGCTCCAATTGTTCTAGCCAGGACACCTAATGTATCTATCAAAAATACAAAATATTTGTAAAATTTTTTAAATTGAAAGTTTCAGTAATGGGTCCAGTTGTATAGAGGGCGGATAACTCTATCTATGCAACGGATAAAGAGCTATCCAGCGGATAAATATCAACAAAACGTACTGCGCTATCCACCGAGTAGAGATTTATCCAGCAGATAGCGTTATTCACCCTTCAAACAACCGCGTCGGTTGATGTTGATGCTTGCAAAGCACACCAATTCAGTAATTTCGTAAGTATACGACAAATATTTGAGCATTATAGTGGAATTTTGTCTCAATATTTTAACATCGTTTGGTGTGATAAAATAAGGAAAAGAGAGACACGATCACCCGATAGGGAACACAAACGCCATTAAAAGCATAAAGGGGAAAATGGATCAAAGCACTTTAGGATAAAACAAGTAACACAGATTAGCAAGTAGTAGTTTGTCCTCTTTTAATCCACCAAATCCAAAACGTAGCAGACAAAGTCTTAATTGTTGTGGATTATAACATTGAAATATCCATGAGAATCAGAGGACGACTCACCAATAGCTTGTACTCGAAGAATATTTCTCTCTATTGATCCCGTGTCGCTAAGATATTCCTATCCAAAAGAAATTACAATAATACCAGCATGCGATAAGACAAGTGATTTAAACGTTCTGAGCTTTAAGTATATTGGTCTTCCTTCCAATACGTTTCATTTTTTGTGCTGTTTTAAGGCATTCACATCTCGTTATGTTAGCAGAAAATCAAGATAGCTTGAAGTCCATTTTTATTAGGCTAGCTTTCTGTTCGTAATATCGGAACGCGATGAGTGTTTTTATTATATGACCTGTGTGGTCCTGCGTGCCCCGCGAGAACTAAGCTAAAGGAAGAAAGGAAGAAAAATAAAGAGCGATGATCCAATGATAAAATTCTTATTGACTGAGGCCTGACAGGAAAATATTTGTCTCGAGGTGATGACGCATAGATCCTGCAAATGACAACCATAATCATCGATTTCAAGTATCCAGTCTATCCCATTTGAAACCTTAGCAATCTGACTAATGATACCTAATTCAAAGCATTATTTTATTTAACATCGCTATCTACTGGAAGTGCGGTAATTACCTTAATAAATTCAACTATTTGTGGAAAGTATGGTAACATAGCTTCTTTAGCAGCATTTGCTGTAAATAAAAATATATACATACATATATATTTGTAACAAAAAAGAATGAATATGACAAGGAATTCAAGAAACGAATTGCATAGAGAGTGACAGTTATTATAACTTTTGCCGAGTTTACCGGTATAACTGTTTCTAATTTTTAATCTATAACAGTTTCTGTTTTTAGCATTCCCTGCTCCTTTCTTTTAATTACAAAAAAGTAAATCGCTTTCAGGATGCGTTTCACTTTCCAAGGGGTTTTGCAGCTGAAAAATTATTATCCTTGAAGCATGCATTTCTCTTCAATAATTCAGTAAAAACAGCGAGATAAATTAAACTAAGAACTGTTTGGCCTCGCAAGAAAATACCACACATAAAACGTTCATTCATTTGAGCTCTCTGAAATTTTAGTTTTAATGCTGCGCTATTAAAACAAATGTTCCTGAACACAATATGATTACCTGTAGCTCCTATTGCACTAATTGCTAATTCCTTCATCTGCATACTCTACACAAGTGATTTAAGCAAATATATCACATTTGCGTCATTAATTTATTTTCAATTAGAAGTCATGTCACTTCCAGACTGGTTCTACATTGATATGAAATTTGACCTCATGTAAATGCCTTTTATTCAATTGCTCTCAGTTTTATTTTTCATACTTATAGTTTACTGTAAAAAATTTTGAAATTTCACTGGCTCAATGTTTGTCAAAGGGTGCATGGCAAACAACGTTTTTTTTGCCTTAATCATCTCCATCCCTCTCAAAACATATTTAACCCTTTAACTCAAAAGATCTGATTGTTAATTCTCCCCTCTAACTGTTACATATTTCCTGGTAAATTAGTCATGAGAACTTGGTGCTAGATCTAGAAAACGGCTTCTACCTGATAAGTTTGAATGTTCTCATTACCTGTTTGCTGAATAGTATATATATATTGTAGGGAGACGTTTTATGTCAATCACTTCCAGGAGTTAAAGGGTTAAAGAACTTCAAACAGAATTCACCTCTTCACATAAACATCCCTAGTTCAACAAGAAGTGGTATTTTTTTCTTTGTTATTCTTTCAAAAAATAATGTAAACTTCAATTTTTATAGCTCAGAGTTAATATTCAACCACTAAGTGGTACCTTTCTCATGATCTAATGGGAAATATATGCACTTGCTGGCTTTAAAATATACCTGAAATTCTTCATCTTGTCATTATTAAAATTACAGTCCTTGCATGCAGATATATTCATGAAAGCACACTCATCACATTCTGATACTTAATAGAAAAAACTTACTGTACTAGGTGACAGTGCTACAAGTAGTTTCTCCATTAATCTCGGTAGATATGGAAGGATACCCTCTCCTACAAAAAAAAAACCATTAACTCTAACAATTAATCAGCTGTCTTAGTAGAGTGATTGCGTGTATAATACTGTGTGGAAAGGAGAATTTACTCCACTCTGGTAAAAATCGCATTTTAGTTATTAAAAACTACATCCATCAACACTACAATATTCTTTAATTTCCATACTACCTCTTTGGCAAATCTGAACATGTGAAATTTCTGTGGTTTGAAATATTTCTATAAAATGATTCAAGTAACCAGTTAAGCCATGGTAAAAGTAAAGTCTGCACTTGAACCTCTCCTAATGGCATGAAGCCACCAGGAGTACAACTATGTTCTCTGGATGGGAAGCCAGTCCACTGAAGGTAAACACCCCCCCCCCATCCCCTCCCTCTCCCCCCCACCATCACCATAACTTCACAAGCCTTCCCTGATACACATTCATGCCCTAGGATGGAGGGAGGCACTGAGAAACAAAGTGTCTTGCTTGACACAAAGTGTTACTGATACCAGATAAATCCCAAAAAGGTTCTCTAAATTTTTTATTTGTCTATTTTTTTCTTGTTAACGCAGCATGATATATTTAACATAAAAATCTCAAGTCTTATTACCTAGATTTTCACAGAATGTTTCTAATGCATAGTAAGTCCTTGATATACTAGGTGATGCTTGTCCACTCTCAGCAGAGGTATTAACAAGTCTCTCAAACAGAAGTGGGAGGATATCTGCACTGTATTTACTAATATCTGGCTGGAAAGAAACAGAATAAAAACAATCTCTTGAATAAAATAACAATTGTTGAACAGAAAAATATGTAAATACATGTCTATCAAGTTTGCTTAGGTTTAAAGAATGAGCTATTTAGAAGGCTAAAATATTTAAAAAGTAAAAACCAAATGTTTTTATCCTAGGTCATCATTGGGGTATTCAGTCATTTTAACCTGATGATGACCTAGAGTTGAAAATGGTTGGTTTTTGCTTTTTAAATATTTTAGCCTTGTAAATAGCTCATATATAATTATCTATTTTAAATGGAAAGCCTGTATATTGAGGTAAGTTGCAATTATTTAAATACAGTACACTTGCATATTTTTGTAATTATAATGATAATATTAATAACAACAATAACAAAATATAATAATATAAGAAATTATTATAATTAGTACAATAATTTCATGGACCTGTGGAGAGATAAGTTGAATACAAACAAAATGCTGGAATTCATAAAATATTAATTTAAAATAAGTTATAAATTTTGAGTGAGATTTAAAACTACATATCACCTGCAAATATTCTGAATATTGACCCAATGCAAACAGTGCTGCATTCTGAACCAGTGTATTCTGATCTGCAAGACCTGAAGAGAATGAAATGTATTAACTTGATATTTTTATAATTATAAATGAACATATACAAATATTAGCTAATAAAAAATATTCTTGCCATGGAAACATATCAAACTTTTATTGTATCTCCCACCTCTTTGAGTCATATGAGTACTAATAAAATTCACTAACATAATGTTTCCTTTTACACACCTCTACAAATTGTCTGTAATGCTGCCTCAAGGTATCTAAAGCCCAAAAAGAATACAGTAAAAAGTTGGTGGTGAACCATACAGTGAAGCTTCCCCTGGAAATTTGTTGGTGTAATGTAGTGAGGTTAACTGACTCTTTCAAGCCTATATACTGGGCATCAACTACCATGTAAACTAACTGTTTTCACAAGCATGGAGCCCCTATGAATATTGTTAATCTCTTAAAAGTTCATTGGTAATAGATGAGAAAGTGTTGGATGTTCTTTGAACTAAACATTTGTGTAATTAATGGAGCTTTTGTAAAACACAATCAAACCTGTTCCTGATGTAGTCTGCACACCCCTCAGCAAGTACAGCCAGTGCTATTAGAGCTGCTTTTCTGTTGTAAGGATCTTCACTTGTAAGAGCTGGCTGGACCAATTGCATCTGTAAAGGCATCAGAAACATTTAGTTCTCTAAGTCCAGTCTTACTACAGTTTATTCAGCCAAACAGTTTACTTACCAGAGGTGGAATAACTGATTCAGGTGGAAAATGGAGAGCAAGAACATCAAGTACCTACAGAAAAAGTGGTGGGATGAGTTGAAAACAGTAACAATTTCAAAAATGAAAGCCAGGGTTCAGATATGGTGAAATGACAAGTCGAACAATAGCTCAGAGAAAGTAAATAAAATTCCAGGAACACTCAAACACATTGGAAAAAAGGGAGGTCACATTTATGTTAATGTACCTTGAACTAAAATGGAGAGAACAGGGAAAACAGCATGGCTTGAAGAATGGTATGGGCACTTCAGCAACTTCTTCAGTGAAAATTCTTGCTTGGCATATTCTTGGCATATTTTGAATGCAAGTTTTCAAGTGCAAAGCTCAAAATGGTTTGTGGTCAAACCATAACTGTTGTAACAAAGCCCCAATTCATTTTGTATTTTACCTGTGAAGCCACGGCACAAGGCCTGCTTGCTTCAGATTCATCTCCCACCTCATCGTCATCATCATCATCATCAAAATCTTCTCCATCATCTTCATTTGGTGGCGATGCCATTAATGGAAACACCACAGACAATGTAGGCAAGAGAAGTTTGTTTTTCACAAGTGCCTATTACAAAAACATTCATGGGTATTTGTTCACAGCTACACTAAGTACAGTCAAGCAACCATAAATGTCTTCTAACTGGAAGAGAGAAATTCAAGGTATTGAAATTTTATATAATATGAAAAGTCTTTTAAGATTAAATAATCTCTCTTTAGCCATTTCTGGCTATTAACTTCCAAAACTTTAACTCTTGGTTAAAGTTTTCCAGTCGAGATCTGTACATTTCAGAAAATTTCACAAGAGCTGAACATTGAGATAGCACTCAAAGCTACTTTGACATAGCAAAGGTGTAGGAATATGCAATAAACTTTATGGCTGCACCTTTTTCTCACATGTGTAAAAGAGGAAGGAATGAAGAAAGAGGGCAGGGTGGTAATGACAAAGTCTTACTTCTAATTTCAATTTAGTTCAATGACAATTTAACAGACTTAATGCTGGTGTTTTAATAGAATCTGGTTACAGATGGTGCTACTGCTGCCTATTAGACTTCTTACTGCTGTCTGTTTAGCATGCAAGCAGGCTCTCAGGCAGCTCAATCTTTGAGTTCTAAAGCACTTTGGAAGTAGTTTTCCTCTCAAAGTCTATATGTTGGTATTTTCCCCAAATCCTAAAATACCCTCTTTTTCCTTCCATTGATGCAGTTTATGGGTGTGGGTAGACTGCAAGAATTTGTCAACCATGGTAACTGCAGTTCTATCTGGGGGCTGGGCGAATGAAGCCCTTGGAAAACCAAGGCACTTATCAAAGCTCACCTTGGGTTTTATTCTTGCTAACCAGCTCACAAAGTGTAGTGCTTTTATCCTTAAATTATTTCCATAGGAAGAATTGCTTGCAATCTGCAATAAAATTAGAATTATTGCTAACAATGACTCTGATCCTTTCAATATTATGAACAGCAGAGTCCTAAGAAATGATCACCAACTAAAGAAGCTCTTGATTGTTAAACAAATTCTCTTTGTCAGCAATCTAGGAAATCTATAGAGAACAATATGGAGAATATGCATTCTGGTGTTAGGGTGTAAAGGGTTAAGGGTTAAAGTTACATTATGTATGTACTACTTTATTCAAGTGCTGTTTTGGGTGAGAATAGTCGTCACAAGGACAGTTCTTGGTGAGGAAAACTGACATTTTGACTCTGATGATGACTTACAAACGTTAGTCTCTGATTAACAAGAACCATCCTAGCCAGGACCTTGTTCACCAGCACATCAGACAACAACGTCAGTACAATTTTATGGTGATAAAGGTCATGACGTACACCTAGCTTTACTGTAGTACAGTTGTAAACTAGTGGATTAAGTAAGACCAACCTGAAGACAGAACTCAACCAGTGTCCTTAAATGTGGGGTCACAATACTGACTTCTGATTCTACCAGTTCATCAAATATTTCCATAGCATCACAAGCTTTATCCTCAAATTGAAAAAAAGAGAGAAGTAACTAAGATTTTCTAGTTCCATGGTAATTCTTTAACTTACAAGTAGGTTGCTTGTGCTATTAAAACAGATTTGTAACAAAAAAAAGAGGGAAATCAGGCCATTCTGAAAAATTTGGGGCTTTTATAAGAAAAGTGATAAGTTTAGATCAGCCAAAGAATTTTAGGAAAATTTGTTGACCTTCAGGATCCCCACTGAGCGATATTTTAACATGAAATTTTGTATTTGTACAGATAAGTGCTTTAAAAAGCAAATGTTTGTTTGAACTTTTGACATAAAATTTGCTGTGACTCTAGTGGTATACATAAGAAACAAGTTTAAATAAAACTCTAATCATGCATGCAACTTACCTCATCTATAGCTAAGATTTGGTTGATATATCCTACCACCTTTGGTATAAGTGGTCTAACTAAAGGCTAATAACAACAAGAAACATATCAAATATTAATTTATATTTAGTCAGACAGTAAAAAAAACCTAGTTGATTAAATATTTAAAGAACAGGAATTGAAATGACACACCTAATAGTGAAAGAAAAAGTTTCAGCAAACTTACAATTTCCTCAGTTCCAATGCATTCAATAAGGCAGGTAAGGGCTCTGACAAAAAAATATATATATATTTGCTGATCATACAAGATAAACATTTACAAACCCAAACTAACATTATTAGGTCACAGTACGTACCTTATTGTATAAAATGGCACTAGTTTACTCTGTTGATCTTCAAGTGTACTGGAGAAAAGTTGAAGCAGGGATGTGAAATGTGGTCTTAACTGTTCATTGGCAGATTCTGTGATGGAACTAAGAAGAAACATGCCCATCTGAAATGACATAAAATGGATTGAAAGGTCAAATTTGAGTTCTTTATCATACCAGATGAATGACAGAGATAGATTGAAGAAGTTTTAGTCTTCAAGCTGACTAACCTCTCTTTGCTGTGGTTGCTCTGATTTGATGTGCTGCTGAAGGAAAACCAGCAGTTTTGGCCACTGATTGGCTGGCAGGTCATGTTTAGCTATCACACTCACCTACAGAAAGATCAATAACTTCAGGAACAGGATACCAGACCATTGCCAAATCATAATGCAATATAACTGATAATGAAGTCTGGAAATAGTCTGTTACAATAAAGGACAAGAAGAAAGACTCACATAAGAGGGAGGTGGAGGAAGAGCAGCATGCAGAAAGTGGAAGATTCTAAGTCCTTCTTTTCTCTTTTGTAGCAGTATATTTAGTTGGTAAAAAGACATCAACTGCTCAACTCATTTCTGTTGTTATTAATAGTATTTGAATAACATACCACTTGTGCAGCTGAATTTCTCACAGTTGAGCTGCAAAATTATAAAGATCAACTATTAATGGAAGTTTCAAATTGTTGAAAAATGAACAAAAAGATTCTCATAAAAACATTGAATCACAAGAAACTGAAACTAATGAACAGATGTAATAATTCAGTTGCCTTAAACAGATTTGGAAAATTGAAAATTCAGACAAGACAGACAACAACAAATTAAAACATCCAAATGCAACTAACATTAAGGGCAAGTAACCTACTCTGATTCTTGAAGCAACACCTGCAAGAGGGACTCTCTTAACCTAGGGCAAATAAAATACAGTTTAAAATGTTCTGATTTCTTGATTGTCAAAAAATAGTAAAAAATGAAAAATTTGAAAAATTTACAAGTGTTTACCTACACCAAATTGCATGAGTTGTTAATTGTCAATAATTTACAAGAAAAAAGCTTCACAGACAATCAAGACTGACAAAATTTTGACAGTGCGTGCTATTTGTGATATGCATTCGTGTTACAACTAAATGCACTTGTTTACATGAAAAATGCACTCATTTTCAGCCGATCAGATGCACGTAATTCTTTCATGTACATTATTACCAGTGAAAATCTTGCACAGTGCAATGCTGTAGAATTACTTTTATTAGTTCTGTGATTTTCCTGGAAAACTTACACCTCTCAAAAATTGTGATGAAAAAGAATATGTCAACACCTTTCCCAGAAAGAGAATGAGCTAATCACTCTGAGTGTCCCAAGCACTTTACAGCTCTCATTCCAACTTTCTCCATCCCTCATCTTTGTGTATAGATACTTTCTCTAACTATTCTCCCTTTAAATTTCCAAACACCCTTTAAAAACTGAGCAAGACCAGCATCTACTTTCTCCTTACTGTGATACTGCTAAATCACAAATTTAGATAATGAGAATTAAGGAAATGATCTGCAACCTAAGAAGCCCTGATTCTTAAAAAAAATTATCCTTGTCAATACCAAAAGAAATTTATAACAAAGTGCATGGAGAGTATGGATACAGTATTATCAGGCAGGAATGCAAATTTGCTTGAATCCAACTTCATTCTGTACTCACATGGCATGAACATCAGGGGAAAGTTTTGTCCACTGCTTCACAACCCGTCTTCTCAACAAAACTGCTGCATATTGTCTTACCTTTAAAAAAGAAAAAACAAAAACAAAATAAACGATATTTAAGCTATTATTTCTATTTCATGGTGTATAAGAAGTGTTAAGCATATATTAGTAAAACTCAAGAACATCCTGTAAGGTCACTAAGCAACACTCGCTTTCGGAAAAATAGCAGTCGCTTAAAATACCTCATCCTCCGTCACTGCAGGAAAATAATTTTCCCTCCCCCCGTTAATTTTTCTCAAGTAACACGTGTTTAAGTTGTGTACGTTTTACAGTAAATTCGTTAACTATACTAGAATAACAAATCGATGCCTAAAGAAAACGTGAAACCTTTTCAGTCGTATTTCCTCTGACATTTGACCTTTTAACATAAATTGATGTTGGCTGAGACAGTTAGGAGCTTTACTCGACTTAATGGCATAAAGGTCCATTAACACCAATTAACACTGACAAGTTAGGTGATGAACGAGGAGGAAATAACAAATAAGACTTCGGAACAGTTTCTTTAATTAATTAAATTGAAACTCAAAAACTTTGCAGAACCTTTAAGCCTTACCTGAGGGTTTTGAGAGGAGCCTAAGACAGTAATGAGGGCTGGTACGACAGCAGGGTTCTTGAATGCTTCACGAAGTTGAGAAGTTGCCTTAAATAATGCAAGTAAACCACTCCTGTATTACATAAACAAATGATACATCAATTGGCCAGAGTTAGGAGGGATATATGTATTACCTGCCGTATCACTGTGTTGTCAGGAACAAGTAGTTTTTCAAGAATTTCTTCCAACTCCGCCATATTCTTCTTTACATTGCGTTGCTCGACAAATAAGCCCGCGATACAACAAAACAAAATCGCGCGCGAAAGCAGTTTTCCGCGCGGATTCCGCACGCGTAAAACGTGTCTAAGCGTAAAAGTTAATTGAAGAAAAATTGAGCACAGAGTGAAAAAAAAATACTGTTACTAATAAAAGTACCCTAAAATTTGGATTCAAGTGAAGCCAAGTAATGGAATTACCCCAAAAAGAGTACCCGAAAGTGATTCAAGTGAACCTGGGCAATGGAAATCTCACTTTTTGCTGGTTGAATTTCTCTGTGATGACTCAAAAGTTGAGGATTATTTATAACCTAGTTAGAAAAAAATGACGAGTTAAAAAAATAAACATCGTGATACATTCCGGTTCATCAGTCAAAGGAAATAAAAAGAAAAGAATGGAATTTCCCGACGGCAAAGAAAAAAAATAATCCTTCGAGCCGGATTCGAACCAGCGACCTAAGGATGACAACATTTACTCTACAGTCCTCCGCTCTACCAACTGAGCTATCGAAGGGACCACGAGAATACAGATGGAAAAATAGTCTAGCTAATTATACAATGTGTACGCTTACAAGAGGAAAGCTGAAACAATCGACAGACAAACCGTCACATCACAAACCAAAACACCAGCGAACGGAATAAAAATTTCATTAGATTGTTGGAAATTTTACTTTTCTTAACATTCTCTGCAATTTATAGTGTATTTTTATTTTTTAGGGCCCTAAAAAAAAATGTTTTTTTCCCAAAGTAATGTTAAATTTTCTTTGACTTATTCCCATTCACTTTGTTTATCAATTCCTTCAATAGATCAGTTGACATTAAACGGTGGACCGCAGAGGAAAAGCCGCGATTCTAAGTGCGCTGATACAAATCAGAAATGAGAAAATTCTCAGGAGTTACCAAGCCTTCCTTTTTGTTTTGTCACTGTTGTCTTTCTAAATCAAACCTTTCATCAATATACCTCCCGTATTTTCACACCCTTTAAAACACATCTAATGAAACCAGACCCAGTGAAAGTCTTCCTTTTTATCCAGTGAAAAATTAGCTCCCTAATGCCTGGTGAAATGTTGATTTAACCGGTTCATTTGTTTTCTTCCCTATAGAGACTTTCACATACCCTACATATTTTTTCTTTGTAATAGTGTAAAATAAAAAGAATTGCAAAATAATTGTGAAATGCGTAAAATGAAAGGGGTTAGTGTTTAATCACTGTCTTGTCAGGGACCATAGATTACAAGAAACCCTTGACATCTTAGACGACTTCTTACAGCCTAACTTAAGGTGGCTCTGAATGAGTTCATCACAACCAAATTATGAAGAAACCTTGAATTCTTTAGTAATAAGTACTAAGTAAAAGTACTAATTATACTGTAGTCAACTAGTATACAACCATCTAGGATGCTACCAATCCACTTGTTTTGGGCTGGCATAAAAAAGTTCAACTCTAAAGTTCTGAAGTGCAAGCCATTTAGAAGATATCAAATTTGTCGAAAAGACTAAAGTAGGCCAAACTGGCGAGCAAAGGACAGCAATAATTATGTTCAAAATGTCCTTTAACTTTTTAAAAGGGCAGATATAAGGTAAACATAGGTGTGGTGTCCTACTCAACCCCTTTTAAATAATATCTTCTGATTGTGTGGTCTATTTTTTCAGTCTATGTAGAGGAATTGAAACTCAGTCAGTCGTAGGAGATAGTGCCCAACAGTTAGAAGATATTAAATGGCTGCTTACGGAGAGATCATATAAGACATGCTAGAATATATGGATCTGTATGTTGAGAGAAAGAAAATAAACAACAGACATTTTGTTCTGGTTTGAAAAGTGGAGTTTTTATCTTTCAAGAAACAAGTGACATAAATTCACAATGAGAATACTTTTCTAAATATCCCTCATACAAGAGGCTTAGATACAGTAATTAGTTTGTTAAAGCATCAATTTAAGGAGCCCTCGTGTAGTTTCACAGGAGATACGTTCTTTCAAGTGACATAATGTTATGGCATGCCATATAAAACAATGCAACTCCTGCAATTTTCTTTCACAAAACAATGCATAACAAATTTAATATATACATTTACATTCTGTTTTCAAAGCATTTTGAAACCAACAGGAATAAAAAAGTTTGTATTACATCAAACGAATGGCAGTTCTTCCTGTGACAATTAGGAAATCTTCATCCCGCAAGATCTTCAGTGCATCATCAAATTGTTCTCGGGATATTGGCTAAAAATTAAATAAAAAGTAGACATTAGAAGACTTAAGACTTGTGCACCTACTTAAATAATGGCACACAAGTTAAAACCTTTGGCAAAAAAAATGGTGTTTACATTTATTAGAGACAATCAGCCATTTCATCCTTACCATACAAAAGGTTTAAGAAAGGAGAATCTAAAACAGGTAAAATTTTAGCATACAAGAATCTTGATGTAGTCTTGGCACTTTGGACAACTGGGGTATTTGCAAGAGCTTACAATAGAGATCTCATTCAGCGCTGAATATTGTATAAATTTGGTGGCACTTGAGTTATCTCAAATGCAACATACAAATACCTCTCAAAAAAAAAGAAAATGGCAATCTTTAGTGGCTTCACATAAACAGTTTCAAAGGGCTCTTATTAGTAGTTCTCCTGGCTGCCTGTCATACCATTTTTATGATCATGTTAGTTTGAAGAATTTGGTATTGGATCAATTAATGATCCCCTCGTTGACATGGTGAGAAGAAATTATGTCACTCACAGGAGTTAAGGGTTTGAGGAAATTTTTCATCATCCACATTTGGCAGTCTGGTGCCTCCAGTTGAGTTCAAACATCACTACAGACAAATGCACTTCATAATGAAGGGAGTAAGTTTCTGTGGTACTGCACCAGTGGGTGGTATAACGAGATAATTTATTTTTATCGACTGAGTTGATAATGTAAATTGGTCACCATATCGAGTTTATAATAGTTTTGTGACAGTTTGATTGTGCTTCATAGATACTCATTCATTTTGGGTTTCAGGGAGTTAAAATAGATCAAAGCAGGCCACAACTCCTCACTCACCAAATCAGAAGCTTCCCTCAACTCCTCATAAGTCTGCTGATATTTGACAGTGGGTGTTTTGCCTTTGCTCTGTAACAATTCTTTCAGAGCCTTTGCAATTTCAAGGCGTCGTTTCCTGTCAGACACACTCAAGCCAGTTGTAAGAATGTTGACATCTATCAGCCCTGTCTTGGGGTCAGTGGCGGACTGTTTCAAAGCTTCACGGTGCAGTCTGAGGAAAACAATATCAAGATTTAGAATTGTATTTTATTAGGTAAACTTTTTTCCCCTCTAAATCAGAGTAAAATATGTTTATGTTGGTATCTTAGACATTCAAGACTTTGATCCTACAGATGGGTTGTTAACAACTTTTTTCCTGCTCAAAAAGTACCTTCTGGCTTCTTCCACATCAACATTTTCAACTTTGGATGAAAGCCTCATCCTGGCATGAGCTTCAGCAAGGCGAATCAGTGACTCCAGCTGACGGGGATAAGCAGTGACTGCACCACGACTGCTACCAACCTGACGCATCTCTGTCAAAAAAACAAAACAAAACAAAACAAAAAACATGCTTGACTGTTAGAATCCTCCTGTTTTGCTACTGTTGCTATGGTTGCTTGTTTGCTGGATATTTTTTAAAGGATATTTTCTAATCAGTTGATTAAAATATTTCTTGATTCAATGTTGTTAAAAACCAAAACAAAAACCAAAAGCAAAGCATATCAAAATGACCAACTTTTGAAAGGGAAGGGGTCAAGGAAAGAAGGAAAGGAAGGAAGAAATGAATTAGTAAATGGAGGGAAAAAGAAAGGCAGAAAATGAATGAATGAAAGAGTCAAAGAATGAGTAAGAATTTGGAACATTTTTACCAAAAGAACAAGATAATATTTTAGCAGTATATCAGACACCTTGAGCTAGCAAAGAAAGACTAAAGTCTAATCACTGCTACAAGAACTACAGGGTTATTGACCAAAGTTCCTCACCCACATAAGCCTGGATAAGGTATTGAGCTGCTTCCTCACTCAGTTTAGGATTCACGTAGGAGCGAGCATATGCTATGTAGTCTTTAAGTATACTCATGTCCTATATTGCAGAATAAAAGAAAAAAAAAATTTCAATAGTTGAAATAATGAAAATATTTTAGAGATGAATTTTACAAGCAATACAAGAATTACTATATTGACTTGTCCATTAAGCTACATTTAAGAAATATATAAATTAATCAATAAATTCTGAACAAATTATATCATATTGTATACACATAACTTGTAGAGGCTGTTAAAGGTATCCACATTTTTCATAATATACATTGCAGCAAACAATAAGGGAGACAACTCTCATAAGTTTATTTTAATCCAGCTTACAAGGTATTCTTCCTCCTCCTCCTCCTGTGTCTGATGGTACAGGGACACCAGGTGAGTGGCCAGTCGACGATCATACAACTCATCTTGAGGATCAAGCATCAGGAAGATCAGATCAAATCTATTGATAAAAAAATTTAAATTATTGTTTTAAAACTATATTTTATTAAAACTTTTCTTAATTTACACAGTAGACAAAATTAAAACAATACAATTTGACTGTTGCTTGTTTTTAGCATTATTCATCTTATCAAAAAATCACCAAAACAATCATCCAATTGTTGTCAGCATAGGTCAGCGTTGAATTGTAGATTACTTTGTTTTCAAAATCTCTTCTTATGTACCAGTAATACTACCACAAATTGTCTCATAATCATCTTCCTTAATCCTTTCCACCCAAACATTAGAATTGATAGTCTCCATACTGTTTCCAATACATTTTCTAGGATGATACCAAGGAGAAATTTTTTAACAATCAAGACCCTTTTTAGTTGGTGATCATTTCCTTTTTTCTTTTGACCTTCCTTTGTGATTCAGGGGTGACACTGTGAGGAGAAATTAGATGCTAGTCACTCTTTGGGGTCAAAGGAAAGTACCCCTTCTCCCTTAGAATTTCTGATGACCCCTCTTATGGTGGATGTGGATGTTCCGTCACCACATAATCCACAAGTTTGAAAGCATGCATATTGAAGGTAAGATTTAAAATTTGTAACATATCTGCAATCTGCCGTTTTATACAGGTTCCAAGCCTTTTGATAGCTGTCCTACCTTGACAGGAGAGTATGAGGTAGCTGAATGTTTTCAACTGTTGTCATCTTGGGATCCCACTGTGATTTAACTGGATTAGCAGCAGCCAGGATTGATGTCCTCGCATTCAACTGACATATGATGCCGGCCTTAGCTATTGACAAAGTTTGTTGTTCCTTAAAGAAATGGATCAGAGTTGAAGCTTTTAGTTTTTCATTACAACTTCAAGAAAAGGAACAAGTTAATTTTCAATCCAATTCCTTTAATTACACATTCAAATGTACATAAGAACAATTAGATATATTACAATTTTTTTGTGGTGTATACCTGGGTCAAAATCATCATCTTCACCCTCCATTCAATTTCACTACATAAAAATAAGTAGTCTGCAGCAACTTTAAAGTAAAGTTGGAGTATGGTTTCTCTAGTTTAACTTTATTTCTATAAAATCACTGTTAACCTCTTACCATGACTTCATGAAGGACAGCTCTGGTGCTGTCATTCATCTTGTCAAACTCATCAATACAGCAGATGCCGTTGTCACTCAACACTAGAGCACCCCTAGAAATAAAAAGACAGTCACTCTAACTGAGCAGCAAGTTTAATCAATTCCATTAAATGCAACAACAATAGCATGACAAAAAAATTCCCTGCTGCTGCAAAATCATTCACTCTTGACCAAAAACTGCAGCAATAATTTGAAACAACTTTCAAATGGCCCCTTACCCTTTAAAACCCAAAATCAGTATGTATATGCTCCATACTCTTTTATAAAAATTTCCTTCGGTACTGACAAGGGGAATTTATTAAAACAACCATGATCATTTCCTTTATTTTCATGGTCTTAGTGAATGATAAAGCAATATTACTGTAAGGAGAATTAGATACTGGTCACTCTTAGGTTAAAAAGGGTTAGCCTGGCAAACAGGGAATTTCTATTTCCTTGTAAAATAAAGTGCTATAAGATAAAAAGAAACTTGACTTGATGCACGTACGTCTGTAGTACCAGTTGTCTTGTCTCTGGGTCTCTAGTGACATATGCAGTCAAACCCACAGCTGAAGAACCCTTCCCAGAAGTGTACTGACCGCGAGGAACAAGGTTATGCACATACTGTAAACACAAAATGAAAATGCTTTGTTCACTGTTCCTTTTTACTACTTCCTTTTAACATCCTTCATCAGCAGTCTATTTAAAATAATTTCCAAACCATCAGTGCCTGTAACTTAGAGACAGTTATGTTTTCTTATGTCATAAAGGCAAACAACAGTCCTCTAGAGAACCAGCAGTTCCAATTGCAAAGGGCAAATGTAAATGTAAGTTTGTGTTACATCTTCTGGAATAAGCCAGAGTGGAACAATAGCCAATCAAGAAAGATCTAAAATTTTGTCCCTCTGAATGTGCTTTCCATTCAATACCAACCTGTAACAACTGAGACTTGCTTGTTCCAGGATCGCCACAAAGGAGAATGTTGACCTCTGATCTAGAATTACACAAGTAGATAGACATACAGTTGGAAATGGTGGTTGAAGTGGCCTGATGCAGTGCACTAGAAAATGCAAGGACTGGGCCCAACCCCTAACCAGGACAAAAAACATTTCATTCTCATGGTGGCTCTCTTGACCCAAAGAGTCAAAAGAATATATAATGGTGGGTAGCACTACAAAGGAATAGTACCTGGTCCAGGGAGGAGGGGCAATGGTAATACTACTTGCTACTTTGTGCTGCTGAAACTGCTTAAAGTAATTTTGTTATTGAAGAATCAAAATGTGCAAGATCAAGGTAAAGCTATGAACTAACCTGAACTTTCCTCTCCCAGTGTCAGCAAAATCTTTGTTTGCTCCTCCAAACAACTGACAGAGAATTCCCTTTTTGATATCTTCATTTTCATAAATGCTTGGGGCTATAAAATTAAAATTAGAAAATTAATTAGTTTCATTGTGTTATTAGAGTATGTGATGAATGTTCATCTTGTCAACATCACATGGAAAGAAAATCAGACAGAAGTTATAAACTCTGTTGTTACTAACCAAGGGCTTTGGCAAGTCTCTCATAAATATCAGGTTGTTTGGACAACTGCTGTAATTGCTCTACTCTCTCTTGTGAAAATGTAACAACTCTGAAATACAATCCAACAACAACCAACATAAGAGAAGGCAAGGGAAGAAGATTCAAACCAAAACACCCTTAACCCTCTAACTCCCAAGATCTGATTGTTAATTCTCCCTTCTAGCTGCTACACATTTCCTTGTAACTTAGTAATGAAAAATTGGCATTAGATCAAGATAACAACTTGTACTTGATAAGTTTGAGTGTTTTTATTACCTGTTTACAAGATAATTTATGGATATGGTAGGGAGAAATTACACGATAATCACTTCTGAGCGTTAAATGGTTAAAGGGTGAGATATATAATTTTCATATTAAATCAGTTCCTACCCATCAGGGTCTTTAGAATAAAGCCTTTTCTTGTCTGTTTTCTTGAAATGGATCACATCAATGTATGTCTTGTAAACAGCTTTCACATTTCTTTGACGTGGATTCACACGCATAGGGGTGGCTCTGTAAATTCCTGTCACTGTGACCCTAATAAGATTGTAGACCAATGGTAAAGCATGGGAATTGTGCAACAAAAATATATTCACTGAAAGATTGTCAAGCATGTAAAATAATTTCCTTATGTCACTACATTCATGCTTGTGAATTTACTAACTAAAAGAATGACTTCAAACTGTGGCTGTAAACCAGAACATCAATATTTAAAGGCATACTTGTATAGAGGTTTCTTTATTGTTTGTGCACCTTTAAAACATTCACCAAGAGTTTCTAAGGCTGACATTTCAAGCATTAGCCCTTCATCAGAGTGAAAAGAAGGCTCTGATCTGTCAAAGGGTTAACATTCAAAACTTCATGCACTCTTTACAACTGCCAATTTACATTATCAACCCCCCCCCCTCTTCCCAACAATGCAGCACCACAATTTCTTCTGAAACTCACCACTTTTTATCAATTTAAAACACTCAGTCTGAAGTCATTCAAGACTGTGTATTTCTACCTTACCAAACAAGTACTTCAGGATTTCTTTTAAGTTAGGGGTAATTATTTTCTGGGCAGAAAATGACAAGAGATACTGTGACATGGCTGTCTTTAAGAATCTGTGCATAATGACTTAATTGCTCCTTTACAATGTACCTGTCTCCAGGCTGTACTGCATCCACCAGGTCATTGTGGGAGAACAACATGATAGTGTGTGGAGTCTGTCCTGGGGGCATGTCATCTGAGAAAGAAAAATTGTGGCAGGGTTTAGAACAAATTTGTAACCTAGGGCAAGAAATTGAGATGGCAATGGTGATCAAGTCCTTGTAAATGGTCTTAACAATCAGCAGGGGTTTTAAAACAAGCTGGCTATCACCAGAGTTCTGCTGGTTACTTGATAACATGTTGCCAGTTACTCTGGTCAATATAATTTCCTTCTGGTCCTTGACCCTATAACTCCCATGAGTGACCAAGACAGAATTTCTCCTTACAACATCAACCAGATAAGTGATGAGAATGAAGAAAAATATCAATTTGGGGATAATTAGTTAATCCAATACTTAATTCTCTGAACTAATATTATATGAATTGTATGGTTGACAGTAGGGATATTAACAAATTTGATCTGGGAGTTAAAGGGTTGATGAACTTTTCACAATCACCTACTTTTGCAGAGTCTGATGCCTACTTCAAAACATTTTGAAACCCTGAATCAGCCCCCTGTTGATCAAAGGCTGAATAATGCTATAGATAAAACCAAAATATCAATTCTTCACTTACGTATGATTATGAACAAATAAATCAAGGATCCTTAATTTACTTAAACAACAAGTTAATATGTTTTTTTTTTACCAGGGGATTCCTGTAGCTTGGTGATTTGTTTGTCAGTATACTGTGATCTGTTATGAATCAGGACCATACTGTGGTTTGTGTTACAATTACGACATAAGGCAGGTTCAGCGATGCGACCTCGATCAATTTCCACTGATACTGATGCATGGCAAACATAACACTGGAAGAAAGCTGAGGATCAGAAAACAAAGTGAAGATTTAACAAAGAACTCTTCTGCAATGTCTTAATCAAGATACATGGAGGTTATGAAGTAGCTTTTGAGGAGATTTTGGATTCAAGAACCTCCAATTGGATTCTACCAGAGGAATTCAATTTAATTCAAGTTTGCTTTTCCCACCATGTTGTTCATGGGTGGTGCAACAGGAAAAAGTTGGAAAGCTGACACAGAGGACAAGAAAGAAATTAGGAAATAAAAAGTTTCATCTTTGTGCGAAAATTTTGAGTCTTTCTCACCTTCCCTCATCTCTGGTATCACCTGAGATGTCCTTATCACCATTCCACTGATTGTAATCAGTGTATCAATGTCTACATGAAAAAAAAATTAATATTTATAAAAAATTAATACAATGCAATATAAGACAACTAATTAATATGTATTGTTTAAAGATATATACACAAAATACTCCAAATCAATGTTTCCTTTTACCTTCAGGGTTAAGTGACCTCATATTCTTGGTTTTGTCAACATTAAAAGTTCTGACCTAAAAATGAAAATTAAATGAATTAATCTTTAAATGTGATGGTCATCAACATCGAAAAAATATTATGATAATAACGAATTCATAGTTAAAGATTTGTTTTGTCTTGTCAGAGGTGCAGGATGAAGAAAAAATTCTGAGTCCTCATGGGGAGTCAGAATTTTTTCTTTGTCCACTGTAAGCTATAACTTACCATGTTTCTTACTTTGATAACAAATTCCTTTTGCATTTTAAATATTAATTCACCTGGATTTGATGTTGCAACTGGGCATCAGGGTATTTTTCAAAGAACACCTCATTCACAGCCATATCAAAGGTAGGAATCACTTCTTGCGGATAACAGATCAATTGCCTGTATAAATCAGCATCAAATGTCTTCAGATGACCACAATCAATGTTCAGGAAAGGTGTCTCCAATACGTGGATCTGCATGAAAATATTTTATGTTAGACAGTGCTAATCAACGGTTTTCAAACTAAATGAAATATGTAGAGAGGCTAGATTTTATCAAGGTACCATTGTAAATGTACTTTAATCTAACAACATAAAAGTGTATGAGAAGACTAGTTGCAAATGCCTACTTTGGCTTGCAAAAAGATGTTTTTGTTTTTTCATAATTTGAAGTTCTTCAGGGCTTCAGCTTCAGGTAACAATACAGGTCTTTTTGTTGACCCTTGTGTTTGCATGTTAAGAAACAAATGAGAAGGTCCAGATTCCAAATATTTCAAGATGACTCATCAAATAATCTATTTGTCACAGAAATAAAAAGGAGATCCAGATCACCATTTTAGTGGAGCTTTAAGAAAAAGCACCAGTTCACAAGGCCATAACAACAGTAATTACCTCATCAAGGCGTTGCAAGTAGACTGGCAAAAGGGGATCAAATCCCTCGCCCATATCCTCAGCATCTTCGTCAACAAAGTCACAGACAAATTTTCTGAATTTCTCCTTAGCGTCACTCACAACAACATCTGTTCCCCAGATGACCAATGCAGGAGCTGTGGCAACATCACTAGTAGGTCCAGTTGGCTGATCAGTGGTATCAGACGGCTAAGAGACAAAAAAAAATTTTATTTTATTTGAACCCTAGAAAAAGGGAACAAGAATGCATATCTCAACCTATAATATTGGTGTAAGTTACTTACTGGTTGATTTTCTCCCAGATTAACTTGACGCAATCGCCTGTCGCTGCGAATATCACTACGATGTCGGATTGGTGTACCAGCTCTGATCTTTAGTTAAGGAAACTGAAACTATCAATGGTTTCATGTAGGTTCAATCAAACTCAGATTATTCTCTGCAGCTGCATACTTGGGCTATTGGTCAGCCTGTTGTTCACGATTACTGGCATTGTGCTAGCATACAATATTGCTAAATTGACCTTGAATCACAGCAAATAATAGGCTCACAAGGAATTCTCAAATTCATTTGGAAAAGCACAGAATTTGGACAAAACTATATTCTCAAATGTTGACTCAAAGCTAACAAGCTTTTAATCAAAAAGTAGCTAATTTAAAAAGTTCTAATAATTACAGTTTCTGTTTATTCATCTTATGAAAAATTTTTAACAATTTACCAAATGTTCTTCCATTTTTCCTACATAATGTGCCCTTCTTCAAATTCTATATTCTACCAGGAGGCTTGGTGTTATAAAATATGTTACTTCCAATACTTGATACACTGATGCAATTTTGTTTTACAATTCAAGCTAAGTATCCTAAGCAAAAATTCATCAGATCCCATTCCCCTTATTCAACTTCTTTTAGTTTCTGTTAAAAACCACACGGCATGATCATGCAAATTTTAAACACAAATGCAAATACTTCTATTAGAGGATACAGACTACCAGCTGGGGTACCACCAGCTCTTGAACTTGGTGTAGCATAGTTAAGAGGCGAACTAAGGTCAATTTCACTTGTCTCCAGCCCTCCTCTGGTTTGAGGTGATGAGAACAGTCCAGATTGATCAGGATCAGGCTGTCCCTCAGATGGTGAGGTAGGTGCTAATGGGAGAGGGGATGACGGTTCATCTACTCGTCGTCGTTGAGATGGGGGTGACACTGCAGGAGCAGCTGTTGGAGATGTTGCCCTTGAGCCCCTGCGGTTGCTGCGAGTACTACGCGTACTGGTTGTAGAAGCATCAGATGCTACATGAACAGAAAATTACGACATCAAAACTGAGGGATCAAACTTTCTCAGTTTATCCTTTCTTGATGGAATACTGCTCTCGCATCAACAAGCACTCGGTTGACTTTCATGGGTCTTAGTAAAAGCCTTAGTAATTAATACAGAGCGAGCTTGAATTGTGCCGATTGCTGGCGGCGTGGTGAGAAGGAAATGACCAATGCAAGGCATCAGGAACCACATCTTACGATTCGGTTCCGAGATAATACGTTAATAAAACTTAGCGAGAAAAAAAATGGCTATTGACACCAGCATGTGCCGAATAATGGGTTAGAAAAATAAGCTGACAAAATCGTAAAACATTTATCCATCGGAGCTCGGCATAATTAATCATAAATGTGCAAAAAAGGTTACATATTTCTTTCATCCTTCCCTGATGCATGATCAACCTACGTCAATGAGTTTCTTTTTTTTCAGGTATTCATTCCAGATGAAAAGGTAATCAAATTTATCCATATATTGACGAGCAAAGTTCCAAGAGGTTGAAATTGGTCAAAGTAATTTCGATGGACCCGAGTGCAAAACAGATCGACACTTTTTCGACGTAAAAATTGAATGAGAGAAAGCATGATGTAAAATCAGGGCAGAGAAATCAACAAAGGAAACAATAATAGCATTAATAAGGATATACTCACGTGGAGGGCTTCCTCTAGAGCGCTTTCTTCCTCTCGGTGTAGAAGGTGCAGACATTTTGATTCTCTTCTTCCAACACGAAAAACAGACTCACGTGTGAAAAAGCGCGGGAAATATATCAGGTGACCAAAATGCGCGCAGGGAATTCTGGATGTTGACAAGAGTACATTCTCGATCACTACCACGGAACAATCGCTCCCAGACAAGGACAACAAGACCACCTTAAACTTTAAAATTTTATTGATCGTATAAATAAAACAATTTATAAAATACATCAGGGAACTCTAAATCCCCTCTTAATAAATGATATTAATATAACATCTCTTTCAAAATTCAAATATTTCTTTGTCTTTGGTCATTTGTCACCTGCTGACCTTTTCCAAGAGGATCCCAACGAAACAAATTAAGCTTTTTTTTTTGGCTGACATACATGCGACTATCAGCTGATTCAATGAAGTTTCTTCTTTATTTTCTTCCATTTTATGTTACCGATCTCCAAAAACCTGGAAGATCTATGTGTATCCTTAACCCTTTAACTCCCATAAGTGACCAAGACAGAATTTCTCCTCGTGTTATCAAAACAGTATCAAGCAGACCAGTGTTGAGAATAAAGAAACATATCGATTAGGGGATCATTAATTGATCCCATACCAAATTCTCCAAACTAACATGATTGGAATTATATGGCAGACAGTAAAAAGAATTACTGACGAGATCCAAGGGAAAGGGTTTAAAAACAAACAAACAAACAAACAACCTAACAAACAAATTGCCATTATTTGAATGTGTGAAATACATTTGGAAATAAAAATTAATCTGCATTCTTCTGAAAAATATCCATATACATTTGATTCGTAATTCCCATGATGGAATTGGTTCACTGATTTTTTAAAAATTCAAAAATTTATTCAGGCTCCTCGTGGGGTGGTTGGGTCTCGTCCAGTTTGTCGTCCTTGAGCCAGTAATGAACCTTGCCATCGATGAGGTGCTTAAATTTCCGCATAACAACATGCCCAACACTCGTAACTTGTTCTGGTATAACCTTATCGCCATGAAATACAGCAACAAAATAAGAAAATGAGAATTTACAACTTAACAATATGTACTCCTCTGATAAGTATAACCGCGTTAAATGTTTCCTACAAAACGATGTAAATTAAGAAAAAAATAAAGAATAAGAGAGGATTGAAAAGGGAAATTCTTCCGTTTTATAGATGTTCGAAATGCGAACTAAGACTAAGAGCGTTTCCTTGTTCCTAAGTCTGAGTGTAACGATTCGTTTGAAGCATTTCTGTCAATGATCGAGATAAAAGGACAGGAGAACATACGCCAAGTCGGAAACTTACGAAACTCGGCAATTTTTGCGCTAAGAAAGCGCTCAGATGAGGCCGATTGGAACCAATTTCCACAGTGTCATAGAGGAAAATAAAGGGATTTTGGATGAATCATAGACAGCCTGGCCCAGAACATCGTAGGCTGAATGATTTTCTTATAAAGCACTATAAAGCCAATTTGGTTCAGTGTGGAAGGTTCAGTTGTCTGAGATCGGTCAACTTAAATATACCATGACCTACGTTAGTGAGGAAATAGCACCGCTCGACCCAGTATTGGCTCAAAGTTGATACACTGAAAAAAAGACAACACTTTCTTGTCAGGTTCGTCGCCTACCTCGACTTCAAACTCTTCTGTCCCAAGCTTAAGTATCCCTCTGTAAAGAGGTTTGTTTGCTGTCGAGTAGGGTCCCCTACTGTCGACGTTCCTGAGGTATTCTAACTGTAAACTCTGAATGAGGCTCTCGGTGGCAGTGACAACATCACTACCTGAATCCACAATGAACTCGATCAGCTCTGATGAGCGGGCATCTTGAGGTAAAGGACACAGCAAAAATGTTAGGGAGACACATATTTGTATTTCATCAGTAGACGTAAGAATTGCAGAAATGTCTTATTTGCCAGATTTGGCAGGAAAAAAGCTGTGTAAATGTGCGCTATAGAGTAGACAGATCATACAAAATACTCTTCTTTCTATCAATGTTGTGAATTAAATTACCTAAATTTAAGATCGAGCAGACTGCACACTGAGAAAGCCTTCAGTTAAAATTTGGCCATTTTCCAATAGAATGAGCATCTATCTGACTGATAAGCTGATACATGGTCTACGAAATAGACATACGGCAGTCTGACTGGCTGAGAGATCAGTGTGTTGACTGACTAACCAACTAGCCAACTGACCAAGTTACTATGTGTCTAACTTACTGCCATTGCATGAGTAATGAGTGACTTACAGACTAGTTTGCTAACTGAAAGACGGGCAAGCTAATTAACTGACGTATGAAAATACTATTTGAAAAAATTGTTGATTTCTTAATTGACTTTTGAGTGACTCTGTGACTTATCGACAGGTTGACTATAGCTGAAAGACCACAACACCAGCTAACTAATTAGCCAGCAAATTGAAGGACTGACCAACTCAATACTTAATGGCCACTTCTTAACGGCTAACAACCTGAGAACAGACTCATTGACTTACAACCCAAGTCAATCAAAAGTAAATAAGTAATTACTGAACATGCTTAGCAGTTTAACTAATTAGATTGCAGCTCATGTAGTTTGGAAAATTTGAAGCTAGGCTAAGCAGTTTGAAGCAAAGAAAAGAAACTCCAATAACTACACAAATAGGTCTATGTATTGCATCATCACTAATACACCTGCATACATACCTTCTCCAGTGTCAGATTTAAGGTGTCCTTGCACACACAGAAAAGGGTGTGGATTGTCTTTAAGGCCTGATGGCTGTCCCCAGTAACCCAGGACAACCACTCTAGTATCAGGTTCCTTTGCTGAATGCCACTTGAGGAAGGTTGCTGGTGGATAAGAGGTAAAAAGAAAAAACGAGATCGTAGGCATCTTGTTCATAATGAAAATTTTACCTCATATGCTTTCCATTGTATTCTGTCTTAATCTCCTCTATCTTAAGCCATTCCTTTGGTTAATACTTGGCCTTTTGGCTTTTCCCTGCTCCTTCAAACTATCGTGTCAATCAATGACAAGTCCCAATGACTCCCCTTAATAATCCAAAAACTTTGAAATCAGCTCAGATAATCATGACCAAGTTCTTTTAATTTTTGACCAACAGGAAGGAGGAGCTCACAAAACTAAAATTACATCTCATTGGTAGGTAAAACTAATACATGTTATAGAGCTAATATTATTTAATTGATTGTATTCCCTTTATTGAGTTCACTATGATTTTTCTATAGTTTACAGTTTGCCGACTGTAAACTGTATGGTCTTGACGAGAACTAAAATAAAAGTTGCCCACACTTGGAAATGCAATTGCACAATGCCAGCTAACATAGATGACTAGAAGTTTTGGTAAAGAAAATTTGGTAACGCAAAAATATCCCACTTTTCCACATAACACCGATATTACGGGAATATAAAGTTCTTAGAAAAAAAGGAAAATATTTTGGATCACCGGTGACTGATTTTACAGACATAGAATTTAAACGGTGGAACGGATTAGTTACAAAATACACGTCAGCTTAGAGTCATATTTTTAAGTCTGTAGAGTACTATCGAAAATTACAAGTTTATTCTTTGACGCGCTGAAGACTTTTGGGGCACTATGAATCGATAAAACCGAAAGACTGTGTGGCATATTGCGGAAATGCCCCTAGCATTCTGATGAAAGATTCCAACAAACATAGCACTGGCTTTTCTAAACCATTATAAGAGAGGTCTGTGAGAGGGCGAATCGTCTCGAGTTCAATACACTCCTACATCCCCTTTCAAGATAGACTTCATTTAAGTTTATTAAATAAACTTTTCGTAGAATGAAGATATAAAAGAAATTGAAAGAAAACGGCTTAGAGCTTTGCCATAGCAAGCCATCTAATAATGCCCAAAACGAAACATCAAATCTGGCATCTAGAAAAATAATGTGCCTTCATGATCCCTTTCCTCAACTGAAAATTTGCGCGCACAGATTTTGAACGTAACACAGCCCTTAGACTAACAAACTTTATGCTTATCCGTATTTAGTGAGACGAAGAGAAAAAACCAGGATTAGCAGCAGTACTGCAAAACAGATGATAAGAAAACCGTTGGCTGATTTTCAGTTTGGAGGTACTAAACTCTGATCACAAAAATTAACGGTTCCACAGCGGTATTTGTTCGCGACCGAGCTGTTCATTTTTATAAGTTACTGTGCTGTTTAATTGCCCCTTACAAACGAAACACGGTTCCTTCACTTATTAAATTCTAATTAGAACCCCGGTTGATCCAAAAAATACAAAGTTTTCAGAGAAAAAAAAACCGCGCTCTTCAGGATTGATCCAACGACGGCGGCGCCAAAGAGACACTCTTCAGTCCCGTATGAAATCACAAATCAATAAATCTTTTGCAGTTGGACTTTTAAAACGTTATCTCTTTTCAATCCATGAAGGTATTATTTCAGATGTTTAACCCGACGTTCGAAATATAATTTGGCAATGCAGCACGATCTTTTTTATTGGAATATCTTAACATACCACTCTTGGAACTGCTGCAACAACGATAGGTTTGATATAGGATATAGGAGCACCTCGCGATTTCTTGCGTTGAAATGATCTCTTTTGAAATTTATCTGCAACCTCGACGTTTTCCAACGACGAATGCAGTTAATGCTCGTAAAAAAAAACAAAAAAAAAACGAAAGGGCTCTTTAAGGGGAGTCCCCCTTCAAGCCATTTTGTGGAAAAGTAAAAACGTTACCGATCAAGCGTTTAGCGGGGTAATATCCCTTCAAATGAAACTGCTTCTATAGGTGGAAACGTTCCTGCCGAATAATAAACAAATCGTCCATAGAAAAAAGTAAGAAAAATGTAGCTCGCTCTTTAAGTGCCAGCTAATTAGTTATTTTCTCGACGAGGAAGGTCGTCTGCGTCAATGAACTAAAAACAGGATTATATTCAGATCGAAAGTGATCAGGCATTGCTAACGTTTCACCTCCAATCCACTATAAGTAAACAAATATAATTTCGATCTTCATTTTAGTGATATAAATCTGTTCAAGAGTGAGCTAGTTCAAAGTTCCTACCTGCACTTTTAACCCTTTTTCTGTGCCCTGGGATCATGATCTCCAATGAGTCTAAGAGCTCGTCACTCCATTCTCTGGATTTTACATCCCTTATGGTGACGATTCCCTCAGCTCTCAACCTCTCCATGTAACAACTTTCATGATCTAAATCAAGATGTTGTAGCCAGTCTGCGACATCTATGAGAGAAGCTGGAGATTGGAAAATATATATGCATTGTGAGTTAAAAGATAATAGAGAAAAAAGTTTGTCATTAAAACGGAAACAATTGTGAAATTGGTGACTTGAAACAATAGATAGTTTATCTTCTAAGATAGATTCTCATCCGTCTCAAAAAAGGAATAAATCGGAAACTAAATAGGACGAGTGGCACGAATCCGATCTCACGGTGCTCTAACATCACGTAAGGTAAACAAAAAATATGGAGAAATGTACTTACCGGCGTCTAAGATCTTGAACCTATCGTCTCGTTCTCGTATACTCAGAGAATCCAAGTCTTCTTCATCGAGTATACATAAGTCAATGATCCTATCATAACCTTGAGTTAAAAATCTTGTCCCGTATCTTTCAAGGCCAATTTTCTCCAAAAAATTCTCGACTGCATTTCTCGAGGCCATCACAGTCTGCATTACTCTCTTGTTGAATAAAATTCACTTTGATTCCTAGCGCGTTATGGCTGGAAAAAACATTCTGTTGTTGATTGGTTTTCTATAATTGATAATTGTCTCTGATTGGTTATTTGTAATGGATTATTCCCGCGAGGGAAATTTTTTGTCACGAAGTCTTCGAGGGACGCTCTGCTTGTTTGAACTTGCCCTGATCTAAATTCCCCGATCTATTGTTCTTTAACGTGACGTCAGTGAAATATTGATATCCATGATGGCGGCTAATGAGTGCGTTCTGTTTCTGTTCAAACGTGCCTGATCAGGTTATTTCCCGTCTGAAGTCGAGAGAATTCCAACATTCCTTGACAGTGAAATGGTAAGTTTTTATATTGTGTTTGCTTTTAGTTCAACCTTATCATTAATTTGGACTTGATTTTTCGGGCTTTTTAGCCATGACTAGGAATAATTTGTTGTTTCTTTCAGTACTGTCGATCAAAAAAATAAGCATAAGCTGTTGGGGAATAACCATAAACAAACGATTATAAACATGTTAGTTTTGTAGATCGGTGGGTGCAACAGATTAATACAGGCAGCTTATAATCTTCAATTATTTAAGCTTAACACTTAATTATTGGATTTGTAAACTTTTAGGCCTTGTGTAAACATGAAAAATAATCTTGTTGGAAAATCTGGATTTTTATTTTTAACAATAAACAAATCCCCTGATTGTAATTTGCTTATCTAGCAAAATGCACTTTTGTCAAATGTTGTCAAATCAACCATCGGAAATTTGTTTGAAAACTTTAAGACGTTGGTAAACTCCTCACGACATAATACACTCATTCGAGCACACAAAATGAACTAGAGCGAAAACAAGCGTTTTTATAGTCTACACCAAAGTAGTTTTTCGTTTGTAGTTGATATCTGCACAAATAGGGAATTATTTTTGGGTGATAAAGGGGAAACAAGAAATTGAAAGTGCTAGCTTGCTTTTTTTTAGCGTTGTTGGACTGTAACGCAATTCTTTTACAGAATAAAGGGGGAAAGTTTTTAAAGAAACTGTGGTGCTGTGTCGGTGGGAGAGCATGACAGGGTAATTAAGTATTATCAACTGAGTTTATAATGTGAATTTTGGGTCCATTCCCTCTAACGAAGGGTTAACACTTGAAACATCAGCTTTGAAACTCTTTTTGATGGCCAATCTACATTAGTCACTCAGTCGATAATACTAAATTACCCTCTTTTACAGAATGCTGACAATTAAAAGCAAGGTGTATTCTTTGTCACAATCTACCTATTATTTTATGTGATCGTAATATATATGTGGAGGTTCAGACTGAATATAGTTCAGAATTGCTTTACTAAACCTAATTTTATTTGTATTTTCCCTTATCCTGGACCATATGTTTTTATTTGTTTAAAAATGAAGAAAGATTAATGCTCCTACCCACAGTACATGCAGTTTCAGGGATTTTCAATGAAAATTTGCATGAGTGGCAAATCATCATCCTCCACAGCAAGGGAGGTTGAGGGTATGCTTCCTTCAGAAATTGGAAATTCTAATCTGTTGCAGATGTATTTTGCTTCATGAAGAGGTCTTCTTATATATAATTGCTTGGTAATTCTTGAAGAAAACCTATTTGTACAATTTTGAAGATAATTATGTCACAATCAATGCAAGGATGTTTGTGTGTTTAACCAAATACTACAGCCGATCATGATGATGTCTATGTATGTTTGTGACGACTTTGGTTTTGGTTTTGTTATACTTAATCAATCAAAATATACTCTTGTGCAATTTATGATTAAAATGTTTAACAGAGGATTTTGTTGGTTACTTGAGAAACTTACAGTGCATATCATGTCTGTAAGAAAAATGGAGAACCAATTTTACCCTTTGACCACTAACAGTGACTAGCATCTAAATTCTCCTTACAATATCACCCCCTGAATCAATCATACAGGTCTTGAGAATGAAGGAATTGATCTTCAACTAAACAAGCCTTTGATTTTTTTCAAACAAATTCTCCTTGTCAGAACCATAGGAAATGTGTAGAGATTGGTATCAAGAATATGTATCCTGATCAATGTTAGGGTGTTAAAGGGTTAAAAGGTAACGCATGTGAAATTTGCTTTCCTATACTGATCTCCCTCACTAAAGAACAATGTGACTGGCAGCTAAAGATCCTGGACCACTCCACTACTACTGAAATGCAGGAATGTGCAAAGTTGAAAATTTTTAAACAAGGTTTTTCTGTAACTCACTGATATGGCAATGGCAATGGCTTGCACAAAAGTTGGAGCAGTAAAGCACACAAGAGGTCTGTGAGGGGGGTGAACCTTCTAAGATCTCTTACCAGGTCATTGCACCCTTTCCATAGCTATAATGAGAGCCAGATTTCGGGCCAGTACATGCTTTCAGATACACATTGTTTTGTTATTGTCTTGTGCATGTACTCAGCAGTAAGAATCCCTTAATTCTTTCTAAATAGGTCATTCTTAGAATAAGGTGGAAGCCAAATGCAAAAATAAGTCTGCTGTACAAGTTGAACTTTGGAATGTCTTGGTAAATATCTATGTGACGCTAATCAAGGCTCTTTCATTCTTGATTTCTTTTGCAAATGATCTCAAGCATTTATTTCTGTCTTTTTCAAAACTTAGAAAGCTTGAGTTTAACACAAATGCCTTCAAATTGCTGTGTGGTTATACCACAAGTGAAGATTGATGAAGCAATGAATTAACTAATTCCTGAATACAAGATCTTTGAAATGGGCATCCTTTTAAGTTATGAGAGTTTGTGTTAAGTGACATGAAATGTTTCACCTGAAGCTTATCATAAAGCGAGAAGAGCTATAGAAAATATAACCACTAGTAAAGTTACAATATCTACATGTAATATAAAGGAACTCAAAGCCTAAAAAATTCCTTGGAAGATAGATATGAAGTGTTCCCTTATTGACAAATGCTTTTCTTTCTAAAAGCAATTTTCTCATGTCAGTCATTGATTGACTGTTTACTCTACTTTTGGTTTGTTTCTTCACTCAGGAGATGTTGTTACATGATGACACTTGTTTATCCTTTTCCATTTGTACCTCACCATTGCAAATTACTTCTCAGAAAGGTTTTGCCGATCAAAATGCTTAGACCTTGATTAATGTTCTTGTGACCTTGATAAATTAAGTTATCCTGCATATTAGTTCTATGGAAATTTCTCAAAATGACAGCTTTCAATTAGTATATGTGCTATGAATTCAAGCAGGAGATCCTCAGATATGAAGCTTTTCCACAATAGATCTACAAGTTATATTTCCCTCTGCATGCATAATGTTGTATATAGTTTTGTAAATAATATTGGAATTGTAATAAAGCATATTTTATTTTATTTTATTTTAACTTATTTTCTCAAAGATATTAGCTCTACAGCTACACTGTGAATTTCGAGCATAAATAAAGTATATGTATGTGTGTATGTATGTATATGACTAGTCAATTTAGTGTGCCATATTTCACTGTAGAGCTGGTTAGATTTAGAAGTTTTTTGAATTAAAATCATCCCCTTACATTTGAACATAGAGATATAATAAATATATTACTTACCTCATTTTCTTGATGTGTGCTGTTAGTTATGGAACTTATTTCTTCTACTTTGCCCTTTGGCTATAAATCCAAATGGGAAAAGCTGGACCCACAACTTACAGTATGGACCTTGAACTTGGTTAGTAAGAGCTGTATGATTTTTATTGTCAACATCTTAAGTTCACAAAGAAAATAAAGTGTTCAGCCAGTAGGACAAGATGTGCCACATACAGGGCTTTTATGTTCACAAAGAAAATAAAGTGTTCAGCCAGTAGGACAAGATGTGCCACATACAGGGCTTTTATGTTCACAAAGAAAATAAAGTGTTCAGCCAGTAGGACAAGATGTGCCACATACAGGGCTTTTATGTTTTACAATGAGGTATAGAAAGACCTTGGCCATAATTGTCCGATATTTTTCAACTGTTCAGCTGTTAGTTTATTTGACTTTTGAATAAACATTTTATTGAAACTTTACTTTTTTCTATTGTTATTGCACGCATGGTTTACTTTTAGTGCCCCAGCTAATGCTGTTATATATTGGAAGAAGATGGCAAATGGTTCAAGTTCTCATTATTTTATTGAATAATTGAGATACCATGATCATGAGATAGCTCTTAGGAGCCTTTGATTAGTTTTATGTGGCTTGTGGAAAATCCAAACTCTCTTAACCCTTTAACTCCCACAAGTGATTGAGAGGTAACTTCTCCCCATAATATCTATGCACTATCTAGCAAACAGGTAATGAGAATACTTAAACTTATCACGTATAAGTTGTTTTCCTTGATCTAACACCAAATTCTCCGAACTAATTAAGAAGGAAATGTGTAGCAGCTAGAGGGGAGAATTAACAATCAGATCTTGGGAGTTAAAGGGTTAAAAAGATAGCAGGGCTAAAAATTGGCGGTCGCACGGTCGCCAGTGGCGAGTTAAAACTGACCAGGGCCACCAAAAGTTGAGGTTTGAATGCCCGATGTGCGACAATGCTGCAGAATTTCGAAAAGTTGCAATGTAAATTATGCGAAGTACAAAGTTAAAAATAAAACTCAATATGTAATTTAATTGGACTACCGTTCTCTTCGTTCCTTTGCCTGGACTCTAACATTATCCATTTTAGTAAATTTTTAGTTCTGAAGTGGAAATTCCGAGCCGTTTTAACAGCGATTTCACGAGCGATTCACATTCACAACATATAGACGCCATTTGATTTTGTGATTGCCACGTGACTCTGGACTTTTGCGTTCTTTCCCTTTAATAAACGCTCTGTTAAAAGCCATGGGGCGTTTATTCAACTTTTTTTTTTAATTTTAAACTAGAGAAAATGGATGGCTACTTCATTTTGGGATGGGCCACTAAGAATTCAAGGAAACTGGCCCGACTGGCCACCCAGCGCTGGAGTTAAGTTTTAGCGCTGAGATAGGCCAACTTCCTGACTCCTGGGCTTTCTCGGCTCAATCAATGCAAGGCTGTGAAGAGTTATGACAGAAAGGTTTATATTATTCCTCCCTACGAGTTAGATTTTATCATTTTAGTGAAGCCTCTTGACCTGAACAAAATTGCTCAGTAGTTAAAGTTTTTAAAGAAAAATCAAAGATAGCGGGATGTATGTCTCAATTTTCATATTCTAAAACTCAATGTGAAACAATAGACACCCCTAGAGGGCCCACAAAAACTCCATGGTTTACTCCCCAACACCTAACAGCGATGACTTCTTTTATCATGTCATCAATTCTGAAATGCAGAAAACTCCATTGAATTTGTTGTGTTCAAGTTTCAAAGTATGATTTATTTCTACAACACAAGACTAATGCACTGATCAGATTGAAGCCTCAATATCCTCCCCTGCCATTCAGGGGCATTTGACTGTCGTTCGTACTGCGGGGTAGGTGTTTAAAGTTAAGAGTTCACTTTTGCAAGCTGATGGCTCAGAAGAAGAGATCTACAAGATCTAGGTTTTAAAGTTTCAATATTCAATCAATTGCTGTTTAATGAGTAGAAAGTCACGGTTACTGATTTTACAAAAATATCTGGATCTCGGGTAAAGCATTTGAATACAATTTTGGCCCGGGGGAGATGGATTTGAAACGAGGGGTTTAAGGGTTTTTATATTTCGCTTTCTCTCTTTCTTTTTTTTTTCTTATTTCCTTTTTAATAAAATTGTATCGAGATTAGATTCACTTAATGGATTTGTGAAAGGGATTGACTCCTGATAAACAAACAAGCGCTCTTAAAAATATTCACAAATTCTTTCAGCTCATGTCATGTTTCACGGTGACGCTGTTTGGAGGCCCACTTATAAGATAAACGTGGGACAGTATTTGCTATTAGAGCGGCACCTTTTCCATTCAGCGCATCAGTTCGAGAGAGGCTAAGAAAACCAAACTATCACGAGGAAATGTCTTCCCAAGCGGTAAAAAACTGTTTTAGGCCAAATGATTGCACCAGGAAAGCTAATGTGGCACTGATCACAGGTGTTACTGGACAGGTTAGAGATATAACGCATTTATTTTTAGACTGTGTGTATTTTCCATGATCAGATTACAAAACGATATTGCCCGATTGCAATGGTGTATCAACTTTAGTATTTTCATTAAGAAAATCCATCTATTGAACATGGATAACTTCATGTTTCAGTACTTTGTCTTCAAATTGTGTGGGTAATCCAAACACACTGGCTTTCATCAGGTGTGAATAACGTTTGTAAAGATAAAAGCGGACCGTCCAAATAAGGTTCTCTAAAACACGCGATGTGAATTTAGTGTATGTTAGGGTTCATATGATCGTACGTATTCATAGCGTTTAAAAATTATGGCTGTGCCGTCAACCAGTTTGGATAGGAACAGGCAAAGGGTCTGGGATCGCTTTAAACAGCACCTGAGCACCACCAAACATCAGCATTTATCAGAAAAGAATACACCGCCTTTACGGGCAATAATTTTTTCCTCTAGACAATCTTGTTTAATAACAAGCGGAATCACCTTATAAATGCTCAAACTTTCCGGGTATATTAGTTTAATATTGCGGATCAATCAGGTTTGTTACTAAAGCCAGGCAAAATCAGAACTATTCTGCCATCACAAGAAAAAACCTTTTCTGCAGAGGCTGAATGATAAAATAAAATAACGATTCTTTCCTCAGACCACTTGAATGTTATTTTATAGCATTCGCATTTACCGTTTTCCTTTGGTCGCGCATCGTAAGAAGTAAGGTTTTCCTAAGACCTTGAAATGTAATGTTTTGATTGGTTGAAACACACTCACACGTGGCGTCGCACAGCAGCAGTCATTTTGTCACGGCAACCGGCATTTTCTGATTTGAAACCCCAGGTACTGAGAGTCCAGAGGTTGCTTAGAGTTTTTCTCCTCTATTTTTGTGAACATGGCAGAGGCAAAACGCAAAAAGAAAGTGGCTTTAATTACGGGCATAACTGGACAGGTGAGGCAATTCAAGAGAGTTATTTAATGCTCAGCGCTCAGAGAATACCGATCGATGGAGCATAACACGCGTTTAATTAATAAATTCTGTAGAGAGCGTACATCCACACGTGTTAGAAGTTCTTAATAGTTTTCATAAAATTCGAATGGAAATTAGAGTCCTTCATGTTCTCAAGTAGTCCTCTGGCGATTTCAATGCTGACAATTTACAACAAATCTTTCGATATGAAGTAATCTTCCCAAACCACATGTTTAGTGGTTGCTGGCAAGGCGCTCAAATTGGTCTTAAGGGAATATAGATTTAGAACTATAGGTGTTGGAAAAACGAATGTAAAAGATGTTGAATTTGCATAACTGCATCTTGAAGACATCTGGATGGTAATGTGTGTGTACGTGATTTTAGGAGTGTAGCGCCAATACTACCTTCTGAGATCGGATGCTGCAGCATTGAGAACCTGATTCAATACCCAACCAAAGTTACCTTTAGGTAATTTAGTGTTAACAGCTGAGCTGGAAAGGTAAATTGGCCACCGTAAAGGGTTAAAAAGCTGACGTTTCGAGCGTCAATCGCTCTGACGAAGGGCTAACGCTCGAAACGTCAGCTCTTTTACCCTTTACGGTGGCCAATTTACGATTTCAACTCAGTTGTTAACACTAAATTACCTGCCACACTCTTCCACCGACGCAGCACCACAGTTTCTTTAAAAACTTACCCCCTTTATTCAAAGTTACTTTTAGGTTTACTGAATTTGGAAAAACGTAGTTATTAAAAGGATGGCCTTACTTGAGCAACTTAAACCGAGTGAATGAAATATATCATTTCGCACGGCTATGAACAGTTATATCAAATTACTGTGATGGCAAGACTAGATTGGTAGTTTACAACAGTCTCATCCCAAAAGTCTAATTGATCTAGACGATAACAAAGTTATCCATGGGGAGAGATCTGCAAAGATTTCCATATTACTTGTCACACTATTCTAAAACAAAGTTGAAGTCCCTCAGGCAAACTGATGTCTTCTATAATTTTTTCATCAATCCAAGAACTGTATGCATAATTAAGTATGGCTTTGTACAAAAATCTTGTCAAAGGGATATTCTTTTTGTCAAAAGCACGAGAAAAAGGATAAATCAAAGTTCCCCACCATCATCAAGAAATCAGTCCACAGACCTTCAGATTTTTTGCACTAGAAGCTCTAACATTGATCTGCAAAGTACTCAATGGTGAGCTCTTTCTTGGTGGTCAGTTGCATCCATCAACGACTTCAGTATGCACTACCAATCTATTAAAGGCTGCTATATGATCAGTGAGTCCCAGCCTTGATGTGTACATGAGGGAAGAAGAACTGTGCTGACTCTTTGATGAGTAGTGAATAATTGTGATAAATCCTGCTTTCTGCGGTAGCGTGAAGCAACCAGGATCAATCCTTTCACTCCCATGAGTGACTTCTTACTTTATCAATACAATATCAGGCAAGCAAGTGATGAAAATAAGGAAAAATATCAAATATGGTAATGTTAGTTGATCCAACACCAAACTCTACTAACTAAAATTGGTAGAATTGTATGGAAAACAGTAAAGAGAATTACTAAGATCTTGGAAGCAAAAGGGTTCAGTCTCCTTCCCCCCCCCTTTTTTTTTTACTGGTGAGATGCTTGTACATTATGGTTCATTTCCTTTCTTCCTTTCCCTGAAGAATCAGGAGTTTCCCACCCAGTTCCCTGCTACCTAGAGTGGTGTTATGAGATTAAGTGTTTTGTGAGAAAAGTCATGACAAGAACTTGACCAGAAATTAAAGCCACAGTCACCAGTCAATCTGACCAGACTTTTGAATGCCAACATGCCAAGCTTCTACCTCCTTGTAAACAGGCTCTTACCCTAGCAGACTCTGTCTTTCAAAAGGCTTTAAGTGGGGAAGTGATATGGTCTAAATCCTGTTAATAAAGATTGGCAAAAGTATTTGGGAGTCATGCATTAGAGGCATTTCTTTTTCACTTAGCTCTTAATTTGCTTGTAATGCTTTGAAACACCTCTACCAGTTTTAATGTACACAGACGAGAATAACATATTTGCAATTTAGTGGTTTAAAAACTACTAAAAAGGTTGGTCAGATGGCTATATTTGACTTGCATTAAATTTCCTATGACTGTTGTTATTTTTTGGTAGGATGGCTCATACCTTGCTGAGTTTCTGCTTGCAAAAGGTTATGAGGTAAGTAAAAGATCCCATCAAATATAGTGCAGTCTATTGGTTTTGGGCACTGTTGTGTTTGCAAAGATGTTGGTAACTGTATAGTGAAGATTCTACTTTCTTGTCTGTGAATTTGACATTAATACAAGTAGATTGGTGCATTAGCAACTGAAATGTCAACTGCGATTTTTAGAATTGTTTACATTTTGATTGGATTAGATTTGTTAACCTTTCTTGCAAAATTGTTTTAATATTTATTGTCCTTAATAATGCTCTGTGAGAGGTAATCCTATTTAAACATCATTTGTGATTACAAAACTGATAAGAACTTGTAACTAGATATACTTGATCCTTATTAAGTACTGGTACTTCAATCAATTTTTTCCTCTGTTGATTTTAATTATTAATAGATAATTAAGTTAAAAGTTCTTATTATGAGTAACTACATGACACTTGCTTTTTGTGTTTTCTAGGTGCATGGAATTATCAGGCGTTCTAGCTCTTTCAACACCGGGAGAATTTCTCATCTATATGCTGATATCAGAACCCATAAAATGGGAGGTATGCATGCCTATTGTACAGTGATGTACCTTCAACTTAAGCTTGTGAGTTGGTTCTCAGAAAGTGCAAAGCCCACAAGATTATAGTCAACTGGCAAAGCAAGCAAACCAAAGGTCTGCTAGATCCCTTATAGACCTCTTGCTGCTTGAAGTCTTGCAGGCTTCACCTCTCACGCCTTATCAGTAGTGATTGCTGGCTCACAGCAGGGAGTGAAATTAACTTTTTTTTTCTGATAGCCACTTGGCTCCTAAATTCTTCAAAGTGGTAGCCAATTCAAAAAAAGTTGGTCGCCATTTTCAAAGACAAACAAAATCTTTCTTTACACTGTCAGCATTCTAGATAGACCCTCCAAAATTAAGTTAGGGAAAAGATCTTTAACGTGCTACAAAGTGGACACTAGGATGGATGATATAAAACGTTCAGGCTCATCTAAATCCAAGACGGCATCTAGTTATCAATCGAGATGCATGTGCTACATTTTGGAAACAAACTTAACGAGGAAGTTTGCTGCGGATTTATCTTTGCAAATTGTTTAAATTCACTATATCCAGGGTGTGAAATAAACTTTTTTTTCTGATAGCCACTTGGCTCCTAAATTCTTCAAAGTGGTAGCCAATTCAAAAAAAGTTGGTTGCCATTTTCAAAGACAAACAAAATCTTTCTTTACGCTGTCAGCGTTCTAGATAGACCCTCCAAAATTAAGTTAGGGAAAAGATCTTAAACATGCTACAAAGTGGACACTAGGATGGATGATAAACAATGTTCAGGCTCATCTAAATCCAAGATGGCGTTTAGTTATCGATCGAGATGCATGTGCTACATTTTGGAAACAAACTTAACGAGGAAGTTTGCTGCGGATTTATCTTTGCAAATCTTTTTAATTCACTATATCTCTTGGTAAGGTTATGATGAAACGTTCTAGTCGCCAATTTGGCGACTAACTTTCAGGATTTGGTTGCCAAAGTGAAAAATTTAGTCGCATTGGTGCCTGTATTAGGTGCAATTTCACGCCCTGTCTCTTGGTAAGGTTATGATGAAATGTTCTAGTTGCTAATTTGGCGACTAACTTTCAGGATTTGTTCACCAAAGTGAAAAATTTAGTCGCATTGGCGCCTGTATTAGGTGCAATTTCATGCCCTGCACAGGCTACTTTGATCATTGTTTGTCATCATCTTCTACAAAATCTCAGATCAGTGTAACTTTTGCCAAAGTTTAAAACTCTACATCACTGTTACAGCAAAGAGAACTTATCTAAGAATACTTTATTGTCAACCCTATCACTCCCAAGATCTCATTAGTAATTTTCCTTAGTGTCTGCCATACAATTCTTATGATGTGAATTTGAATAATTTGGTATTGGATTGACAAAATCCCTTTATTGGTATCCTTTGTTCATCCTGAATTCTATCTCTGTCACTCATGAGAATTAAAGGGTTAACTGACACCAAAAAAACCCCTTGAATTTATCAACAAAGTGCATGCATGATTTTAATTTCTTCTAATCATATTACCACTACCCCTTAACTAATTACAATTACTTATACGCACAGTATAAAGTTTTTTGTATCAAACATATTTTATGTGCTTTTTTAATTATATAGAAGTGTTTTCTTTCAAAAGCTATGAAACTACATTATGGGGATCTTACTGACAGTACAAACTTAGTGAAAATTATCAATGAGGTGAGATTTTTCAGACTGTTCAGACATCCCTGATTTTTTTTTTGCAGTTGTGAGATTGAAATATTGATTTAAAATTTGTGGGAAAGTTAAACTTCCTAAAATTTATTTGCTAGTATGTCCAATTGTGTTACATAACTGAAAAGTGAGCATAAAATTTGACAAGTAATGATCCAAGATGAATAATGTATTTCTTCTACTCTAGGTGAAACCAAATGAGGTTTACAATTTAGGAGCTCAAAGCCATGTGAAGGTAATTTTTTAAGCTAAAAAGTTTATTTTGTAGCAATGGAGTTTGAAGAGTGTGATTTCCTTGTTATGAAAAGTTTAATATTTAGCCTCTTTATTGAAAAGGATCCTCTTAAAAAGAGAGTTGAAAATTTAAACCCCTTTTTAATATTTTGCAGACAAACTTGTTTCAGTTGGCATAAACAAAAAAGGTTTTTAATTTTTCTCTTTTTTATGATTTCTTTGTTTAGGTTTCATTTGATTTAGCTGAGTACACTGCAAATGTTGATGCTGTGGGAACTCTCAGGCTGCTAGATGCAATCAAAACTTGTGGACTAGAAAATGATGTTAGGTTTTATCAGGTAACATGATGTTCTTGCAGTTGTCCTTCAGTTTTGCCATATCTTCAGGGTGCTTTATTAGCAGATCTTAACAACTTTAGTTTGTGCTAAACAATAGTCAATGAAATTTTAATTTTTTTCTTGAGGAAAGCAGTTTAGCTACCCAAGTCCTGTTACTATTAAAATGCTTTAAGTATGCTTTATGAATGGGACATTCACAACAGACTGGAAATTTCGTGTACTGTGATTTTAACCCTTTAATTCCTAACAGTGATTACCATGTAACTTTTCCCTTTGATATCCATACATCCTTCAGCAAACAGGAAATATGAAAAGTTATCAAGTAGAAGTTGTTATTTTGATCAAATACCAAATTCTCCCTTAGACTTAACTCTTGTAACTAATTTAGAAAGAAATGTCTAGCCCCCAGAGGAGAGGATTACTTATCAGATCTTTGGAGTGAAAGGGTTATATTGTAGGTGTCAGAATTTTGTAGAGTTTACATACATTTTAATCATGTTTATTTCATTTGGTTTCTTTAATATATTGGTTTATAGGCTTCTACAAGTGAAATGTTTGGAAAAGTTCAAGAAATTCCACAAACAGAGAAAACTCCATTTTATCCCAGGTCACCATATGGTAAAGATATATATAATTATTGTTTTTAGACTACTGCAAGCTGTAAATGTTAGTAATCATTCATTTGCTGAGGTTGTTGTCAGATTGAAATGCATGTTGCAATTCAGCAAACTTATTCCGCAATTCGTTTTTGCAAAATTAAACACTAATTTTCTCCCTTAATTTTGTTTGAACCATCTTTAATCCATAGGTGCTGCGAAAGTGTATGCCTTCTGGATAGTGGTGAATTATAGAGAGGCTTACAACATGTTTGCCACAAATGGGATTTTATTCAATCATGAAAGTCCACGCAGAGGTAAAGATTAATTACCACATGATCTCTTATTTAAGCAATAGACTACTCTTTCTATTGGTTTAGGGGTGTAATTTGGGTTAAGGCAGTGTAGTGGGGTCCTGGGTTCAAGACCTTCACTCTTCTACAGACTGGATTGGTTCTTAGTTGTCTTGAGTTCAACTCTTTGGCTGCACCTTGTATATGGCCAACTGGTCTGCCTCCTGCCAATTGGGATTTTTAAACACTGTTTATTTACAATGTTTATTTGTAATTTGTTGTTATTAGGCCTGAAAAATCCTGTTAAGGGAGTGGTTATTGAATGTTGTTGTTATTATTATTTTATTATTATTATTATTATTATTATTATTATATTATTATTATTATTATTACTATTATCATTATTATTATTATTATAACCCACATGGGATGTTGAGAGCTGGAACACAAGACAAATCAGTAAATCATTTCCAGTAGCCTCTAGCTTGTTATTTACTCACGTTTTTAAGTGTTCTCTCTCTCAGGTAAGTTATTGTGCTGATTAACTAACAGAAAATGCAAACAATTACTTTTCGTAAAATATGAACTTTAATTTTCTATGGGTTTACCATAAGCATATGTTGGTTTTTTTGGCCAATCAGGGCATTCTTTGTATTCCTGTTATTTTATAACAAATGATAGACTTGACATAGTTGTTATATAACAAAACAAAAATCATAGTATTACTAAACACCATGTCTAAGTACAGGTTAGTGAGTTGTCATTGCTATGATTTCTTACCCAGGTGAGACATTTGTAACAAGGAAGATAACAAGAGCTGTGGCAAAAATCCATTTAGGATTACAGGATGAGGTAAAAGAACCATAAATTACTTTTCAAAAGGGTGCTTGTTCACTGTGCAAATGTCTATTTGATATTGAATGTCACAATGGAGCATAAAATGCATGTGACGAGTGGCATGTGAGGAGTGGCCAGGGGGTGTGCTGTATGTGTAGTCCTGTTAGCAAGTGAAGCAGTTTAATGCATTCTGCTCGTATTGTGCCATCATGATAATTGAGTCAGCTTCTGTGTATATTTCTCACATTTGTTGTGATCTTTGTTCCAGCTTCAACTTGGGAATTTGGATTCTAAGAGAGATTGGGGGCATGCTAGAGATTATGTTGAGGTAGAGAAATAATATTTTGATGTCAAACATGGACATAAATATGATTTATAAAGGCCCCAGTGTTCTAGTGGTAAAAGTGAATGGGGGGGGGGGGAGAGGTATCCCCGTCAATAGGGTAAGCTCTGTGGTCAGAGTATTCCCTGGCAGCTTTATTGATAGATTGAAAACCAGATAACTTATGAAATAAATGTACCCTCATAAATCATAGTATAGTAAATATTTTACAAGTCTGATCACTTTTCCATCCAGCTGGGTCATTGCAACACCTACACTGTAAAATTAACCAATCATTGTACTGTAGATATGAATTTAGAGCCAGAGCTTTCCCTCTTTTTGGCAACTTCCATCACAACACTTGCTTTTAAACCTTCCCCTCTTCAACCCTCTTCAACCCTCCCCTTCACAAACCAATCAAAATTTTTAAAGGGGGTAAGTTTCTAAAGAAACTGTGATGCTGTGTCATTGGGAGAGTGGAAACGGGTAATTTAGTACTATCAACTGAGTTGATAACGTAAACTAGAGTTTCCAAGCTGATGTTTCAAGCATTAGTCCACCATTAGAGTGATGGGATGAAGGGGAAACTGGAAAAGTCAACCTTGAAACTCTTTATGGTGGCCAGTTTACATTATCAACTTAGTTGATGATACTAAAGTACCCAATCAAATATTTGTTTCAGTGATCAATTGTTTGTTCCACCAACCATATTTGTTCTGGCTTTGCATCCCAACTTTAGAGATCAGAGAACACACAATTTTTTGAATGAATGAACTTTACCCTCATAACAAGTCAGTGAATATTGTTAGCCTTTCTTTTTATTGTAGGCTATGTGGCTTATTTTACAACACGAAAAACCAGAGGACTTTGTTATAGCAACTAACAAAGTCCATAGTGTCAGAGAATTTGTTGAAGCAGCTTTTCAAGAAGTTGGAATAACCATTGAGTAGGTCTTCATGTGATATTTTATTTTATTAATATTAAAGATACATTTTAGACAAATCCCAAGGAAAGGAAACATTTCGGTACTTTAGATAAAACTAGATGCAAGAAAGCGTGTGAGAAAGAGAAACTGCCAACAAACATGGCTCAATTGGACCAAAGAAGATGGCAAAAAATCCAGCCATAGAGCAACTTTGCATATGAAATACATGCAGTGCCCTCATCACTTAAAAATGTGATTGGCCATCAATCAGATATTTGTAGAAATGGACTGATTTGGGAAAGCTATGAGCTGCAAAAGACAATCAAATAGTAATAGCTTAAACAACATTCTTTGCCCCCAAAAAAAAACAAAAACAAAAACAAAAAAAAGTGTTTCTGTCTTTTACTGTAAATTAAAGCCTCATGTTGCTGGTCAAAATCAGATGGAAGCACTCCTGAAAACAAACTGTTGGTTTTTTAATGCTAAATGGACAAGAAGTGGTTGTAATGAGGTGGTTAGTGGGGTAGGTGTAGAATGAAGTTTTACTGTTAAAAGTAGATCCAGTCCAGGGAAGAATTGTATTCAAATATAAAATGTAAAGTTTACTGTCTTGCAGGTGGGAAGGAGAAGGTGATAAAGAAATTGGTGTAGACAAAGTCAGTGGGAAGGTTCTTGTAAGGGTGAATCCAAAGTTTTACAGACCTACAGAAGTGGTGAGTTACATTCTTTGATTATATCACATGAAGACTGACGAGTTTAAATAACGTTATAAAATCATCAATATTTTGCATGATTTGGTCCCCTCATGGCTGATAGGCTGGTCTTTTAACCTGGACAAAAGGGTCTCAAAGTCCTGGCCATCATCCATGGGAATTCTACTTTTTTGTATTCTTGATGCCATAACAATTTTTTATCTCGGGAACTCTTCAAAAGTGTCAATAGAATGGAACCTTTTACATTGTAAATTTCTGCAATATGGATACAAATTAGATGGGCTCTTGATTGACACAAATACTCTGTCTGATCACTTCAATGAAGGGAAGTATCTGGAAACATGACTTTGTGACACTTTATCTAGTCTTTAGGCAGTCCCTTAAATGGAGATTCCATAGGGCTGGTGTACTACGAGTATGATTTAAAATTGATGCAAATCTTTACATTTGGTAGGAATACCTTCAAGGATCATTTGAGAAATCAAAGAAACTTCTTGGCTGGGAACCAAAAGTGTCTTTTGAGGTACCTGTTAATTGTTGTTATTATTTTATTCATATTGTATTCAAAATGGCAACAGGACCAAATGGAGACCAATTCCATCTGTAAGATTTCATATGAGTGATGAACTGAATCAGACAACTGTGAAGCGGGAGTCTGATTTGTTCATCTCGAGGATGATTACAGACAGAACTGGATGACACAAAGTCCTTTCACCAATTAATCAAAACTATGACAAATTTGTGAAAGAAACTAGACATCAATTTTACATTTTCATAAAAAAAAAGAAAAGAAACAATTAACTTGGCAAAATGCAACACAACAACACATGCACATGATGTATTCTGTCCACTTACATTGGCATGATGCATTAACTTTCTCTTTAACTGTCCTATTACATTGTCCAATCAGAAGCATGATGTGTACAGTAATTCCTATCAGTGCTCAAATCAGGCTGGTGATCACCAATTTTGTTTGAGAATTTTGTTATAGTTTTGATTGATATTGAAATGTTAGCATGTGTAGGAGGATGGAAAAAGTTTGGTTCGCGGAGTGCTCTAGTTGAGTATTTTAAACAGTTAAATATGTTATATGTAGGTGTAAGTTATTAAAAAATTGTGGATAGTTATGGTAAATCTTAATTCAGAGCCTCCCTTTCCATTTTTATCTCACAAAAGCCTTTAAGGCTTTAAAATTCTTCAAAGGTGAGATGTTATTTGTGGTGGTCCATTTATGTTTATTAGCATGGTTGGATGTAGTAGTCATAAATTTTTAATGCCACAAAGATATTATTAATATTCCCCTTCCCTAAGTATGTGGCTTGTTTAAGTTGAAAATTCAAGAAAGTTGCAATGATTTTGTGACCTTTTTACAGGAACTGGTAAAAGAAATGGTGCAAGAAGACATAGCACTGATGAAGAGAAACCCATTAGCTTAACTTTACCTAGTGAATAGTCCAATATTAAGTTCACTGGATGGATGCACAATGAAGACATTTTCACATGGTTAGCCACTCCATTGTAGGAGACTAAATATACATGTTCTGCTAGGATGACTTGTTTACAGCTTCAAATTTTCAAATTTCATGCACCCCCTACCCCATTGCTGTATTTGCATTTGTTTTATTCGAGGACAAGAGTCATCAGAATTCTTCAGTTGTTTGCAAGAAAAATGTAATATTAAGTTGGTTGTTTGTATTTTATTGAGTTGGGAGTCGTATGCATATATTGTAGAAGATGGATTCTGTGAAGTATTTATTTTCCTCATGAAGATGTAGGGACCATTCCTTCCTGGAAGCCTTCAAATTTTGGCCTTCAAAATTGCATTTTTTTTTACGTGCACTATTTATAATCACATCTTGAATAAATTTTAATATTGCACTTATGTTGAAGTGATGGGGCCTTGCAATTGAGAACAATTTCAGCAATTAGTTTTGTGAAAAAAAAAAAAAAAATCATTTGCGAGTTAAAGAGAAAAGACCTAGTATTTTCAAATCCCTCTACACCTTAATTACTCACCTATAAATGTGTGTAATTTCACTGAATTAAAATAAAAAGTACACCTAAAAGCTGTTCATCTTTTATTTACCTTATAATATATGTCCAGAAATCCAACAAAATTTGTGGTGCATTCATTAATTTATTATTGCCTTAAATAATATTTTTAAGCAATTCATTATGATACTATTTAACATGTTTTGAATATGTAACTCAATGTCTTTAATATTACAACTCATCTCTGTCTTCCTTCCTTCGTTCATTATATTTATCTTGTTTAGCTTCTGTCTGTATTTTTAACTTGTAAGCAGCTCCTCTATCACCAGGAGCTCCAGCAACAGGACCATGTGGTTCCTCACAGTGCCGCACAATTGTTTTCAATGTTTCTTGAGAGAGAGCTCTGATATCATCACGTGTGAGAAATCCCTTGCCATCAGGATCTAAAAATGTGTGGAAGATTTCATGGGTGTCTCTCTGGATCAGCTCCATGGTTTCTTGATCAAGAGTGAATATATCTTCTATCAGTTCAGAAAATTTCCTTTCAGTCAACCTATCCACCTGAGAAAGATTGAAACTAATATTTAGCAACACAACTTGAAAAAAGATGTCTAGTGAAAAAAGAGTATTTGTCAGCTACTAAGCTGTGGGTCTGGGAGAAGAATGGTTTGATTTCAGGACCAAGGCCCTGTTTCTTGAAAGACTTGATAACTTAATGGACCAAAAGTTGGATTTTCTTTGTATGCCATGTTTCATTCAAGATAAAGATACCGATAGATTTGTAACTGAAACTGTAAAAATATTGAGAAGAGTGAATAAATACATGCTGTGCCAGAATCAGTTGACCCCATTGCCTGAAGAAGACTTGCAGTACGCAGTTGAAAAGTCACGATCTACATCTAGTGACTTTGTCGCGAGACAACAGAACAAATTTATATTATCAACATATTCTCCTTGTCAGCACCTTAGGAATTTTAATAATAATAATAATTTAATAATTTATAGACTTATATTGTGCAATTACCAATATAAGAATTTTCAATTGCGCATTACAATTAAATGTTAAAAATTCGACCCTACATAGATACTAAAAACTAAAAAAAAAAAAAATTTTTTTAATTAAAAAAAAATAAAAAATGTTCACTAAGAAGTAAAAATATAAGATTAGATACAAAGAATTAAAAAGCTTTTGCAAATAAAAGTCTTAGTGACCTTCTTCAACTTGTTTAAAGATTGGGTGTTTCTGATAGAGCCCGGAAGATTGTTCCAAAATTTAGTGGCGGCTGCATGGAAAGATCACTTGCCAAGAGTGAGTGGGTGTTTTACCCCTGCAAGGAGCAAGGAGTAAGCTGTCATTGGAACATAAATCATATCTTCTGGTGTCTCTAACAGAAATCAGCTCACTTTTGTGGGCCATCAGCTCACTTATGTAGGCCAACAATTGTATGGAGAATATGCATACTGATGTTAGGGTGTAAAGGGTTGAGGTCTTCTTAACCCCCTCCCCTCTCCCTTGCAAAAACAGCAGAAATAACATTCTAATTCTACCCGGTGTATCTCAATTCAGCCGTTTCATCAGTGGTTCTCAGTTGGAGAATTCTTTAGTAATGAAGGTGAGGGGGTTTGTTTCTAACCTTCATTTTATTCATTTTAATAATTCTACTTGACCCCCCAGAAGAGCCCTCACCTGAAGGCTGTCAAATGAAGACAAGAAGTATTGTCTGAATTTCTCCACATTCTGATAACCCATGTCGATAGTCTTGTCTCCTTTATTGTAAGTCCAGTGCACTTTAGCTTCACTGAGTGGTCGGTACTCATATGTCTCATTCTCACAGCTGGAATTGTTGAATGTGTTATCAAGAGACACAGTAAAGAGCATTGTTGCAGAGATGGTGCGATTGCCTTTGTATGAGCGCACTTGGTGTATGTAACCTGTTGGTAGAATTGTTAATTGAATCAATTAGTTAAATTGGCTTTGTAAACTTTTTTAAATAAAAACCTTCAATTAAATATGCTCAGCAATGTTATCTTGAAAGGGTAAGTGGTTTGATAAGATGTACAGACACTAGGAATATCATGAAAACTAAAGACTGAGAGCTTTCTCCAACATTGCTTTCTTTTTTTATGGTTACTCACCGAGTGCCTTCTACACAGGCTATCACTTGTTTAAGAGATCAAGTGGGAAGGTTTGAAACCATCTCTGGTGGTTATTATTCTTTTCAACAGAACGCAAACTAAATGCATGGTTAAAAAGCTGTTTTACGAGATTCAGATGTTCATTTAAACAGAAGCATAAAACTAAGGTTCCAATTTTTAGTGTAAACATAAAATTCATTGTGTTATTGAAGAGCATAGTGAAATAACTTGAGGTTGAGAGAAACATTATGAGAGGGTGCTTACCTGAAGGGATGAAGATACAGTCACCTGGTCCAAGAGTACTGTATGTCCACTCCACTTTGGAAGCATCTGGATACAGATTCAGGTCAACCATATCAGGATCAATGCTGGAGTAACCTGAACCAAACTGTGGGGGCTGAAAAACAAATATATTGAGATCTCACCCCTTTGGAACAGTCCAAAGAACATGGTCTAGTACTGGTGAGACTGTCAATTATAGACATCACAGAAATTAGAGCTGCAAGGAAGGGGGACCACTCAAGGGTAATTTGGGTGGGGTAGTTCCACTGGGGCCTTAAGGCTCTGATCCTGTCTAAGATAAAGTCAGTTCATTTTACTGACCTGTTCAAGAAATGAGTAAGATTTGTCATTCAACAAGTATTACGATTTATCATGTAACTAGCATAGTGGTATTAAATATGTAAAGAAAATATTCAAATCCTGTATTTTAACACTGCACACTTCTGATGATCACACCCTGTTAAAGGCTCACAGTCCAGTAAGACACCATTCTGAAGATGCTAAAAAATTGAAATTGAACACCCCAAAGCTCCAAGCCCCACTTCTTTTAAAGTCGCTTCTTGGCAACATGATAAGAATGCTCATCAGGAAACAAAATGAAACAAAACAGTATTCTACAGGTGTACATATTCTGTATAATCATATTCTTCACAAATGTTTATTTTGTGTTCACTTTAGACTATAAAATGCTGAGTACTGGAGCACTTATACAGCTCACTGTATGGCTGCCATGTGCATGTCACTTAAAATACCTGGGTGACTTTTCCAAAACTATTCCATGCTCCCTATGACAAATAAACTGATCACACCTTGGAGTCCCCTGGCCTGTTACGAACTCAAGTTCCTAAAACCCATACTTTAAGGGTACATACCACTCATACTTCAGACTCACCTTGGTGACATTCAGAACAGGTGCGAAGTCTGGGTGAATCATCACAAAGTCTTTGCGGCCTGCAACAAGGCAGTGAATGTTATGGTCTGCATCAAAATGAATCACAGATCGTGTTCCTCCAGAGCTCATCCAAAAGTTAAGTTCATGTAAAAAGTCTTTGAATGTGCCACACATTAGACAGGGGAGCAACTACAGAGCAAAGAATGAGAAAATGTTCAAGGAGAATCTTGATAACAGTAAATTGTAAATGGACATGCATACAAATCATTCATTTTGAGGAAATCTGTTTTCAAAAAGATCATTGGCCAAACAAAGTAAAAAATGTAAATAAAAGTTGTGATACTGTGTTCTCTGTCCTAGGTAAAAGTTTAATGAAGTTGTATCAAAAAAGATTTGTAAAATAAGAAATGCAAAGAATGAAACCCCATTTTGAGTTTATATCTAATTGCTAAGACTGTCAGAAATGATGATTGCAGAATATCATCCTAAATAGGACTGGCAGATACAAAGGAGGGTCTGCCCCTCTACCCCTCCTTTCGCCATCAGACATGTGGTTATTCACACTACTTGTTTGAAACCAAAATTATTTCAAAGACAGAATTGAAGATTACAACTTAACTTGAAGTATTCAATTTTTTTTCTCTTATTTATCAGACCCTGATATGGAAGCATGGTAAGATAATGCTGTAGAATTCATAGTTTGATTCGGAAAGCATCATCATCTATGACAAGCCATGGACATTCTCCAAAGTATTAGTTTGAAATATGAGTTCTAAATTCACCTGTAAACTCTCTACGAATCTCTTCCAAGGGGAAATATGCCTCATTGTCCGTCCCTAACGATCTAAACATGAGGAATGTGACCAATCTTTTCCATTCCATTAGGACTGAAAGTTCTTCCCGAAGCGTAAATTGCAAATTTATACTCGAGTAAAAACAGGTGAGGAGGGTACCTCAATTGTTCATTTAAATAACAATACATTGATGTGAACAATGAATGTTAAAATTCAATCCTCGAACCATTTGAACTTTTTACGACTTTATAACTGTGATAAAAAAAACCGATAAATTTTAAACTTAATCAATGAACGAGGCAATTTTAGCGTCAGAGAAACATTCACATATGAATATTTTGCGAACATGAAACATCTACTTACTGGAAGATCTTTCCTCATCGGGTCAGGCAAAACTGTCACTACATACAGATTTTCCTTTCCATAGACATCAATAAAATCACCCAATAACATCCTTGACGTTACCCCATGTGTTCTGTTTTCTGTTTTCAGCTCTGTCAACACATCTAAGTCGCCATATTTTTCCTTTAAATACTGGTCGCTCCACTTAAGTCGCGCTGGGGAGTTCGCGATAGCCTGACGGAATACAAGTGGTTTTGAACATGCTCACATGTTTATCCCAAAACTCTTGAGGTTTTAGAACTGAGTTGTATTCAACTACAGGACCATTTGGTGGCCTCTGCAGTCCAAACATTTTTAAATGTCCTGTTAAAATGCTTGGATCCTTAGAAGGAAGAAACTGCGGCGGGAATACAACTTCCTGGAGACCCTGTGAATGGCCCTCGCTTGACGGTAGGAAGGCGGTGAAAACGAGAAAATTCTGAACCAGAGAAAGAAGTAAGAAATAAGCCTTAGGAAAAAATAGTCTAAACATCTCGTCGATGGTCAGTTACGGTGGAATGTGTCTAAAACAACTCATTCCAACAACGATAAATCAAGAGAGAAAAGTCGGACCAAAGACCCACGATGAACATTACCAGTCCATTTGCGCCCTTTCATCAAATCATTGGGCTGCGTGACGCGTGCAAACGATCTTCATGGTGTCACACAATAACAGCAACTTATATACACAACAAAACACCTCCATACATCAACTTCTCACAGTGAGGAAAGGAAGAATTCTGTGTTGAGTTTGTTCGAACAAAAAGAGTCGTTGTATTCAAATCTTGTCATATCTATTCTTTTCAGACCTAGTTTTAAACCAGTTCATCACTGTACAGTAAAATTCGTTTGGTACAACTTTATTAACAACTCAAACTTCGAGAATGTTTCGTGTATCTATTCTAAACCAACATCTGATATTCCTAAGAAGTTTGAAAGAACCTTTTGGTGGAAATTCTGTGGATATTACTGACTGCCGTGCATCTAGTCTATTAAAGACCGTGCCCGGCTGCCGGGCGTTAAGTAACAGCGGAACTAATTTGTTCAACGGATGCTAAACAGCTTTAAGCAAAAAAATTACCATAGCAACAGTGAAGCTGGTTGGAAATTTCGGAAAAGCCTACCATCACATTTTGAAATGGGTATTGCATCGTTTTTGTAATTAAGGTGAGCTACGCATTTTGTAATATAGGCTGCAGCATGGATGTAATAATCGTTGGTCAACGCAACAACATCTTGCAGTTAATTGTAATATGTTTCTCGAATCTTGCAATCTTGTAGTAAAAATAGTATCATTCCACAGATTGAGTGTTTGCAGTTTCTCTCCTGCGTATAATGATTGGCATCAGTTGTGGAGTTTTAAAGAAGAAAGGGATACATTACTCAAGCAGTTATTACAAGTCAATGATAAGTTCCAAGGAACATTTCAGGAAACATTTCATCATGGTCGATATCTCGGAAGAACGTAGCGCTATATTTGTTGATAATCGTTTGCATTACTTTTGCACAGTACTGTAAGGTTTTGTGGCAAAATTAAGATTATTTCGATTTGCGTCAAGATTTCTTTATAACCGAATTCCGTAGACCGACGATTCAGCATCACATAATGCTACAGCCTTTATTACAAAACACTTCAATGACTATTTTAAAATGCGTAGGTTATTACAAAATGCCGCAACCGTTATTACAAAATGCGTAGGTTATTAAGAAATGCGTCGTTACTAAAAAATGCCGCAGAACACCGGTTTTTTTAGAGCCACCTTAAGGCTTCGATACGAGTTACAGTATTTCCCTTCATTCCAGATTAACATCGCCTTCCGCGGTGGAGATCAATCAGGTTTTTGGGGAGTGTGCCGTAACCAAACTAAACAGTAACCTGGATTTTGCGTAAAAAGATATAGAGATCATTTTCTTGTGGGACAACATCTGTTCTCAGAAGTGAGCAGTTTTCATAGGGCGTTGGTAAAAGCTTCAAGGTGGAATAATAAATAATCGAGCTGTGATCTCTGTCCTTCAAATACTTTACGCAGTGCACTGGACAAAACGTCTGCGAAAAGCTTACCGTCAAAAACAATAATTGCTTTGGATGCTGCAGTTGGACAGTATTGACCAAACGTATATTTCCTTTAAGTTCTGATTGTTCCCTTGCGATGCCAACCTTCGCTCTCATCAGCCGTTGTGATTGTTCTATTTTGAGATTTTTAGCATTTGATCGGAGAGACCACACCCTTACTCCTCTTTGGCTTCTTCTTCTACAATCGTAAGGTGGATAATAATGAAAGGTTGGCAGGTGATGTAGATTTCTAGGAGAATTTAAGCAGTTGAATTTATGGATCAGTTTAAGCATGTCAACCATAATCTGCGGGAAGGGGTGGGGGGAGGGACATTACAAATATTAAAGCCCTGGTCTTCTGAGGGGACCCCGGAGGCATAATGCCCCAGGGAGGTTTCGTTTGTTTGCTTTTTTAATCTAGGGTCTCTAAAATGCTATTTCAGTTTCATATTTCCAATACTGTTTCGTGCAAATTAACGTACAGCTTCTCACTGATTTACTTTATGTATGTATTCAGCAAATATGTCATGAGAGCAGAAGAGCTTATCAGACAGAAGGCGTTATTCTGATGTAAAACCAAATTCTCTCCACCAATTAACGGAAAATGTGTAGTAGCTAAATGGGAGAAACAGTTATCAGAATCTGGGGGAGTTACACTAATTGTAGTCTTCTCTTCGAGCACACTATCGGTTCTAAATTGCCTTGGATGCTTACAAAATATCTCTTTTCTGATTGGTCAATGAAGAAGAATGCTCAAATAGGTTATAAAGAGCGCATTGGGGTTTTCGTGTTGTACTTGCCTGCAATTTAAGCATGCAGGCTGGAAATATGTTAATTTCTTAAGTACTATGAAAAAGGTATGCCATGTTTATCTCTCACAACAAATGTAAATGACTAATTCAAAAAGGACCAGCGTAATTTTAGAACAGTTGAAAAGTTGACTTGCAAGAAATCATCACCCAGAACGTACTAACTGAGGTCAAAAAGTAATTTTGTTGAGAATATGAAAACAAAAAGTTGCCTGAAAAAAAAAAAGAAAAAACTCACGCATTTCGTGACTTATGGTCGCGATCCCTCGTTGGCCCATTAGTTCAGGAAATGCACTGCCGGTATGCTAGCTGCTATATATCTATTGCCGATCGTTACTTCAGAAGAATTTAAGAGACGCCTCCGTTATTTGTGGGTTATGGTCGAGTAAGTGGTATTTTAGCTGCGATCTATTGTTCCTTCCCAACGCATATTTGAGAGTATGATAAAGATAAGAACAACTTATTTTACCTTATTCATCATGACTCAAGTTCAATTACTGCGTCTACTGATAGCAAGAACGCACGAACAAACCTTTGTCCTGAAGCCAGCCATCTCACAGTTGTTACGGAATTTCCTTTACGATAAGGAAAAAACTTTACTGATACTATTTAAAGAGAGACACGAAAAGAGAGGTTTATTGGGGGCAACAACAACAATTTATCGTTTCGTTTTAACATTCTACTTTCGAACACCTGGACAATTCATTAACGAAGTTAAAGATCTTTGTTTTCTCTCGTTTCAATCAATGTTTTGGTTTTCATTCTCGCTTGCGATAAATTGGCGGACCACTTATAAAAACAACCATATTTTCACGCCGTGCAAAACATTTTAAACCCTATCATAGCGCTTAGAGTACAGAGATCAAACCATCAGTTTACAAATTAGCGTACTACGTATTTTGCGAAAGCATGTTTCGGCAGGTTTCCGCAAACGTATTCTGTTCGTGGCCATTGACCGCAAGTTTAACATATCAGAACTTAATTAAATAGCCTCTCAAATTATCTTCAATTCGGAGACAGGCTGTCTGTGATTAAATTCATCAGGATAATAACTTGGGAGGAGGACGGATAATCTACGATGAAAAGAAGAGTAAACAGTAACCAAGCGCGGCACAAAAGGAAGCCCTTTGTGAGCCTGACTGACCCTACCACCACCTATCATGGCGCACAACTTTACAATCACTGATACACTTCTCATTAATACGAAAAGAGCAGTTCAAGTAAGAAACACCAAACAAGACGTTCGTCGGTTTCTAACCTTTTCTGTGCATGGTGTGTCAACGCACCGTTAGATAACAGTATTTTATCTAACTGTTCGTTTCCTTTGCGCAAGGATTGTTATGCTTCTTCGAAGCCGACCTTTAATATTCTTAGCGGTTGTAAAATTTTGTTTGCTCTAATAGAAGCCTAAGTACAAGCTTTTTACCTTTGATTCAATATCACCAAGAAGTAATCATGTTCAGGAAGACTTTGGGTAAAGTGACTGAAAAGTGGTGTTAAAAACAGAGGGCGCAAAGTAGTGTCGAGAGAAAGATACTCCAAAACGGCCAACTGCAATTAATCAGTTTATACATAAAGCGCTAAAAGGCTTACTTTAATACTCTCGAAAGCTTACGATGGTCAGATGAACCGTAAACTAAACACAAAATCGACCTTTCTCGCGGGAGAACTCAAAGCAAGAATCCTAACAGACCGAATGGATGACTGACAGTGATGGATTGCTTTTCTTGTGGCGATAATTTTTATACCGCTTCTCGTGTTTCCAAGCTTTATCTTTGTCCATCTTCCAAAGATAGCACAGCTGAAACGAAACACACTGAGGTATTCCTAGATACCTGACTGACACATCAGGCATGTACAATTTATGACCAGTTGTTTTGCACCACTCGAAGAACCCTTAAACTCTTTGATATTGAAGACCCAATGGCCAGTAAAGGGTGTTTTAATCCAAACAACCATTTAAACAAGCACTTAATTGCGATATTTCAGCTTTTCAGGTAAACAGATTTTCATAGGATGTGCATTCGATTGCCCGTACAGCATCTGCTTTGGTTGACTGTAATTGGTTGATAAGGTGTGATGTACGATTATCGATGCTATGCACCCCACATGAAAAGCCATTAAACAAACAAAAGAGATCAAACAATACAGTTTTCGCAATACAGACGATGGTAGAAGTTTATTCTCCATTCGCAAGGCCTTATCATTTAATAACGCAAAACTCGAATCAAGAGTAATAAGCTCTGCCTAGAATGAAAAATGAGACTTATGATTTAGCTTCTAAACCGAACAAAGGCAAAAGGCAAAGTCCCCATTTCCATACGAGGAATAGTTAGTTTACAATATTCCTTAATAGCGCGTTTTTCTTGTTTAAACTTTCCTGAGAAACGTTATACTATACAAAGCGTTGTAACTTGTGTGAGGTATCTTTCAACCTTCTCTTGCTGACGGAATCTAAAAATATACAGTTATGTGTTTGTTAAACTAACTGCTCACCAAAAGGATCGCTCCACTCGCTTTTCTAATTTTGCCAGACTTAAGAATTTGAAACAATTCTGAAACAAATGTACACTTCCAACCCTAAAGCAATCATTCATCATAAATCTAACTGAGCATGGAAGAAAGTGGTGAAACGCGCGGCAAAGTTTCTCAGATTGGGAGTGTAATATATTTTACCTGGATCAATAAAAGACCTTGTACATAGACACGACTACCAATAGCTGAACGAAATTCGTAAAATATCGCACTTTTCGAAGAGCCGTTGTCGCCTGCAATCCGCTTAATGACACTAATTAAGATAAATTGTTACCGGATTCAGTTAAACACCAAAAACAAAGGCGCAAGTCTCACTGTATGGCGCCGATCGAATTATCTCGAAATCAGAGCATACAGCTATCGATCCTGTGACGAGATAACCAAACTTAGCACGGCTTATGTTCGATAATCAACCCTCGAAAAACATTAGTTAACACAGAACAGATGCAAACGCCGGGCGCGCGCGCTTATAGTGTCTGCTAAGAGGGGTTTAAATACCACTCCACGCGAGGAGTCGCCGCACAAACCACCAACGGACGAATACCTGAACAATGTAACAGCTTTAGAAAGGTACTTTATTTTAAATCCGCTTTACACAGAACACGAATTTAATCGATTGTCTAATTGATCAGGCTTCTGACTGTTTATAAACACTAATTGATTCCTATGTGGGTGGTGCTATCTATCAAGCTGTAGCCATTGCTGGTCGATTTGTTGAAGCGAGATTAGAAAGGAATTATTTACATTCCCCAAGGTTTGAAATAAGAGATGGACATCTCTGAGACTTGCTGAAAGCCCGTCTATTGAAAGAACTCGCGAAACAAACTGCACACGCTCGAAACTTTGCGGTCAGAGCGCAGAAGATGGAGCCACTCAACAGAGATGGCTTAGAGCTGTCCACGAACAAACAGAGAAACGACCCGTGTTTATCGTCTAAAGCGGAACGTTTGAAGCCTCCACACTCTTATATTGCACTCATCGCAACTGCGATTTTAAACTCGCCGGGGAAGAAGTTGACGTTGACAGAAATAAACGAATACTTAGTCCACCATTATGCTTTCTTTAGAGGTCCTTATCAAGGTTGGAAGAACTCCGTGCGCCACAACCTGTCATTTAACAAGTGCTTCGTTAAGATCCTGCGTGATCCAGCGCGGCCGTGGGGCAAGGACAATTACTGGACGGTAAGCTCACTGCATGATTACCTGCTGGCGGATGGGACATTCAGAAGAAGGCGGAGAAGAAAACCAAAGAAAAAGGAAGACAGAGAAGATTTCGGACATGGCCTTACCACTGAGCAGATCCTACCGAACAACACCGTGAGGGAGTTTAGTATTCAAGACGTAGCACGCAGAAACATTTTAATGCTCCCCTCTTACGAGCCTGTCCGTGTGAACCGGGTACGATCCACTAATGTTCCTACAGTCAGCAAGTCTACAACGCCCAAGCCTTTCCATGGATCGTTCTCTATCGAAAGCATTCTAGCTGATGGGAAGACGAGCGCAAAAGAGGCTTCACTTAAGTCAAGGAGAGGAAGTCAGAAATTTCCTCATAGAAGTGTGATTAATCCAAACATTGGTAAGTTTAATAGCGAGTTTGAGTTTCCGGTGTGTAATGTAAATTCATAGAGTAACGCTTGGTCTTTGATTACGTGCATATAAACATATAAGTTGAGCTGAACTTGAGTAACTTTGACAGAGAGTTTCAGGTCCAGAGCCAATCGTTCACCAGTTAGAAACGATGTGCAATAAGTGACTGAGTAAACAGTCTTCACATTAGCCTTAAATAAATAACGACGCTTTACTGTAAACTTACTGAAATCACTGAGTAAATGGCTTCATTAATGTCACATTGCTTTCGAAATTGCAAGGTAAGGTTACTTGTTTTAAACGGGTCCACTCGAAGCGGGGTTAATCGAAAGTCTCGTTATAGAAGTTCGAACCATATTATTGCGATATTTCATTGAAAAACTCAACACGAATTTAGTTTTAAAAGACACTTGACCTTATTGAATATATGCTTCTCCGTCGAGTGGTTAGGGTTGCTCGAGTACATGGACCTAAACTTTCATTTTGTCACACTTTGCCCTCAATCTAAAAAACTCTTGATAGACAGTCCGCTAAATGTTTAAATTTTAAACAACGGTTACGAGTTTAACGGGGTGAGCCATATCATTAGCCAACGCGCTAAACGCCTTTGTGTATTGAGACACTTGCACAAACCCGCAACACACGCCTTACTGAAAGATAACCGAGAACTCTTGCCAAGAATGTATGCCGGGGCGGTTTTGTGAGGGCAGCCGACTTCGCACAAACTTGGCAATACTTTCATCATCATCGAAAAGTTTTAGTCACTGAAATTAATCTCTTTTTGAATCAATGAGAGTTAAAGCTGAGAGAAAGCCTGTGTGGACATTTCCTTTCTTATTGGTTGTATCTGACCAAGAAGTAAACGTAGAAGTATAAACTACGAGCAATGAACAGTAAACACGATGACGAAATACATCTGCACAAGAATTTTTCTTTTGCAGTTGAATATGCATAAGATAAAAAAAACAAATATCATTAGTTTTGTTTTTATTCAATTTGTTTTCATCCTTGATATGTTTGTTAGAAAAATATGATAGGATTTTAACAGGGGTTATTAGAGTAGGAAATGGATAGCCGCGAAGGCTACACTTCAACCAGATGTGAATAACTGATGAAATTCAACTTTGCTTCATGTAATTTTAGTTGCGCAAACATTAGCTCATAGCTAACCCCTTAGGTGGACGGTGACGCATTTGGTAACAGGCTGGGTGAAAAGTTTATTCTTTACAATACATTCTAAACATTTAAACATAAAGTAAACTTCAGTTCTCTTGAATTGTTGACTGAATGAACACAGCAGGCAGTTGAGTAATGCATCCATTATGAGACTTAATTGTGAAGGGCACATTTGTGCAATTAAGACAAATCACCAGTTCTTGTTGTTCTAGGCAGAGCCGCAATCAAGCCTACTTCGCAAGACATGATGATTGCAAGTTTTCAATTATGTTTTGATTCCCCAGTTTAAGTTTCTTCCCATGACAAAAATTTCAGCATATGAAGCATCGCTAGTCGACAAAGATTTGTTTTAAGGTTAAGAAGCTAAACTGACGAATAAAATTTCATTCAGTAAAATTTTCCTCGCTTTACGTTCAGTTTGTTTCGTGAACTCTACTTAGTCATTTTATTGATTTGGGTGGGCGTTTTTCGACTCCTGATTCGCCCTCGATTCACAAGCTTCCTAAATTGTTTCATATCATCGGCACTTCAATTATTTATGTAGATTTGTGAGGAAGGGCCACTTGATCCTTTAAAAATTTACTCAAGTTCACTGAATTCAAGTTGCATGCCTTTTTACCGTCCTATTCAAAAACTAAACAGAGCTATGCCAATTTGCAGAAATTCGAAGGTATTCTCTAACGATTGTTTCAAGAGAGAGACGGCAGGACACTGGTCTTTAAATTTGAGCTATTGTGTGGTAATGAATGTGATACACCATTTGAGAAAAGGCGACCGAGCCAAACTCGTTACCAAAAATTTAGTTGAAGAAAACATCCCCGTCAAACTATGATAAATCACTAACAAATTATCATTCAGTTGAAACACGCAATGCCGACAATGATCCATTCCGTTCAAAGTTGTCAGCTTAATCCCACACTGAAGAGGGGCAATTTTTCTTCTTTAAGTGTTGGATGAATCAAGACGAGTAACTGGTGACAAGTTAAACTCCTAAGATGACGCGAAGCTTAATGCAAGCGAAAGGGGATTATCCATGATTGATAATATAATCCACATCGTTGTGTAAATTACTCGACAAAAATTTATCAGACTTTCCCTCCTAGTGGCCAAAGGGGGTGAAGAATGTCTGCGACCAAAACCTTCATTTGTGACGACCAGAATTACATTTCTCTCGGTAAAAGCGATGACGGTCTGCTAAGATGAATACCTCTCACCGTCTTACAACATCCTCGCAAAAGGGCGATAACACGATCTGTCAGTCTCTTTCTGGAGGTGAAGAAAGGGAAACTTGTACTACAGTGATGAAATTTAACAAACCTATGCCTCAAAGTAACATTTATTCCAATTGGTGTCTTTGCGCAGTGTAGTTCAATCTTGTAACTGGACTTTTGCCTCGAGGTGCTATTTCATTAAGTTCTTCAGGCACAACGGAGCTAAACCAAATAAATTCTAATTTGTTATTTTGTTTTTTCTAGGTTCCCTGGTAGCGCAGAGAAACATTGGCCACTGCTATCACCCAGCACCGGAGACCCCCCACCATTTTCAGAGACAGGAACATTTATGCGCACCCATGGTTCCTAACGCAGCCTTCCCGAGCAGCTGTGAAGTGTGGAACACTTGCCACTGTTTCCATTCGTGTGCAACCGCTACCACGCATTTTCACGCTTGTTACGGATGGAAAAAGGAACATATCTAAGCGTGAATACAGTTCACTATAATGAGCGGTTGATCAATTGAGTTACAGATCTGATTTTATGAGGTCAACTGAAAAAATTTGCCACCTTTGTTTAGATGAATTTTGGAATAATTTATTAGAATGATTTTTACAAACAAATTGCTTAAGGTATTTTTTCATGTAGCAGTGAAGTGTATAGGACGGCCATGCATGCGCAGGTAAAGAAATTAGCTGTACCTATGTGGTTTTTCAATTCTCGACATTATTTTTGTAATTGCTTGGTAGGAAGTGTGTCTTAAACTACCGACTTCTCCAGCAAAGAGAGGCAATTTCACCAACTATGAGAGACAAATAGAAACGATTTTTCATGACAAAAGAACGGTATAATTATAAACTGAGGTATACCACACCAAAATTTAAATTTGCAGTTCACTGTTCAATTTGAAATTCTTCCTAAAGCATAGTATACTTGTACATATTAACCATTATGAATAAAGTATTTTTCAGTTTATCTGATTTGTTTTTAAGTACAAGCTTATTTTTCTCATTTGTATCCAAGTTCTGCTAAGAAAACAGTTTCATGCAAAATGTGGGGCAACTTGACTGTGTCAGCAAACAGGCAAAGTAGGAAGTATCCGCTCAAATTAAACTCCCGTTCGAAGGCTACGCCCTCTAAAAGTTCTAACCGCACAGTCAAAGGTTCAGAATGTACTGGTCATTTTCAGTAACATAAAATTTTTATTTAGGATATTTGACCATGTCATAGAAGGCTGAGGTGTACATACCAGAACTCCCAAATTACGTCAGGTTGTCTAAGAAATGTTGACGAGGCGAGACTACCTTCTTATCAATTACATACCTTACATTTTAGAAAGAAAACACTTTCATGTGTTGCACGTAACAATTCTAACTGTTGAATAAAGACTATCTTGATCTCTAGACATATGTGGAAATACCTAAAATATCTGGCCTACACGCAGTTTTCCGCATTGAAGTCTGAGTGTGCTACTAAACACAATCCTAGTGGCTGAGACATTCGGCTGTTTAATACATGATAGTAAAATTAAGGGATTGTATTTTGAGCCTTCTAGATTCATTTTATATTTTCATTCCTGAATTCCCTTAAGAAGAGATGAACAATTAAATTTAGAGGATACCAATTTAGTTTGAAGGAGTATTTAATGGGGCAGCACCATATCATTACTTTGCTTAAGATATAACATACAACGTCTCCTTGCAGTCAAACAAGACAAACAGGTTACTGAGAATTAAGCACACCTATATGCCAAAGAATGTGGTCTCGATGCAACAATAAACTTCCTCAAATAATTTTAATGAAATTACAGGCAGTTATAGGGGCAAATTTTTTATCAGTTCTCGAGAGCAAGAGTTTGATGTGATAATGTCATTTTTCAATGTCACGTATTCAGCTGTATCTCTGATGCTCGAAGAGTGACCACTAAAATTTTTTCTGTCTTTCTTTGTCCATTATATTGTCAAGTGAAAGGAGAATATCAACTATCACTTACTATGCCGTCAACTGCTTGGTTGGGTAAGGGATTAGAGCTTAGTAGCCAAATGGATGTTCGAATTCGTAACCAGCAGATGTCATAACTGGTTTGAAACAAGTTTCTCTTGCAAGAGTGTCAGCCATTTCTCCATGCGCCCTGAACCAAAACCCCATATGTCACCTGTGTTTTTATAAGCACACCTACATCATTAAATGCATTTTCACCTTTGTTTGTTTTTGAACACTATAAAACGTGTCAATTCAATCCATAGCATAAAATCCTGCAGTTGTTCAAAACAAACAACAACAGAAATCGATGATTCATTCCTAGTACCATGTAGATGATTGCATGTGTGTATCCCGAACCTTTTCCTTGCTTAATGCAGTGAAACCGCTCTCAAGTCACCCTCAGCAATCAGGAAATCTTCAGTTTAATTTAAGCCATACGATTACATTTATCTCCTCTCGGAAGAATTAGGGCCGCGTCAATTTTTGCCGAGACGTTTCAGAGTTCTCGTCCTTAAGAGGATTAACATCAATATATTTATCTTCACCAAAAGAGGATTTTAAGAATACCCCTGAATAGACAAACAACATAAAACCAGTGAAGTATTGCAGATATTGTGTGCATCACAACCAAATAATTTAGGGACAAAGAATTTCACTCAGGAATAAAAAATTATGTGACTACAAAAATATCAAGAGACTTGAGGACATCTTCCCGCAGCACAAGATAGAAAGGCATCAAAACCTTATGCAATATGAGGTCTAACCAAGCGACATTTTTTCGTCTGTTCATAACAAAAACGGCCACAACGGTCAAGTACCCTAAGCAATATCTTGTATACAGGTACTACTGGCGATGAATAGAGCCGATGTATATGTTTTTGTTAGTTTCGCCGCATGTATGCTTGTTTCTTTATTAATAATTAAATTTTGGTCGAAACGAATGATAGTGTACGTTTTACATTCTTCTCTGTCTCGCAGAATTTGAAAAAAAAGAGGTGGAGATTCTTTCTGTGTTTGACTAAAATACTGATCCAGTTTATTTAAAGAAGATAAGGTCGTAGTACGTTCATTAAGGCTCGGGACGATGTTCACAAGTAGAAAGCAAAAAGGACTCTGGCTTTATTAGCAGATGTGCGAAAGTGCTGGACTGTTTTTTTTATGTCAAGCCTGAAGATAAACTGAGCGAAAGTTATTGCCATATTATACCCGTGAAACTAAAGGGGCAAATTAATCTGATAGTTCAATACAAAACCATATAAATGGAGGAAATCCTTGAAGACTGGCAACATTGTATGTTATTGTGCAAGTTATCGCTCGAGAATTACTTGTTATTCTTCTGTTTCTCGTCATCAAATCAAGTATGTAAGTCTTATAGATGAAGGATTGGATGATCTCTGAAAATAGGTCTTGACGTACAAGATCAAAATTTCACCGGTACGATGTGAGAACAGGATGATAACAAGAAAAAATGCACTTTATTCCTTAGTTTCTGCTGCATCTTCAGATGAAACCTCCAGTTAAGGTTAGTTTGGTTTTCACTTGATCTTCTTTGGTTTTCTTTGAGAAAATTGACCATTTTTTCAGTAAACAGAGAACACGAGTGACTCAACTTTGTCTGGGATGGGACAGTTTCAGGATAGGAGATGGAATGCATGTCATCATTCCCTGTCAGCAGGGATTATTCTCAATTCTTCTTTATCTTTCGTATACACGCTTTACTGTCATGCAAAATTGTGTGTGGTCTTTGTACTAAAACCAAGCTTCAAACCCCAGTTTTCTCACCGGAAGACACAACGAATTCCATCTGGAAAGTGATAGAAGGTAAATGTGCCTCGATGCAGGGCGAGAAGATGTTCGTTTAAACATATGGCACGAAAGTTGTTTAAACCCATAGATAACATCTCTTCAAGAGTCCTTATATCAAGGCACCATTAGGTCTCGTTCCTTGAAGAACGCTCCATATCAATGAGCTATCACGCAAATTAATTTTCTGACAGCACAAGGTCAAAAACTCGGGGCAGCGGTGTTGTTTGATGCTATTCTGCGGTGGATGCAAGTGATAAATAGTTTGATAAGATGATAATTGATATTTTAAAGATATTTTAAGACAAACGTTGCGTTCAGGAATCGTATGGTTTTAATGACTAGAGAATATACGGAGTAGTTTGGTTCATTACTCCTGGTTCGAAATAAGTTAGTGCATCGATGTTCGTGACTTTGTCTTCATCGATATATGTATCAGTTATGTACCTTGGTTTGAAGGTGAGCACATCCCTGGATAAACCATTGAGTATGGACTGCTGGAAAACTGGACCTGGGAACGATAAGCAACTGTTCCAAGTATAATGTTACTTTACGTTTATGGTTGGCCTTGCGTCACGTTTGTATATTCGCATAATCCTTGATTTTAACGAAAGAAGTAGGAACAAAGCTATCATCAGATGTGTAAAAGTCCTTAAAAAACCGATATTTATTCAAGTTGTGATGACAGAGAATTAGAAACTGGTTGGCGGTACTTAACTACAGATTTGCACGGATTTACGTTTGTCATCTCTTGAGATTTATACCTGGATTTCTTCAGAAAAAAGCACCTTTATTAAGAATTTTGAGGTTAAAGTAGCACTGTCTACTTGCCATTTAGTAGAGCTTGAGAAAAAAAAGGAAAGTAGTTGTCTAGGTTATTTATCAAGCTTTTGCATGAGAAATAAGTGTAAGGTCGAGAGACGGACGAATTTTCTCCATCAACATATCTTTGGCTTATCCAGTGTCTCATACTTGTTTACCTGCTTATCAAAGCACGCATATGTATGACCCGTAACATGATTCCACAGAAATCGTAATGAAAATAAATTTGATTGGCCTGATGTTTCGAAACCAATATCTCGATAGAACATACCAGCACTGGTTCAATTTTAAGGAACTAAATTAAAAAATTAAATTCTTTTCGATTTTTGAAGAAGTATTCAAAGGCAAGCGGATCTAAGAATTAAAGAATAAAACATAAATAATTGATCGGCAGTGGTGTGTTGTAGGTTATTACGGAGAAGGGAATCTGATGCATGTTTTATTCTCTATCGATACGATTAATAGGTTCAAAGTCTGCTTCAGTTTTTCCGGCTTCGTGCACCACAACGAGAAGAATTAAAACATCTCTAGCTATACCAAACGATGTCGTATTCCTCTTTTTTTCGGATAGGAGAAGGAGGAGGTCCAAGCGAGGTATTGATTCTTTGCATTCAGCGGAAGACAACCTTTTCCGTACCTACTCTCAATGGAACGAATTGCTAATTTCCCTTTTGGTCGAAACAAAGCATGATTTTGCATTTCCTCTTTAAATGTTGTTCTCCATTATGATGTAGCTGAATGCCTCACACCCTAGTGCACCATTTTAATGGTTACTCTATAACCAAAAAGAATCAGTCTGAAAAAGCTCGAGTTGCTGATAGTCAAGAGAATACAGTTTATATTCTTTTGTGATAATCTTATCTCGCACTATAAACCA